GGGGGGGGGCACAGAAGCCGGCCTGCGGTGGCCTTGTTGTAGTAAAGAATAAAGGGCAATCACCATGGCATGTCATCCGTGTTCGGGTAGGTTCTCGGGTTCCAGAATTTCAACGTGGCCGACCGCTTTTCCGATCTCCTTGATACTCATTGGTGGCGCAATGTCAGGGTACTGGCTGTGAAAGATGGTCTTTCCGTGGAGGAAGTTCGGAATGTTCTGGCGGGTGGGATAGACAAGATGTAGTGAGCTACCTTGCTCAACCACTCGCTCAGAATCTGGACCATATCCGATGTCGCTCCATTTCGCAGTATTCGCCGTGGGCCGAGATACCCCCACGAGTTGCGGCCACGGTGATACGCAGGTGAACTCGTACTCTTTGTTCTTGCACAGATTGGCCAAGCCCCAGTCGACCGGACTATTGTAGGGCACCATGGAGAGATGATAGAGAGCTTTCCGTGCGCCTTTTTGGGAGATGGCGTAGGACGCCGTGCAGACTCCTCCTTCCGAATGGAAAACTATTCTCGTTCGATTGTCGCCTCGAGGGCCGCTTTCCCAGTGGCTCATGTCAGGTTGGTCGACATTATCGACACGGGCCTCGGGGGGCTGGACGGTATAGTCATCTGGGATAACGAAGAATCGTCGGTTGTCGTCAGGAAGGACCCAGGTGCCGCAGTGGCCAATCCACAACATATCCCAGTCATGCCCATACGGAGAATGAGCAAATGCATCCTCGGCAGTATTAGTGATAAATCTCGAGCCTCTGGCGAACTGCACCAGCTGCTCTTTGAGCGAGACGTCCCAATCAGCGTCGTCTTCAAAAACCAAAGCTGTCGAGACCTTTTCATGGACCATTCTTTGGTAAACATTCAGATGTGCGCGCCAACATCCGATGACATTGGAACTTTGGCCCATAGTCTGTAGGGAGATTTAGCAATTATCAACCAGAATCTTTGTTCTCTGACATACGTGGGGTAGCGCCTTCACAGGGACCTCGTGGCCATAAACTCCATCCACTTGTGTATATGAGATTTCGGAAAAGGCGGCTTGCACTGCAAAGGCGTCTTGCTTATCCGTCCTTCCGGGTAGTGATATCATGTATATCTCTTGGAACCCCAGCGTCTCGTTCTGAACCCGATGGGCCAAATCATCTGGAGGAACATGATGGGTAACATCCTCGACATGCGTCGTCGTTCTCGCCGGGGGCTGCGCCAGGGAAGCTTCGAGGATGGTAGGAATCGCATCCGCGGACTCGAAGAGATCTTGCTCTTCGGGGCGGGGAGATCGAAAGGAGCCGTAGAACAGGAGGAAGGCCGTAATGACGAGCCCAACCACCACAAAGTTGAGCCGAGTGGGCGCGGCGAAGAGCATGGTGTCTCACAAGGGGAAGCGAAAGCAAATGGCAATGACCGGGAGGCAGACGACGGCGAACGAGGATAGAGACATAGCCCGAGTGAGACCAAGAGGAATCAAGAAAGAATGTCACGTCCGAGCGAGTGACAATGTTAATATCTGCTGCATCAAACGAGCGTCACCTCCAGCAGATCCGAGGATGGATAGTGATATGAGTAAGATACAAGGGATGCTCTCAGTCCTTGGGGCGTGGTGAATGGGACTCCATATTACATACCAAGTACATTATGTACCTACTGGGTACAAGGTTAGACGGAGGGATATGGAGATGTTTGGCTGCGCAGCTGCGCCAGCCTGGCCACCCCAACCAAGCCCAACCAAGCCCAACCAAGCCCAACACAGCTTTTTGCCGAAGAAGGCCAAGAGAGGCATCGCTGAAAGCGGCAGGTTCAACGACTGTTCTACTTGTTACAGGCTACCCAGTACTGGGTACAGGCTCGAGGGGCACAGGATGGTCACGGCTCGACGGAAATGGTCCGAGTCTCACTTCCACATCTGAGTGCAGAAAGTTGCCCCTGGTCCTTGCTCTCTGCCCCCTTTCCTACTAGTCCCGACTATGAGGAATGAAGTCTTTAACCGTTAATCAGGGGCTCCGCGCCTAATGCTGAAGGTCCAACTCCCCAGATCCGCAACAAGTGTCAAGGTGTGCAGATCATGGACGGAGTGCCGAGAAATGTATCTCGAGTTGCACCTGTCTTGCTGTCCTCTTGCTGTCTCCGATGGGGGGTACCTCGTCCTGGTGAAGTGCATTCATATAAAATATACAAGGGCATTCATGAGTACAAGCGACCTGCAAATCTGGCCCTGAGGACGCTTCCTCTATGTCTATATGCCCATCCAGAAAAGACGAATTGGCACAGCTCTTCCCACCCGCAGCTGCAGATGTCTCTGTGGTATGACTGCTGCATGAGAGACCAAAGGCACACTGTTTGGCTTCACGCGGGTCTTGCATATTTAATCAACACCGTCGGCCACTCTTACAGTACTTGCTACCCAGTACAGTGTCTGATGTCAGGGATTGCCACTGCTGATGGCCAGCTCATGATACCACCAGAAGCATTACTAAGAGCCGGCTGTATATTTAGGGCCAGTGAGGCTTCAGTTGTCATGAATCCGATATTGCTGACTGCATAAAATGCGCACGTGAGGCTCTGTACAGTATTGTACTCAGCAGCTGCCAGTGCCGGCCATCCGTCGTCTTCCATTTGGGTACGAGTTTTACTGCCCGTACTGAGCCAACGGAATGGAGCTTTGCCATCTTCCTGATCACACGACAAAGATGGAACAGCAAGGGCGGGGAGCCTCATTGGCAGGGGGAATCTCCGTTGGACCTCGCGAGCCTCACCAGCCTGGACCGGCGTACTCTACCAGGAGCAGGCGAGGCTGCAACCGAACCGGATCATGGTACAAGGTACAATAGCACACAAGGCGTGCCGCCGCCCAAAAAGCTTGAATCCGCCCCCCCTAACCCAGCATTTCTCCCCCTTCCTCCTTTTGTCTTTTTTCTGTACCCCCTGCGTACTCCTTGTTTCAGGCCGCGTTGCCATCACCCAGTGGAACTTCCAGACTGTTGCCCACTGATCGATCGCTGTGCGTTCAATATATTACCTAGGTCAGTCCATACTGGATGGTCGAAGCAGCGGACAGGCGCGTACTTATTCGACGCGGGCCGATTCGTTGTCGCCATGTTTCAGCTCATGCGTCCAAGCTCTCTCTCCAAGACCTTTGGCCGTTGTGCGACAAATTTCATCAGTTCTCAACCTAGCACAAAACGCTGAATGGCGTTACTTGGCCCCAGTGGGTATCCATGACCTGTTCAGGGATTTCGACCATTGCCATGCTAGATGGAGTCCTCATTTCTCAGCCTACGGAGTAAGCACCTGGAAGCATTGCCCCAAAGTTACATAACGGATTTGCCAAACGAGGATGGCCCGGCTGGTTCTTGTACTTTTTCCACCTCGTATTAACCCTCGAGTCGCAGATCCATTCTCTTTTTATCTTCTTGCACGTCGACCTCTCCTCAAAAGTCCCATCTTTTCCTTGATCGATTTGTTGATACTGATATCCTGCCAGCGTTCTTCGTCTTTGTCCTATTCTATCTTTTCTGTGGGTGTTGATCACCGGATTTAATATACCTCGACCACCGCCCGGTCCTCGAACCTGGGCCAGGCTTATACTTTTCTTCACACAACGCGGTCATTCACCTTGAGCTCAATTTCTAGACATGTCCAACATGGAGGGAAACAAAAATCTCAGATTGGAGGTCACCGACTACGGCTCCTCGACGTCGTCCAACAACCCGAACGTGCTCGCTTCACCTGGCCGAGTCGTCAATTTCACCCCGCTGGCACTGCGAGCCCCAACCCACACCTCGCTCGACATCGAAGATCTTTTTGTCGGTCCTCGTGACATGAACCATCACTCCAAATGGCCATTCTTCTTGCGTATCCACGGCAGTGTGCTGCCGAAGATGATCCTTCCTCTGGCGTTCGTCGCAGGCTGGGCCACGTTGTTCACGTGCATAAACAAGTTTGTCTACGAACTGGTCTTTGACTCCGTCCTCCTGACCATCACCGGTTTCGTGGTCAGTTTGGCGCTGTCGTTTCGGTCGACGACTGCCTATGAGAGATACAGCGAGGGGCGGAAATATTGGGCACAATTGATTGTGACGTCGAGAAATTTGGCAAGAATCATCTGGATACATACCAAAGAGCGTCATGCCAGCGGCGAGGAACAAGGGAAGGCAGACCTGCTCGGTAAATTGACCGCCCTGAACCTCGTCAATGCTTTCGCGGTTGCATTGAAGCATCGGCTGCGGTTCGAACCATCGACAGACTATCCGGATCTGCAGCCCCTGATCGGGAATCTTCACACTCTTGCCGGCGAGGCCGACCAGGCCAAGCTGCAACCGAAGAAAGTCGGCTCCTGGAAGGCAGCGGGAGAGTACCTGGGCGTGACATTCGCGCATTCGAATCCTCGCAAGCTGATCAAGCGGTCTCGTGACAACCTGGGGAATCTTCCGCTCGAAGTCCTCAACTACCTGGGTGCGTATCTGGACGAGGTGTGCGCCAGCGGCCAACTGTCCCTTCCCATCCACCAGGCCAACGCAATGAACAGCATCGTCCAGCTCGCCGATATCCTCACGGGCACGGAACGGGTGCTGAACACGCCGGTCCCCATTGCGTACTCGATCTCTATCTCGCAAATCACCTGGGTCTACATCCTGACCCTCCCCTTTCAGATCTACAGCAAGTTGGGCTGGGTGACGATTTTCGGCGTGGTGCTGGCCGCGTACATCATCCTCGGTCTCGCGGCCATTGGGTATGAGATTGAGAACCCCTTCGGCGTAGACGTGAACGACTTGCCTCTCGACGCATACTGCCGCGAACTGGCGTCCGACATCGACATCCTCACGAGCATGCCCGCCCCGACCACCGAGAACTTCGTCACCACGGCTCAAAACAAGGTCCTCTTCCCGCTGAGCATGAGCGACTACGAACTGTGGAACGACCGCTCCGTGGCGGAGATCAGATCTGCGCTGAGAGCCAAGGCCACGACTGCCGCGACGTCAGTCGACTTTGAGCGCGCAAAGGCCCAGTCTGAGAGCACCCAGGAGTCGATGGATACGCGGGCCGCCGCTGGTGCCGAGAAGGAAACCAAAAGCAAGGATATAATGGCAGCCGAAGCGGTGTAAGCAAGCAAGCCAGCTCGGGCCTCACGAACTTGCAGTTGAAGCCGCAGGTTGAAAAATTGTCATGAAATATTTTGGGGAGTGATTTTTCTGCTGCATATTAGCGAAGGTTGGCTTGGGCAAAAAAGCAATCATAGCACAACGCACACACAATATTGGAGAAGGAGATTTTAGCATTATTGTCAAAATGGATCGGAAATGGTTGGGCACAAGGTAGTGGAATGTCTTTCTATTTATCCTATGATAGATGGATGGATGGATGGATGGATGGATGGATATACATCTCTCTTTTGGATGAGTCCCAACAACCAATATGCAACAACCATTTCCACAAAGTTTTTCCCCCTCAGATTTTATTTCCGACGTCCCCTCGTTGATTTTCTGTTTGTTTGTTTGTGTTTGTGTGTGGGGTGCAATTCAAGCATCCTTGCTCTTCGCGTCCAACTGGCGAGGCATCTCGCCCTTCTCTGCCATCTCGTTGAGGACCTTCTCCGCGGTCTTCATGGCGTCGACGCCGGCGGGCACGCCGCAGTAGGTGGTGGCGTGGATGATTGCCTCGCGGATCTCCTCCTCGGACAGGCCGTTGTTGCGGGCTCCCCGGACGTGGACGGCCAGCTCGGGCGCGCGGTTCAGCGCCATCAGCATGCCGATGTTGAGCAGGCTGCGGTCCCTGCGCGAGAGGCCCGGCCGCGTCCACGCGAACCCCCAGCAGAACTCGGTCACCAGCTCCTGGCCCACGCGCGAGAACTCGGTCGACCCGTTGGCCAAGGCGCGGTCCACGTAGGCGTCGCCCACCACGGCCCGGCGGACGTTGAGACCCGCGTTGAAGAGAGCCTCATGGAAGGGGCGCAGAGACGGGTCGGTGCTGGATGTCGCGGTGATCTTGTCGGAAGACATGATGCTGGATGGGTGTTGGGGTTTATATATGGTTGATATCGGTATAATCTCGCGCTCTTGGGACTCGGGCTGACACGTTCTGTTGTTCTCTTTCTATCCCTTTCTCACTCGCTGTATTTCTTTCTTTCTCACTCCTTTTAGCTGGCTGGTTGGCTGTCCGCTCACGTCGACAATGAAAAGCTTCACAGTGGATGTTCTTCTCTCCTCAACGAGCTGGATCTTGTTGCAAAGTGGAGGGCAGATTGGCCGACTGATGTGATTTTATTCCCCCTCGGTACCGTACTCTCCAAAGAGGACCGACACAAACACACCACCCGACATTCTTATTTGATTTTATCTACATACCCGCGTTACCCCTCCAAGCCCTTTGTTCGACGGCTCCGTAATCGGGAGGGCTCGATTGTTTCTCCAATTTTCTCCAATCCGGTGGATTCCCCCCGAGGCTCATTGGGATTCCACTCTAAGGCTTTTCGTTTCGGAAGAGGGCGAGCAGAAAGGGATAGGGGGACACACAGATGGCAGAGTTGACCACCAGTACGGACTGGTCCAAGGCTGAAGATTGCAGAGTTTCTCTACCTAAACCCGCCTATCGCCTTCCTGTCCCTTCTATGCATTTATGTAGATGCGATTTATTAGAGCTTGCTGGCCGTAGCCTCGTCGGCATCCTTTTGCCAATCCTCGTTTCCCCCCAGGTACCGGAACACCACTCTAGAATCTAGGTCCATGCATCGAGGATCTTTACTGGCACCCTCGTACGTCGCTAGTCCAGCCTCGCCGAGGGCATTCCTCGCCCCGACCCGCTTCGCCATTTCCATGGCCAGAGAGAAATCCTTCCGCATCAGCTGCACTTTGAATCCGTTGGTGTAGCCTTTCGACGACGGTGCTTCTGGGTACACGCCGGGGACGGGACAGAATCGGTCACAGATGGTGTTCTGCGCGGTCCCTGCGGCGTAGACCTTTGCCAGCACCCGCGGATCGAGACCGGACCGCATGCCCATGTCCATGGCTTCGGACACGGCGATGGCGATTATCCCGGACAGATAATTGTTGGACAGTTTGGCTGCAAGCCCTTTCGAGGGCCCGCCACAGGGGATCACATCCTTGCCCATCAGTTGCAAAAGACGGGTGACTTGGGGCAAGTTCGCGTCGGCGCCATCACATCCGAGAAAGAAGGCTATCGTGCCCTTCTGCGCCCCTACCACGCCCCCACTGACCGGCGCATCATAGAAGGACGTCGAGGGGAATTTCTGGTTGACATAGTCCTTGACTGCCAGACTGCTGGCTGTGTCAATCGTCGAACAGTCGATCAGCAACTTCCCAGAGACGTCACTTGAGCAGATGGTGTCAGAGCCGCCTTCCATGTATACCGAGCGGACATGTTTTCCTTCCGGGAGCATGGTGAGGACAACGTCCTGTAACTGCGTCAGCACACACTGCCCAGGAGAGGAGAGGGATGATGGAGCAGCGATTACCGATTTATCGGCCACCTCCTTGACGCCGGAGCATTTTGTCACTCTGTTCGGATAGTCACTGTGCAGCTGTTCCATACTTGATGTGTTGATGTCATAGGCGTATATGTGGACGTTGTCGGGCAGTTTTGCAGCAAGGTGACCGGCCATGGGAAGCCCCATGGCCCCTAATCCTACGAACCCAAGGCCTGAAATCTTGGATAAGTCCATGCTTAATCTGTGGTGGACGGCCTCCGGCTTCTGGTAGAAGTGTAAATCCAAGGCTCGAGAAATTGTAATCGAGACAACCTTCTCATTCAAACAATAAAGAGATGGCCGGCGATAGGGGAAAAAAAGACAATTGCGGCTCTATGACTGGTGACTGGTACAGGCGACTCGGTAGACGTATGGAAGTGTAGAAACTGTGAGCGTAGACCCCGATGTGTGTCTAGAGTCGATTCCAGTGCCCTTCGGCGAATGATTTGACGCGCGAATGAAATCCATTTGCATGTTGGAAGGTTGGACAGAAGCAGGAAATTGGGGTAAATCCCAGCCCGCCCAACAGCGTCTTGTCCCTTTTCCGATGGTTTGGAGAAGGGGGAAGTGTACGAGGTACTGGGTACCCAGTAAAAGGTGAGAGGGGCAAAACACCCACATGTCCCTTCTAGAATATTTCTGTTTCGAGAGCAACTCGCCTCCCAATGAGATGTTTCTCGGCAAGAGTACCGAATGCCGGCTTTCTCTCGTTCTGATACCGAGTACTTTGTACAATGTAATGAATACAAATAGGGAACTCAAGGATGACCAAAAGGGGCAACCCGAGTGGCCAGCCTTGCCAGCCTCGTTAGCTTGCCCTGCGAGGCTGAGTTGAATTCTTCCCCCCAATGAGCATGCCCGAATCTCTTTCCTAGAATAGCAACCACTTCACCGCACTCTACCTCGGACCTACGGAATATTCTGTCTGCTCAGTGCTTACCTCGTATTGCCTTCGCTTATCCATGTCAGCGCCATTTTCCAGCTGGAGCAGGTAGCACTCGGCTGACATAACGACCGCAGCTTTCTTGTTAACCTGCAGAGACAACGTCGTACCACCAGCAGCAAGATCCAGCCAAGCGGTTGCTGCTGACATGCTGTCCTGCGGGAGAATTCTCCGCGATCCCACGGCCATATCAAGTCTAACCACATCCAGCGCGCGGACTGTTCCAGCCGTACATGACTAACAAGCACCTAATATTGCTTCAGCCGAAGCAGCGGGTATGTGGGAGCATATGGTGGTGGTAGCCATCGCAGCTTACGCTCCTCCATGACATTCTTTTCATCAAGGTAAGTGTCATTTTCTGGCATCCAGTGCGGAATTCTCTCTATAACCCGCGGAAACGTGGGCACATCAATGTTCGAGGCCACCCGGCAAATTGTTTCATGTTCATATCGTCGATTGGGTCTCTTTACCCGCCACTTAACCGTTTCTTACATGATCTCAAGAGGGCGAATCACCTCGCTGACAGCGGATGCTGTACTATGGAGCAACGCGTATCTTCCTCCTCGACCGGCGTCCTCCTCGATGATCCTGCAGAACCAATCCATGCTCCTCTAACGGGGCCTGCCGAGATAGCCTTCATAAGCCCGGGGGCCCAAATCCGATCAGGGATAGGAGATGACCTCGCTCTTCATGCTGCTCGAAACAAGTCTTGCCAGCATCGTCACCAACAAATGTACAGAATACGACCCCGTCTTCGTCAATAGGCCCAAGGCTCCACGCTCCCTGCCAGCTTCCGACTAAATGCTGATACTCTAATTACCGGGACCCTCGACCCCAAAAGAATCTACCACTAGGTGCGATACTGTTTGTGGCGCAGGGTTTCCCCGTCATGTTTTCAGTAATTCTTGCCTATCTAGGCCATGTTTACCAAATCACCGCCACAACTCATCGCCGTGTGGGCCGGTTGCTGACACGCTGTTACCTCGATCTCTGGCCGCCAACAAAGGTCCAGCCCGGTACACCAAGGCCAGACGATCGACAGGGAACTCGTAAGTACAAAAAGTACCCTCTAGGTTAGTAGAGTGATCGTCGTCATCAGTGGATATCCGAGCTCCTCGACGGTTCAAACGGACCCTGGTTCAACTAGGTCCAGCTCGGTTTGAGAGTGTTGCATCACCAAGCACAGCAATCGATAGCTGCAACCTCCACTTGCGCCAGAAATGGGCCACCAGGGCCCTCTATCAAAAGTTGAGCCCAGGTGTCTGACAGTCAGCAGCATGGCAATATCCACTCATATATTCGGATATCATGATATAAAGATGCCAGTCTCCCTCAACATCTACAACGGCCTCCCACTTCCGCTCCGCTTCAAGTCTCCCTTACTGTCTCACCAGGACCCTTTAGGCGCTGCAATTTGAGAAATCATGGCAGTCTTCTCAGTGGTTGAACTCCTGGCCGTTCTCGCGGCGGCAAATGTGGTCTATGTGAGCACCGTTGTGCCCTTTTCCCTGCACGCCCATTCCGCCTTCTAACATGCTGTATAGTTCATTGGCCTCTCAATCTATCGACTTTATTTCCATCCTCTAGCCAAATATCCAGGACCTTTACTGTGGAAGTTGACACAATGGCCTGAGGCAAAATCCGCTTGGTCGGGAAGAAGGCATCTGGATCTGCAATTGCTGCACGAGAAATATGGTAAGTCACAAATCCAACCCCAGCTGTCTTGTGTTAGAAGAGCAAGACACTGACCACCTATCCGGGCAGGCGACATCGTCCGCATTGCGCCTGAAAAACTTTCCTTCCGGACTGCGCAGGCACTCTACGACATTTATACCGATCGAAAAGCCAACATGGTCAAGACCGGCTGGACTCATACCGGCGAGATGATCAACCCGGGTATCACGACGCACGTCCTCTCCGACCGCCAGCTCCACGCTGCCCGGAGGAAACTGCTCAACAATGCCTTCTCGGAACGGGCAATGAACACCCTCGACAAATACATGCTCGAACGGATCCGGGACTGGTGTGCCCACCTCGCTCAAGGGACTGAGAACAGGGAGAAGTCTGCCGGTACAGCATGGGGCAAAGAACGTGACATGGGTCTGTGGTCTACTCTGCTCACGGTTGATGTCCTGGGTGAACTCTGTTTTGGCGCCAGCTTCGGTGCCATGAAGGCAGGGTCGTGCTATATTATAAATCTTCTTCTTGCGAGCGCTCGGTTCCAGCAACAGGTATGTCTCCTCCCTCCATCCCTCCCCGCGCGACAGGAATGTCTCGCAAACCTCCCATAGACATAGAGACGATGATGCTCACGTCTGGTTCGTCTTTACAGGTCGCTTTCGTGCCAATTCGCGAATTCCTCTTCCCTTTCATGAAACCCAAACCACTCACCACCATTGGGCGTATTATCGGGTCCCAGACTGCCGTCGACAAAGTGAAGTACCGACAGGACGTCGGCGTCTTCGTGGAGAAACGGTTCGCGCTGGAGAAAGCCGACGCCGAGAAATCGGAAGAGGACAAACGCAAGGACTTCTTCTACTATCTCCTGCATGCCAAGGATCCGCAGACGGGCGACAAATTCCTGCCCAAGGACCTGGTGGGCGAGGCGGCACTGCTGGTTGGGGCGGGTAGCGACACGAGCTCGACGGCCATGTCGGCCATGTTTTTCTACCTTTTGCGCAACGAGCGGGCGTTGCAGAAGTTGCAGGACGAAGTCCGCTCTGCATTCGCCGACGTTGAGGAGATCAAGTACTCTGCTAAGCTGACGAACTTACCGTACCTGCGCGCGTGCATCGACGAGGCGATGCGCATGTCGCCGCCCGTGCCGGGCCTGCTCGACCGGCTCGTCCTGCCTGGCGGCGCGGACATCGACGGCCACCACATCCCCGCGGGCACCACGGTGGGCGTGCCCATCTACCCGATCCACCACAACGAGACGTACTTCCCCAAGTCGTTCGACTACATCCCCGAGCGGTGGATTGCGGGCGACGAGTCGTCACGCGTCGCCGGCTTCCTCGTCACGCCCACATCCGTCGAGGCCGCAAAGGGCGCGTTCCACGCCTTCTCGTCGGGCCCCCGCGGCTGCGTCGGTAAGAACATGGCCTACATGGAACTGCTCACCGCGGTAGGCCGCGTCATGTACCTGTTCGACGTCCGCCTGAAGCAGGGCGATCGCACGGGCGAGGGCAGTCTGGAGCGCGGAGAGCAAGGCAGGGAGAGGACCGGCGAGTATCAGTTGACGGACTGGTTGATCAGTGATCGCGAGGGGCCCGTCGTGCAGTTCAAGCCGAGGGAGGGTGTTGTGGTTTGATCGACCTCTCTTCTCCGTCTCCCTCTCCGTCTCCCTCTCCTTCCGTCTTTCTCTGTCCGTGTCACCGTGTGCCAGCGCGTGACTCTGCCCATGCCTCTCCCCTCACGAAGCGGCGTTTATTGGGCGGGCGAGTGGGCGGGCGCCCGAGACCTTTTTCTTTTCCTTTATCTAGCTAGAGTTGGAGTTTCCTTCCATCCCTTTTGGCGCAATGGCGTGCATGTGGCTATGGGTGCATTGTATCCAATCTGATGAACTGTATACGGTAGATACCTGGAGAGATATTTGGGATGACTATGCTATGCCAGGCCGGGTCAGGAGTATGACAGAGAGGCGAAGCGATCGATAGATAGATACCTCGGAGATAGGAACATGCTCATCCAGGCAGCCAGGGAGCCGGGGGGGGGGTATAATATATAATGCGCAATGAACCAAAGGGAACCAGTCAACCAGCGAAACAGACTACACAAGTCAGTTGCCATTTCTTTGCGTAACACCACACCATTTGAGGTATTTGGACCATTCTCAGTTCGTGTCTGGCTATATTCGTAGCAAGGCTGCCAAGGTTACAAGGAAAGGATATAGACAACGAGGTATATCTCGCTATGGGATGCGCGATGCGGCCGTTTAAGGGTCACTAGCTAGCCAGCTCGTTCTATGTAGCCACAAAAATTCGCCCAACAGAGTTCAAAGGGGTGCGTTCCCGGGCCTGGACACTGGCCCAATCATGGCAAGTCGTATCAAACGGGCGTTCAGCGTGATACTTCGTATAAGAAAGCTCTAGGACCATTAGGACGTGCCACATGTGCTCTATTGGAAGCTCCAAGGGTCAGAGCCGACAATAAACATTCCTGCGTGGAATTGTGACAGCATGGATGAGGTCATGAGGTCTTCCAGAGCGTCGCATCATATGTCAGGAGCCAGCCGCAACACGTCGTGCCCATTAGGAAATCGAATAGATAGACTGCCAGCGCAAATCAGATGTAGTAAGGCCCAACGGCCGTAAAGGGCTTTTGCTCTCCGCCCCTTCCAGGCACGCTTCTGTACTGACTGTTGCGATCTCGATAGAAAGCAACACCTAGCTAGGGTGCATCGAAGTGGAGTGCTGACATTGCTTGCATGAAACCCATCTCTCTTGTTGAGGGTGATTGCAGCCGCCCCAGTGCCGTGTTTAACCAAGAAGTATCGTGACTGAAGGTTGGGTTTGTCCATCCAGGCATGCACAGGAATTCCTTTGTTATCATATTCTCGGACTCCTGACTTGGTACAGATGTTGCCTGTTTAGGCTCTCCACATTTTCTCAGGCGTGCTGATGGGAGCGTCAGCAACTCTGGGAGACACGCATGAAGTGGTCCGTGTCTCTTTTTGTGCATCCGGGCCGCGTGCCTGTCAGCACACCTGTGCGTTCAATTCAGATTCGTGCTCGGAGCCGCCCTGTTGCGTTGTGAAGATAGAAGAGACAATGGTTTATGCCCGGTGGAGGTGGAGGTGAAGGTGTACGTGGGTGATGGTGTTCCGGAACCTTTCAACACGAGAGAGGTGATGGTCAGAGTCGCGCTCCCTCAGATTCCTTTGTCCTTGACAGGCAGGATGATGAACAGCGCCGATACCAACATGTCACTGCCGTCGAACCTCGCCCTTCTCGTTGTCTTTCTTTCATCCCTTCCCTCACCCCGGTTCTCAGGCGACCTTAACGCCCTCCACCTCGTCCTCTAGCACGGTCTTGATCCACTTCATAAAATAACTCACGTCCTTCGAAATCATGCTCGGCAAACTCATCTTCTGCATCCACATGGGCAAATTGCCCTTTGCATCGCTCGCAGTTGCCATGATCCATTCCACCTCGTCCCAATTTTTACCCACATTGGCATTTCCCTTTTTCCGCCGGACGATCTCTACGGCGGCATAAACGCCCAGCACGACGGATTTTCGTTGTTGCGAGGTCTTGCCTTCGCGGGTGTTGCGGCCCGAGGAATAGATGGCGTTGTGAACGCCCGTACCCAAGATAACGGGAACAGTGACGGCGAGGAATTCCTCCGCGCTTCTACTCGCTGTGACGACCAGGACGGGGAAACAGCGGGGACTGGTCGGCGGCGGAGTGGCGTGGCACATTTCATAGATCGCCATTGTCACGCACGAATATTTCTGACCATTTCTTCCCACAATCTTCTCCTGAGATTCGAGACTTTTGACCTCCTCATTCCATGTGCACACGCAATGCGCGTCGTACAGAGTGGGCGTAAAATCCTCTTCGTGTTTGGAATGATTGTCGCGCAGTCCGAAGATGAACTCTTTCCAACTAGCGTTTCCTGGGGTGGAAGCATCTTTCGACGACACCTCCCTGTGGATCGATTTGCGGGCACACCAATGTTCGCCTCCACTTAGAACTCTGGGCGGCGGCTTGCTTCGCCCAGGCCTGGTGTAAGTCTCGCCAGGTCCCGAGGCCTCCCCCGATTGCCCTCCATTCGCGTTGGCGGTTGTATTCTTGGACGCCCCCCAATCAACAATCTCTTCCAACTCTCTGGCCGCAACCGAGTAGGTAAACGCCTCGACCTTGGCCTCGCTAGGTGGCGCAGACCTGACGGAGTGATGTTTGAAGTTGGCAGAGAAGCTGGCCGGCGAAAGGAAATCCACGCCGTCGTCGAGTAGAGTCAGCAGGAAGGGGAGGAGCTGTGGGCGGACGCTGTCTGCGCAAGGGAGAGACGGATGTTCTGGGAGCTCGCCCAGTTGAAGGGGGGCAAGACGGATGAGGTTGCTTTGGGTCGTGTTGGTAGCCATTCTCACGGAGGTGTCAGCCCGCGGTCAATGCGCGTGGCTTTGCGAGTCCAGGATCGTTGAAGGCTTGGGATCTGGAATATCATGGGCACTGAGGTTCAATTGTTAAGTGGTTCAAGTAGAGGCTGATGACCTTCATATTGTCGTTCATCTAAATGGCAACATCACCCTGAAGGCGGCCACCACTTCGCTGCGACGCCGCAGCGCCGTTTCATATTTGGATCGTCGTCGTCATCCAAAGCGCATGACTAAAGCGCCTTCCCCAAATCTGCGCACAACGAGTCATGCAAGGCTGAGGATCCACCTCAGCAAAATGATGCCCGGTATCAATTGCTCAACGCACTGCCATCTAGAACGCTACTCTCCCAGTTCAAGGCACATTTTGCCTCGCATTGTAAACATACACTAATCAACCCATAATATCTCATGTCGTAATAATGTTGCTCATTTTCATGTCTTTTTTGGAGGGCTGGGCTCCGGCTCATCAGCCGCCTCAACCCGGACCAGAATCTCCTCCAAAAAGCCCTCCAGGAACTCCATTACTCCACCTCCCATACCGACAGGAAATTCCTCGTCGCACTTTTGGATCTCGTGAAACACACCCGCCACTTTGGCCGCAAGTTTGCGGACCTTTTCGTGCGTTTGAGCTCGCTGCTGGTGCATTTCTGCCACCGCGGAGGAGCTCAACTTGCTTGGTCGAGCAAGCTCTTTCAACATGTAGGTTCGACGGTGCATTGCTGCTTCAAGAGCTGGGATCAGGACCGAGTTTAAAGCAGTGAGCTCCTGATGAGGGTCTGGCCCAGGTATCTGTGGAGGAGTGCCGCTTGGGCCGGGCGTTGATGATTGCGATACATTTGTTTTTGTCGTGAGTGGCGGCAGTGGTTGCTGGTTGGCGATCGATGCAGGACCTACGGGCAGTGGTTTGGAGAGCACAGATGAGGAGGATGGAAGAGGTTGTTGGCTGACAGGTCTCGAAGATGCAGATGGCTGGGACTTCTGGACCGGTTCACCGCGTCCTGGCTTTCCCTTGAAAGGCGGGATTTCTGGGATAACCATGTGTGGCTTCTTGCCTGGAGGAGTCTGGCCCTGAGACGGCAGCGACTTCGGACTATTCTCGGTGTCGATCTTCAAGAACCCCATGTCTTTGGCCAATTGAGCCTGAAATGCTTTGTTGTATTCATTTGACCCAGGACTTTCTCTGTGGGGTTGCGAAGGGGCGTCTTGGGTCGCTACACGAGCAGCTGGCGTCTTCGGAGTGGCGGAAGGGACGGAAACAGCGAATGGAGCCTGATTCTCGCCAGGGGCTGAAGCTGCCGCCTTCGCAGGAGATGACGGTGGTCGCACCTTTACGGGTGTCGGGAATGCACCTCTGACAGGCGATTTCTGAGGGGATGACGGGATTTTGACAGTCTCGTCCCAGTCTGAGGTGCTCTTCGCGGGGGCGGCGGGATCTGCAGAAGCCCTTGCATTGGTGGCGGAGTCGTTCAGCGGGCGAAGTCCTGGTCCACGGCCGCCAACAGGTCGCACAGTACCAAAGTCCCACAAGTCCTCATCCTCTGGCCGATGGGCTGCTGGTCTTACGGGTTCTTCGTCTTCTTCCTCATCATCCGAGGTACGACTGCCGCGCGTTGCCATGTACCTTTCGTTCCTCTCAATGAGCTCGGTCAGGTAGGTCGTCTTCTTCGCTTTCTTCACAAACGGGTGCTTCAGCAGCTCTTTAGCAGAGGGCCGTTCTTTAGGATCTCGGCGGAGGCAGAGGTCGACAAAGTCCTTGAATGTTCGAGAGAAACTTCCTTGTAATGTTGGGGGAGGGTTTTTGGGTATTAGGAAAAGAACCTTCATGGGGTGGATGTCTGCGTAGGGTGGTTCTCCTTGGGCCAATTCGATCGCAGTAATACCCAGAGACCAGATATCCGCTTTGTGATCATACCCAGATTGCTTGATAACTTCAGGTGCCATCCAGAATGGAGTCCCCACAAAAGTATTCTTCTTGGTCATGGTGGCCGAGAGTTGTCCTGACACCCCGAAATCGGCGAGTTTGACCTGTCCGTTCTGGCCCAGAAGCACGTTGGCGGCTTTGATATCTCGGTGCAACTTCTTGTCAGAATGTAGGTAGTCCAGCCCCATGAGCAGTTCTCGAATGATGATGCAAATGTAGTCTTCGTGGATCAGACCGGGTCTCATCAAGTCTGAGCAACTGCCGCCCGAGCAGAATTCCATTATAATCCATAGGTCGGAGCCTTTAAGATATGAGCCATGGTATTTTGTCACGTAGGGGGACTGCAGCTCCGAAAGGATTGATATCTCTTGTATGATGTCTTCGACTTCGTCTTCAGCATTTTCCACGTCTATGACCTTGATTGCCACAGCCTGCCCGGTGCGCTTGTCCACTCCTTTGTATACTTTTCCGAAGCTGCCCCCCCCAATACAATTTTGTTTGGTATAGAGTTCCTCAGGGTCCATTTTGATCTTCTGTTCTCGCAGGGTCGAAGGCAGGGGTAAGCGGTGTGGAGTCGCGTTGATCTCACTGTGTCAAAGGAGAGGAGTACGGAGATTCCAGGTTGGCGAATGGCTCGTAGAGTCGATCAAGCTGGAGGAGCGAAGCGGCACTCAAAAGACGTGCGATGCCTCCCGTAAATGTCGGCGGAGTCTCAAGTCTCGAGCGAAGATGCACTGTCAATTCCTCAGTGCGCATTGGGCAGGTGCTACTGTTGACGTGCCGTCTCCCTTCGTTACGGCTCCTTGATCCTCGTCGTTAGGGTTCGTGACATCGTCGCTCATATTAATTCATAACAAGAGAGAGTCCAGTCACCTGCATGAAGTGAGGAGTGTTGGTGGTGAAGATGAAACGCCTCGACGATTAGCATGTTTACGGCCTTCCCTTCTCGGTGACCCTATACCGACTCCCATTGGCTGTATTCATTACTAGTGAAGTTTTGGGGGGGGGGGGGTGATACAAAGATCTTGATCTCAATTCATCCTACGGATGTAGAGTACAAGCTCGACGACTTCGTTTCCAAGCACATCCATGGACCGGGATCCATCCCAAAAGTCAGGTCGGTGGTATCATCGAGAAGAAGTTAACGCCTTGCAATGCCTATCTTCTGCCGAGTCCACCAGCCGCATCATTACTCCACGAATTCCACCATGACCGTTCCGTTTTTCAGACCGGCGCTTTCAATCGACTCGTGCCTAACGTCCATGAGATTCTTGCCCATGGACACGAGTTCAAATGCCATTCCTTCCTTGCCCTCAAGTGGTTCCGCCTTTAGATACTCATAAATGCGTTGCACAGGATCCTGTTCTGCAAATCGTCGAACAATTCGACCGCCGGGATGTCTGACTTGTACTCGGGTCACACCTGGTCCGGCAGGGGGCTCTCTGTGAGGGTGGTCGGATGGGATTTGTGCAAATGCCGTCGACTCTGCTGATTCTTCCGCGCCATTCTGATCCACATCCATGGCATCGGCAATTGTTGGCACCTCATTTCCTCGGAGATCTCCAACGCTCCGCGTGAGATCATCAGGATCTTCTGCCGGGGCCGCCTTGCGCTCTACACTCTGGGTAGCCAGACTAGCCTGCAACGCCCGCTCAAGCATCTCCTCTTCGGTGAGTTGGTCAATAGGTTTCTCCTTTTTGGCTTCGGATTTGCGCTTGGCCACAGGATTCCGCACGTTGTTGTCGAGGCTGTACCGGTCCAGGAATTCGTGCAGTTGCATTAGAAATTCGGGTGCTGGGGGCACCTTCCGCGCCCAAAGTTTGATTTGTTCGCCCGTTCGGGGATCGACAATAGCGACATGCGGGTATTCGTCCTGATTCTCGTACTTCGGGAAGTAGTACTGGATGTATTGCAATGCTCTGGGGTCGTCCCTGTTGTATTGCAGAAAGACGAAATTCTCCTTGACCGTTTCCACAATGCCTTCGTTCTTCCACAGATCACGGTTCAATGCCTGACAGTCAAAGATTGAAGGGTCCTGAATGTCTACCAGTAGCCACTTCTTGTGTTCCTTACCCTCGTCTCTTGCGCCATCCCAATTTCCCTTGTACATCAGGTCCCACGGAGGTTGAAAGAGTCTAGCGAGACGATTTGACCTCGCAGAGGCTTCTGATGCTCCTCCCGTGGACTCTGCAAGGACGTCAGAGAGAGTACTACCGACGCCCACATCTTGGTCCCAAATTGAAGTTGGCTGGTGTTGATTAAAAATTCCCGCGCGTGCTACTCCGGAATTAGTTACATACTGAGCCTCCCCAAGATGCCAAAGGCACTGACCTTGTTCCCTCCTTCTTTCAATGGCTCGCATTCGGTCTTCTATGGCCGAGGCATATGCAGGACCTGCCATGGGCAAGGCGGCTGCTCCTGGTCCCACCAAAGTCTCGGCCTGTCGGGCAATAGGAGCCCGTACGACATTGTCCATGGCGCCTTCGCCGTACATCTCATTTTGCAATCGCCGTGCCATAGCCTCATCATCCTCATAATCTGCGCCACGTGCGGGTCGAGAAGCAGTGTCTCTGTGTGATGGTTTGCGGAAACCAGTGATTTCCGGATCATTGTCATCCGAGATATTGTCGTCGTCGTCGGCGTCGATGGGGTTCAGACGTCCGCCAGGCATACGGGAGTCGGACGGAGGAGGAGGAGGAGGAGGAGGAGGAGGACGCGAGGAAGCGGCTGCCAGGTCGGCGCCACCATTTTCAAAGAATAACTGTACTGCTTGATTTGGATCGCCATCTGCAAGCTGTACGTATTGCGAGGCCAGTTCTGGAGTTGTCCCACATACGGAGACGACGGTGGCGATCGCTTCATCCATAGCGAGGGGGAAGATACAGTTCTCGGGAGGAAGATCGGTTGATTATTCGGACTGGTGATGTAGTTAAACGACCCCTAGGAGAGTCTTCAAGGAGAGATGGTAATCATGAAGGAAATGAAAGTGGGATTATTGCGACAGACAATGAAGAAACAAATCGTAAGAGGTGGAAGATGCCATGTGTCAAACAGTAAACTGGCAGTCACTGCAGTCGCTGGTGATGGGGGAGATGATCTGAGGCAAGGCAGGCACAAGACGAGGCACAGCACACAAGGCGGCGGCGTTAATGACGAAAACCACCGGCGTCACAGCCCGATGAAAGAGAGCAGGTGCAGGTGGTGACTGACCATGTGCACAGCGGAGAGGACAAACATGCCAAGGCTGGATTCAGCATCGTCACCATCAGGCGGGTGATTTCAAATGACACACTACCAACGTGAGAGTACGGCGGATCATAGAGGAGACGAGTGCGCGAGTGAGAGCCGTGGCTTGAGTGGTGTGGCGAGCCTGGCACATAAGTTCTAGCCGAGGTCAGTGCGGGCCGCTGAACGCGCTTGTGGTGGCACGCTCCTTCACGCTCCTTCACGCTCCTTCCTTTGAAACGCGGTCGCGTCGATTCTTGGCAGGCGCGGCTGGGATGCATGACTCGCGACTGCCACTTCTTGAGTCGTGTCCCTCGCGTCTTTCCACAGCTTCACCTTCTCCAACTCCAACACATCAAAAGCAGCAACTACCACCTCAAATGGCTGCCACAGTGCTGGGAAAGCGTTCTTGCCGAGTTCTGGACGAACAAGGTCCGTCTGCATCATCCAGCTTCTGGATTTTGGTGAATGCTACTAACAGGATGCGACGGCAGATAGCTTGAATACACTTCCCACCCCAAAGAGACGGACGCGACGGTCTGCACCCGAGATATACCAAGATGCAGCTGAGAAGGATGTATTGGGGAAGCCGAGTACCAGATCTGTCAGAGCCCGTAACGGACGAACGAACGATACTGTACAAGACAGTCCTGTAAAGAACCCAAAGAGCACGACCACACCCATTGGAGATTTCAACCTTCTCGCAGACGAAAATCTTCCACCGGCGATTGTGTCGACTCCCACCGCTGTCCGCTTCAAGGATGCCCTCGCTTCATCCGCTCCAAGTACACCACGACACCGCGTACGACTTGTTGGCAGACTTCTCACTCCGCAATCGTCCCGCTCATCCACACCATCAAGATCACAAAATGTATACTCACGTGCTCGACAGCTGTTTACGCAAACTGGCAATGGAAGGATTGTCGGACGTGAGGGTGAACGCCGTCAGTTGACCAACTTCATTTCCAAGGCCATCGAAACCGGGATTGGGGGCTGCACATATGTTAGTGGACCACCTGGCACCGGTAAGAGCGCCTTGGTCCAAGAGATCATGCAAGAATTTCAAGGGGCGTCTATCAAAGCCACCACAATCAATTGCGTGTCTTTGAAGTCTTCCGCCGAAGTCCTCGCCCGGCTAAGCGAAGCTTTTTGTCCTGGCAAGGGTAGCTCAAAGTCATCAAAAGCCGGCCCCCTGGCGAAACTGTTCACGACAAAGAGAGGCGACTCCGAAATGCGTCTCGTTTTGCTGGACGAGATTGACACCCTCCTCGGGGGTGATTGCGACGTGCTGTACAGCATCTTTGAGTGGGCCATGCATCCCTCGTCCAGTCTCATATTGGTTGGAATTGCCAATGCTCTGGATTTGACTGATCGTTTCTTGCCCCGTCTCAAGTCAAGGGGCGTCAAGCCCCAATTGCTACCTTTTCTTCCATATTCGGCTCAACAGATCTCGACCATTATTTCGGACAAGCTACGATCCCTCTCATCTGACGGAACCACGACCGGCGCCGAGTTCATCCCTTTGATGCATCCTGCGGCTATTCAACTGGCGGGCAAAAAGATCGCATCTCAGACTGGGGATCTACGAAAGGCCTTCAGCTTGGTTCGTCGTGCTCTCGACCAGGTTGAGCAAGAGACGCTTTTGGAGACGAGCCAAGAGCAGAGCACGACTCCTACGAAGCAACCACTCCAAGAAATTTCGAACTTGTCCTCCAGTCTGGCTGTTCCATCGCCTGTCAAGGGTGACCATCGATCTGTCCTCAATCACCTTACGTGGGAGACGGCGCCTCGAGTGTCGATTGCACACGTGGCGAAGATCGCGGCCACCATTTTCAACAACGGTACACTTTCTCGCTTGGGCGGGTTGAATCTCCAGCAGAAAGCCGTGCTGTGTTCATTGGTGGCGTCCGAAACCCGCCAACACCGCCGCGATCCTTATACAACACCGTCCAAATCGGGAGCAAAGATACCTACCATAAAGGGGCTCTTTGAGAAATATGCCCAGCTGTGTAAGCGTGATGAAGGATTGTTGCAGCCGCTGAAGAACACCGAGTTTCGAGACGTAGTTGCAAGCCTCGAAACTCTAGGGTTAGTGCAAGAGACGTGTGGGCGAATGTCGGGCTTGCTGACACCTACAAACACGCCGTCGAGAAGCAGAAGGGGGACGGATGACAAGCAGGTGGTGAGCTTGGTGTCTGAGAAGGAGATGAGAGAGAGCCTGACGGGGCCAGGTTCTGATTTGTTGGTGCGGCTACTTGAAGAGTACTAATAAAAATCTGGAAGGATTGGACTTGCTGTCTTTGGATTTCGCATGGCGCGGGAATAATAGGTTGGCATGAGCGAAGGAGTCTTTGTCTTGGATTCTCTAGGCAGCTTATGGTGGCACCGGCCCCAACGACGGGGGCGGGCTTGGGCCTTGTAAACGAAATGAAACACTTTCCTTGAAGTACTCGATACATTCGTTATGTTCGCTGGGCTGCGGCGATGGTTGAACCAAGAGCCGCCCAATGCACTGATTGAATGGCGTTATACAGGTCAGAAATGATGTCAATTGAATGCCTGCGATTGCGCGTCCCTTTGAACCATAATCAAGTCCCTGCATGAGAGCGAAAAAGAGAGAGGAAATTGATCACCGCAAGGGGCGACCAAGCTTTTGCTGAAGCTTCTTGCACGGTGGCCATGATTTTGCTTGATCTCTACCTAGCGGAACTCGGTACAACTCGGTAGTGCCAGTGCCAGTCTTTCCAGAGGAACAAGAGGCCCCGTCCGCAGCCTCACTAGCCCTACACCCTCCATTGGAGGAAGCCTGCATCAGCGCGCGCCATCTCTTGCACGGTATCATTCCTACGAGGACCAAGTCAAGACAAGTACAAAAGCATACCTCGAATGGTGGGGGCTTCGCAACCGCCCGGCGGCCAGCAGCTGTCACCCCATGCAAGCCCATGCTGAGCTGATCCATGCGCCCCTCGACCTTGGTGCGCCAAATCCAAGATTCCGAATCGATCCTCCGCATCCTGTTCCAAGCCTGCGCTCATTCTCCCTCCACCGAGGGACTTTCGGATTATCTGAGTATATCTTGCCATACCCGTCTCCTTTGTCAGGTATGCGCAGACGGATTTGCTTGGGTCGCGTACGATAATCAGCACATGTTGACGCGGACAAGCACGGAAACGCCCCTCTGAGCATTTGTATCTCCAATGGCCGAGAACGAGAACGATCCGAGCACACCCGCCTTGCGCAAAGATGGAGTCCTTTCCCAGGCGGACAAGATAGGACCGAAACTGGTGGGCAAAACAGAGAAACTGGAGGAGAAATATCGCGGGGCCACCGGTACCGACCTCTCCGAAAAGAACGAGAAGAAAGGCCCTGCTGGCGGGTACGATGACACACCCCTACCCAAAGCGCCGCCAGGATATACCGTCAAGATCACATTTCACAAAGCCGAGAACCTACCCTTTTCCGACTTTGGCACTCTCTCTTCCGATCCCTATGTTCTAGCAGTTCTCCGCACGGATCTGCCCAAGAGGCACAAGCAAGATCCCGATCTCAAATTGAGGACGCCGACCATCCATCGCAACACAAACCCGGAATGGGAGACCGAGTGGATTGTCGGCAACATCCCGGCCAGCGGGTTCCATTTGAAGTGCAGATTGTATGACGAGGATCCGTCCGACTACGATGACCGTTTGGGAAATGTACACATCGATGTACCCCACGTTGACGAGAACTGGAAAGGATTCTCGCACCAGAAGTTTCAGTTGAAGAAGCGCATGGGTAGTAAGAGAGCATACACGTTCCGCGGATGCGCCGCCCTGATCTCGAGGAGAGTCAAATTGAACGGAAGCCTCATTGTCAGCGTGGAGAATCTGGGTGAGACAGCGGCAGAGGACGGCGGTCGCGTATACACAATCGGTCCATTACCATGGAGTCGGCATTTCTCTCCTCTGATCGGGCGGATAGCGGGGACGAAGGAGTCAGAGCAAAGAAAAGATGGAAAGGAGATCCAGAGATACAAGTACGTCCACCTGTGGGCTTTGCCTTGCCAATAGCCACCCGCTAATCAATCACCCAGCTTCCAATCCGTGCAGATGCAGCTGCGTGGACCCGTGCCAGCAGATCTCTATCACCGATACGTCGAATTCAGGCCCTTTGTTGCCGGGATGTTTACTGCCCACACTCTGCGCGGTCGCCTGCTCAACCGCGCTTTGCACCATCAGCACGCTCGAATCTACAACTACGACAAAACCACCAAGTATGGCGTCTTTCAAGAACCCTGCCCCGAGATGACGAAGCTCTTTCTCGACTTTGTACACTACGACGAAGGAGGGCGCATCTTCACTTATGTGTTGACATTGGATGGACAACTACGCTTCACGGAAACAGGAAAAGAATTCGGGATCGATTTGTTGAGCAAACATACCATGCATAGTAACGTGAGCATCTACATCGCGTTCAGTGGCGAGTTTTTCATCCGAAGAATCAAACACGGAAAGGCACACAGGAACGATGACAGTGTGCATCCGACCGAGGAGACGCACCCTCCCTCGACTCCATCCGATGGGGAAAGAGACAATAGTGGCACCAGCAGCGGCGGCGGCGGTAGCCCCAGCCAAGCGAGTGACGCACGGCCCCTGACAAACGGCACGACCTCCTCAGAGAGCAAAGAACCCTGGCATTACGAACTTGTCATCGACAACGACTCTGGGACATACCGGCCGAATGCGGCCAAACTTCCCATCCTTCGCAGCTACCTCTCCGAAAACTTGCCCGGCCTCAAAGTCCGAACCCTCGACTGCCAAGCCGACGCCGAATTGCAGCGGAAGCTGAAAAACGAACAGCGGGAAAAGAAGAAGCAAGCTCGCGGCGGCAAACAGGTCATGTACCTGCAGAACCTGAGCATGAGCAGTCTGAGCTCGAGTGATGAGGAGGATCTAGCCAACCGAGCTGCAGCGGGAGCGGACGGCCAGGTCCACGAGAGCAGGTACAAGAGGGAGATGCACAAGTTTATGGACGGAGGACGGGACCTGCATCACGGCGATGATGATGATGACGACGAAGTGGAGCAAGGGTCAGAAATCGCCATCGAGCGCGAGAAGCCAGGGCAAGTCAAAGGCCAGCTTGGTGACGGGATGCATGGCGATGCAGTTGGAAAGGGCAAAGAGAAGGACACCCCCGCGAACTAGCCGGTCGCCGCCGGCCCGGAGACGTGAGGTGAGAAGCAACAACGACAACGACAAGAAGCATCACAACCACAATCATGACCTACTAGGTCGAGGAGGGATACCAGTGTTTTTCTACGGGGGTTGTTTGTGTTCATGTTCTGCGTTTCTTGGATTTTGGGTGGGCGGGCGAATGAGCGAGCCGGTCTTCTGTCTTGTGGTTCGGCATGGGAGGGAAGGACGAAGGGAGGGAGGCAGGGAGGCATATTGTGGGTGCTTGTTTGATTCCGGACTAATCACCCTCGGGATAATCTTGTCGAGCGGCTCACTGGCTTGTCTGTCTGTCTGTCTGTGTACTGTACCTATCTGTTGTCTGTGTCGGTGCGGTGCGATACCCCCTTTCTTTTTTTCTTTTTCCCCCCTTCCCTCTCGTTAATGTCGCCTTTTCCCACCTCAAAAGTTCAACTCCAAGTCCTTCTGGGTGATGCACTTCGCGATGATGGTGGGGATGGGGATGTGGTATGCTTCTACCGCCTACACACATGTATGTACATACTCCATCCATGTCCAGGGGTCGCGCGTGGCATGGTATGTTCATTTTTTCCCGCAGCGCGCGTCTAATGTAATAATGCTCTGTCCACTTATTCACTCATTCATTCATTCATCCATTCACTCACTCACTCACTCACTCGGGTGATGTGCTCTGGGAAGAAAAAGGGGATAGTAGGAACCTCACTCTCCAGAGCAGGTTTGGTTGAGTCGAATGGGGTTGGTCTGGGTTGGATTACTACCTAGGCGCATAGGCGCATAGGCACATAGGTATACGGGGTAACAGTTCACTGACTCTAAGCGATGGAAAAGGACAGGGCATGACAGGACAGGACAGGACGTTGGAGGATTTCCGTCAACTCAGGTCAATCAATACACAAATCCCCTGGGGTGGCATGGCACAGACTGGCGCATCCGATCGATGTTTGACATCTCAGATTTCAAATTGTGCTTGGTCGAGAATGAGAGATCGTTTACCTGCGAGAACGGCATGGAGGCGGAGACGGAAAAGCACATGGACAAGGAAAAAGGTACATTCCAGATATGATTTGATCTGTTTCTTCGGTGGTTGGTGACTCCCTCCCATTTCGCCTTGCAGACGTCGCCGAAAGAGAGCCCTCCACCGTCTCGCTCGAATCTCGTTCTCACTTTGAATTCCTCCAACCAATTCACGCTTGGATGCGATTGTCTTTTGGTCCCTTCCGCCGTCTTCCGATCGTAGAGAAGAAAGACCAAACGTGTTGGCAGTTGGAAGCATCGGAGACGGGAGGAAGTCAATACCCCCCCTTCCAGCATTCCAGACCTCAACTCCTGATGTTGTCTTGTTTGTCCAACGAAGAATCCTCCCAAACACCTTGCTTGTCCCGGCGAACAGACTGTTACCTGCCCCCTCGTCCATCACAGATCTTTCGTTCTGCTTTGCTCATAAGCCCGGCAACATTCGTCAAGAGTTCCATTTCAGCCATTGCAGAGGAGCATCGTTAACTCTCCTGTCTCCTTTTCTCTTCCAGCTCCGCCAGTACCTTGCCCGTAGCATCGACAATAAGCTTCCATTCCGTTTCATGTATCCTCTCCTCGAGATCACTCTGCGACTCCCCAGGTTTCATTTCGATGTCCCTCACCAAAACCGGTGCGCCCCGGTCCACTTCGTCAGTCACATAGTGGACCATCACTCCGGTCCCAGAAATCTCCCCTCTTTGAAACGCCTCGTAGGCACGTCCGATGGCATTTGCCCCGTCAAACTGCCCTGGCAATGCCGGGTGCAGGTTGATGATGGGCACATTTGCCGACGCCAGAGCGTTGACGAACACCGGGGACAGAATATGCATGAAGCCGGCACAGACCACCAGGTCCGGGCACGGGATGTGCGTGAGGATCTTCTGGGCTAGATCGGTGTCGTACTGGTTCCGAGCTGCAGTTATCCCGGCCTCTGTGTCCGGAAATTTCTTCTTATACGACAGCAGATTATGGTATGTGACAGGGATGTGGGCGTCTTGGGCGCGGGCGATGCCCTTTGCCTCACGGCGATTGCATATCACATGAGATATTTCAGCATTTGGAAGTAACCGTCGAGGGGCTGGTTTGTCTTTGGAAGGAGGGGCCTGCCCGCAGGCGTCGATCAGGGCTTGCAGGTTGGTCCCTGACCCAGAAATGAGGACAGTTAGACTGAACGAGGTGGAAGTGCTGTAAGTTCGGGATTTGTCGGTGGATATCGATCTCGAGCCCATTTTGAACACCGCCCAGAAGGAGTCGACGCGAGAGATAAGGAAAAGTGCGCGAGGAGCTGGAGCTAGAGCTGGGGGCAAGGACTGCAGGTTGACGAGTCAGGATTCCGCTTAATTCATCTCAGAGCGCTGTGTTCCGAAGTGAGTGAGCGTATAGAGAAGCACAGGAAGGGCAGAGCTGCGACATTTGAACGTGCGACAGAAGAAAGCACAGGACTGGAATCGAGAAGAAGGGATTTGGAAATGCGACAAGTACCTACCTAGAGCAGTGGAGGGCTTGGAGGGGCTCAGGTAAGGGACAAGGACTGCGGGAGCAGGCCAGGAAAGCAGCTAGGCGCGCTTCAGCCACTAAGGACCTGCATTGGTGTGCATTAGGGGCGCCCCAGGGGACTCCAGGGGACCCCAGGGGCTGTCGTCAGGTTGCGTAGCCCCGAAACAAGCGACGGGGATCGCTGTGTCTTGGGGGGGTAGCCTGCGCCTAAGCGGTCCATCAGGGCCTAGGACTTGCCGGAATCAGCGACCAAGGCCTCCAACCTCAAACTAACAAGTACCTGCGACTTGTGTCTGCAAGTCCCCCTCTTCACCGTCACACCACTTGGCCGCCATGTCCTTGGGCCCGTTGTATCACTGTTCTACCAAGTCGAAGCGAGGACGTTACCTTTGAACTGCTTCTCAGGAAATGCCCCATCTAGCAAGAGAAAAGCATCGAGTATCCATATGGAGTACATCGCGAATGCCGAACGAAACTTTGCGGATCGCGGCCTTCCCCTCTATCCCTGCCGTCCCTCCAATTGATCGGCAGATTGACATCCACTGCCAGCTCCGTCCTTACTGCCTGAGAAGATCTTCCTCCGGCTCTGCTAGCCACGCAGCAACATCTTGGGCGCGGATGCAAGTAAATGAGTCCCGACAGGAGCTCCTCCTCCACAACTGCGAACGATGTCGGCAACATCGGCAAAATGTTGGACGTCCATCTGAAATCAAACAGGGCGTCTAGCGCATGAAGCTGCAAGCTTAGCGATGTGCTTGTCCTCACAATTGCGCCCTCGCCCGTGCTTATTGGCTTCTTCCTGGGACGAACGCTTCGATCTGCCACAATGATCACCGTCGATCGCTAATCTATCACGAACTACAGAGTACTGTAGGTATGTACTCGGTACTTACGAGATATTGCTAGGTGGAACATCAGCTCGATGGATCCCTCTGAAACACTCTCTTCGCACCGAACAGCCGATCATGCACCCTGCCGTCATGCTCTATGCAATCAATTGAAGAGGTACCTACGGATTGAGAGGGGCAAATACGTAGAAGACCATTCTCTGAAACTTCAGTGACCAGCACGGGACAGAAAGAGAAAGAGAAAACATGAGCACCACCAACAGAACTTCCACTGTTACAGAGGGTGCTGCAAGGACACATGGAATTGATTGCAGGCGCTAATTCGGATTATTCACTCTCTAATCGCCAAATTGACGGGGAAACAGCGCTGACATTTAGTAATATGGCACACAGGGAATCCAGATTGAGGCTCATCCCCAGTTGACCTGGTACCTGGCGAAAACCGGGATAGCCAGACAGGACAGACCACCAATAGCAGCTTCTACTTCGACGGAACGGATGTCTGAAGAATACACCGAATTGAACAGAATCAAAGAAACCCTGCAAGGGTGTGATTCTCGAAAATATTGCACTTTTTTGGCAACTGTGTTAGCTGTATCGGGACTGGTTTTGTCCAACAGCCAGTGGGACTTTCAAGGTGCATTTACCCTCGTATTTCCCTGAGAATCCGATGCCTCAAACATGAGAGGCAGAGGAAAAGGTTTGTATACTGGCCGTGCTGAGGCGATACAGGTATTGAAATAGAGCCACCATCGATCAAAACAACAAGGTAAACTCCAGAAGCAGATTTCGTCGTCATGACAATGCCGCGCATACTATGCAAGGGATTAAAAAAGGCAGAAAAAGCAGATTCTCGGCTTCAGCCTCGTCATGAGCAGTGACCAGATCCAAGGAAGACCGGAGAGAGAGCGCAGCTAACAGCAGCCACACGTCCATTCCATTCCATGCAGTGTCCCTCTCACGTTCTCGCCGGCCCATCACCAACTTACTCCGTGTAACTTACAGCTTACAGCTTCGCCCTCGCCCTGCCCAACTTCCTCTCCTCCTCGTCGCGAAACTCCTTCTTGGCCTGCTCCTTCAAGACCCTGCGCAAGATCTTGCCGCTGACGCTCTTGGGCACGGCGTCGACGAACTTGACTCCGCCGCGCAGTTTCTTGTGGTTGGCCACCTTGGCGTTCATCCACTGCACGATCTCGGCGGCGTGCTTTTGCTGCTGCTGTTCTTGCTCCTGTTGTTGTTGTTGTTGTTGGGCGGGAGAAGACGAGGGTGGCGAGACGAGCGCGCGGTTCTTGGGTACAATGTACGCGCGCGGCACTTCTGTGCCGAGCTCGAGCGAGTCGACGCCCACTATGGCCACGTCGTCGATCAGAGGGTGTGAGGCGAGGTAGCCTTCCAGTTCAGCGGGGGGCACTTGAAAGCCTGTGGTTGGATTAGTTAGTCGCTAGTCACATATTTTTCTGTCATGGGGCAGACCAAGGCTCTGCGGTGAGAGGTGTATTTTGGTTGCAAGCAGGATTCCATCCGGTTGGATAGGGAACAGGTGAAAACAAAGAAGGGAGGGGTGCTTACCTTTATATTTGATCAACTCCTTGACGCGATCCGTGATGGTCAAGTTGCCCTTGTCGTCCAGGAATCCCACGTCGCCGGTCCGGAACCAGCCATCCTCGAGACACTCGGCGGTGGCGTTGGGATTGTTATGATAGCCGCCAAAGACATTAGGTCCCTTAACATACAACTCCCCGACCTTGCCTCGAGGCAGCTCCTTGGACCCGTCCGACTCCTCGCCGGAGCCGGGCACGGCGCAGAACTTGGCCTCGAGGTTCGGCACCATGACCCCCGTAGTGCCCACGGCAGACCACCAGTCCTCCCACCGCTGGATGAAGATGGTGGGTGATGTCTCGCTCAGTCCGTACCCTTGCTTGACGCGCACGCCCTTGCGCTTATACAGGCTTTCGACGAGTTCGCGGGTGAGCGGCGCGGCGCCCGAGTTGGTCATGCGCAGCGAGCTCAGGTCGTATTTTTCCACGACAGGGCTCTTGCACAGGAGCAGCACGATAGGTGGCACGATGTAGCTGAAGGTGACTTTGTGGTTGTGCACGAGCGAGCACCACTTCTCTAGCTCGAACCGCGACATGACCAGCGTGTGCACGCCGCTGAATATCGGGCTGAGCACCAGGCAGTTGAGGCCGTAGATGTGGAAGAATGGGAGACACGCCAGGATCTTATCGCCCTGGCCGTTGGGGGGATGTGGGATGTTGCTATTCGGAGGCGTCTTGGTGCCGTTCCAGGTCAACCACCCCTCGGCGGCGTGGATTTGTTCCACATTACTTGTCATGTTGAAATGGGTCAGTCTGACGCCTTTGGGACGGCCGGTCGTGCCGGAGGAGTAGACGAGAAACGCGAGGTCGGATTTCGGATCCAGTTTGGGCGTCCGGTAGCGCGCCGTTCCCTCTAGATTGCGGATGAGTGTCCAGTGCTTGAATTTCCGGGATTCATCGCGCTGCTCGCCAAGCAGGATGATATGGGTCTCTGGAATACCGACTTCGCGGGCGGCTTTTCGCGCCGTATCGAGGGCGGACAGGTGTGTGCACAGGATTTTGGCGCCAGAGTCTTTGAGCTGGTAGACCAGTTCGGGGACGGTGTAGCCTGGATTTGCGGGTGAGACGATGCCGCCAGCCCAGAGAGTTCCCAGGACCACGGGCGGGACTTCAACGTCGTTGGGCACAAAAAGGCCTAGGACATCGGATTTGCGGAAGTTGAAGTTGGACTTGAGGCCCTTGCCGAAGTCAATGCTGGATTGCCGCAGCGAGGAGTAGGTGTATTGTCTGGAGAGGGAGTCGGCGGATTGGAATATGACTATGAATGATTCACATCAGTGATGGCTCATTCTCATATCCTTTGGTCACAGTTGTTGGAAGAACTATTCAGTCAATGGAAGTCGCACAATGCTTTCAGGCCGCTTCAATAGCGACATTTTGATGATCCCCCTTTGTGATGGCTTGTCATTTTCTGATTTCCCTCTCCCTGCCCGAGACCATTGCAGAGAGACCATTGTCCAGCTCTTACATACACCCACGCGAGCTATAGCAGCAGTTGACCAGAAGAATAGAAAAACAGACTCACCATGATCATCAGGAAATTCCCGGTCCTTTCTATTAAACAAAAACGACCAGATGTCTGTGACCTGAAGGTCGATGTCCGGGAAATCCGACTTGATGGGCATGATTCAAAATCTCCTGATTCGACCAGGGATGGTTTGGAATCGACAATAGAAACCTTTGCTGGCGTGGAAGTATATATAATCTCTAGACGGAGTGGGATGTGATGTGGGCGAAAGCCACTCTTTGTGCAATGTTTCTTTGTTAGTCACCAGTCGGCGAGAAGGGAAGAATGCTGTGCTCCAGGAACTCAAAAGTATGATTGAAGAGAAGAGTCACCAGCAGTGCTGTCTTTGGGGGTTGATAGACAGACCACAAGAGAGATATGTATATCGTCCAGGACCAGCTTTCGCGACTTTACTTGATCTGGGGTAAAAAGAAAAGGCCGATTCAAGTCCGCATTGACCACGACAACAAAATGTGGCTCTGGTGTTGGTGGCTAAGGGGCCCTTGTTCTCTGGGGGGGGGGGGTCACGCAGTGCCATGGCCCTCCCTATTCGCCTCTCTATCTGAATGCGACAGTGGCCGATAATGGCCGTATCTCGTCCATTCCGCCCGTGAAAGAAGCCGAGGTTCGCAAGCATTTGCCAATCAAAGGGACTCCGAATCGCCCCAGAGGCCCCAGGGTCGGCTATTGTCCACGTTGTGTCGGGCTTGGGTAGGTCGATCCAGCGACTTTCGGACCAGCTTAACGTGCGTAGGGATCCTGTGGGTGACAGGGGACGACGCCGCCGAGATTTCCATGCTTCATTTGATCATGTTCTGTTGACACCGGAGGAACTTGCCTCACTCAGCCTGACGGAGACCAAAAGAACCGTCTGCACCTGTTGGGAACTTGAGATGCCAACAGATCTGTTAGAACTCCAAAACAGGCGATGCATTTTTCGGCATAAAGCAGCGCACACAGAATAAAGTATATGTACTTGGGTAGGTTCCCGGTTATGTTGCTGTGGTTGATTTGTGCCTCGACACCTTCAACGCCCCTGCAAATCCAACATCTTGGGTATAACGAGGTCATCTCGACATGTCTCACAATACAGTGTCTCCCCCATATCCAAGCAATTCCACAATCACATTGCCTACGGTCGACACCGACCACAGCAAGATCAATCCAAATCCGATTCTGCGATCCATTCTCCATCCGTTTAATGGCACCACGATGAGCAAACCCACCAGCGTCACCAACAGGGTGATTCCCGATATCATTAACGTCGTGCTCACGTCGATGTCGTAGGGTTTGTATTTGATTGGTTTCTGGGGGTGTTTGGCGTGCTTGCGAGTGGCGTGGGTGATGCTCATGTACATCCCTCCAATGCCAATTCCAAGCAAAATATTCAACATGGGACCGCCAAAGCACGCTGACAATGCCATGACAGGGAATCCAAGTTTGGCAACGGTGATGTCTGCGACTAAGTCACCACAGGAGTTGCCCACAGCAAATATGGTCAAACCCAGAATAGCATCCGATATGCCCAGGATCACCCCGAAAGCTTTGAGGACTCCGACCACTTCATTGGCGATGGTTGAGATCCATCCTATGGCCACAGCAAACCCCAAGAAGCAGAGTAGCGGTCGATATTTGGGCTCGCGATCGGGAGTGGTCAGAGACAGGAGGATAAGAAGCGATACGAGTGAAAATACCAGTGATCCCAACACCATACGAACATAAAGCTTAGGTGTATGATCGTCATCCATGTTGGCCCAAGCAATGGTTACGACAAAGAACGGAGCCGTAAAGACTTGCAAAAACACCAACCATCTGTTCCATTCCTTTGGGCCAGCCAACTCATCCACGTTTGAATGAGGACTTTTGGCATGCTCCGACATTGATCTGGAGATTCCGGTTCCGTGCGGATGGGGTGGACCGTCAGAAGATGCTGACCGCGGATTCAAAGCAGACCCATCTGGTGCGGCCTCGATGTAGCTCATAGACCTGCGGCGAATGCCATCAGCTGGGGTCAGCAGGTCGATATCTGATTCCGCCGGCTTTTCTTCCTTAGGCTCGACGACTGGGAGTGTGATGGCAAGCAGAAAGACACTGGGTGCGGTGACCACCCCTAATACCTTATCAGTGAACGACTTCTCCCGCCACCCATAAATGGTGGGAAATAATGTCGCACATATGACTTGAGGAGCAGGAAGGTATCGGTAAGGCCACCATGTAAATCTCCGCATGGGTTCCTCTTCGTCCGGTAGCAGCCCTAGATGTTGACTGGACTCTGGAGACATACTAGGTGCAGGCAGGTGAATGCTTGGAGGCCGAGAAGAGAGGGGAGTGAGAAGCAACGGAGAATCCACGTATGGTGGGAAATCCTCGTGGCGCAGTGCTCCTTTTGAATGGTCTGGGTGTGGAGTATGCAGGATTGGTACTTGCAGTGTCGGTCCGGAACGAGGTGACAACACCGGACTTCGACCAGCAGGATGATGGTCCTCGTAGTAATCCGGTCGGCGGAAGGTCGTTGCGGGCGGCGCTAGAAGATTGGGTGACTTGGAGCGTTCCGAAGAGAGGGATCCTGTCTCTGATGGTTGGCCCCCTGACGGAGACACGATAAGCTTGGGAGAAGGTGGTCTTTGAGCGGATGGTTCGTTGAGTGTTCTCAGAATAGGGGCACTCGGCCTCGTACGTTTCCCAGCGGATGCATTCGGCGTCGAATCGCCACTGCTGAGGGCATTCTCCGAGGTTCGATCAGAATGTCTGTCACTGAGAAAGTCCGTATCAATGCGCAGATGAGTGGCGTCATTCGCAGACACGGCTCGCGCACGACGCGGACTCTCAGCCTCTAAATCTGCATATTGTGTGCTAGCCAGCTCCGGCTGAGAAGCACCAGGCGGCGCACTGACGGGAACGGGAGAGTAGACGGCTGATGCGTCGTCAGAGTATCTCCGGAGGCCAATAGGTTGGTGGGCGTGGGTGGCCTTCTTCTCCAGCGAAGTCATGAGAGATCTAAATTCCAGTGCACCTATCAAGCTCGGCCGAATGGGAGTCATTGTATTCCTCCGCTCGCCTCGAGCTGGGCGGCCGACTCTCATCCTGCTTTGCAATTCAGCAAGGTATCGGTCTCGCGCTTCGTCGTCCTCGTCGAGGTCTTCAACCTTCCAGGCTGGAGTGCCGGGTGTCCGTAATGTCGGGATGGTTTCGGTTGACGGCTCGCGTAACAGGCCAGTTCGCTCGGTAGCAGGGCGTGCTTCTTCGTCCTCCTCGATTTCAGGCACTTCCAGCTCCTGCGACTCTGGAATGTGGTGATGCAATCTCGCCGCAGTCTCAGCGAGCCTCCTCTTCCGTCGTCGGGTGAGCCACCAATGCCAGACCACCACAAAGAACACATAGAAAACGTAATAGGCAATCATGGTAATGGACTCCCAAAGTCGGAGGCTCCCATCCGCTAGGAATACCAGACTGAAACTCGCCGACACAGCGAAGAATCCCACGTCCCGAATGAAGCTCTTCTTGGCGACTTGAAAAGGCGCAACCAAGGCCATACTCCCTGCGACCACTGCAGTGATAAAGCTGGCTGCACCTACCAATTCCCCCACGGCCAAGCTGCCACTATTACTGCGCATGGCCGCAAAAGTGGAAAAGACGTCGGGACTGCCGTTTCCAAAAGCCAGGAAAGTGACACCGGTCAAACTTTCGCTCATCCCCAGTATGTTCGCAATAGTACTCAGGTTGACACAGAGGAAATCCGAGGCAGCAATGCCGATCGTGCTGAAGAGGAGACTGACCCAGAGCACGAGGAATAGGAACGCGAGGGCTTGGGCATCAGGGAGGGAGCAGTAATAGAGCTGGAGGTAGGAGAGGAGGCCGGCTTCTTCATCAGGACAGTTTTCCTTGACAAACACACATTTGTCTTTGGCGCTCTGGACAAGTCGACACTATCAACCGATCCAAAGTCAGTTGGGGAGCTGCATTGGAGGTAATGGGGAGCAGGGTCGATCTGGTACCTCGAGGTCGCGTGATGCCAGAGAGCGGGCATCGAGCCTCTGGCCATGGGGAGAATGGCCATGATTAAAGTCTCGTACGAAGCTATAACAAGCAAAGAGAGTGATTATGAGCGCAGTCAGGTAGAAGGCGCGACCTCGTTGGCGGATGGGGCGCAGTCGCTTGGGACGATTGGAGGGTGTCATGGCGGGCGTCGTAATTGCGCTGCCTCATACTGGACACAGAAGGGAGCGACGGTAAAGGAGATGAGGACGATGCATGTATGGACGGATGATACGAAGGATATGTACCAAGAAAAAGTGATGGCAATACCAAGGCAGCAAGAAAACGGGCAGCAGGGCCATCACCCAAGAGATGGAGATGCCATGGCCCTCACCTCGTCACTCCACTAAAAATCCCACTTTTGCGGCGACAAGCACCAGCAAGACCCAAGAGGGCGAGCGGACCAGAGGGATGCCGCCCCCGAGACCTCGTCATTGTGCAGGCGTTGCACCGCCACAGATTAGCGGCGTGGTGAACAATTACCCGCCTTGCCACCTACTTATTTCGATCGAGCCATTGCTGGCCATCTCGCATGGAGGGGCTCCGAGGGGCTCTAGGGGGGGGGGTGCTTTGGGGCGCCTTGGGGTGCCTTCTACTTGTAGGCCTATGTGCCCCTGGACCTAGGCAAGGGGCCTCCCCTCCAACCAGCAAGTGGCAGTACCGAGTACCAATATCATGTACCCAGTACGCGGTACCCAGTACAAGTACAGCATTATCTCGGTGCGTCCCTTGCCGAGGCTCATTGTCAGGTTGTCCCGAAGCCTCTCTCGCCTCTTCCCTTGGGGCAACTTCGTCTCTGGCACTTCTTAACCTCCATTGGATTTCTATGTCGCTCTTTTGTTCCTTTGTATTATGTTGCTTGCATTGATTCTCTGAACTGGTATCCAAATTTCCCCTGGCTTCTTTACCTTTCAGGTGCGCACACCATGGCGCCTCCCACCTTCGCAGATGTCCTTCCTATTCAGCAGCTCTCCTCGCACCAATATGCGCTCGCCCTGGAAAATGAATGGTGTATAGGAACGGGTAGGATGCAAGAATACTCGGTCGTTCTCACTGAATGATAACCCTTCTTTAGTGCCCAATGGCGGTTACGTTACTTCAGCCTTCCTCATGGTTGCGCGCACCCACATGTCCCTCACCCATGGTACTCGCTCTGAACCACACCCTATCAATTTACACCTGGAATTCTTGCGCCGGACTTCCGTTGGCCCAGCAATATTCACGGTGAAAGACGTTAAATTGGGGGCTCGTATCAGCAATTTACACATCGTTCTGTCTCAGAAACAAGAACACAACGACCGGTGGCAGGACGAGGCGCAGGGCTATATAACCATGAGCAACATTGCGACCGAGGAAGGCCTGAGTCTTGACACTCAATATCAGCTCTGGCCCCCCGCTTTACCGGTAGATCTCTCGCTTTTGAGTGCTCAAGGCCATGATACGAACTACACCATTCGTGCGAACGATCCGTTCCCTTCGTTCCGCCGTGCCGCACAAAATATCCAGATTTTCCTCGTCCAGCCTGATCGCCGACCACAACCGGGACGGTCTGGTAGACCCCGAGCAATAGTTGACCAGTGGGTTCGGTTTGCGCCTAAAACGCCTTCTCTCAATCCCGACGGGAGCCTCACGGGCCGTTGGACCAACGACGCTCTCGGTTTTCTGGTCGACATGTTTCCACAAATTGTCGAGTCATACGTCAACCCCTTCGTCGAGGAGGCCGCCATCGGACAATACAGCGAATTCGAACTCAAGACTTTCCTGGAATCGAACGAACCGCGCGCCAAGTTTTGGTACCCGACGCTCGCCTTGAACCTGGATGTTAAAAAACTATTACCAGAGGAGGGCGTGGAGTGGTTATTTGTGCGAGTTATGGCCAAGGTGATTAGGAATGGACGGTTTGATCTAAACATCGAGGTTTGGGATGAAGCTGGGGAATTGGTGGCGAGCAGTACCCATGCGAGTCTGATTGTGGACGCCAGTCGTAATATGGCCAGAAAAGGGAAGGAAAAGAAAGACGCAAAGCTATAGGACGGTGTATCATCTTTTGAGGTCTGCAGGTTCGGCGCCCCATTAGGAAGGCCACCTTTGGGAGAAGCAGTTGGAGCCAGGTATAGACATAGACATGAGAGGAATTTGGCATGTTGGCGTAGTTGATCCAAACGCTTTAGCCAAAAGGTAGTTTGACATTGCGCTGTGGAATGTTTCGCGAGCAAGATGGTACCTCGTATGGTTGACAAGTTGGCCCGTGTACTGGGTGACATCTGATACCTCTCTGCCAAGCATCGCCAAGTCTTGCGAAACATCTTCTGGATGGATCACGTCCTGAGTCCTTGCTGCCTAAACGAACATTGACGACAGCATACTACTCCGTACCTGTGGACAGCCTCGGATGGATCCTCTCAGTGTGACTGCCAGCATCATTGCTATCCTCGACTTGACTGGAACATTGATGAAATATGTCAACGAGGTGCGACATGCCCCAAAACAGCGAGCTCAGCTTGCGCGTGAGGCAAGCAATCTGTATGCCTTGCTCACAACTCTTCGCTTTCGAGTGGAAGAAGCTCCGACCAATGACCCATGGTTCAACCAGATTAAGCTCCTAGTGGTCGAGAACGGTGCCCTCGACCAACTCAGAACAATCCTCATGAGGCTAGTCCCTAGGATTGATACTTCAAACAAGTTGAAAGACCTGCTATGGAAATTCAACAAGGCAGAGGTTGAAGAAGCTCTCGGTCAGATAGAGCGTCTGAAGTCACTGATAACCTCGCTTTGACCAACGATCTCTTCACTTTGACCCAGTCAGTCAAGAGTGATCTATCCGAAATGGCACAAACCATGAACCCCTTGTGTCTCGAATCTGAGCGTGAATGGCCGTCGAAGTTGTCCACTTGGCTTGACATTCCTGGCCCGTCCTCAAACTATGCAACATCGTGCAAGCGAAGGCAACAGGGTACTGGCTCTTGGCTTCTACAAGACAATCGCTTCATCGCCTGGATGGAGTCTCCCGGCTCGAGTCTGTGGCTTCACGGCATCCCTGGTTGCGGGAAGATTGTTATTAGTGCCACAATCATCGACCGGGCTCTGGACATGGCTCATCCGAACGTGATATACTTCGATTTCGACTTCAATGGTGATCAAAAGAGAAAGTTTAATACGGCTCTTCGGTCTTTGATCATGCAGCTGGCCAAGCAGGTGCCAAATGGCATTCAGGAGGTTCGGAATCTCCATTTCGAATGTCGAGATGGTCAGCTACAGCCTCAAGAAGTTGCCTTGCTTAAAATGATGGACCGCTTGCTCGGATGATCTCACAATACTTACGCCACCTTTGATGCCCTGGATGACAGTGACGATCATCAAAAGTCGTGGACCTGAGCCAACAGCTCTCTCAAAGCCATCGAAATTCTTTGCACTTCTTAGCTGTAAGCCGCTGCGAACGGGAACTTGAAAAGCGACTACGACCTCTGATTACTGTAGAAATTGCTATGCAGGCCGCGCTCGTCTACGTGAATATTAATGTTTACCTCGAAGATCTTCTCGAGAATGACGTCCGCCTTCGGAAATGGCCCGCAGATGTGCAAAGCGAAAGAAACCGGACTATCTCGGGAAAGGCCAACGGAATGTACGGGCTGCTTCTGGCACCGCAAATGTGAGGCTAACTTTCTGTCTCAGGTTCAGATGGGCATACTGCAGCTTGACTCTCTTCAGAAATGCATCAAACCCAGCGCAGTGAGGCAAATGCTTTCGACCCCTTCCTAAATCACTAGACGAAACATACGAGAGGATACTACGCATGATCGAGATGAATGATCAGTTGAATGACGCCGTGCGTATTCTTCAATGGCTTTGCTTCGCCAGGGCCCCACAAACTCTGAAATCGTTGGTGGACGTGCTTGCTACTGACGTGGAAGGTAAAGGCCACTTCTTGGTGGAGGAATGACTTCTGGACCCTTACGACATCCTTACTATCTGCTCTAGTCTAGTTGCGATTCAAGAGCAAGAAGCCCAAAGTATCCGACTGTTTGATCCCATTCTGGATCTCGAGGACCCTATCATTGAATTGGCACGTTTTTTGGTCCAAGACTTGCTGCTGTCTGGCCGCTGTTTCCTACGCAGTTTCTTCTCTACAAATGCAGGTTATACATTGATGGCTGAAATATCATTGATTTATACACTTCATGCGGGCCACGAGGCTCTCCCTCGGTCTGGACCTCAAACTGCGGACGGGAAACGCATTGCAAGGTCAGATCTGAATCTTATGCACGCCACCGATACAGATTTGCGACGAGAGTCTTCACGTTGTGACCAACAAGGCTCGTACGCTTGCGCTTGGTGGTATCGACATGTCGTGGCGTTGCCAGAGAGTGGTTTGTCGCAAGGAATAATTTATATGTCTGTATATTTATTTGAAAACACTAACAATGTCCGCGAACAGTGGCTGAGGCTTCACAATCCGAATCCTTTTTCGTGGTGTCTGTATGCCTGGATTCGTGGCATGATTTCCGCGACGGAGTTTCGCATCGAGGACGGAGTGAGCTCGCCCATTTTCTGGGCCGCTGTCACTGGCCTTCTGCCGGTTGTGGAATCGCTTATTCAACGTGGCAAAGATGTCAATCAATTCAGCAGAGGATGGCGAGATATCGAACTTGCAGGGGAAGAAAACTTAGCCGACCATGGTCAGGTCGTACGTCTGCTTTTGTCCCATGGTCTCGATGAATACCAAAGCCTCTCATATGCTTATGACGGTGCATACGCTGAGTTATTAGATCTGCTCTTAGGCGCCGGAGTCTCACCTAACTCGCCAAACAAATGGGGCGACACTTTGTTGCATCGAGCTTTACTCGACAACGCCCCAGTTCAATTCGATACCTTGATGAAACATGGTGCCGAAATCGCCACTCCCGATTGCTATGGGCGCAGCTGTTTCGATTATTGCCTGGGGTATCCTGCGGGGAAATTACAGGGGTTCAAGATTTCCCCAGTTGACCACAGTTCAACAAGGATTGATGTCCAGAAACAGCGCCTTCGTCACACGGTCATGTTCAGCATTGAGACGGCCCTGGAGGGTGGACTTGGTGAAAACCATGTTGCTCTAAATCGGCTGGGTCACTCTGTCTTGCACACCTAGAGTGGCTAGAGGAAGCCATCTCAGTCTTTCAGATGGACGGTTTGTGCGGTGGCAGGGAGGATGTCAGACGAATCTGCGACGGCTGCGACGGGCCTGTCAAACGGCAAGAGGATCCGCGAATCTCGAGAGTGTGTCGTTCCTGCAGAGATGTCGACCTCTGCGAAGAATGTTTTGAGGACTACAAAAGAGGGCGGTTGGATATATACCTGAGTCAAGGCCATCGGTTTTTGGAAGTGCCCCTGCGTCCATTTGACGAGGAATACAACCACGCGGTATCTCCCGTGACCCAGAAGATCAAAGACTGGCTGCTTGAACTGAGGCAAAAGGTCTTGCAGGAGCTACCGGAAGACAGCTCCCTTGATATCACCAGCGGGATACCAAAAAGATGAATCCCTTGAAGGAGCTTGGCTCGAATGTGTACGTCCTTTCAAAAGCCTAGTGGCGTGGAAAAGAAAGGGGTTGAATTCAGCAATTGTGGGTGGCATGGGCTGGGCGATCGGAGTCGCAGCGTTGTCGGCGTTGTAGGACTCTTTCAAGCCAGGCTGGTCTGCGATACATCTCACCATCTCATCCCAGGAAGTGGGATGCTTCTCGAATAAGATGCTCGCTAACATACTACCATGAGTATGGTGGGCAGACGGCGGAGGTTGTGCGACTCGCGCGGAGAGCACGCCCTATCAATGCATGCAATCTCTCGTTCCCTCTCTCCCATGCTCCAAGGTTCTGTTTCGCACAACAGCAGTCTTCTCCCTTGGACTTTTCTTTTGCCAGAATCAAAATTTCTCCCTTGCGGGCCTCATATCTAACTCATGAACCCACAAATCGCAGCTCTGTCGCATGCAGTCCAGGTACAATCTGCCCACGCTTTCGGCGCGGATCTTCTCCCCTAGCATGACTTTGGCAGTTTTCTCCTTCGCCTCTGACCCGGCCTCCCCGCCGCTGCCGGCAGACGAATCGACATCGACGATGCCGCCATTGGCAATGGCGTGAACGACGTGGACGCCTTTGGGGGAGTACTCCCGCGCCAGACTCTGCGCCAGCATCCTCACGCCCGCCCTTCCGGCCCCGTAGGCGGCGTACCCGGGGTTTGTCCTCAGGGCGCCCAAGGTCCCCGTGAAAATCAGCGTTCCCTTCTTGATCATCATGTCCTCACCCCCGCTTTCTGAGCTCTTCTCCACATCGGCCGGGTACTGGGCGAGCATCCATTTGAGACAGAGCTGGCTGAACACCATGGCGCCGGTGACGTAGATCTGCAAACTATCGCCGAAGCGCTGGGCGGACTCGTCCTCGAAGGGCGTCTTGTGCGAGTGTTTGATGCTCCAGACGGCCAGTTTCAACTTCATCTCCTTACCCAGCGATTCGGACCATTGCTTGATCTCGTCGAATGCGTCGTTCAAGCTCTGTACCGAAGTATCGGTTTTGAATGCTTTGAGCACGCCGCCGCTGGATTCGCGCGATAAGCGTTCGGCGAGCTGGACGTCGCCGCTGCGCGAGAGTAAGGCGACGGCGAGGTTCCCTTGGGACGGCCGGGCGAGGACCCGAGCGATGCCGGAGCCCGTCGTGGGGCCGGCGCCGAGCAGGATGGCGAGACCTGTTGGAGGCATTCCTTTGGTTTTTCCTGTGGTGGATTTTGTTTCGACCACAGAGACAGGTATGGTTTGTTTCGCGAGAGAACGTAGCGAGGGAAGAATGGGTGAAAGTCGGTTCTCTGATGTTGAAGGGTCAAACGCATTAACAATACTACCTCCTACGTCACCGATTTCTGATGGATTGGAGAAAAGACCGGAAGCTAAATTGGGGGAAGTCTCTGAGAAGCCTCCTCGTGTCCACACGATGGACATGGGGAATCGGACCGTCGCACATCTACCATGCTTAAGATTTGGTTTACTGTTAGGCCTCGCCCTACAATAGCTGAACTATGTCTGGTGGGTTTATCTAGATCGGTAGGGGAGCGTTAAGTTGTCACTCCAGATGTGATGGATCAAAAATGACTGCTTAACCGAGCTCCAGGCTCGCGCGAAGAGCATCGGACCAAACCGCCTGCCCATCGTCCAGCCAAGCATACTCATGGACCAGCCTTCTCGAACCATCAATTGCATATTCAAATCTGCTCAGATCGAGAGCCTGACGTTGTTTCCCGGTCGGCGTTTCGCGGCTCACAAGACTGACAAAAGCAAAGCGGCGCTCTTCTGGTGGCAGCAGGCCAGTGTAGTGGGACTGTGGCGAGTCCCTTTTTGAGTAAGAGAGCTGCCCTTCACCCTCCTCGGCCGAAATGACCGTGGCAACCACACGGTCAGGCGCGACGAATGCCCAGGAGTTGTCTTGCCGTGGAGCCTGACGCATCAGACGCAGCGCAGCTCGTCTCAGTATCGGGTCTCGGCATTTGGTCGCACAGAAGTATAATGGTGGGATGAATCCCGGGTCAAAGCTCGACATGAGCAGTTTAGCCTTTGTCCGTTGGGTGGTCTGCCCGAGACAAAGCGTGGCGTGCTCAACGATTTCCGCAAAGTGGTCCATGTAGGCATCGAAGACGGTCTGGTGGGGGCTGAGGCATGCTGCCACAGAGATGTAGCAGACTGCCCAATACATCAAAAGGTACGAACGTATTAAGGAGCCCTCCGGATCCTGCGTCTGGCTTTTTGTAGCAACAAAGGAGCCTTTCCATTGCAACAACTCATCCAATAACAACAGGCGTTGGGACAAGTACTGGACCTTCCGCGGCTCATCATCGTCAATGTGAGGAAGGAAGTCCGCATGCCTGATCGCTTCGTACGACTGGTCCATCAGACTATCAAATTGAACTCTAGCCTCGCTGAGCAGAGGGGACCTGGACAGTGCTGTCTCGAAGAGATTGCTGCTCTCGTTGTTCGCAACGTGGTGAGGCGATAGAGAGCTTCGGAAGGTGGCAAGCACAATGGTCTTTTTCAAGACGTATGATGCCACCATTTGGTGAACGACTTGACCTGAGGCCGAGTTCGGTCGGGTATCAAGCGACCTCAGATTGTCAGTGAGAATTCTGGAACATCTTGTCATCAAATCGTTCGCAACCTTGATATTTCGATGATGGTATTCCACTGATGCGAATAGTAGATAGCTCAAGGCGACAACAGAATCATCTATTTGCCCAAGTTCGGCCAGCTGTCGAACGCTCACAATCGCTTTGTGGTAGAACCTCAGTGCCTGTCGGTGCTTTTGGTCGGTGACTTTTGCCAGACCTGTTCGGTCAGACGCGGCAGTCGGCGACACATATGGAACGTGTTCTGCAAGGGAGCTGAGGCACACAACGGTGTCCCAGACAAAGCTATATGCCTGGGCGAGTCGAGGGACGTGGTCCTGCCAAAAGGTAGTTTCGACGGTCCCCGCAAACGCGGGTGCTGCGCCATACATGAAGTAATGCCATGCACGACGTTCGTCCTCAGCATGAAGCGGAGCGAGGAGAGAGACCACCCGCGACGGACTTGGAGTGGCCGCTTGGCTGACCATTTTATTCTGGATGAAGCGAATTTCGCGAACAACCGGGCCTTCGCACTTGCGGCCCGTTTCGGTACATCTCCGACAATACGGTTTTGTTTCGTCGCATTTGACTCTTCGAATCCTAGCCTGTGTCAGCTTCATGCAGGAACAATCGTACAGGGAATCATACTTGCAGGTTAAGCAGCCATTTCTAGACTTCTCGTGACTAGCACGTCGTGGTTGCATGTCGCTGTTAATGCAGAGCGTTTATTGGCTTCGCTAGGACTCTTGCATGAGCTCAAATTCGGAGGACATAACTGTCATAGCCCGAATGCCCCGACATGCGAGGACTGACGAACAGTGGGCTCAAATAGGGGGCGTCCGCCACATACCAAGTCATGCCTCATTCCAGGTCGCTGCGACCTTTCTCAAGCAACAAATCCCTAGTCAGTCTCATTCAAATCAGTCTCGAGATCAACTGGTACGATTGTTGATCTCGTATGGAGAATAGGATGAGAAACGGTGGTGAAAGCAGGATAGGCAAAATTGCTCGAGGTACTGGGTAGGTATCTCGAGTGAATCCACAGCCTTACCCCGTACTTGCCCGTACCCATCGATGATTGGCAAGCTCGTTTACTCGAGCTCTTTGGGCTTAGTCTGGAGGGCCTCATGGAGGTAAAGAGGCAAGTGAGCCGAGTCACATGTACACCATCTGGTCAGCCAGCCTCGTCAGGTGACCAAAAACGGGGGACAGCGTTATGTCACACACCTCCCTTTGACCACGTTACAAACCTGTTCAGCTTCGCTGTTGACTTTGACCTGTGCAAAGCCAACCTCTCTTTTCACTCCTGAGCCCTGAGCAATCCTATCTGAGCTGTGGCTGTGCAGTCCTGAGCGTGGCTTGGCAAACCCTAAGGCCTCTTCCGGAGAGGGTGAGCATTCTCTGAGCCCTTGGTAGGGACGATATATGGTACCCCAGGTTCTCAGGATTCGGTGTTTCAAAAGCTCGGCAGGGTCCTATTTCGCTGTCATCAAGTGGTTATAATTTCCGGAAATTTCGCGGGCCGTGGACCTTAGCATCTTCATCAAGTAACTCGGTCCCTCAGTGAACACCTCTGGCACCTCCTGGAAGGTTTGTACCTTTTGCACTTTTTACAACCTGTCCCAGGAATCTTCCGCAGTATCTGGAGATATCGTACTTTCTCTTGCGGTGCACTGAAAGGTGTGTTCTTCGTATTTTTCAACCATGCCAGGAGCATCTTGGAAAGCGTCGCTGCCCGTATTCGGCACTCTTCGTCCCCAGTCTGCAGCAATGCAATCGCAATGTCCATGGCCCCGTGAGACCAGGACATCTCATGTCGTTCGTAATGGAAATACGCAACAGCTCTTGCAGAAAATGCCAATGCCTGAGTCACGAGACTCCAATGCACGTCTCCTTTCGTGGCCATCCTTCCAACTTCCTCTTTCGCATCTTGGAACAGCGACATGACGATTGGTCTGGCCAGTTCCCTCTGGCGGCAGACATAATAAGCTGCATAGGCATGATAATACGACAGGGTGATTGCCGTTTCAGCGTTGTAAAGTTGACCATTGGAGTATTTCGAGCGGATGTACCAGAACTTCCACAGAAAACCAGCCGGGTCTCGGCGCTCGTTCCAATATCGATAAAACACTGACCACATATGAAGAACCATGGTATTCTCATCACCGATGAACTGTTTCAAGACTTTAATCGACATCCAGAAGCCCAGCCGGAGTGTATTCATGAGCTCGGTTGGTGACACATTTCTGATGGCGGTTACCAAAACCGCCAACGGATGTCTCTGGCCATTGTGCTCCAGTATGGTTCCAATGAGGCTATCGAAGAATCTCTTCAGACACCCACCTCCGGGGATGCGCCCGTCGATGCTTTTTATTCCAAGACAGATCCGCCAGAATTTTGCCAGGAAGGATGGGTCAAGATGCTTAGCCGCCTGTCTAAGTCCATGAAAGAACCGGTCCAGCGTCGCTTCGGCTCTATCAATAGTTCCGGACTGCAGGAGAGCAGAGGCACTATGGACTTGGTCTGAGAGTGTTTGCCAAGCTGACGTGCGGGCTGGAACACCAGTGGGATGTATGAATTCAAACATGGTGGCGGACCAGCAGGAGTCTTTTCCCCCTCGAGGATCAAGTGTCCCATCAAGATAATTGTGAATGGAGACCAGTACACAAATTTGATGCTCGTATTGCTTCGGCGATATCTCCTTTGGTATGGTTCCGGAATAAGTAAATTCGTTTGCGGATGCAATGACTATCTCGATCGCGCTGACTGGAGGTATAGCCGTTGCGCGCCGTCTTGACCTTTCCTTTGCACCAGGCCTTTTGTCCACCTTATTCTTTCTGATGCCGAAGGAGGTCAATTTCTCCTTGTACTTTCTTTTTCTGTACAGCCGTTAGTGGATTGACAACATTTGGGTCATGCATGAAACGAATTAACATCGTGAGCTTTTCAAGATGAATTTCATCATCTCTTAAACCGCGCCGGCCTGGAACAAAGCAATCCAAGGCCTAAAGAATGGCCCAAAAACATGGAAGGAGGAGGAATTAAAGGACTTATACGAACGTTCTGCGAAAATGATAGAAGCACCATATTATGTCCATGACTATCCGCAGTTGGAGATTGTCATGGCAATACAGCTGAGTGAGTATCTCGGGAAAATCCTTCCATGCCCAACCCCTTTGAGATACAGCCTTACCATTGGGGTCAGACATGGTCTTCGACGAGCGACGAGCCTTCGGTCTACCGGGATAAAGTCTCCCGGCTTGCTGATTATCCAACTTATATCAAGACTCGCAGAGGTAACGACTTGATAGAGTTCCTGTGAAATAAGGCTGGCGGTTCAGGATGTCGCTGAGGGGTTGGGGCCAAGGACAGGTTGCGAAGTGACATATGATATATCTGAACTACCGCGCCTCACAGAAAAGAGCCACCCAGCCTAACAAGCACGGCAAGGCGAACTTGACGGCTCGTGTCTGTGAGTGGCCAGCTCACTAAGGTCCCCCTGTTCAGTGAACCAATAATAGTAAGAAAGACCGCTGAGTCAATATGCAGCATTTGCATTATCGACCAATCGACAGCGGTGTCTTCAGCCTCAGGCTCTCGAGAGGGTGGCAGCCTCTCAAGTGGGAATGCAAGTCTACGCATTCGGACAGGAAGAATCATTTTCAACAAGGACGGTCACCGGTCTCAAAGGGAAGGTTGGTGGCCCATTTTGTGTATAAGAACAGCTCATTTTCTCCTCGACATCCTCTGTGCTCGATCATTCCCTTTCATCTTTGCAAACTTCCAGATTCAAGTCTTCTATTGACAGGATAAGTCTGGTGCTCCATCATCTATCTCATTCAGCCTACATCTGAAAATTGTTGAGGATTGAATATTTTCTCCCCAGTAATACTTACTTCTTTCCTACGAGTCTCTCACACTCATACTCAATCATCATGGCCACACCTTACGATGAAGATCACTCAGACGACCACTATCAACTAACTGACGAGGAAGACGGAGAACATACTTCAACAACTGCTACACCCAATGAAGAAGCGAACGAGTCATTGGATACTTGGAAACCACCAGGGCGTCTCGAGTGGCTCCTAACGCTTGTCACTGAAGCCAAAGGTGCGGCAACGAAGCAAGTCGTCTATTTTATCAAGAAATTGTATGTTCGTCTGAGCAGACACGAGTCTCACCTGTTTTAAACCCCGCTAATGTGGTACGATCTAGCTTCGGGGGGACGAAATTGATCTTTGTGACGGGTCAAACGGGGGCGGGTAAAACAACGATTCTGCGTGAGCTTACCGGGCTGGATCTCGAAGTTGGTTGGACCATGAACTCAGGTATGTATTACTCGAGAGCTATTTTCAATAACAATGTGAATTGGTGCTGAGACATGCTCCGTATAGGCACTCGAAACTATCGCATTTGTCCCGCAGTAATCAAGAAGGAGCAATACCTCTTTATTGATACTGGTGGCTTTGGAGCCGCAGATATGGATGACATGGAAAACTTCGAGGACATCTTGGAATGTCTCAACGCCCTCGGTCCCTTTGTTACGGTTGCCGGTCTCCTCCTCGTCTGCCAAACTCCACAAGCCCGGCATAGGAGCGACGACATCAAGATGATTCGATGGGCCCAATGCCTCTGCGGTCCAGCATTCTTCAGAAATATTACCTTTGTCACCAGCAAATGGGACGAATGGAGCCCGAAATCGTTCCAGAACTCCTGGGAGAGGCTCGAAACACAACTACTTCCCCATCCTGATGTGTCTCGAATTCTCGCTCCTCAAGGCCGGTATCACGGAGGGTCAATATATCACCATGGCTTTCCGGGAGGCATCGGCTCTGCTGATTCTTACGACCTTCTCATGGACCGAAACGATGACGAAGAGAAACGAGGTGACGAACTTCGAAAAATGATCGACGAGAGATACGGAGGACGCCAAAATTCGAAACCAGCAAAGCTTCAGGTTGTTCGTGAGATGGATTCTAATATCCCCCGACTAGAGACCGAGGCAGCTAAGGCCTTGAGAGCAGATGTCGTCGGTACCAACATCTACATCCACGGTGATCGTGCGATTGTGAGGGCACCGACGCAGCCGCCCTTGCCGCCGCCGCCGCCTTCGTCTGATCAGGAGAATAACAAGAATGGTAAACCCTTCTCTGATAAATTCTGGGGGTGGTTCGAGGTTTGCAGGGTTGCGGCCGAATTTTTCAAAGAGGCACGCAAGAGGCAGTACGAATCTAACAACAACACAACGGGGACCAAACCTGTCTGGTCTCTGTGGGCATCAATCAAGGGCTGGTGGTGGGGAGAGGAATCCACGCGCTCCTCGGAATCTGGGTAGATGCCGGCGCCTGTCCGTTGAGAAACAGTGTGTCAAGTAAGCGCTCGAGAACAGGGTAAGTGCGACAAGTGAGCTCTACAGGGACCTCTGAAATTGGGAAAGATTGAAATGCTTGGTATATTTCTTCTCTCTTTTCTCATAATACTTGGGGGAAGACAAGATGAGGACGTTCGTTTTCCTTGGACTGGCGACAGTCCTAAGTCGGCACAACACGGCAATGAGCGCCAGAACTTCCATCAGTCGCTCAATCAGTTGCGTTTCATTCTCTCTTCTGGTTTCCTCTGACTTAGATAGCTCCTTTATATGAGACACACTCCGTTTGAACACTGTTCGGACCTGCACGGACTGGGTTTCCTCAACTGCCGTATAATATTTCGGGGCCCCTGCAAGCAAACATGGCCCTTCCAATCTACGGGAGTTCCTCGAATTTGATTCCAGCCCACCCCACTCGGATCCAATCCCTTCTGATCGTGGTGGTGAAATTCACGCTGATGCTAATGACCACGTTTGCTTGAACCATACCACTTCCGCTGAAAGGAGCGACATAGGGCTTCATCTGGGCATGAATGATGTTGAGACCTTGTTCGTCGTGTTTTACGGTCTGACCATCACAAACAGAGACTTGGGTGACCTTGGCCGTACCATACGTCTGGAATACAACACAGCCCTGGAAAGACTTCATGGCGACGCCGTTGAGTACAGATGGGCTTGGGACAGACAAATGGACATAAATATCTTTGGTCGTTTCACGCCCGTGCCACGTCTGTCGATAGGCCGTCCAGGTTGAGTCTTGGAGTATGGCCGATATGCAAGATCCCGAAATGTAATAGAGACGACGTCGTCGACATTGCATATGAAGAAGTGATGAGAGACTTGGTGAGTGGTAAAGCTACGAAACACGCGAGGTATAGAGTTGGCGCAAGCCAGTCAGGGTGTCCTTTGCCGGTCTGGGTGCTCTTTCGGCTTTTCTATAACAATTTGCTGCTTGGAATCTTTGTTCTTCGGCCAATCAATCCACGCGACACCAGGACATATTTGCGTGATATCTCCCTTATACAGCCCCTTGAACCATTTTATCATCTGGCTGCAGATTGCAACTATCAAGTTGGTTTCCTGATCCTCATATTGTGGCGTTTAGAACCATTGTCGATTCTCTTTGCAGGCGGCTTTAGCAGGAGGTCTTTGTCCTACTAACGAATAACCTGGCACTACTCGTGCATCCTTGTCACCGTGATGGTGGGCTTCGACCTTAACGTGGTTTCGCGGCATTCCCATTTAAGCACCATGCAAGCCACACTATTGAATGGCGGCGAGGCTTCTATACTAACTGGCCTAAACTTAATAGTGGTTAGCTTGAAGACTAAATTCAAACATAAAAGTACTCCAATCGGATGTTTTTTTTCTCTATCAAATTGTACTCCATATAACTTCATACGAAAGTTTGGACTTGCGACCCTCTTTATGAAACCCTGCTCTTCACTTGCACTACACAATCCAGCCATGCACTCGCTATAGTACGGACTGGCCATGTTAATGAGTCCAGCGACCCACAACGCGACTGATGGTCCAGCACCCAAGCCCAACCTGCTTCTCCCGCTCCCTCCGCGAAGTGCTCACACTCATTATCATAAACAAGAATTTTTTAAGACGATTCTGGACCATTTCAGGTCCGCATCCGTAGCCAGGACAGACCAAAGTCGTGCCACCCAGAGCCTGAGTATCATCAGGGGGTTCGAAATGTTTTACACTACTTGGTAGGTCAACAGCAACTACTCCGAGACCCCTTTCACCATACCAAGCCGAAGGTTGGGGTTCGGAGGGAGGTCGTCTTTTATGTTTGTTATGTTGTACGAATCGTCGTGTTCCGGCGCACTATGTCGCTACTAGCTTGACGTCGCTATCTTACCAGGCGTCTGAAATATCCTCGACTGTCACCACGTCTGTTCACCTTACGTCTTTGCTTCAGAGCTAAATGCCCGCCATGTTGCTCTAGCTGCCAATATCCACCATGACCTTCCCGTCCACCTTCTTGGGTTGCTCCTCCCCGATCATCATAATGGCCGTCTCACGTTTGAGGAATTTCTTTTCATCAGGAACCACCACTCGGAGATACTCTTCGTCTGCAAAGACCTACACATACCTGTCAGCTAAAATATTCCAACGACGTTTTAGGGCCACCTTACGCTCAACAGCTCGTCCATGCTTTCAGCAACCATGGTGACGATGCCATCCCATTGACCAATTTCGACGCCAAAGTCGCTTAGAGATGCGGTGGACTTCTTGTCAACATGGAACTCCTACCATCAGCCCTGTACCTCTGGTGATGTGCCTGCAGAACTCAACCTGAGAATAAGTAATGATCTTGTTCCTGACGATCTCGGTGCTCAGCCAGATTTTAGGATGTTCCACCGACCAACTGTGAAACCTCAGCAAAGCGGTCCTTCTCATATCTCTTGGGCACGTCTTACTAATGGTGAAACTCCTCGTCACTGAGGTGATCCTGCTTGTTGATGAGGATTTGCAGTTTGCAAGGCATGATTGTAAGATTGTCTTCGGCAAAGAGAGGACTCTACAAAAGGTCGGTGACTGAGATTGTTAGAGCTAAGGGCGATAAGTGCTATTATATCTTCCATCCACTGGATGGATGACACAAACCTAGACTGCTCAGTCTGCGCGCGGCATGCAAGTCTGACAGAGCAATCTTAGGAACTCCCGACGCAAAGTACCGTCCTCGGAAGGCCCCACCACTCCGCAGATGACTCCGCCTTCTCAAGAAGCGCAAATATCAGCCGGTCATTCTAGAACACTCAAATATCCGGGGATATGGAGGTTCATGGGGTTGTGGCCCTTCGGTTCCCGGATCCGAGAATCGCTAAGCGGGAGCCGAATCAATACTGACTATAGAAAGGTTTGAGCAGCCGAAGATAATTGCACAACATGCTACTCTAGCATATAAAGCATATCGAAAGCACTAGGGCTCCGTTCCTGCATCATAATCTAAGTCGAAAATAATGACGACTGAACAAGTTGTAAGTACCACCAAGCCCGGCATATCAACTTGCTAATCATCAGATAGTACAGCATACTCCGCGACAAGCTCGGTGAGAGCAAGATCGTAAAGCCCAAAGCCGGGGAGCTGAAATACTTCACCGCACAGTCGGCTGCACTCGTTCCTGCCGTCCAAGTGTTTCCGGAAAATGCAAAAGAAGTCTCAACTGTACTCCAGGTCGCGCAGGATCTGCAGATCCCTTTTGCCGTGAAGGCTGGTGGACACGGAGTATACTCCGGCGCATCGAGCATTGAGGGCGGTATCCTGATTGACTTGAGCCGGATCAACGCGGTGGAGGTCGCTCCTGACCGTACGTCTGTGTCCATAGGGGCGGGGGCGAAGTGGGGTGACGTTTACGGCAAACTTGATCAGATGGGCATCAGCGTACCTGGAGGGCGTATTTCGACGGTGGGTGTTGGCGGCCTGACACTTGGAGGTGAGATATCACGATTACGACAGCGTCAAATACGTCTCAATTGACACTGGCAGGTGGAATCTCCTTCGCGGCCAGCCGGTACGGCCTTGCATGCAACAACGTCAAAAGCTATGAGGTACACCATGTGTTGTCGATGCCGCACTGCGCAAACATTATTGACAGGGGAAAACACAGGTAGTTCTCGCCGACGGGAAGATCGTATCTGTCACACACGAAACTCACCCAGATCTCTTCTGGGCGCTCCGCGGGGCAGGGACGAATTTCGGGATCGTGACGACGTTCGAATTCGTAGCGTTCGAACAGAACCAGATCTGAGGTGGTGTGAAGCAATATCTTGAAGACTCCGAGACGCGAGCAATCGCTTTGCTGGACACCTTCTGTAAAAGCCAAGATCCGTCGTCGTCGTCTGCGGACGCCGACGCCGAGGCCTTCATCATCACCGCCTATGTTGCTCCGATGGCCAGATTCATCACCACGGCGGTTTTGTCCCACGGCAAACCAGAGGACGATCCGCCCGTGTTTGACGGATTCACGGCGTTACCGTCTATCGCTTCGTCGACGAAGATTCGAAGTATAGCTAACCTTTCAGTAGAATTGAATGCGAACAATCCGCACGGGCTCAGGTATAATGTTCATCCTGGCATTCTTACTGGCATCACGTATGGTAGACTCAGCTTGCTGACTTGAGGTCTGAAGGTCCAAGACACTGGCGTTGGCTGTGAAAAGCGACGTTAAAATCCTCACCGGCGTCCTGGAGATCTATAAAGAGGTAATCAGCCCACACCAGGACACGGTCATAAACTTTGTGCCTGCGATCTTGCTTCAACCTCTACTTCCGCGGATGCTACCAGCCTCCGGGAGCGAACATGCGCTGGGGCTCACCAGAGAAGACGGGCCACTGTTTGGTAAGTAACCACTCCCCATCTCTGGTGAGCAATCACCCAGGCCACGAGGGCAAACTCACCGTTTCGTTGAAAAGTGGTATCCCTGCTCTGGTCCTGGACCGAGCCGTCAGACGACGCCCTTATCGAGTCCCTCGCGCACGATTTCGCAGGGCGTGTGACAGCGACAGCGACTGCCCAGGACAAGTTCCACCGCTACATCTACCTCAATTACGCGGCAGGCGATCAGGACGTGTTCGCGAGCTACGGTAAGGAGAACCTGGAGAGGCTGGTGCAGGTCAGCAGGGAGTATGATCCGAACGGGGTTTTCTCCAAGTTGAGGCCTGGGTATATCAAGGTGGCGAGGGGCCGGCAGCCGAATGGAGATACATGATGTGGTTGGGAATTGTGAGGGGTTTACTTCGTAAGAACTCGGAGATTGGAAACACGGAAAGGATACTGTGAGTGGCCCCATGGGATCAAATAAGAGGAAAAATCAAACCCGAAGTATAAATATTTCGCCTCATTGGTCGTTTCGCCCCAGAATATCCAAGTTCATCTCCCAAGGTAGTGCGATGGATCGACGTTCTCTGGGCCCAAGGGTAATGCGCGGAGGAAGACACTGAAGACTTCCTCTCCGGAACAAGTTTCAGGAATGCGTTTCTGTTGACTGTTTTAACTCTCAATCTCCAGGCGATTTTAAGGGGGACGCAGCCTCTGGAGTACTAGTAAGTAGAGCATCCATTCTGGAAGTTCTAAAATGCAGAAAGAACCGGTTCGAGGAAAAGAACTACTTATATCCAAGACAATGCTTGACCAGGTTGTACGTAGACCGCCAGTTCTATCTTCTCTTCTCTGGTCCTTCTTCCAAGCTCCCTACCTGCCTCCCGACTCAATATCCTCCTTGTGGTACCCGTGCGCACCCAGTTCCCTGTCTCCGATCGTGACCGGCTTCGCAGCTGCTCGATGACAGCGCCACCGATCAGCAAGACGAACGACAGCAACATCAAACTTCACAATCAAGAGGGGGAGGGGATTTTTTTGGGACACCCGTACCAACCAAGCAAAAGTACAGCCTTGCCGGTTTCGTGCCTGTGTTCGTCCACCCGTGAATCGTGCCCCGCTGGACACACACGTCGCCGGGCTTCATGTCGACTCTGGCGCCGTCATCCAAGTAGCTGTCGGCACACAGTAGGGGGTATGTTAGTCCACCCCGTATTACCCGTTTCTGAAGGAGAAGATGAGGAAAGAGAGAGCACGGGCTGGACATGACTGACCATGAGACCTCCCCGCTAAATAAAATCCCAAAGTCCAGAGACTCTGTCCTGTGAAATAGCATTTTGGCCTGATAGACATGTAAATAATGTTAGTTGGATCCTCTTTCCCACCCTCCCCCGTTCGTGAAACCTAGACTCCGGACATCCTCACCTGCGTCGTGCCTGGCTCAACGTCGACGACTCTGAGAATCACTCCGTTTTTATTCGCGAGATCCGTCGTCCTCGCCATCACGGGATCTTCTGTCCCAGAGTTGTCCGCGGGAAATTGCTTCGTCTCCCAGAGCACGCCGAGGCTGGCCCCCAGCTTTGTCGCTTCCAGGGGGATGCGCGAGTCCGCAAGGAAAATCGCTTTGCCCTCCTCGTCGTGGCCGGTGACGATTCTTCGGGGGTGCGGCAGGGATGCCATTATCGCTGCTCATATGGAGCTCTGTACACGCTGCGTCTGTGGCGTGAGGTCTCTGGAAGTGAAGGGGCATTTGGCTAGATAAGTGATTTAACCACGTATGGTTCCGGCGCGTTCCCGACATAAGATCCTGGTGCAGAGAAACCTGACGCTCGTCGCCAGGCTGCAGAGCTAAGGCCTCGGAAGCGACTATCTCGGCCCACAAGTGGTGAGAGTGTTTGTGATGGAGTCTCGGATTACCCGTCATCGGCGATGGGTCTTCACGACATGATTTCCGAAACGGGAGGCTAGGAACTTTGTCTGGCCTAAGCTTCTCGCCTCCACAAACTGAGGGAGTGATCTAGACAGAGGGCTGCTCACTAAAAAGATTCTCCACGAATCTCGAACAGAGGTCGCAATCGACTTAGTGGGTCCACTGTAGTAATACGGACATGGGGAATGACGATTTGATATTACCCAAAGCGGACTACTGCAGGGACCAAGTGGGGTTGGACAGGAGCCTCGGCGACTGCAGGCTGCTCGGAAAAGGGGCCTAGTGCTGATCCCCCCGCTACCGATCCTCAGGACAGGCTCGGATCCGGCCAAATATCATGGCAGGATGTTCCTTTCTCTGTTGCTCTTTCAGTGCTACCCAGGGAGCCGCGTGAGTCGCCCAGCAGATCATCTCTTCGGATCAACTGAAGCGAAGGCATTCCGTTGTCACAATGGTCGCAGAGTCGTTGCGCCGTCCTCAAAGGAAGCAGAACTCGAGCTGCGACGGCTGTCGCTCGTCCAGAATACGCTGTGATGCTTTGCAAGTAAGAGAACTCGTCGCTGGCGGAGGACTGTTGAATGCTTCTGTTCGTGACGACCGCAGATGCACCAACTGTGCCCGGAAAGGTCGCCCTTGTACTTTCAAAGTGAGTAGCTCAACCATGCTTCTACACTTTTGCCGACTTTGCTCCATGGCCATGAGCATAATGATTCGTTCAGTGGCTTCATGCAGCAAAGCGCCGTCGGGTGTCGAACTCAGTCCTCTCTACCGCTAGTATCGAGACTGAGGAGGGACGGACGCATCAAGCACTCAACCTTGAAGGGAATACCCAACGGATCTACCTGTTAGTATAAAGTCGCATTCAATTTGGTCAACTTGCTGATCGGGCAGATCTCCTGGACAAGGAATACCTTCTCCGGGTGATGCCTCTTCATCCAGAATTGCCCAGGCGTTCAAAATACGCGAGGAAGTTATCGACTCCTCCATGTGGCATATCTTCTCTTCGATTTTCGAGACAGCCCTCGGGGTATGGCTCGGCAATGGTTGCTGCCCATACCCAGGGCTTCCAGATGTAAGTTCACGACACCCTTTAATCACCCACCAAAGGAATTTCCCTCAAGAGGTTGCACAGGGGTCGAGAACGATCATATCACGGCTGTTCGTGAGCTTGGACGAATGGAAATGTCCTTGTCGACAACATGGCCGCCAAGCAGATACTAGGCAGACCGTTGCAGGAATTTTATGTGTCAAAGCAGACAAAGCTGTCAATCAGGCTCTAAACGCAGCTGTACATGCTTTCAGTGTCCGGTGGCTTCCGCTGATTGCAGGTGCAAGTATTCCCACCGAGAAACTGAATGAACTGGCACGGAAGCTTTGGCATAATGCACGATCCAAGATCTTGCTGATCTTGCAACAGAAGCGCAGCTACAGATCGATATTGGCGCTGTATATATTCGGAATGACCCCACTGCCTCCAGGCCTCGAAGAGCATGAGCTAGCCTACGGGAACATTGGCGAAGTTTGCATTGACATTGCCATGCGGCAGCTGCAGAATGTCCGAGGGAAGAAGAACATCAACCGCTTCTCTGCAGCGGCTATTGTTGTCGAACCCTTAACTGCCACAGCGTCAGACGATGCATCATCCCACACAATTGATGAGGGCTACCAACTGCGAGAAACCATCGCATACTGGGCAGGCTTTGTATTTGACACTTCTGCGTCGCTGACCACTGGTTTACCTTCGATACTCCATGCGAGCATCCTGGGGTTCCAACAGGAAAGAACCATACAACTTTTGAAGAAGACCGCACAGGAGTTTCACGACAAGACGGAAGACTGGAGGGTCAATGGTTTTGAGGTGACCAATCAACGGGCGATTTGGATAGTCCAGTCCGCCAGCGGTTGGAAAGGCGTGTTTTGGAAAGCCGTGGCCTCATTGCGAGAAGCTTTGAACTATGGGCATGAGCCGCATGTGATCTTCTGGGCACAAGCGGCCGCCTTGCAAGGCATGCAACGATATGACATGACTTACGCTCCGCTGCTTGCAGCTTGCAAGCGGGCCCTACTCTTTCTTGACTTCGAAACCCAACTCAATTGGTGTGAGTGCTCAACAACCCAAGCACTCACAAGTAAACTGACGAATTTGAAGATCTTCTCTCTCTTCACTATCACCTAGGACAATTGATTCTGTACGATACCCTAGATACATTGGACAGGAGAGACTTGTTTCCGAATTCGGACAACTCGCAACTGGCCGCCGTACAGGAGACTGTAAGCATTATCTTGCAAGGTATTCAATGCACGGTCTCTCTTCGAAATGTATTCGGCCCGTCGTCAGCGGCTCTTCGCGACGACACGGTGACCCTCCTAAGCGTTGACCCTTATCCACATCATGTGGCCACAGCCTTGAGCCTTGTGTCCGATTTCTTGCAGAAGCGTTCAAGGGGGGCCTGCACCAGCTCTGAAGCTCTCGAGCGAATCCAAAACCTCGCAACGGTGGCGCTCGATCAGCTCCCACAATGCTCGGCCTCGCTCCAAGCTTCCCGAATCAGCATAATGGCAAAATTGGAAGGGATACAACAGGTTCCAGACGGCCACAGCCCTGGTAACGGCAAGGAGCCGGCAAATAAAAGCCGACAGCGGCAATCGCAACTCGAGAGCCATCACATCGGTGAAGCGCGCGAGGAAGAGTTTGAGGCCATCGACAGGTTTGAAATTGGCACTATACACCAGACGGCCGGGAGCGTTGCGAGTAGTGGTGAGCGGCAACAGATGCCATCAGGACTTATTGATCAATGGGATTGGACATTTAGTGAGGACACACCATTGAGCTTCGAAATGCTCGAGCACGATACATTCTTGTCCGATCACGGTCTTTTCGAAGTGAGTTGCCGCACGCATGGCGATCGCTTAAACCGAACTGGTACGAAGCTAATTTGGGTATGTTCAACCCTAGGACTGCTTCTTCCTCGCATAGCCGACGAGATAAAGAGGCACAGAGATTGGGGTTTAATCAACTCTTCACACCTCGTGTCGATTGTCGTGGTCCATCGACAAAGACATCTTTCTGCTCTGCCTGCGACGCTGAGAGACATACTGGCACAGTGTGTCTTGTGTAAAATGGAATGGCGGACTCGTTTCGCGAAGGCTATAACAATGATGAGCCGAGTCTCATTCGAGCTTTGGAGGGCCGGAAAACGGTGGCGTGCCGATTTCCTCGATGCGATGTTTCGGCGTTCCGTGGTCTCCGGTGCTGTTTCCGGGCTCGCTGACGGCCATCATTGGCGCAGGGTTGGGCATATTTGAGATGAGGATGCCAACTTGCCTCGAGGCTGAAATGTCGGATTTGGCATTCCTCTCTGAAGTAATCCGTTATAGCCAGGCAGAGCCTCAGAGGCACGCAAATGAGTCAATGTATTGTCGGCATCAGCATTTGCAAAGGATCTCGTAATTCGTATCGAAAGCATGGGGTTGTCGTTGAAGTCATAAAATTGAAATAAGAAGAGCGTATACAGTGGAACTAAGACTGAGAGAAGAGCATCGGTCGCAAGCGAGGCGAGACAATAAGAATTTGCACAGACAAGAAGTAGGTGCAGTGTCGATATAGAATGATCAAGAACCATGGATAGAGCAGTGACAATCGACCGGGAGAAGTCACTTTCTAGCAGGACCACACCCTGTAATAACATCTTGCTCGATCGAAACCTGTGACGATTTCACCAACCGGAATAAAACTCAGCCCTGGCATTCTCGTATACCCCCCGAAACGCCATTGTTGACACACGATATTAGTGTGGGAAACCCTATCTCTCCCCTGCTTGCTGGAAGAATCCAAAAGCATACGATCCCCGCTGAGATGGCTCTCAAAGAGACCCTCCTTTACAAACCCCTGGCATACGTCGAGCGCATGAACGATCCATGACTGTTGCTCATCGAACTCGAGAGGGAATCCGTCTCGGAACCTCTCTCACTAGGCGTATTTCTGATTATGGAGCTGTTCGGTTGACGGTTTGATGTGACGGAAGTAGAGGGCCGTGATGAGGATGAGGCGGAAGATGACTGGAAGAGGTTGGACGGACCGTTGGGTGTTGTGTTCATGGAGAGAATGGATTTGCGGGCAAAGAATGCAGATGCCATTGCGTCTGACAAGTCTTGGAACGTGATGTGCTTGTCCAGGTATTGGAAAGGCCAATGCTGTAAAGCGGTACCGTATTTCGATGATTCAGCTCAGCGCTGGGGACGATAGCTTTTTTTTTTTAAACAGAGAATTAACTTCGTATGCAAAGGCCGAAGAATGGCAGACAAGACAAGGGAGATCTTGGAACATCTTATACCACTGCTTCTTACTCGGTTTCTTTGAACGCGTTGTCCTTATGGCGTGGCACTGCCTGAGGTGAGTGCATATCCAGCGGAAACACCTCGATACGGGCAAGATATTGGTGGGAAGAACGAATCAAAAGGATCACCAGAATCGTGCGGGCCCTGGGCCTTCCATCTCCGCGACAAACCGACCATGATGCCAAAGCTGACCACATGCGACATCCAAGACCAGAGTGTGAGTGACGTGCACCAGTGTCACGACACTGTTCCAATAAAGATGGGCGGCAGAATCAACAGCACGAAAAGAAGTCCCAAATATGGCACAAGCGCTGACAGGGCGCAGCAGGCGAAGAGTCCAGAAAGAGCAGAGACTGCAGTCTGTAGGGCTGATGGCCGTCACACGTGGGCAGTGGGCGCATCATTGGATGAAGATGCCACCGCCTGAAAGTGGGGGCTGACACGCACAAACATGCCCCTGAGAGTGCAATGGGCGCGGTGAAGAATTAGGGAGTATACTCGGTACGGAGTGTCTATACCTATATAAGGAAAGACCCACATACCGCTCCACACCACTGCACAGCACTTGCACACCACCTGGCGCTGGGGAATCAGTCAGCCTCATTCCACAGCCCATCACTGACAACAGAAGCCAGAACGATGACATGTGAATCCGCCCTTTGCAGACATTGAGATACGGGCAAGGAGGTCAAGGAGGCCAAGGAGGCCAAGGAGGTCAAGGAGGCCAAGGAGGTCAAGGAGGCCAAGGAGGTCAAGGAGGCCAAGGGCTTGGATCCGACCAAATCCTCCACCGCCATCCTCGTCGTTTTGGTATTGGTCCTTCTAGGACCTCCTTGCATCATAGTAACGACTCGCGTGTCCCCTTTTCGTTACTACGGTACATCGCGTCAATCATGCGGTGTCTAAGCAATGCATCTTCGAAAGTCACTACACTGCCATCTCCTTCACCCATGAGCGCATCCCAAGCCTTTCCCACATTGTACGCAAAGTCCGTGGCCGGTTCTCCGTCGATCTCCTTCAGCTGTGCAGCCCCTGCGCCTGCTTTCGCAAACTTGATTGTCGGGTGGAACATCTGAATATGGCCGTTGGGGCTCTCGAGCACAAGATTTCCTTTGGTGCCATTTATTTCCCAGTAAAAGTCCTTGCCCGTGTCTGAGATGCCACCTTGATACACGACCGTGGCGACGCCTCCTCCCCGCTCGAGCGTGCCTGTCACCGACATCCAGTCATGCGAAGTCTTGTTAACAGTCCTGAGCACCTTTCCCGAGGGATCAACAATGGTCATTGTCGGTCGTCGTGTTGCCAACTTGGCCTGCAAATCCGTCATCTCCCCAAAGACGTAGCAGAGGGCATCCATGGCATGTCCGGCCGGTATGGTGATCAAGTTGGCGCCGTGCTCAGGCACCTTGACGGACACGACGACCATGTCGACATTTGAATCGCTGGCCCAGGATTCAGGGTCACCATAGCACGCGACATGCCCACCTAGCTTGTACTTTTGCACGGCTTTCTCCGCCGACGCTTTGCTGCTGCTCTGCAGTGCCGCGATCCGGAAAAGGTGGGGTCTCTGCTGAATATGCAGAAGATGCGATTTGGCGGCCCCTTGTCAGCAACAGAGTGATACCTCTAGCGTCAGTGTGCCAGGTCCTTATCTACTGTCTTGTTTTTGTCGTGAGGACAACTGACCCGTCAGCGGATAACCCGATGAACCCTAGCCGGACGGGCGCCATATCGATTGCGATCTGTTAGATCCAAACGAACTCTTTCCAAGTGTCACTCGTGGGCAGAGTTCTTCCTGAAATTTGACTTGCGATCACTGATATTGCTCAAAGTACTCACGTCTCTCGATCGCGAACGAAGATGTGGTGACAGGATCGTTTCAAACAAAAATCCGGCAACCCTGATATATATATATATATATGCATATACCAGTTCGAAACCACAAACTAAACTGCGCTCAGCTCTTCACGAACCCTTGTTCTACGGGAATACGTTACAACTGGCAGCCAACCGCCCGATGGACTGCGTGATAGACTGATAGCCCAAGCAACCTGCGTCGGCTAGAATCCTGTCCCCAGAGTGATGATGGCGACAATGATGATGGGAGGAAGCCGGAAAAGGGTTTCCTGGACTCACATCTGACGCTTGCGGGGAAAACACGCATACACTCACCCTTCCAAGGAAAAGAGCCGCACGCCCTTTCCCTTCGTCCATCTCAAAATTCTCACGTCGAGCAATCAAGAGCGGCCGTGGATGACAAATGCCTTTTATCAGCCTCGTGAGGCTGAATGGCGCTAGGCTAAACCCGGTACTTAGACCGACATCAATTCTTCCCTCCCAAAGTGGCCCTGAGGACAGCGAGTGTTGGTGGACCAGGCTGGGGGAAGTATAGAGTACTAGTCGTGATTTATGGAATGAACTTGACTTTCCTCACCTATCCGTTCTATGCCATGCCTTGCCATATTGGAGGCGGACGGGGATAGCTGACAAAAGCTGCACAATGCTCCTATGGTGGCCTCTCTGTACACCCCAAAGTGAAAGGAGAGCAGCATCGAGGTTCGACCGAATACTTCTCCTGTATCATCTACGTATGAGAGAATCAGATAACTCTGTCCGCCGTCCGGACTTTTTCCCACCGCTGCAGCGAATTGATCCTCTATTTGCCTGACCGATCTAATACAGGGTATCTATAAGGGGCTGTGACCCGCTCTATGCATCTCATCGTAAGCTCGTCATATCATCGTGCAAACCCCAGGACCCTTTTGCTTGACAGCCGATGTAACCGAGAGTCAATAGCCATGAAAAACTTCAGTCCAACCAGAGCCGTGGAAAATTCACACTCTTTGCAGAGTTCGTGCAAGTTTCTCGAGGATTGACAACACACCTAGAGAATATGTTAGCTGTAGCGATTGAAAAGACTGCGAAATTCGGAACTCACCAGTGACGCCTTGAGTCAATGTAGCCGATGCTTCGGTGCTTCTGGCACCCAATGTCACCGTGACAACGTCTTGGATCTTTCCAGCCTTCTCCAGCCGGTGAGCCCAGTTGAAGACATACTCATCCTCTCGCGAATCGCCAATCACCATGAGAAAGTCTGGGAACGGCACACCCTTCTCCCGAGACGCTTTTTCAAGATTCTCGCCAATCATCTGGGCGGCTGATCCTTTGTGAACATCCATCTCCGAGATGTTGAGTCCATCTTCAATCGGTATCGCATTCACATTCTGTCCGCGACAAGCGTCATTGATGTGATTGGCGCACTCACCAGCCTGTTTGAAGGCCCCTTGCCGGTCCTCTGCTTCTGAGTAATCGAAGATCAATGAGGCATGTCGCTCTTCAACTCGGCTTCCTTCAATTCTCTCGACATAGTATTGAAGAATACTCTTGATCCCTTTCTTCCAATCTCGAACGTGCTCGAGATTGGTCAATTCCTGCCACTCATCTGTGCTCGGCTCCAGCACAAAGGCACCATTTTCGGCAATCATCCCAATACCACTAACTGGACTGAAGAGGCGTTCCATCTCTTCTGGCATTCTCGAGCTCATGACGTACACGATATTTTTCTTGTCTTCGATAAGATCATTGAGCACGTCGACCGATCTCTTGGGCGTGGTCAAGATAATATCAGTGGGTGAACCCCAGGAAGCCAATGTTCCCTCGTAGTCGAGGATGATCAACCGCTTTTTGGCTTTCTGGTACTTGGACTTCACGGAAGGCAACGACAGTCGGGGAACCGCGGTGGAATCGCGGACAGTGTGTTCTTTCCAGGCATGTTCCAACCCCTTGATATAGTGCTCGAACCAACCAACGGCATTCTGGTGTACAACAATATCGTACAGGGCTTTCCACCGATTCTCCCGCTCTTCAAGTGACATGTCGAGAGCTTGTTTGATAGCGTCGGCACAATGGCTGTAATGCCATGGGTTGACCAGAAGAGCATTATGCCCAAAGACCGTAGCGGATCCAGTGAACTCACTAAGAATCAGGGGGCCGTACTTGTTCTGGGAGATTTTGCCGTCCTGGCAGAGGATCCACTCATGGCTCGTCAAATTCATGCCTTCTCGCAAGCTAGTAATCATCAAACATTCTGCAACGGTGAGCAAGGCCATGTACTGAGAGAAGTCAATGTCTTGCTTCAGGAAGACCAGCGGCTGGTGGGCCAAGGTCGAGTGGGTTGAGTTGACCCGAGTGACAATGTCGGCCACAGTAGCACTTAGTTCCGGGTCTTCGGCAGAAGAGGTCGCAATTTGGATGAGCACGACTTGATCTCTGTATTCCGGGTATTTGTTGAGGAACAGCTCGTAGGCCAGGATCTTTTGACGGACCCCACGGATACTGTCCAACTTGTCCCTTGCCACGATGATCCGCTTGCCGCGATATTTGTCGGTGATGGTATGCACCCATTCTTTGACTTCTTTTGCTTGTCGCTGCAGGTCGATCCCTTTGGGGTCAATCCCAATAGGGCACGTGTTGACATGGACAAATCTGCCATCTTCGAGAATGACCCCGTGTTTGGTCGCTTCGACGTTGAGAAGACGACTGCAGGTTTGGAGGAAGTGATGGCCATATTCGTCGTTCTGGAATCCAATCATGTTGGCACCCAACATGCCTTGGAGCAAGTCCGTGCGGACGGCGAGGCATCGAAAGATTTCCGATGAAGGGAATGCCGTATGCAAGAAGAAGCCGATTTGAGCTTCGGGGAGCTTTTGACGCAGTAAGCCGGGAAGGAGAAGCAGATGGTAGTCATGGATCCAGATGACGTCGCCCTTTTTCCAATTCTTTACGATGCGGTCGGCGAATGCCTCGTTGACTTTGACATAGAATACCCAAGAGTGATCCTCATATGCCTTGCTCTTAGGATGGTCCGGGATCTGATAGTGGACCACTGGCCACAGAATGGTCTTACAGTAGTGCTCGTAATGACCATTGAGATCACTATCACTGGCATAGACAGTCAGACAATCGTAGTCATTTTCCAGTTTCTCTGCAATATTCTCTTTCAGGTGATCGTCAAGGGCGTCGACTGGGCAACCCAGGGTCCCGACCCAAGTCTTTTCTTCACATATTCCAGCATCACCAGCGGCGTCAATGGCGTTGTATAGCCCCCCGTTGCCGATGATGGCCTTCTCCACTGTGTAGCTGTCGTGTGAAAAGTGCCGTTCGTGGCTAACCGTCCTCGTTCTCTGCCGACGACCGAGTCTGTGCGCAGTATTGTGGCCGAGTGAAACAGCTCTCTCTTTGACTTCCTTAACGTCTTTGGCCATGACCACCGCATGTTTTAGAATTGAACTGGGAGGAGGGGACTTGGCTCGCGAGGGAGGCTGATTCCAAGTAAAGGTCTTCCCCCAGCCGGGCGAGTGAAGATCATGTCGAGATATCGCGCGCACGGGGAGTGAGGCCTCTTGTTTGAGCTCAGGGAGAGTTAGGCTAATTTTTCGCTCAGTATGTGGCCGGAAGATTTTCTCATGGTCGGTGGTTGCGCCCGGGGTCGGAGGAATAGGCCCAGGACTCTGAGAGAGATGGGAGCTGCTGCCCGCACCCGGGGTGAACAAGCTAACGGTCTGAGTTTCATTCGGGGTGTTCTGGGCGAGTGTTAACTGCGGTCTCAGAAGCTCCGGAGATTCTGGCCGGGAACCAGAGGCCGGAACGTCGAAGTTGATAGTATAGGGCAGAAAGAGGGTAGCAACAAAGATGGTCATCGTCACTGGTGGATGTTAACGATGGGAGCTAATGGCGTGACAGGCGAGGAATGTCAGAGGTATGGGAGATTATGGGTAACAGCCCGGTTGCAGTGAAATGGCTGACTGACGCTGTCTTTTTGGACAAATGAGGGATTGGAACAAGACGGAGCGAGCGAAGGCGTGAGGAAAGAAGTTGGTGGTGGTGGTGGTGGTGGTGGTGGTGGAGGACGGAACGAGGAACGCACAGCGACACACTGTGAAGGAAGCGACCGGTGCAGGTTCCAGCCAATTCTAGATCCCACGGATGGTGATGACCACAAAAAGAGAATGAACGAACAAGAGGAGGGAGAATGGATATAAAGGTGAATCGGTGGTGGTAGTGGTGACGGGGTGGGTGGAACAAAAAAGTTGAGGTAGGGCAAGGGTGAGAAACTCTGGTCAATTGACTGATTGATCACGGACGGTGCAGTGATACAAGACCCATTCGTCGAGGGCAGGTGTGAAGAGTACTGGATCCCATGGTTTCCAGCATTATCATGACGATGGGCCGAAGGGGAAGAAAAGGATATCTGACGGTTAGGGTAGAGCGAAGCACAAACGCGCATACACACGACTGGTCGTATTAGGAGCTGGGACTCGATGACCAGGTTTGTTTGGGCGGGAAACGAACATTGAGGGGGGGGGGACTGGGCAGCATGACGCACGTGGTGGAGCCCAGCGACCTGCCCACCAAGCGGTCCAGATGCCCCCCAGCAGCCGGTTGCACAGTTAATACTTCGGAGGCATCGGTCGCCCAATGCGCCCAACGCGCCCTCCTTGAGGAAGCCCCTCCACCAAACCCACAGCGCGTACTTGTACTTGTACCAAGTAGGCTCCTAGGTAAGCTGCCCAAACCGAGCCACTGGTGCCACCGCCCGGAACTGGGCGTCCCATTACCCATTGCAGCCAAGCGCATCAGCGTGCTCGCCCTTCCACTGGCTTGGCATTTCATCCGCAAACGCCCAACCCAGCATCCAGGCAGCCAGCTTCGTCAAACTTTCTTCGAACCACCCTTCGCGCGCTCTCTACGGTAGAAGTCTGTTTGAAAGTCCTCACACCACAAGCAGCATTCTGTTTCCCAACCCTATTCTGCTCACCTTGCTGAGGAGACCGCAGGCATGTGCATGTCCTAGTTTCTCAGATGTGAACTTACTTGGCGCCATCTCATCCTCTCAGCCAGCCCCCCACCTCTCCCTCCTCTCTCGCCACCACCTCTACGTCTCTCGTCATGCCGTTATATGTTACCGCGGCCCACTCATCGAGGGTGAAAAAGCCGGCCAAGAGACCCGCCTCGTCACTTTCTTCCTCCTCACCGTTCGCGAATCTTCCACGCACCAAACCATCCCACCGCAAAGCGAGGCCAGATACTGGCGCTATCGACGATGACCTGGACGTGGGAGAAGATGATGAAGGCGATAGGCTAATTCCTAGCGGCACAGTCCTCTCCACTGTCTCCATTGAGCGTGCCAAAGATGTCTTGACCGCCGTGCAATATGCTCGCGCGTCCATGTTTGCGGCACTGCCAGAACGGGCCGGAATGAACAGTGTCCGTATCGCTGCGGTTCTCAATTTCCAAAGAAACATGCCGGCCATAGCGTCTTTGGCCCATGTGCATGCCCTCATTGCTGCTTCGTCCAAGACTGAAAGAGAGATTGCCGCCTTGCAAACCGCCGGTAAGCTTCGGAAGATCAAGGTCACCGGTCGAGGAAACGATATCAGTGGCTTAAGTGAGGTCTTGATCACAATGGATGATCTCCAAGCCTTGCTAGAGCGAAGCGATGTTGCACCAGACGTCCGTGCAGACTTCTGCCATGTGCTTCGTCGTTATCCACGAGCCGCATCTATCTCTTCTCAAGAGCTACCTGCATCCCATGTAACTACGCTGACCCGAAATGGCTTTCTCGTCTCCTCGTCGCTGACCGGCTCTCGAAATCTTTCTTTGGCTGGTTCGTCTCTAGTTTCCATGCCCAAAATCTCCCGTGCAGCCTCGGGCTCATCCGGCGCCGTTGGTGGAGACGCTGCCTTCGAGAACCTCGGTGGCGTCGGTGCTGCAAGGCGATCAAATTCCTCCCTCCATCTCACACGCGACTCTCAAGAAGGAGGGTTGGCTCTATCCGTGCCAAATATTGGCCCTTTTCTGAGACTTTTGCATTCCGGTCGGGTGCGTCTTCTCCAACTCTTGGGCAAATCGAAATACAAGGAAGCGCCGCTGTATCTCCTACGTGAGTGGTGGGATGGCGCAGTTGACTCGGAGGATAGAGTCTCTATTGCCAAACAAATCAGAGGAGAATTCTCCAACGTGATGCCGGCCAAGACCAAGAAGTGGAAGGACCTCTATGGTCTGAACTTTGACTGGATCCTCGAGGAGTGTCTAGGTGCTGGCTTAATCGAGTTGTTTGAGACTCGAAGCGTTGGCCTCGGCGTACGTGCGGTGACTTGAGCGTTTGTTCAGCAACCACAATCAATGCCAACTCTGTAAAACAATCTTGTTTACAGAGAGCGGGCTAGCATTGTCATACTGTTACCAGTCGAATCCGAAGTCCAAAGCGCTCCATGGCAAAGAGACTCTGGCGTCTCTGGTGGACCACGCTGCGCGCTCACGTAAAGAAAAACACCAGCCTTGGTCACGTGTCATATGTTCGCCCTACAGAGACGGGCTTTCTATGGAAACCTCGCTGCTGCCGTCACACTACGGCGAGGAAGACTGACAAATGCGTCTTCGACATACGAGAGCTCGACTCCTCACATGGGGAAAAGCGGAAAGAAGATGGACCACGCCCTCTTAAATAGATCAGATTCAGGATTTGAGAAGATGGGACACCTCACGCAGCCTCTTCGTATCATGTTGGAAGAGCATGCCCGTGGATCGACTGGAGAAGCACCTATGTTGAGATGCGAGCATTACACTTGCGAGGCAAATGTTCAATTGAGGAAAGGATTGAGTAGTTTTCAGCAAGAAGAATTTCGCAAGGATGTAGGTATACAATTGAACCCGCAGCCAACGTTCGACTCCTGCTCAATTGTCGACATATTTATACACTCCCTTCCCAATGCCGGTCTTTTATTGACCTTTCCACCCCGAATGACAACCCCTGGGCGCTCCCACCCACTCTGTTCTGGTGAAGCGAATCCGTCGCGATCTTGTTCCAGAATCGGATAAACATCGACCCTCTCAAAGCTTGCCGCCACTCAACTTCTCCGCAATCTTCTTCATCCTCTCCTGATCCTTCAATGCCCGTTCGTTGACATCACTGAACAACATCATGCCACCTCGTCCTTGATCCGCTGTCCTGTCCCTTCCGCGCTTAATCATCTCTTCCACAGTGTCTGGCCTGCCGTCTTTCCTCCAAATGCTTCCTGTCGTTGTGAATGCCTTCTCAATCGCGGCGTTGAGTTGTTCTTTATCTGTGATGAAAGTTTGCGCGTTCATATACAGCGTATGGAGTTTGTCGAGACGTTCTTCGTGTTTTGCCGCCAAACGAGCCTCATGTGCAGCGCTGCGCGCATTGTAGATAGCGAGCTCTTCTTCGGGGGACAGTTGGTGCATCTTTTGCGGATGCATTGCGGTAGGAACAGAGACGTTGGTGAGACGAACGTCTTCGCGTTCGGGTTGGGTTAAGAGTCGAGCACGTTCGCGCTGTTTGGCGACGCTGCGAGTAGCGATGGTAGTGTCAATAGACGTCTTCCGAGTGTGTAGTTCTTTCAGCGCCGAACGGAGATGGCTCTTTCTCAACTCGGCCATGCGGCGTCTGTACCTTCCCGTCTCGGTCAGGTGGTCTGAAGGAGGAATGTTTTTCGGAAGAGGATCAGGTGTGACATTGTCAAGGTATTGCTGGCCAGGTTTGTCGGGCCGGCGAGCGGGGAAGAGCTCGCGAGGCACGGGCAGAATACCCTTTGCTCGAGGCTGAAATTCTCGGACTGGCTGCTGCGCCTGTGGGACGTCGATGAAGGCAGGGGACTCAGGTGGGATGTACAGGCGAGGAGAGGTTGTGCCAAAGGCTCGTGAATGAGAGGGCTTGAGTAGTCGCAGTCGGCAAGCTCGACATATTGAGCCTGAAATTGTGTCCATTGCGGTCAGGTCTGACAACTATAGCTCTTTCGATTGCAAGGGTTGTGCAGTCAGTGGCTGCTACTATCGCAAAAAAGATTGGTGTTATGTAGCACGCACAACACGCATTGAGATATGCACTTTGAGTTCGCAGGCCGAATTTGAACACTTTCGCGGCAACTCTGCCGAGATCACATGGGCTGAAAGCAACCTGGCGATACTGGGTACACGTGACCGGCATCGATAACCGGAGCCACGCTGTTCCTCGTTCCTCGTTCCTCATTCCTTGTTCCTTGTTCCAACGTCGCACTGGTAGCTTGGATTGTCCCGCCTCTTCGTGCGTCCTCGTGCATGTTGCTGCCATCGTATCGGGACCTCTCATCTTGTCTCGTTAGGCCCAAGCTAAAGAGGAGCAAGTCAAGCTTCAGCAAGCTCGCTAAGCATTTCGCTACCTCGAGCATCCCAAGTTCCAAGGTTGTTTTGTTGATGCTCGCGTGCCTGACTTGGGCCTCATTATTGGTGCTCTTGACCATACTCTGTATGTCAATGCTGATAGCTGCCTGGCCATGCGAGGCTATCACTACGTCGTTCGCAGAAGCTTGCTAGGACGTCGCCGAGTAGCTTAAAGGTGAGAATCCTAGCATCAAGTAGGTTTCTGAACCCCCTCTATCCCTGCGACTCCCTGAGGCAGCCTCGTCTCTACTTGTTAGCGATCATGATGCTGAGTTGTGTTTGCGGTGCGCTCTTACTGGGCTCCGCTTCTCTCGTGCATGCAGCCATTAACTCGACCGCTCAAGCCTTGAATACGACTGATACAAATCTAATTCCTAATGGAAATGGACCTGTGCTTTATTACAACGGCTCTGGCCCAGTCCCCTCATATGATCTTGTCTCATCAGTCCCGCCACCAATCACACCAATCAATGGCAGCTCAGCCCTAGAGGACATGTTTTTTACTGAGCTGTATGCCATTGCTAACACCACGACATTTTCCAGCAACTGCTCTCAGTGTGTTGCGGGGGCCGAATTGATGCACCTGGCGGCAATCACATTGCCGGTCGACAACTTTGTCAATATCTTGATCAGAATGTGAGTGATGCGCGCTGAATTGCGTGAACAGTGCTAAGTTTCAGCAGATGCGAGGCTGTCCCGACGGTGCAGGACTACATTTACGCCGATACTTGCGCAGCAGAATACGGAAGCATTCTAAACACTTCGATTCCTTACTCGTCTGGAGGCGGTGCTACAGGAGCCTATTACGCTCAGCTCTTTTCCAAGATGAGCATTGCAAATGGAGACATGACTTACTACTGCTATTTCAATTGGGGTGTCTGCCCAGAGCCTCCGACAATCGGCATCGAAGAGAACCTATATTTTAGCCCCAAGCCAGCTAATGCCAGCAAAGCCCCAGCACCGTCAGGTGAGACCAGCACGCCTATAGAAGTTCCGCGTCTTAACAACGTGCAGGCAAGTCCATCAATGTCCTTCACACCTCAGATTGGCATCTAGACCCGCGATACGATATTGGAAGTGAGGCAAACTGTTCTCAATACCTCTGCTGCCGTCCGTATGCCACCAATGATGATCTGTCGACAACCTCTGCGAATGCCAGTGTTCCAGCCTCACGCTTCGGTAGGTATTCCGGCCCTAATGCAACCGTTTTCCTGCTGACTGCGGTAAGGATATCTTTACTGCGACTCGCCTCCCGATCTAGCATTAAGCTCGTTTACAAGTATGCATCAGTTTTTCAATTTGAGCAACGTCTCGTTCACAATCTTTACTGGCGACATTCTGTCACACGATAACGATGACCAGGTAAGGACTAGTATCAAAGCACAGGGAGCGAGGGCTGATATCGCTAGATATCTCGCGAATATGCCGAATACGAAGAAACGGTCACCTATCAAACCTTCAAGGCTCAACTGGGCCACATTCCAGTTTATGCCACTCTAGGAAACCACGACTCTATCCCGGAAGCGTGGAACAGTAAGTTAACTTCTGCCTCTAATCACCGACGGATCGACTCATTTCCGTGACAGCACAAAATAGCCTCAATCCAGGAACCTTGACTGCCGCTTCTGCCAATGCATTCGGGTGGAACTATGAGCTCCTCTCCTCCCTCTGGGGTAATTCGGGTTGGATCAATAGTACCGAGCAACAATATGCCTCTACGCACTACGGTGCCTATGCGCACACCACCGCCCAAGGTCTTCGCATCATCTCGATCAACACAGACTTCTGGTACGTCGACAACATCTTCAACTACTGGAACGTCACAAATCCGGATACCGCTGGCGTCTTAACGTGGTTGGCATCTGAGCTTGCGGCATGCGAAGCTCGAGGTCAACGCGCGTGGATCATTGGACACGTGCCCTCAGGCTACGATGGGAGCAACGCCGTTCTAAACCCCTCTGCACTGTTTTACAGCATTGTGGTGCGATTTTCCCCAGCAACCATTGCTGGTGTCTTCTTCGGCCACACCCACGAAGACCAGATCCAAATATTTTATGATTTCCTGCCCAATAGCACTTACACCATGAATGGCAAGACGTATCGCAACACGACCATGGTCGACTACTCCAAGCCTCTAACAGTTGGATACATTGGTCCTTCGATCACACCTCTGACCGGGAACAATGCGGGATATCAACTTTACCAGGTCGACGCGTCTACATTTTCCATCATGGGCATCCAAACTTATTTTGCCAACGTCAGCGAGGCCAACAGCTGGACTACACCCGAGTGGCGTTTCGAATATGATGCCAGAGCTGTCTATTCCATGGCAGCCGCCCACAACAGCTCCTCTGGATGTTGGCCCAGCAGTGCTCCATTGAACGCGACTTTCTGGGACGGCGTCACGAGGAGCATGCTGACCAACCAGACCTTGGTGGAGTTGTATAACTTGCTGGAGACTAAGAGTAGCGTGGTAACAGAGAGCTGCTCTACCACGGCATGCGCAAAGCAAAAGGTTTGCTACATTCGGAGCGGGAGGGCGACGCTTGGTAGGGCTTGCGGGGATCGGAATGGACCTTTCTAGAAGGGTTTATCTACCCGAATGTGGTCCTTGGAAAGATTGGTACAAGAAGGGGTGAATCGCAACAATCCACCTGGAGATGATTTGACAGTGACATTGATTGTCTCAACACGAAACCTTGGTTGATAAACAGAACCGGGATCTACCGTAATGATATTCTTTGCATAATCAAGTTCCTGCAGCGATTCGTAGATGAATTATGTGGCGTTAGAATTTATCCACGGACACACAGCCATACACGATCATAACGAAGTAGCTTTCAAGACATCGTCTGTAAACCGCAAGCGGTGGGAGGAAAGGTTTCCTAGGCATAGTCAGGAGTCGGCAGCCTTGTGTAGGATTACCCGGCGGTTGTCCCCTGCCCAGCAGATCGCATTGTGTCATGTGAACTCTCCAACATGCTTCTCTAGTCTGATGGTCGAAAGCGCAGAACTCAGTCTCGCCATCTTCTCAGGATCCTTTCCCAACAGGTCGTAGATCACATCCACGTCTTTGCCAAGCCCTATCTGCTCGGCTACCTTCAAATCACGGCTGGCGATGAAAGGACAAACGGCAGGCCAGACCATCTGGACAGTGGAGATGAAGATTTCGACTCCAAGAGGCCCCAGTCCGTTGATCTCCATCAGACGCTTCGCGAGGATATTGCGATTTGTTGTCGGATCATGTCCCACGGGCAGAATTTCGGTCGCGTCGGAGCCTAGTATGTAAGATTGTTAGTTAATCTGCGAAAACATTATCCACGTCTGGAATGATATAGTGACGGTATCAATCGTGGAGGAGTAGCTCGAGAATTTCCATCATACCATATTTGTTCTTTAGCCAGGTTGCCAATTTTCCCAGCTCTGTAGCAGTTTTGAAATCATATCGGACATACCCTGCTTCGTCTAGCAACGTTACGCGCTCCTTCCAGGTGCTAGCTTTCAGCGTTCTAAAATCATGATATGCTCGGCTGACCAGATTTCGCAGGGCCTGTTTGGCAATATTGTGCGAAATACGTGCAGACGACAAGAGCGCATTCAAGATATGGGCGAGGATGGTTTCGGGCGTTGGCTGATTCGGCGACGATAAATCCACATCAGAAAGCGGACGTTGCCCGTATTTTGCGATCAGGGCGTCAAGTTTAGCATGCGTGATCGACTGATTAATCGCGGCTTTGTCTTCGACCGCTTTGTCATTTGCCATCTCAGCGTCTTCTTTTGCTCCCTTGGTTTGACTGTCACCACCCTTTCGGGTGGGACTTATCCTTCGAGCGATTTTCTTCTTCTTCGCTTTTTCGGGCGGTAACCCTTCATGTCCTAACTTGCGCTTTCTGATTGGACTGATTGGTTTATATGCTGCTGTGGAAGGCTTTTCCTTGGTGGTCGAACTCCAAGCTTCGCCCCTTACGCTTGCATGTGATTGTGCCCGAGTACGAGCCATCCCGTAAGTCCACTTCAGGATCTTGCAAAAAGATGTGAAATTCTCCAAGCGAGGATTGGAGCACGGTAAAAAGTGGAAAGAGGTATATATAACATTATTTCGATCGAGGATAGATCAGGTAGAATGTCGAATGTTGGGTTTGCGGGTGGCGTGACTTGGAAAAGAGTCGTGGCGGGGAGAATGAACAGTGGCATCGTCAAATGCTCACCCAGTACCGAGACCAACGAGGCTAGATTTCCATCGTTCATGATAAACAGGGTGATATATTTTTCGAAACACACGCGACCTAAATTCTCAACTCTGGCATAGCGTCCCCATTCCGCAGGGCTCTTGTTCTCGCTAACTATTTTCGCAACACGTTTCCAATTTCCAGAGGAAGAAAGAGCCGTAGTCACTGTGGCGACCATCTCCCACGGGGGCTCTGATCCATGATTTAGAAAGTTGAAGAGGGTAAATACGGTACCTCGTAGACTAGATCAAGATGCGGCGGCGGTGTTCAAAGAGATCGATGGTTTGCCAGCTGGTTTGGTGGTTGAGGGAAATGACAAAAGGGGCAAGAAGGGGTTGCAGCCTGACGGTCATTACATCTCTTTGATCTCTTCGCCTCTGTCACTTACAGCCTCGCTGCCAAGGCCCAAGGGCCCTTGGGCTAGAGTCGCTCCACCGAAGTTCAACCGAAAATTTCAACTTTTCTGCCAATTATTCCTCCAGAACGGACTCCTAAACCGCCAGGCCTCGCCCGCGTTTTGCTTTTGTTCTCCCTTCGCCAGAGGCGCTTTGGACGAAGATGGGTGCTCGAAAGAAAGAAGCCGCCCGCCGTGAGCGGCAGGGGCAATCGACTGACGGAATGGCAAACGTCAAAGTCAAGGGAGAGAACTTCTATCGGTGCGTCCAGAGCGGGTGGGCACAACTTGGATGGTCAATACTAACGGACCATTCTCAGCAATGCCAAAAAACTCAAGACCTTGAACATGCTGAAAGACGGCAAAGCTCAGCGGAATGCCGAGGGGAAGATCACGAAAGCAGCCTCGTACCAGTCCCGCGAAGTCCCCAAGGCCCGAGTGGAGCCACATCGAAAGTGGTTTGGAAATACGAGAGTCATATCTCAAGATGCGCTGGACTCTTTCAGACAGGCTGTGGCAGAGCGCGCAGCCGATCCCTACCAGGTCCTTCTTAAGACGAACAAACTACCCATGAGCTTGATTCGGGACGCAGAGAATACTAAGAATGGGATAAAACAACATCAAGCGAAGATTGCGGTGGAGTCTGCTCCATTCGCCGACACCTTTGGACCAAAGTCACAGCGAAAGCGTGTGAAGCTGAGCGCAAGCTCTGTTGCAGATTTGGCTGACGAGTCGGTGAAAATGCACGACGACTACCTCGAGCGCCTCGAAGAGAACAAGCTCTTGAGCGGGCAAACGGCCGAACAAATGCAAGGACAACAAGACGGCGAACTCACCAGTGCCCGCGAACCGATATTTTCGAAAGGCCAAAGCAAAAGGATATGGAACGAACTGTACAAGGTCATTGACTCCTCCGATGTCGTTATTCATGTGCTGGACGCTCGAGATCCCGAAGGCACAAGGTGTCGGAGCGTGGAAAAATACATCCGAGAGGAGGCACCACATAAGCATTTGGTGTTCGTGCTGAACAAATGCGATTTGGTGCCGACGAGCATAGCGGTGAGTTCTTGTCCTTCTTCTGTTCAAAGTTCTGGGAGTTACACATCGACACGCGAAGAAATATTCCCCGCTCCATCGCTAAGTCAAGGCTCCTTTCTGCGTTCTCTCGCAACTATTCTTCAATGAAAGGAGCCTGTTACAGCTTTGGTACATCGAGCCGCGCTCGCCACTCTCACGGGTGGTTTCCGACAAATGCATCCGTCTTGGAAGCATATCCGTCACAGAGCGCACGGCGTGTTTCGTTTGAGTTGAGGTTTGCTTTCTTTATCTATAGCACGTCTCTTAGTAATGTCTCACACAACGGTGCTAATCCCACAATTTCAGGCTCAATGGACCAGGTTGCTCTCAAAAGAATATCCTACGCTGGCATTTCATGCATCGATGACGAACTCCTTTGGGAAAGGTTCGCTGATCACGTTGCTGCGACAATTCTCAACGCTCCATTCATCGAGAAAACAAATCTCGGTGGGTTTTATTGGATACCCGAATACCGGCAAATCCTCGATCATCAATACACTGCGAAAGAAACGAGTTTGTACCGTTGCTCCAATTCCAGGCGAGACCAAAGTCTGGCAATACATCACGTTGATGAAGAGAATCTATTTGATCGATTGTCCTGGGGTGGTTCCACCCAGCCAAGGCGACACCGAAGAAGACATCCTCCTACGTGGGGTGGTCCGTGTGGAGAATGTCGAACATCCCGCACAGTATGTTGAGGCTGTTCTACGGCGGACGAAGACCCGACATATTGAGCGGACCTACGATATCAAAGCCGCAGATTATAACGACGACCCAGTTGAGTTGCTCAGCATTTTGGCGAGAAAAGGTGGGAGGCTACTGAAAGGCGGCGAACCCGATGTGGATGGCGTTGCGAAGATGGTTCTAAATGATTTTCTGCGTGGGAAGATTCCTTGGTTCACACCGCCACCAAAGAAAGAGGGAGAGGGTGGAACCGACGGCGATGCCTCGACAGAAGTGATCGAAGGGAGGGAAGGCCGGCTGGGTGAGATGCCCGGCAAAAGGCAGGCCGAACAACTGGCAATGAGTGGTGAGAGTTCACTTGATGCAAGTTCAGAACAGGAGTCATTGCCCAGTGATGACGAGGACGAAGAAGATGAGAGCAGCGAAGAACAAGCTGATGATTTTGCGAACTTTGACGACGAAGATGATGAAGTCAGTGATTCCGAGAGTCTCGGTGATGAGGAGGGAGGGACTCAGCTCTGAGTCTTTGCCCTCGCCGCAATCAGAAACTATATACGATCAAGATCTTTGGGTCAAACCCCCCCGGTACCCTTCCTCTCCTCGACCGCTCGTTGCTTGTACAATTCTCTTGGTCCAGTAAGAAATCTTCCCCGTCGGAATGCGTGCTGTGAAGTCCCCGCATCGGGCCAGTATCTCCATACTTGTACAATTAGGATCGTAAGACCGAGATAGGTGTGTCAGATAGAATTGCCGGTAGCCTCGTGGAATCCCGGCAAGTGGATATGGAGGCGAGGATGGAGGATGGAACGGCAGCAGCCGCCAGGAACAAGGGGTCAGAAGGGCTGTGACGTCAGATGTCATGTGAGTACAACAATGACTTCGATTTTCTCCCTCGGTCCCCAAAGCCGCACCCGCCCGGACCTCATGCGACTGGCTTCTTTTCCCCTTTAGATATGGATGATGGATGTCGGGCTTCATCCTGCCCTCTCTTCCCTATGTACGGCGCGACCACTTCACTGTCTTTTCCTGCATGATCGCACTTTCCAATGCTCGGCCTGCGGATTGGTTTCTGGGTATGCGCACTAATAGCGGCAGCTGGAGCGTTTCCGGCGCATGTACTGGCAAGCGACCAAGAAATCTCCCAGCGGACCTTTGAGTCCCTAGAAGAGCTCGCTCGCATTGTCGACATATCCTACTGTGTCGGGACGACTGGCATACAGAAGCCATTCAAATGCCTGAGCCGATGTAGCGACTTCGAGGGTTTCGAACTCGTTACCACCTGGAACACCGGTCCTCTTCTGTCCGATTCCTCAGGCTACATCGCCCTGTCGCACCCTCCCTTCCCGAAACGAGTTATCGTCGCCTTTCGGGGGACATATTCCATCGCGAACACCATCGCAGACCTGTCCACAAACCCCTCCGAATATGCTCCTTTCCCCTCCGACAGAGATAATGATTCGTTCTGCACTACCGACGGGTCGCAGAATGATAAGGGCTCGATACTTCCACAATTGCTGAAACAACCGGAGAAAAGAAGTGTGGTTCAGGTCGAGTGTCCCAATTGCACTGTTCATTCGGGCTTCATGACGTCTTGGCGAAACACACGCTGCACAATTATCCCCCATGTGGAAGTGGCCCTGAAAAACTATCCAGACTATGAACTGGTGCTGGTAGGCCATTCGCTCGGAGGGGCTGTTGCAGCGTTGGCGTCTCTCGAGTTTCAAGCCAGAGGATGGCAGCCTCGTGTCACAACCTTTGGGGAGCCACGGGTTGGGAATCTAGCACTGAATCAGTTCATTGACAAACGTTTCAACCTGAACACCACCAAACCGGATGAGTGGACATACCGAAGAGTGACACATGTGGATGATCCAGTCCCGCTTCTGCCACTGGAAGAATGGGGTTACAGAATGCACGCTGGCGAGATCTACATCTCCAAACCCTCGCTGCCTCCCACTCGTGCTGATGTACAGCATTGCGCGGGCGACGAGGATCCCGCTTGCATTGCCGACAGCGTCTCGACCGAGAAGGTAAGAACTGCGACCCGGCAAGCTGACAATGCGGCCTCCGGCATCGAGGAAATGTGGGCGATAGGGCGGCGCTACAAATTTTGGCAACTCTTCTTTGCCCACCGTGACTATTTCTGGCGGTTGGGTCTCTGTGTTCCAGGAGGAGACCCTTGGGACTGGTCGAGAGGCAAATATAATTCCACCATCATGAATGACGAGTAACGATATTGGATATGATGCGTGGAGGTGGCTTGGTTCGGCGGGGGTTGACTTCCCGAAACACCGTTGCAATATGCAACAAAAGCGCGGCGTTGGGCAAGCCTATGGCGAACAAAAAATTCAGGATCCCGTTCATAATTATAATCGGTATACATAATACACTGAGATTATCATACTCATATTGAATTGCGCTATCAGTTCCCACGGAATCCACCTCCGATAAACCGTCTGCCTCAGTGCTCGTGGCTCGGCCGGCTCCATATTTTGCCGTTCCGGCCTTGGCGCAAGGCTCTTCTCACTCACAGCCTCGACATCGACTGCTGTCATTTTAGTGTTTGATTTCCACAACGTCCTCCTTCACAGACCTCATGATCCTCTTCGAGACCTTGTTAGCCCGGCTCATAGTCTGCTGAATACGTCCTAATACAAGGACCACAGATTTCCTCCTTCTCTACGAAGCCATGTTTACCGCTAAACAGCCGCCCATGGCGTCACAGTTACTCCCCTTAGGTATTATCCCATCTGTATCTCAAACATGTCTCATCTCGGCTCGGCGGAGGCTCGCGATAGCCAGAAGCTAACCACATTTCCGGGTGGCAGAATTGATCGACAAGTGCGTCGGCTCGAGGATTTGGATCGTCATGAAGGGCGACAAAGGTACGGGCTTCCCAACTCAGTCCATCGTACATGAGGATTCCCGGGCAAGCCATCGATGTCTTTGCCGACGGATATAATCTGGTCTTCTTACTGGGATCTGGTGAAGATTCAACCTCCCCCTCCATCCTTGGCCCGAGACACGTGCATTACATTTTCCAATCTCAATTCCATGCATTGACTAACTAACACTTCATCTCCCGGTCGGCAGAATTCGCTGGTACATTAATCGGATTCGACGACTATGTCAGTAAGTCATCCACCCCGCTGCCTACACTGGCATGATATCATACGCAAGAAATCGAATATGGCAAAGCGCGAAGCAAGGGGGTACAGCAGCTAACTGTGCATCTTTTGTTCTCGTGTGTGAAGATATGGTGCTTGAAGACGTGATTGAGTTGTAGGTCTTCTTCTTCTTCTTCCCCTTCACCTTCATCGGCATACCTTCGTCCACTCACCCACTTCATCTCTGGCCGCACCTTTTGAACGAACAAAGGCTGACATTGCTGAACCAGCGACTACACCGGCGCGCAAACGCGATTACCAAAGATCCTACTGAATGGGAATAACATCTGCATGGTACGTGGGAGCGGTGTGTTCGACTATCGGTACACACTTCTTCGCAGTCGACGGAGGGGATTCCCCCTCCACAAGCCTACATCAACCGAGTTCTTCCCTTCTCCCTCTCTTTTCTCCTTCCTCCAACCCAATCACATCCGCGCTGCTCCAAATCTGCGCGCTACTTACTCTTTGCATAGCCGATCGGCTGATTCTGGACATAGTTGATACCCGGCGGAGAAGGTCCGGTCCCCGCGACAGCGTCTTGAGCATACTACTAGGTGTTGCAAAAAGAAAACACCATGTTCTCGGGAAAAGAAAAAAACACCGCGCTCAAAAGTGGCGGCGACACAAACAGCGAAAGAAGCCGTCACTGCCGGAACAGGGTGCACACAGCCCGTCCACGTTGTTTTCTTGGAGATAAGAGTCGATTGAAGACACGTAGGCAATACTCTGTATACAATGCCCAAAAAAAAAACTCCGCGAGGAGCTTGAGGTTGGTGGCTCAAAGCAGTTACGCACAGACCTATCCTCGCCGATCAAACGAAAACAAAAGAAAACAAAGCAATTCGAGACCATCTGGGCATCGATCGATTGGTCGATTCAATAACTGAGAGAGAAAGACACAGAAAAATTCATTCATGTTTCATTCACCTCTTGTCGTATCTCGAAGCTGACTTCTGCAAAACCTGGATCGCCTCTTGCTGTACGCTTTTCACAATATCTCCGGCCGGGAGGACCTCTCTGGCCAATCCTATCCCCGTGCCTGCGTAAGCGGTCATCCTCCCTTCGGGACCCCAGCCGGCGTCGCCCATCTTGATCGCCTCATTGTAGAGCTCCACGTTCTCCGCGTCTCCCATGCCGCCGTAGACTGCGTCTAGATAAGTCCGGTTCGCCACGCCCCTGCCAATGTACGCCTGCGGCCATCCGTGGATCCCTCTAACGACGTCGTAAATGGTGGTTGCGACGGTACTGGTGCCGCCATCGGTGACCCGCAACACTTCGTCTTGGTAACCTTTCGCAATGACCGCTTCCTGACACGCGAGGAACCTGGTCCCCAAACATACACCATCTGCCCCTAGGGCCAACGCCGCGGCAGCCCCTCTTCCGTCCATTATTCCGCCGGCAGCAAGAACAGGGATATCAATGCCTTCCTGGTCAAACGCGTCTCTCACTTCGGGTAGAAGCGTGAGCAGACTCGCTCTCTGCGCGAGCCCGTGGCCACCCGAATCGGAACCCTGCACAATCAAGACATCTGGTTTCGTCGTCTTGGCGACTTCCATCGCCTCGGCCACCGTGCCGACCTGGACCCAGATTTTGGTGCGGTCGTGGGTGAGCTGCCGGATGGATTTCGCCCAGTCGAGGAAATCGCAGAGGTGTTTGGGCGCGAAGAACCATACTGCGGCGACGGGATGTGCCTCGAGGGCCTCGATCAGCAGTGGGAGGGAGCTACCCCAGTTTTGAACACCCACGCCGATGGGCAGTAACCCGTCGTGAAGGGGCACATTGGTGGATTTCGCGTATTCTGCCGCTTCTGAAAGATTCTGCAGGAGGGATGAGAGGTCGAATCCGCCCGCCAGGAAACCAATGCCGCCATTTGCGGAGACAGAGACTGCCAGACGCCCCATTGTGATTTTCATCATAGGTGCGGATACCACCAAGGGGAGATCGGGGGATGTCCATGGATAGTCGTCGTGAAGTGTGTTGGAGGGCATGGCTGAGACAGGTGTGTGCTGAGGCGAAGAGCGTCGTGACGATATTGCATCAAAAAGTAGCCCCTCCACAGAAGAGAAAAATCACTTACAAAAGTTCAATTGAAAGAGCTCTTTGCTTTAATCTCCTTTTTAATCACAGACGATACGCCGTCAAATTGCAAATCTCCGCGTACAGGATGAAGTGCAGCAGCTTGACCACCGTTTTCGTAATGCAAAAGGCGTGAGGGCGTTGCCCGAGCCAGCGGCCAACAAATAGAAGCTTCCACAGGGCCGAGTAGCTTGGAATGTGCCATCCCAATAGATTTTCGAGTACCGGGATCAGGTGCAAGACTAATGCTTCGTGCCGCTGGTGCCACTGGTGCCGCGGAGAAGTTGGTGGTTGGAGGGTTTGGAGGGTCAAGGAGGGTGTAGAGTGCGTCGAGCGATGAATTTGACAGTCACGTGAGGCTTGGCAAGTTTCTATCGTTGGTCGACCCGATCCATCGAGTCCGACTTTTCAAATGAATGAGGCTGGGCCCAGGGCGACAGATGAGGACCTCGTCTCGTTCCATCTCATCATCGTTATTTAAATTGCTGTCGCTTTACATCCTTGAGATCTCAGATCCATCTCCTCATCCAAGTGAGAAGACTTTCTCATAAGAGATCCTGGCCATCTTCCAACCTCGCCTTTTTCCCTGACACATTTAACTTGGAATCTCTTGCTTTTCCTATTCCCTTTTGGAACCTTTTGGATATCTTCTCACTTGGCTTGACGACATGAATGCCCCTGACCGGTATGTTCTGAGTTATTTCTCATATTTTCCCCCTGGTGCTCTCTTGTTGTCTGGTGGGATTTCGCCCTCTTGAGATCGAGGGGGAGGAGGATCCGGACGGGTTTGAGACGAGAACAAGGAAACAAACCAGAGAGCAAACATCTTCCGCCCGGTTCAACCCCTCCGTTTCAGCTCCAGCGATATGGAAGAATCATCTGGACGACATTTCCCGTAAATGTCCCGTTGGCTGCCGTGATGGTTTCCTGGAAAACCGCCTGCCTTGAAGAAGCTGGGTCTTGGCGCCATTCACTGCCTGCCTGAATTCAGACCTCACCTCTGCCGTCCACTGCCTCCCTAGCAACTTATCCTTCGTGCGCTCCTCGATCCTTTCTGCGGACCGCATTGCAAGCTCTTCCTGTCAGAGGAGACTGTCATCGTTCATGTCGGATACCTTCCCCACCCAGGCTGCGGCCACGGGAGACAAGACCCCTCCCAGGCCTACTCTCTCACCAAAACGAATGTCCTCTGGCCACCTCGTCCCGGTTGAAAGTCAAGTTTGGCCTAATCATCCAAAGAATAAACACTTGGGAGTCAATTCTGGTGTTGACACCAATAGTGTCAACATCCCAGGCGCGTAAGTTTCAACCCCCCACGGTCGTGCCTGCTCTGGCCTCTGGACTCTGGATCATTTCTGGTACCTGGACCTGGACCTGGACCTGGACCGACCAAGGAAACCTCGACTTTTTTGACACAATATCATAGTAATGGGATCACGGTCACGGAATCAAAGGCCAGCTGCAAGGACGTTGTCGAAATGACCGACACGGAAGATCCTGGCCCGCCGTCTGTACCTGATCCGGCTTCTCTGTCGCCAGCCAAACCACGCCCCTCACAAAGCCCATACCCTGGAGCCGGTCCGGGCGGCTACCCAATAGATGGCCATGCTTGGAGACGCCACCCCGCGAACCTTCGATACCAGTTTTTCGAAATGGAGCAAATGCACCACGACGAGATCAACAGACAAGAATGGTGCGCAACCAGAAAAATAGACGAGATCTGGATTGCGTCCTCTGCAGATTTCTTCCCTGAATACCCACGAGTGCCTGCTGCGCGACCTGTTTACTGCTTTCCGCGTTCGAGTTGCAGGCTGACAATGGCTAATTCTTGTTCTACAGCACTGAGGCTTTCCTCCTTGGAGACGACGAGAAGAAAATTGAAGAGAAGATCGACACCCGTGGGTTCATACGTCGGGTGTGCATATCTTACCCTGCTGACGGCAATCATTCAGGTACTCCAAACACTACTATCTTCACCTTCAACAAGGAAGACCACACCCTCGCCAACCTTCTCCGCGACAAGCTTCTAAAAAACAGCCACGTCACCTTTGCTGCCTATCGGGTAAGTCATGAAGGGGAGAAAAAAGAACCGCGAGGAAATCTGACGCGACTTTCGCAGATCCCGCATCCTCTCTTTGCCAAATTTGAACTTCGAGTCCAGACCGACGGTGAGATTACCCCCAAGGAAGCCGTGCTGGCCAGTTCCCGCGACCTGGTCCACGACCTCGACGTCCTCAAGACCAACTTTACGCGAGAATACGAGTTGAGAAAGATGGTTGGTGGTGCTGCACAGAATGGACAGTGATCAATCCAGCAGGTGGGCCTGGCCTGGCTTGTTGTCCCTTCTTCGGAGGCAGGCAGCATGGTTCTTACACGGGAAATAAACACGAGATGACGAGGCATTGGTAATAGATACCCTGTACCATTAGCGGCGGCCTGGATGGAGTGCTGGATGGACATAGGCGTTTCGACGAAGGAGGGAACGAAATCTCGACGGTGGAAGGACTCGGCACATGAACAAAAGCTGCATCTCATAGCATATGGCATAGCATCGCAATGGAGCAGAGATTACTGGTATGGTGATGTTGGAATTGCCGAACTAGCTTTCATACGGGAAGACTGTGCCTGCCTGTCTCTGCATTCTTTCTATCCTATGCGCGCACAAATCCTTTGTAACCTTGCTGCGCGCAGTCGTTGATGGTCTTGTAGTAATTTGGCACACCGCCAAGGTAGATGAGCGGCTCCCTCGGCTTGCCGGGAATATTGTCACCCATATACCACTGCGACATCGTTAGCAAGGGATCCTAGTATATAGTCACCACCCTCCGAAGAAGAAGGCCGGATATGGTAAACCAGGGGAGTTAGAAAGGCAAGGGCGGCAAAAGGAACCACGGAGAAAGCGAAATATCACGACCGACATACCGATTTGGTCTTTGGCAGCAACGTCGCGTTGGCGAGCTTCCAGATATCCTGCGCCCACTGGTCCTCGACGTCGGATTTGGCCTCGATCTTGGTCAGGCCGGCGCTGTCCATATCCTTGACCATCTGCACGATCCATTCACCCTGCAGCTCGGCGCAGGTTGGGCCGTTGCAGAAGGCCGTCGGGGCCTGGGGCCCGTAGGTGAAGAACATGTTGGGGAAGCCCGCGACGCAGAGACCCAGATACGTCTTTGTACCATTTTCCCACTTCTGGGCGAGCTTCTGGCCAGCCACGCCGGTGATGTCGATCTGTTTCAGCCCGCCCGTGATGGCATCGAAGCCCGTTGCACAGATGATGTAGTCGAGCTCAAACTCCCTGTCGACGGTCTTGATGCCGCGTTCCGTGAACTCAACGATCGGCGTCCTCTTCATGTCGACCAGCGTGGCATTGGGCTGGTTGAAGATCTCGTAGAAGCCGTTCTCTAACGAGATGCGCTTACATCCGAACGCGTGTGGCTGGATCTCTGGGGCTAACGACTCTTGGAGATCAGGGTCCTGAATTCGCGCGCGCACCTTGGCCTTCCAGAAGTCGTACGCTTCTTTGTTGGCTTCTTCGGTGAAGAGCATATCGTAGTAGGTCGCAAGCCAGAAGTGGAAGTCACCCTTGGCCCACAGGTCTTCATACGTCTGTCTCCTTTGCTCCGGCGTGTCGTCGAAGGTGGCCCGCGGCAAAAAGTTGAACGAAAAACCACTAAAGCTAGTTGACCGTCCGGCAAAGAAGTCTGGATACTGCTTGTGTGGAATAGTCTGTTCGTCGCCAGTATACTCGATTTGTTTCATCGGGAGTGCCAGATTCGGGGTCCGCTGGAACAGCACAAAGTCTTTAGCCACCTTACTCAATTCCTGAGCAAGCTGGACACCAGTCGATCCAGTTCCAATCACGGCGATATTCTTGCCTTTAAGATCGGGCTCTTCTTTGGGCCAATAGGAAGGATGAACAAAAGTGCCGCGGAACTTCTCGATGCCCGGCCAGTTAGGGATATGTCTCTTTGCCGAGAACCCGGTATTCAATAGTAAGTACCTTGCAATAAACTGTTGGCCTGTCTGGGTGGTTATGTGCCATTTGGCGGTTTCGTCATCCCAGGAGGCCGCTGTAACCAAGGTGTTGAACTGGGCATCCCTATCTAGATCCCATCTCTCGGCAACAAATGCGAAGTAATCTCGAAGTTCTGCACTTCCGGGGAATCGCTGCTTCCAACGCCACTCTTTCCAGAGCAAAGGGTCCGAAAATTCGTAGTGAGGAATCGTGCTATCCACACGGGCGCCTGGGTATCGGTTCCAGTACCACACACCGCCCCAGTTTGAGGCATTGTCGACGAGCTTGACCTTGTAGCCTTCTTCACGTAGTCTTTTCAACTGGTAGACTCCACCAAAGCCAGCTCCGACAACGAGCGCATCCAGCTCAATAGGGGGAGGAAGAGAGCCCATTTTAGCTGCTTCCGAGACGAGGACACCGGTTCGGATCGGAAACCAACGTGTTCGAGAAAAATAGAAACAAAAGACTTTGAAGGCGTTCTGTTGCAACCGCGGGCTTCTGGAAGCACATGGTGAATTTCAATTCCAAGGACTCAATGCTTTATATACCGGATGCTGCTGGGAGGCAGTTTGGTGAGCTCAATTATCTGCCCAATCAATGGCATTCCCGAGGAAGGCATAGGAAGGCCCCGTGCGAAGACGATATCAGGACCCCCGGATCCCACACCCTGCTTTGTGCAAGTGGCTGCCAGGCCGAATTGAAGCAGGATCGGTCGATAAGTTCTGCTAGAGTTTCAGAATCTTCAACAAATATCAGCAATATATGATGGCTTTCCGACCAGTAGACTTGTCCCGAAGCCATCCGAGGAACCATTTCATTTAGGAGACGGGCGCTATCATGAGACATGTTCGAGTGTGGTGTTTCTCCCACTGGAAATGGAGCCAGTCAGCATGCGTGTTTGTAGTAGAAATGGAGCGACGTCTCGTGATAGTGCGTTATCAAGGTCCATGTAGCGACCGCGCGAATCATGCAAAGTAGATGAAAATCTCTAAGCCCAGTATCGAAGGTGAGATCGGCCGCCCGGTCTGGATCAACTCGATACGCCATCGTAAGGCTATGTGTCCACGTAAAGGATGAGCGAGTTAGACCGACTCAGCTACCCCGGAATCCTCCGCATTGCCGAGACCTTCTCCATGTTGAAAGATGGTCATTGCCTTGAACGAATGGTGTATCCCTCTTCGCCCCTGCATGACTTGATAATATCGGATGGAGAGATGGAGTCGGCAAGGTGTTGTGGGGTCGGAAATCTGGGGAGCCCCATCGGAAGCACCATGGCTTTCGGCAACTTCTCCCATTGGTTTGATCCACAAATGCAACTCTGACTGAATGGTGCTATCCAAGGTCTTGAGGTCTTTCGGGAAGCGACTGCCAGCCCTGAAAAGACAAGCATGTCCGTTTTTCTGTGTGTATAAATAGAGATATACCCTGCGAGCCTTCCATAGGTCTCGATTGTGAAGTATAAGTTCACTTTCTATCGAGGTTTGCAAGTCAACAAGGACCGTTAAGTGAGAAGAATTATTCTTGCCTGCTTCATTTCATCCGGCACGTCTGAAGGATGAGCCTCAGAGAAACCGTCCATTATTCGCGTGAAGGGCTGTGGTAGATACAGCAGCTGGTCGAAGGCCATGAGAGGATCCTCATTGTTGGAAGCAGGGCGTATGGAGCTCAGCACGTCTTATGGCTGGCAAGGAGTGACTTAGAGGCTAGGAGGGCTCGCAAAAGAAGCACATCGCTCAATATTCTAGCGTCCTTGGCTTCGGGTATACGCCGTCTCTTCCTTGATATAAACACTTTTTCTCGAGTGTTCAATATCGCAAGCAGCTTTTCGGGAAAGCTTCCCGGGAGTCGCTGCTATTCCAGAAAATTTCGGGCGTCGATCGTCGAGAACAGCGGCACATTTTCTTCGTAGGAGCCGAACCATAACGTCCTCGGAGACATGGCTGGTAGCATGGAGCCTGGTAGCATGGAGAAGTCGTCCTGGAATGCCGGAAGACCAACTATCGAATCTAGATTGAGCATGTTGGTTTCTGCACGATCTAGCGTATTTAATCCAATGGTTTCGCTGTTGCCACTGGTGGATACACCAGTCGGTCCCTGATCCATGGCGCTGTGTGACCCAATATAGTTGAACTCATCTGGTCGCCTGAGGAGGTCTGCGACACTGTCGAGATGCGATGGACCTTCCTGCGGAGTATTTGTCGTAACCGAATCTTCCATGTCATCCTCCCCGTGAATTTGCCCAAACATACCACTCACCAGTTGAGAATGTATTGCCATGTTCTCCTTTGCTTCCCGCCTGACATAAGTATTGCAGGCATCTAGTAGCGATTGAAGAATCGCCAAATTCCTCTTTGCGACGGCATCATGGGGAAAGAGCGCAAGGAGTTTCAGTGCGGTACCAAGACTGTCATCTAGAGAATATGTCTTGTATAAGTCACCGAAGTAAGATAGCCCTAGTATGAGACCCGAGACAAAGAGGGAATTGACGACAAAAGGAAGTCTCTTCGGTATCCCCTCAAATCCAAGCAATTTTCTAAGCAGGTTCACTGTGCTCATTGCAGAGTTGACGCATGCATGAACCAAGACTCGGTGAGAAGATTTGAGAGGATCAGGACTTCTCGCTCCATCACCCCGGTTCTGTGCCTTTAGTGCAATGTGACTGGAAATATAATCCACGAAGAATGGCCGTGTAAGGAGTATGATCGTCCAGTAGTACGCCTCCTTGACGTGTATTAGGCCAACATTAGGCAGACGGCCCTCGAGAAATTCCTCGTCTTTTACCCGGTCTGTATCAAGACCACCGTGAAAGCGAACTGTCCATCGACGATGGTGTTGGCTGATTTTCTGGAGAGTCTCGGTGGAGATCATTCGCTTTGCGTAAATATCGGTCAAGATCTTTTCGAAGATGGCGCATAGGTCTACTGAGGCGGAGTAATTTTCGTCTAGCTCGGTATTTCGTGTTTCTTCGGTTGACGGAGGCCTTCCCAACGAGGCACTCATAAAGAGGTCTAGGATGCGCATGACCTTCCAGAGCCTCTCCCGAGTTTGGATCTCTGCGGGAGTGAAAAGCCCAGCGATGTCAGATCGGTGTAACCCGAGAGCATAAGCAGCACGAACAGCTGTCCCGAGATACATGAAAGCAGCATTTCTTCGAGATGCTCCAAGCAAGTACATGGTAATCATGGCGTATGCTTGCACAGTTGGAATACTGGGGTCCTCCATAAAGTATGATGCCGTAAGATACCGACCATAATCAAAGTAGGCGCTGGCCAGTGCGTCTTTATCCTCTGGACATGTCTGCGCCCCAATAGCGAACACCAGGTAGTATATTGCACTCAGAATAGATGTGGGGGCTGACTCGCTGTCAAGCCAACTTGCAAGATTGTCCAGGAGGTCGCTCTCGTCAAAGAGATCAAGCACACAATTGGTTGCCATTATATAACGACGAATCAAATAGGCAGCCTCATCAAAACTTGGTTTGGCGGGAAGCTGGTGGTCTGTAGCATGAAGCCAAGTAGCGGGTCCTTCCGGCGCCGACTCGACCATCTGGTATCGAAACGGATCTTCAACAAACGCACACGGTCCTATGGATGCGCCGACTAGACTGCAAATGTTTTGAAGCAGTGACAAGTTTGCTGAATCGCCAATGAACATATATTTGCCTCTTGTGTCTTGTATTAGCCGTGACGTTTCGGGAACAGAAGTCGCAGATGTATTGCTCGTCACCAGGGCCAGAGGATAAAGTGACCCTTGTGACGATCCGTCTTGCACATTTCGATCTTTGCTCGCCGATTCGAAGGCAACAGACCCTTCGCAATTGATGTTGTGGTTGTCTGTAGAGCCCGTAGAGGGTTGGCGAGGCTGAGGTTGGCAAGTCACATGGACGCCACGTTCGATGCAGCGAGCGCAAGGTCTGTTACCGTCACATTTTTCTTTTCTGCGTTTGCAGGTGCTGCATGCCTCGACGCACCGATAACGCCGCCGCTTTACAGGAGTGTTCTTGTTCATAGAGACGGAAAAAGACAAGATTGATAGAAAGTGAAAGATATGAGCGTGGAACGTGGTATGGAGCTGCTTAGGTAAAATTCAAGGTCGCGCTGCGTGTTGTTTTTCGATGCTTTTCCGAACCTCGGTCGGGTGTGTAGTAATGACTCGTGGCTCTCTAGATGTTGTGGACCTCAGAGAATGCCCCAACAAACCGTAGCGGAGCTGCTTTGCTCTCTGTTCCCCGCTCATTTGGTCAGTATGCACAAAGCAAGATGATTGCCATGTACCTTGCCCTTGCTCTCTTTCTCACAGGTATTCAACATCGGTCATCACGTACCTGCTCCAATTTGTCCCTATGGCCAAGTGGGTATTGCACCTTGGATGACAAGTCAAAACGATCCTTACCGGTGCCGCAGCCGGGGGAAGGATAATCTGGGGTTTCCAGTTGGGGAGCATAAGTAGGTACGGGAGCCCTCCCTCGTGTTACTCCGCCTGGGTGACCCACCTTTTCCCCAGCCTCCATTCAGCCGAAAGACAGCGACCATCGTAGACTTCTCGCTAAGTACGATGCTGGGCGCTGTGGTCCTGGCAAGCTTGCATTGTTCCACGGGACGAGTCGTACAGACAACCGACGGCTAAAGCTCTTCCCTTCCAGCTTTTAACGTATGAAGTTCAGACATTGCGGTCCACTTGTTGGCTAGATGCTTGGCACATGACAGTGGCTTTTTCATTCCGATCTTTTAGACACATAGGGAGGTAGTTCTTCTATGGTTCCCAGTGTTGATAACCATCAAGGTAGGATGGTGAGAAGGAAACAAACAGAGAGGCCCGTCAGAGGTAACTGTTTGAAAGGAAGACGCTCGATGGGAACTGAAACAAACTTGTCGTCCGTGAGTGAGTACGGAGTACCCAGTTCCGGGTGAGAAATTGAATCAGTGACAATGCTCGGTTGATGCTCGCTTTCCTTTGCCCACAGTGGCTGAAAATGCGCGGGCTCAACCACACTCTTCTGCATTTCCACGACTGTTCGTGTCAGCAATGACTTCCACGATAATGTTGTCCTCAACACCATAAGTCGAAGCTCTGAACAAGCTAGCGGATAACGCCAGCAACTCAGGTAGGAATTTGGATGTGAAGTGTGCTTTCACCATGCATGAGTATTCTTGCTTCAGGGCGCAGTTGGCAGCAATGGAGCTCAGCCTGCTCAGCCTTAAAGCAGCGACACCGTCACGTGCCAGGCTCAGCCTCACCAGTCGCAAGCTGAGCGGCAAACACCGCAAACACCGCGTCAGTGGCCAGCAAGCCGCCGAAGCCTGCGAAGCCTCCCAGCGGCGAGGTCGGTTAGTGCTCCTGATTTCTGAAACTCTGGCTGTTGCTCATCTTACTCAATTCCCATCCCCATTTTCATTTTCCCGTGTCTTCTGTCCTCCATCCGCTTTTCGCATTTTGCATTTTCACGTCCTTTGTTGCAAGCATGTACTCGTCTTCCAATTCGTTTCTGGGCGGCGGAAACACCGCCCGTCCTGGTCCTGCGCCTGGAGGCTTTGGACCGCAGCAATCTTTCGGCTCTTTCAATCAAGCTCCTCCGCAACAGCAATCGCCCTTTGCTCCGCAGCCCACCGGCTTCCCCGGTCAGTTACAAGCTCAACAGACGGGCTTTCCAGGCTATCAGCAGCAGCAGGGTTTCCAGGCTCCTGCGCAGCAACCTCAGTTTACGGGCTATCCTCCTCAGAATCAACCTCAGCAGCCCCAATTCCAGCAGCCTCCTCCGCAGGTGCCAGCTTTCCAGCAACAGCCATCCTTTCAAGCAGCTCCTCCTCCTCCGGCACAGCAACCGCCTGCCGCTGCCCCTCTTCGCCCTCAGCAGACTTCCGCGCAGATTGCAGCCTCCTTTGCCCAAGGCTCCACCAGCGCACCTGCGGCAAAGAGGAGGCAGAGCAAGAGCTCCAGCAGGATCCCGAACATTCGATTGTCTTTCATCACTGCTACAGATCAAGCGAAATTCGAGCAGCTGTTCAAGTCTGCCGCGGGAGATGGCCAAGCATTGAGTGGAGAGAAGGCCAAAGATCTGCTTCTTAGGTCTAAATTGCCGGGCAGCGCCTTATCGCAAATATGGATCCTTTCAGACACTACAAAGTCGGGGCAGCTCCTTTTCCCGGAGTTTGCTCTGGCGATGTATCTGTGCAACCTGAGGTTGACCGGAAAGGATCTGCCGAGCGTCCTTCCCGAGAAGATCAAGAACGAGGTGTCGAGTATGGTCGATATCATCTCCTTTGGTGTCCCAGACGCGAAGCCTCTACCGCCAACGCGGTCAAACGTACCGGACTTCGACGCTCCGCTCCGGCAGAATGCTGTTTCTCCGCCCGCTCCTCAGCAGCCGACCCCACAGCAGCCCTCAAACCAGCAGCTTTTGTCGCAGCTGACTTCTCAACCGACGGGGTTCTACAACCAGGCAACAGGGTTTCAGCCCGGGCCCCAGTCGCAGCCCACAGGCTTTCCTGGGCTATCACAGGGACTGGGGACGCAGCCCACTGGTTTTGTAAATCCCGCCCAGCCAACTGCTTTTGGCGGCGCTCGGCCTTCAATGCCTCTCATGCCCACGGGTGGCTTTGGTTCTAATGTCTCGCCGCAACAAACTGGTCTTCTACAAACCCAGCCGACTGGACTTCCAGGTCAATGGGGTTTTGTCAATACGCCTGCCGGAGGTCTACCCAACATTGAAGCTCTACAACAGCGTCTAATGCCCCAAGCTGGCCGCGAGGCCGGTGGGTACACTACGCAAGGGCTGTCCGGGAGCGCAAAGATTCCTTGGGCGGTCACCAAGGACGAGAAAAGAATTTATGATCAACTGTTTCGAGCTTGGGACGGCTTAGGCAGAGGTTTCATTGCCGGAGAAACGGCAATTGAGATCATGGGTCAGAGTGGTCTGGAGAGATCTGATTTGGAAGCCATTTGGACACTGTCTGATCCTAATAATAAGGGTCGGTTGAATATGGACGAGTTCGCCGTGGCAATGCACCTTATCTATCGGAAGTTGAACGGGTACCCAATCCCCGCCCGACTCCCCCCGGAACTCATTCCTCCCTCAACGAAGAATTTCAATAGCTCGATTGATACCGTCAAGTCTCTCCTGTCCCAAGATGCAGAGGCTAGAAAGTCATCAGGCGCATTCCTGCAGCCACAAAAGACCGGTGTGAGCTATCTTAAGGATCACTCGTTCCGCAGCAGCTCTTCATCACCCAACTTTGGTCGCAAAGATGCAACTGTCTTTCGGAATAATGACGATGACATTGGATATCGTTCGAGCGCAAGGCGCCGTATTGGACATGGGGGGAGGACCCCTTCTCCCGCACCATCATCCGATATGGGTGATAGCGTGTACGATGACCTGACTCCCGATCAAATTAGGAAGAAGATTCGGGAGAAGAAGATCTTGCTCGACGCTACTGATTTCCAGGACGAGCGACAAGCGGATGATGATGATGTCTTGGATCGAAGAGACAGACGAGAGGCTGAAGATCTTTTCCGGCAGATTCGGCGAATTCAGGACGATATCGACACACATCCCAATTCCGGATTCGCTGGCGGCGACACAGGCGCAGAGAAGAGAGCAATGAGAAGGGAGCTACAGCGATACCAAGATCGTCTGCCAGCGTTAGCGTCAGACGTAAGGAAGGTCGAGAAGAGCATCGCTGAAGCCAAGCTGCAATTTTTCCGCTTAAAGGACGCCAAAGCTCACCCAAACAGCGCTTCTAACATTGTTGGAACTGGTCCTGGTGGCACTGTGACCGAAGCCGACCGCATTAAGGCGCGAGCACGGGCCAGGATGCAAGCTCGAGCTGCTGAGCTTGCTGGTCGCCCTGCCCCCGCTGCCGATGACGAAGCAGGTGCGCAGAGGCGCTTAGAACAAGAGACTTCCAAGGTCAAGTCGGAACAAGAACGGCACGAGGCCATGACTAGAGACGTTGAAGAGAGCGTAAAGGACTTTGTTTCGAGTCTCGAAGATGGTTTACGAGACCAAGGGGAAAACGCAACACAAGAGCATGAACGCAGAAGGTGGGAGGAAGCTCTTGGCGTCGAGGATGAGATAAAGGAACTTATCTACGATCTGCAGCGGAGCAGCAGGACCGCGAAGATCCGCAAAGAAGAGTAAGACCCGTATAACTGTTGACAGAAAACATAAGACTGACGAACTTAGGCAATCACGGCCAGTCAGACAATCGTCGCACGACTACTCTCACGACGAAGCAAAGCCCACCAATGGCAACTTGCCTCCGCGACCAGCTCCAACTTCGACCCCTTCAACCTCTTCCGTGACGACAGCCCACACGCAGCAGGACCGCATTGCCACTGCCAAGGAGAAGGCCTTGAAACGTATCCAAGAGAGAATGGCGGCAGCTGGTATCAAGTCAGCTGGGGAGCCTAGTGAAACTTCCCAGCAGCGCCAGGAACGTGAGAAACAAGAGAGAGCCGAGCGACTTCGCAAAGCTGAAGCCGAAGATGCCAGACGTGAGCAAGAACGACAGCAGAGACTAGCCAATGAGGGCGTACCCCCTCCAAGCCCGAAAGCTGAAAAGAAGCCACCTCCACCACCAACTCGGAAACAAAGACAAGACAGCACAGATTTCTCCGCGAAGAAAGCAGCCGAGGCAGCAGCGCGTGCGAAGGCGGAAGAAGAAGCGGCGGCGCAGATTAGAGCGGAGCAGAAAGCAGAGGCGCGAGAACGCGAACGGCTGGAGTGAGCAATTGTTCTCCTTTTGGAATGACTTCCACTGACACCTGAGTAGGACCCAAGCCAAGGCGCAAGAAGACGAGCTGGAGAAGGAACGCGAGGCGGCCCAGGCTCGCTTGCGAGCGCTTGAAGAGCAAGTCAAAGCAGGTAAGGTGAAGAAACAGGAAGAAAAGGCTCGAAAGAAAGCAGCAGAGAAAGAGGCCAAGGAGAAAGAGGCCAAGCTTGCTGCACAAAGAGCCGAGCTTGAGGCTGCTCGAGAAAGAGAGCGGCAACTCCAGCTTCAACTTGAACATCTTGGAGATGAGTCGTCGTCAGACGACGAGGACGAGGGCCCGCAACAGATTACGCCCCAAGAGAGCACACCGGCAACCAGTCAAATGCTGACTGGCTCTATCGCCTCACCACCACCAAGTACTGCCCCTCCGGAACCCTCTGCAAGCAGTGGCCATGAGCCGACCCCCGTTTCCAGCCCACCCGCTGCCGAAGAGTCAAGGAATCCATATTTCCGAAAGCTTTCCCAAACACAACCGTCAGAGAATGGAAAGCCAGTCTTCTCTCCACCACCCATCCCCCAAGCTCAGACATTCTCACCTCCGCCAGCGCCTCATCCACCTGCGCCGCCTGCCGAGAGTCTGCCGTCAACTAATCCTTTCCACCGCATTGCTCAGCAAGAGGCTGCTAAACCATTAACGCCCAGCTTTGCTGGGGCTCAATCACGGCGCCGTCCCGAAGAGGACGAATGGTCTGCTGCGGGCTCAGACAGGGATGAAGACAGTGACGATGAAGTCGATCACCCGGGTGGAGGGTCTGCCAAGCATTTGGCTTCCATCTTGTTCGGTACCATGGCACCACCCAGGCCATTGTCCGCCATGGACAGTAAGCCCCAGACGCCCGTCCAAGAGCCGCCACCTCTTCCAGGTACATTTGACTCGAGTTCCGCTCCACCGCCTCCTCCGATTCCTGGGAGTGGTGCACCAACGGCACCGCCGCCTCCACCTCCGATGCCAGATGGTAGTGGTTTCAATCCACCACCACCACCACCGCCACCTCCTCCGTTTCCTAGCTCCGGTGCACCTGGAGGTCCGCCGCCGCCTCCGCCGATGCCTGCTCCAGCTCGCTCTGGAACTGGCGATATTGGTGCTTTGCTGGGTGAGATCCAGAAAGGTAAAGGGCTGCGAAAGACTGAAACAAAGGATAGGAGTGCCAGCGCCGTCGCTGGAAGGGTGCTGGATTAGATAACGGTAGAAAGAGGACAAGCGATTGAGGGAGAATTAGACGAGACTGGATGAGAGCATCAGACACATAACCTGCGCGCAATTGAATACTTCCGTCATTATGCTATCTATGTCCTAGGACACTGATTGAGCTGTCCTCGTACCGAGTAATTACAGGTCGTCAGACCTACATGGCACGAGGATGGCAGTGATGGCAGTCACGAGTGAGGTTTCGAGCCCGTCACATCACGTGATATAGAGGAAGTGGCTGCACTAGCCTGTTTTTGTACATGTCAACAAACGACTCCAATTGTTAGAACTCTCACAACAATCTTCGACAGACACCAGAACTACAGACCAAGCCATGGCGAGACGATCGCAAAATCCTTGAAACAATACAAAAAGAAACGACAAAACGTCTTGCTGTATGGAATGAGAGCAGCAAGCCTCCAGAGGCAGGATAAGAGCACAACAGCAGAATCGGAATATCAGGAAACGATGCCTCGGGTTACAAGAGGCGCCAGTGAGCGCCCTAGCCGGCAGGCTGTTGTTATGAACATGGCGCGCGAAAATAGCAAGTCATCGCCTGTGAAGTATGGCCACTCCGACTGCAGATTCACTCACAGCGCTGCAAAGTGATACGCAGGATTTTCCCGGTTCACGCAGATTTGGGTTCGCGTCGAATGCTAACCTACCGTGTTGTTTCAACAGAATACCGCTCAACGATGACAAAGGCGAAAAAGTTGCTCGACTGCACTCTCGACATGCCCTCCAAGAAATCCATATGAACGAAATCCGCGCTGCGGCAAGTCCTGTGCGGAAACTCCATCAGAGACGAAGGGAATCCAATTATAGCAACATGTCGGACTCCCCACGCACGCCTAGAAGTCAAGATCATGGAGCACAGGTACGAAGAAGAGGAGGCCCGAGCAACCAGCAGCGCAATAACAATGACCACCCTCGAAACAGCTTTGGCCGTGTCGCCGAAGACAGCGGGGTCACACCCATGAAACGTGTCCCTATCCTTGCCAATTTCGAAGAATGGATGAAGATGGCAACGGACAATAAAATCAACGCGGCCAATTCATGGAACTTTGCACTGATAGACTACTTTCACGACATGAGCCTATTAAAAGAAGGGGACGGTGTTAATTTTCAAAAGGCAAGTTGCACGCTAGATGGATGTGTCAAGATATATACGAGCAGAGTGGATAGCGTGGCAACGGAGACTGGCCGGCTGTTAAGTGGTCTTGCTGACGGCGGTGCGTCTGAGGGCAGCAAGAAGAGAAGCAAAGGCGATGGCAATGAAGAGGAGGATGAGGATGAAGAAGGCGAAGACGGCGAAGATGGTGAGGATGGAGAAGGCGGGGGAAAGAAGAAATCCAAGAAGAAAGCTATGCGAAGTCATGAAGCTACGCTCGCACCCGGCTTTGCCTCCTTCCAGGGCAAGAAACTGGAACTCGAGTTTGCGGTCGACCCGCTCTTTAAGAAGGCATCTGCAGATTTTGACGAGGGAGGAGCTAAGGGCTTGCTGCTGAATCATTTATCCATCGATTCTGACGGACGCATCGTGTTTGACAGCAGTGATGATGCGGGAGACGCTGCTTTGGGCGGTGAGAACGATACCAGCCAACAAGAAAAAGAAGATGATGTTGAATCTATAGGGAAGGGGCAGCACGCGCCAGATTCCGCCGCTCAAGACGAAGAGCCTGTTGCCGACGATCAAGACGGAGAAATCGATCTCGCTTCTCTAGCATCCAAGTTCTTCCCGGATATGAGCATACTGGACTCACAGGACATTTGCCCTTCTATGAAATCCTTCACATTGGGCGACCCATCTGGAGACCTGAACTTGCCCTTCCTTAAAGTCCCTGAAGACTGGAAAGAGCACAAAAGGTCCCAGACACCAGCGCCCCCTCCAGCAACAAATTTTGCCCTTAGCCTGGCCGACCAAACAGGGATATTCCTCGATGGAACCAATGCCATGGGTTTCGACGATGATGACGACGGCGATGGGCTGCTCGGTGGCTTCGACGTCGCAGATAACGTTGGTTTTGGTGAAGGAGGCGAGGCCTGGGCAAAAGATGCGGCCCTCGAAGCTCAGGCTAGAGTTGCGCGAGCAGAAGATGTGGACGATAATCTTTTGGGGGATGGAGCTGATGGATATGCGTTGCCTCTGCAGCACAAGTACCAAGAAGATGCGGAGCATGAGTCTATCATGGCCTATTTCGACAAAGCATTCAATTCACGCGCAAAAGGCAAGACAGCCTTTCTCACCCTGGAAAACTGGCGGATGCAGAAAATTCAAAAAGCACAACAACAAGAATCCAGCGGCACTAATGTGCCACCCACGAGACAGAAAAAAGAAAAGGAGCCGTACGAGATTGATTTTCTGGGCCCCATGTCGGACTCCTTGAAGGAGTTACTGGAACAACCACCCGTTTTAAATTCACAGATATCTCTCCCAAAAGCGCAGTGGCGGACCAAGGGCCGAAATCTGCTGGATAAAGATGACGAGGTCGTTGACCCAAGAAAATTAATGCGACTATGGACCAAACCCAAGTGTCGAGTGGGCAGGATCCGGAAGAGAGAAGGAGGAGTAGGTATGGGGATTATTGATGAGGGCTTTGGGGCCAGAAACCGCGTCGGAACTGCAAACTCCTCTGGCGAAGTGGCCAGTGATGAGCTGGACGATGAGGGCAGAAAGGGCGACTATGATGCCAACTTCTTTGCGGATGACGATCAAATGCTTCCCTTTGATGGGCCGTTACCCATCGACGATGACGACGACGACGATGGGATCGTTGATGGAGGCGGCGATGACGGCGGACAAGCGTTCATGGACGCGAGGGAGATGTTGTCGCCTCAACCAGAGTCACAGCATGACCAGCATCAAAATCTTCTGAACGGCGAAGCTAGAGCGGACATTGACCAAGCTGAATCTCAGCAGTCACAGCAAAACTTGGAAGCACAGCAAAGTCAATCGGACCTTCTTCCTGGCAGTTTCGGAAGCCAACTTGTAACACAAGCTGGAAGAAGAATCAGGCCCGAGTACGTGAATTACGCACGCACGGCGAAGAAGGTTGACGTGAGAAGGTTAAAGGAGAATTTGTGGAAAGGGATGGAGGGGCGGTTGCAGTTGATAAACGTGTTTGATCGACCCTCGACCGCAACGACTGCCGAGCAACAACTCCGTGAGGATGGAGATGGCGACGTCGATATGATGGACATCGATGATGACCATCCGCAGCAAGAAGAGGCTCAACCCAAAGTTGAAGAGCCTCCTACTCCCGCGCAGAACGATCCAAACTCACCACACGACACTGACGACGCCGGAACGTTGAATTTCACCGACCTCATCCAAGACCTTCGCTCCTTCTATCCTGAACCCCAGATGAAAGACATCAGCACATCATACTGTTTTATCTGCTTGTTACATCTGGCGAATGAAAAGGGGTTGGTGTTACAGGGTGAAAGGGACGGGGAGAACGCGATGCAGGAAATAAAGGTCACCAGGGACCCGACGGTTGGAGAGGGATACGAAGGAGAATAAAATACTTCGCCTGAGAACCTGGGACGGACGGATGGGTGTGATTTGTATATCATATCAAACTTTATGCTTATGCCTTGCTTGCTTTCGCTGGGGGATCTTTACTTTAGTCCTTTGCTCGAAGGCGCTGATGCTGCTGCTGCTGCTGCTGCTATTGCTGCTATTGCTGGCTGGGCTTTTGGATATCGGAATCGGAACCGAGATCGAATCACCATGCCATTGGACATGTGGACATACTGCAGGCATGCATGCATCGAGAATCAATCGTGGATATGAATGAGAAACATGATTCTTTCTTTTGACAGCTACACAACAGCCACAGTGACATCCCCCCTTCCCTTCCTCCCTCGCGGGCCTTACCTCATTCAAAGACAGCTTTTCAATTTTCAACAGCATGTGTTTGTTTCCATGGCTGGCTGGTACAGTTCACCTTTAATCCTGTATTTACTACCTAGATGTGTAGAACCGTACCGGTACGCGCCTTTTCTACCTTACTCTACTCTATTCTGCTCTCTGGGAAAGATGGCGTGTTGTGGAGTGGCATCCAGAGGATTCAGGCGTCCAACGTCCAGTGTAGGAAAAGTCGGACTATGCTCCTAGAAGCTGATACATACTCTGTCCTTGTAGGCTGATTAACACATACCGTATCAGTTGAACAAGGGAATTGAAACTGACGTGGCGCACAGAGTCTACAAATAGATGGATGGTTTTCTGGACCGATTTGGTTGTCTGTCTATCTGTCTGATCTCTCTCTATATGTATGTGTATATATATATATATTTATCCGGGTCTCATTTTCCGCTCCAGGATACGCTGCAGTTAATAGCGTACACATCTATGTACATGGAAAGCCTTCCCGAAACTAGGCAGCGGAAACTCCACAACTCCCACGTCCAGCCCAGGTAAGCCATCAAAATCCCTCTCTATGTCTCTCTCTCTATCCCATCGCTCTACGCAGAGGGGTCGGCGGAGGCTTCTTCTTGTTGGAGTGGGAGGAGAGTCCTCCGCTTTTCTTTCTCGACTTGTTTTTCTTTCTTCTGTTCCAGTTTCCGCCACCGAGTCTGCCGCCAACGCATGCCACATTGGGTTTCGATGTATAGAAACACCGTCGCTGCGGCCATCAGCAGGCCGACAAGGACGAAACACCAGCCGAGCCCCAAACCGGTCAGCATGTTGTCGACGACGGCGGCGCCAACGGCGCCGAGCATGCAGCGGACGAGGTTCGAGGCGGCGGACGCGGTCGAGACGCTGCCCGGGTAGATGTCCGAGAGGAGGGTGCTGATCGAGTTGGAGGCAACGACCAGACAGAAGCCCAGTACAAATTGCAGGACGAGCGGCACCGCGAGCGAGGCATGTCTCTCCAGCGCCCAGCCGTAGGGAACCAGGGCCGCGACCTGTAAGACCTGGAAGGGGAAGACGGCCTGCAGGCGAGCGCGCTCGATAGGGAAATTATGCAGATCGTCGCCGCGCTTCCGATCCACCGTGACGCCCAGCTTGCGGGCCATGCGCTGGTAGTTCCAGTCCAGAAGACGGCCGTTGCAGAACGCGCCGATTGCCGCGGCGATGCCCAGTGGTCTTTTCAACGTCTCATCAGTCAGGTTCAAACGCACATTTCAGTACGGATGGGGTTGGTGAGAAAAGAAAGGAAGAGGGAAGGAGGAAAGGCCCCCGACTTACAAGAAACACAATCCCACCTGGAGCTCGTTGAGGCCGTACAGCCTGGGAAACACGGTCGGCGTGCTCGTCATCAGAACTAGGTTACTGAACATCATTATCCCGGTGTACAGGATGAGACAGAATGCGTCCGGGTTGGTGAGAATGACAAAGGACTCGAGCGGATTGGGGAAACGGATTCTCGTGTTGCGTTGCTGTTCCACAAGAGCCTGGCGCGCGCGTTCATAGTCGTCCCTCTCTTGGGCACTCATTCTCTTCAGCCGGCGGCGACCGGCTAAATACTGCACGACCGACTGGCGCCACCATTGATGTGGCACGATGCTCCCGTCATCCACGATCTTGCGATGCGTTTCGGGCATGAAGATGATGTACGTCACTAGGAACCCGCCGCTGATGATTGTAAGGAACCAGAAGACCGCTCTCCATCCGAGAAACTGCGTCAGGAGACCACCAATGGTCGGTCCGAGGGCTGGCGCCGTCAAGACGCCCGCCGCCATAGGGCCGAAGTACTTCCCTCGCTCTCCAGTAGTGGCGATATCAGCAATCACTCCGTATCCGAAGGAAATTGTGCCACTGCTCCCTGCGCTCTGCAGACACCGCAGGACGAGTAGGGCGGCATAACTGTCCTGCAGCGCCAGACCAATGTTTGCAGCCGTGTAGATGGTGAAGGCGAGAATATAGCCCAGTCGTCGACCGCTGGCGTCGGAGAAGGTGCCCATGAAGCTCGGCGCCAGGCCCTGGAAAATCATGTACGTGGTGATGGAGACGTTGATCAGTCCTGAGGAGAGATGATACGTCTTTGTCAGGATGGGGAGAACTGGATAGTAGATCTGGCCGGACAAAGGCGAGAAGAAGGATGCCATGGCGGTCATGGTGACAATGAACCATTTTCCATTGTTGGAAAAGGCCGTGTACGGCTTCTTGCTTGTGGTGCTCGACGTTGTCGTCAGAGCCGAGTTTTGGGCCTCGATGTCTCTTTTCGTCGACTCTGAGGATGGAAGACTAGCCATGTCTTGCCCGGAGATGTTTATGCTGTCGTCAGCATCATCGGTATTGGAAGGGACACTTGTTTCCGTCTCGTTGTGTGTATCTTGAAGGGAGACGCCATCTTTCTTGGAAGCCATACTGTCTTTATCAAAGCGTATCGGGCAGTCTTTACAAAGTGTTGATATCTGGTGTGCTTGCCATATGACAGTCGAACCCAGGCGAATGTGTCGCTAGTTGGATATCGAAGAGCCTCCTCTGGGTTCCTTCAACATGGTCTTTAGGGCTGAGGGGGCACGGAGAAACGAACCATGATCACCCTGAGTACAATCGAAGACATATAAGTATCAGTATCTCCCCTGAGCAGATGTCGGGATTAGCTGGAATTAAAAGTGGGCGGTAATTAGAGACGTCGAACAGTTGCTGGATGAAGTGTGGTAGTGTTTGCGTGGCTTGTTGCGTGACCCAATGTCCAGCTCTCCCATGACGCCGGTCCCGGGAACGGCCGTGCGAGACCGGGCCGGAACAGGGCATCTCATTCCGTTTGCGGACGGATAAACACCGCAATAACAAGAGCGCCAAATTGGCATTCACTCGATGCGAATATGATGCTCGCAATTCCGACATCCGGATGATGCTTTCGTGATCTGCGCGTCCTCTTCTTCGTCACGAGATTTGAGTCCGTTGTGGCAAACAGCTCAGCTTTACGATCCTCAGCCATGGCCGGCCATCCGATCATGAAATCGGTCCTGTCGCTGATCGAGAACGACAACTCGAACATCCTTCATTTGGCGTTTGGATCCCAGAAGATGAAGCCGGGCGACAAGATACCCAAGGGAGGTAAGTTGGCGAGAAATCCGGTGCCATTTGTGGTGTCTTTCGCTGACCAGGTTGACTCTTTCTTAGAAGCTCAAGGGCTCCCGACACTGGGTTGGAATGCGCCCTCGAAACAGAAGTTCCTTGTCATCAGCCTCGACCTCGACGCGCCCTTTCCTTCGTTTGCACCCTTGAGTCCCGCCCTGCACTGGCTACAGGCCGGCCTTGCAGCCCAAGGAGCAGGCGATGACCTGACCTCCCCGGATCCCGCCATCGCCTTTTGGGCTGGCCCCGGTCCTCCGCCGATCAGCAGCCCACATCGATATATCTTCTTGCTCTATGAGCAGCCGGCCGACTTTGACCCAAGAATGTTTACCAAAACGCGTGGATTTGGCATCAGGGACCGCATGAGATGGGATCTTTCACGATTCGAGAAGCAGGCGAAGCTACGCCCAGCAGTCGCAGCCACGTATTTCTTTAGCAATTAGACACCCTCAGCTTCTTGCGGTCGGCACTTGGAAACGGGATTTCCCGAGAACGCATACAACAATACGAGAGTGTTTGGGTCTGGCTCGAAAGAAGGTTGCCGAGGGGAATTCAAGGTTATTGTTAGCCTCAGCTTGAACAACAACAGTTGACGGCCAACTCAGCAAGTCGGGTCATTCGCCGATCGTTAAGGCAGAGAAAAATAGTGGCCACAATCCCTCCGACCGTCCTGAGGCTTACAACCCGAATGCCCTGCCTACGAAGATACGTGCCGAGAGGCGAGAGCATGCGACGAGCCACTACATAATCCTTCTTCGGCCTTCCTGATCGTGTTCCTGAAGAAATGCAGGCTGCAAGGCAAATTCTCATCGACGCGAAACGCCAGTGTGACACAGACGTATGTTTCTAATCAATAAAGGTATATGAATCGAACACATTCCCCTTCCTCTCTCTTTAGAATCTCTTCTTGCAAATCCCCTTGTTGCTGCGTTGTTCAGCTCTCACCGGAGACGCTAGCCCCTCCTCTGGTCACTACAGACGCTGCCATGAATGCGCTTCGGAAAACTGCATTAACAGACGTCTTCCAGGCGCAGTGCTTGGGCAAACGTCCCTCGCAATACAATGTTATCAATATTACGGGGCAGCACAGGATCAGAGCCATAAGTCGTCCATTGCTCTGCCTCACTAGCGTCTATTGAGCGACGGACTCAGGGAGCTCTTCCTGCCAGGCTCGGCTTCAGACCCTCCGCTGACTCTAGTCGAGATTAGTTACCTCCTCCCGGCTTCAGCTAGACATTCTGCGCCGGTTAAGCAGGCTTCCTCAAATTGCTCGAAATCTTCCAATTGAGCTCTCCAGTCTCAATCTGATTTCCAACGACACGACGGCTTTCAATTGCCTGGGAGGGGGGGATCCCAACGTCACCTCGCCTGGTCTGAGCCACATCTGGGCGGCCTGATGAGGCAGCATTGATTGGAAAAACGTGATTAGAGCTATGCTTGATGAAATGAAATGGAAAAACAATGCGACATCCTAGGGCCAACGCAACTCGGAACCCATGGCGCCATTGCGGTGTCCACCACTGAAATCTTTCTATTCTATATGTGTCGAGATCTATCACTGGTGTCTATATATCTCTCGCCTTTCGACCCCATCCTTGAGTGTATCTACCCTTGGCGCGCACCAGCCTTCTTGCTTCGGCAGACCCCTTCTATATCATCTGCGAGAAAGTGTTGTGCGCCTCTATCTGGTGGCGTGGATCCACACTGCCTCTCCATAATTTCCCGAGCCGACCTTCCCAATTTCGCCAGCGATAACAGATGGCTGATAGCGGGGTGTGGCGGATGATCAGACCGGACGTGAAGGAATGAGCGCGATGAGGAGCTAGCCGAGCTCGATAAGGGGAGTTATGATTGCACCAGCCATGGGTATGTTATAACTTTTCCTGTCTCTTTGCCAGAACCCACATCCCTTCGGCCTCAGTCATGACCTTGCCGTCCTTGTCTACTATTTGACCCCGCGACAGCCATTTGCGACCTTCTCTTCCCACGAGCCAACACCTGACGAGCACATCGCCCGGGGTCGGTACGGGAGCGCGGTAAGTGACATTCAGACTGACGGTAAAAAGAGAATCCCGAGGGCCCGAGATGTGCTGGTGGTGCAGCATCACACAAAGCCCCATCATTTCATCGAGAATGGCGCAGGCCATGCCGCCGTGGATAACTGAGGGATGACCATCTAGCCCGGGGCGACCGAGCTGCAAGAGCATGATGCAGTCAGGGTTCGCGGGCACCTGAGTGACTTCATTGTGGGTTGTTCTCAGTTTTAATTGTCCTTTGGGTGTTTCTGGACACTTGGGGAAGTCCTTCAACTGCAGCGTGACGAGATGAGGGATGGTTGAGGGCGAGCTGACGGTGCGAGAGAAAAAGTAGTCTTCGCCGGAGTCCTTGAGGACGCGCGAAAAGGTAGGAATGGCTTTGTAGAGAGGATTGGACAGGTGTTTGTTGGTCCATTCAACGGATGCGAAGTGTCGCCGGGCATCTTCGGGGACGCGGTGGGTGGTGATGAACTTGGACATGAAGTCCATCTCTTCGGTTTGGGGAGCCATGACGACCGCGGGGTGTGCTACCTGTACCTGTCACACATTATCCCAATCGACAGAGCAGAGGCAGGAAGGCGGCAGAGTGCAGGATGCAGTTGTAGCAGTATACCTTTTTTGGGTCTCTTTTTGTCTTCTCCAAGTCCATGGATACGGAACATGGGGTCCGAGCTCGTGCCTCGGTTTGGTCGGTTACAGTAGCCATTGCGCTGGGCCAGTGAGGCTTCGATGACCAGAGAGATACGGGCAACTGCGTCTTGAGTCGTGAATGGTGGGATGTTGGGCGGGCGGATCTCCCTACTCGAGGTGTCCGACGCCTAGAACTGTTTGGGTGTGGGCGCCACTAAGGGGCTGCTTGGGGGTTTCCGTGGGTTCCCAAGCCTGCTGCAAGATTGTCCGCAGTGGAGGCGGGTGCCAGGGTTGGGTGAGGGCAGGTAAGGGTAGGTGAGGGTCGCCGGGCATGCGCTGCCCTGGTGATTGGCGCGGGCCTTAATGTGTTTTAGAATTGCAGCAGAGTGACGAATGGGCTGGCCCGAGCATGCGAGCCCCCAGTCACCCACCAGTCGCTTTGGGGTTAATAGGTTCCTGATGGTGCCGTGCAGGCAGCCCCAAGTGCCCCTAGCTGCCAGCTAGGCCTCAATCCAGCCAAGTGGGTGACAAGATAGCGGCATGGTCATGGACATGATACCGGCCCTTTTTGGAGCTAAGCAACAGGACTGGGTACCCAGTAGCAGGTCAATGTCCATGACCGCGCAATGGAATAAAAAAAGCCACCGCACCCTCTCCCAGCCTCTATCTCAGTCGCCCTTCAGTCCCATAGCAACGGGAAAGCATCCTCAAGCTCAAGAGATTCCTCGTTGTTGTTACCAGCCTCGCAAACTCATAAAGGTGAGCTCTTACCCCAGGAATCCAGGTACCGGATCCTTCTTTCCGCCGTCTGCTATGCACAGCAGTGTGTGAATCCTGCCGTCCGCCTCCTCCTTCCCTCGCGAGTCACAGCCCACAGCTTCTCACTCTACTCTCACAGCTCTCTCTCCCCGTCTCTTTTCCCGCATACTCTACTCCATCCATCCTTCAGTCCACCTCTACCAACGTAGTACTTTGAGCATCGATTGACTCTGCATTTGACAGAAGAGTCCAACCTTCACCATGCAGTACCAAATCCTCCTTGTAGCGTCTCTGGCTGCTCTCGGCCATGCGCAGACCATTGTCACCTCGAGTGCGTCCTCGGTCGCAGCCTCAACCACCGAGTCGCAGGTCATGCCTCCCGTCGCCACTGCGGCCTTCAACCCTGCTGGCATTGATTCTACGACTGCCTGTAAGAGGGGAAAAGCCCCAGTCTGAGTGTCCTGGGCCCACATACTGATTGAGAGTACAGTTAACTGGTGCCATGCCCAGCTGAACACTTGCCCCCAGATTTGTGGTGGTGCTGCTTCGCAAAACCAGTGTGATCAGGTATGGCAAAATCTGGTCTTCTCACGACGATGGACAGCTAATATCTCCTTCAGAACAGCTTCACTTACACCTGCGTTTGCGCCAACGGCACCGTACCTGATTGCACTGCCTTCATCGAGACTCTTCCGTTCTACATCTGTCAAGAAACCTACATCCAGTGCGTCGACAACCACCCCAATGATGCCCAAGGACAGGCAACGTGCAGCGCGAATGAGCAATGTGGGACCCGTAATGCGACTGCCGAAGCCATTGCCCAGACGTCTGCTGCCTCTGCTCCTTCGGCATCCTCCACCTCTGCTCCTGCGTCGTCGCAATCCGCTTCCGCTGCCGGGTCTGGCACCAGCTCTGCTTCCGCCACCGGATCCAGTGCCTCTGCTACCGGTGGTGCTGCGATTGCCCTCCCTCAGCAGGTGGCCACTGGTGCCTTTGCCGCTGTTCTAATCGCCGTCTTCAAGCTATTGGTCTAGGCCTAGACTGGCGTCTACTTGCAATTTCGAGCTACGAACATCAGGTGCCTTCGATTCGTCCCAATGCTTTAATACTTGGACAGAGAAGTTTTTGTCTCAGGGCACTGGAAAACGGGAAAAGCGTTATGGTTAAGACGAAAAGAAATATCGGCGACAGTTTCAGGTTCATGGATGATGGAGGCATGACTTGGTTTGGAATCATAGTCAGAACGGTCAACGGAGTGGAATGACGATATCCTGAGTGAGCAATGACGATTTATGTTTTTGAGCGTGTCGGCTTGTGGCCAACAGCACTTTCAATCCTTTATTTAGCGAGCGCGTTTGTCGGCTTCAGCTTTTGGGGCTTGGGGCGGAGATAATATACTATCGTACAGAAATCAAAAAGCAGATAAGGGTGCTTTTAATTAATGCCGACGACGGGTGAGACGTTAAAGAGAGCTGTTCCTGTTTCCCCTTCCCAGATCTTCATTAACGATCCTCGTATTGCTCGTCATTGTTCCCACTTTTCTCAGATGCGAGCCTTGCGGAGCCTTGCGGAGACAATTCCAGCAGCCGCCGAGATAAACATGTGGCTTGTACATGTATGTAGCTGTGGCGGAAGCTCGAACTTCGGTATGCTTTCCGTATGCTTCGCCCAGCTTTTCCCCTCACAGTGTCTCATGTTTGCGAGGCTGTGGTCGCTGATCCGTTAGACCGTGCTTGCTGATGCTTGATTCCGCCCGCACAGGATGGAGATGGCACCACTACTTGTGTATGATTTCCCATATGGCTTCCTTCCCCGCAAATATCAATGAAGCGGGAGTATATACATTCCGCCTACCTCTGCTTATGTACTGACCATCTCGTTTTCCCTTTTCATCATTGCCAGGTTGAGTATAAACCCACCGAGCAGCGCTTCAAACTTCGTTCTCGTAGCCCCGGCGCAGCTTCAAACTGAAACCAAAACGATCAACAGATCAAGCACGATGCGCGCCCTCCGCTACCACGGCGTCAAAGACCTCCGCGTCGACAACGACATCCCCGAACCAGAATGCGGAGAGAACCAGATCAAGGTCAAGCGTGAGTTGAGTCTGAAGCCCGGGGGGCAGGTCATCGGCTGTCATGAATGAGGCATCCTTTTGTCGTTGTGAGTGAGCTTTGGACGGCCGAGCTGACAAGTTGAGATGGAACGCATTAGCTGCCTTTTGTGGGATTTGCGGGACAGATTGTAGGTTTCGTGACCTTTCTTCTATGCGTCCCATGTTCGTGATCTCGAGAACACTTCTACTCAGGCGTCGCAAACAACCATGTCTCGGAGAACCATGAACTACTTAGGCTGACCTTTTCTACAGTACACGAATATTCGTCGCCGACATTCATCCCACAACCCGGCTCCCCTCACCCAATCACAAAGGAGTCGATGCCAATCCCCATCGGCCACGAATTCTCGGGGCAAATCGTGGAGATTGGGCGCCTCGCCGCCTCCCATCCCAATTTCCAAGGTCAAACCCTCAAGGTGGGGGACAAGGTCGCTGTGCAACCCACCCTCGCCTGCTTCCACTGCGGGCCGTGCAACGACGGCTACATCAACTGCTGCGACTCCGCGGGATTTGTGGGGTTGAGCGGCGGTGGCGGTGGAATGAGTGATTATGTCTGTGTCGACGCACAGTTTGTGTTCAAGCTGCCGGACCATGTAGGCTTGGACGTGGGTGCATTGGTGGAGCCGTTGGCCGTGGCCTGGCATGCAGTGGACCAGGTAGGTTCTTGAGGACACCATTGAACGGGAAAGAGTTACGAGGGGGTTTGTGACGTTGTGGATATTTCTACGCTGATGCAAGACTTTTAGTACCCGCTGAAGAAAGGTGACAGTGCCCTCGTAATGGGTGCCGGTCCCATCGGACTTGGGGTGATCCAATGCCTGAAGGCTCGCGGTGCCGGTACCATCATTGTCGCCGAGGTCGCAAAGGAGCGCCAGAACTTCGCCAAGGCGTTTGGTGCTACACATCTGATCGACCCTAGGACCGAGGACGTGGTGAAGAGAAGTAAAGAGATCACTGGGGGCCAGGGACCGCATGTTGCACTGGACGCGGCGGGAGTTCCGGCCAGTTTGAGAGACGCGGCGTTGGCGGTGAGGGCACGGGGGACGATTGTGAACTTGGCCATCTGGGAGAAAGAGGTATGTTATCGCCCTCCTTTTGGCATTGGAAACAATAGTTAGTGGCAGATTGAGAGTGGTGGAGAGGGAGAGGAACGAGGCACGAGTTGGCACCGCTGACGGCTCATTAACAGGTACCATTCCAACCGAACACTCTTGTATTCGGGGAGAAGAAATACTTTGCAAGTAAGTCCTGTCAACTCTCTTTCCGTGCTGCTGCTTCTCCCGCCATGAAGAAGAATGAGCGCCTTTTCACGCCCTCTCAACGAGACATCCACGTCAGGTATGTGCTGACATTCTCGCTCTCCCGAAGTCCTTGGCTACCTCCAATCCGACTTCGCGGGCGTCATCAAGGCCCTCGACGACCACTCCCTGGAACCCGAGAGGATGATCACGGGCAAGATCAAGATCGACCGGGTGGCGCAGGACGGGTTCAGGCCGTTGATCGAGGAGAAGGACAAGCACGTCAAGATCTTGGTCGATTGTAGAGCGTAGAATGCCACCAGAGGCACAGAAGAATGTCGTGAAACAGAAGGACACACGTGGGTATAGCAATGTGCCTTGCTGTAGGTGCTGGATCTCTGTGGTGCAAAGAGGCGTCATATACTAGTAAATTGCGATGAAAGCCCTGTCCATTATCCGGATCAAGAAGCTTTTTGGGGGGATATAAAAAAAAAAAGAATTACGCATTCTGGCCAACTTCCCTGGTTCTGCCTCTTGATCTCTTTTGGTACCTAGTGGTGGTCGAGACCATCATCCCCTGGACTGCTCCAGCCTCGCCCAGTATGCACCATAATCCATAATCGGACCCCAAGTTCTACAAGCCACCCCGCCAAGGAACACGGCTGGTCAAGCAAGAACATTTGAACAAGCTACGCCGTATTCCGTATGTACCCCGGGATGTTCAAGCTCGACAGAAAGCAAGTCGGAGTGGTGTCCTCCACGTGGTGTTCTCCTACTATGTACTACGTCGTAACTTCATGCAGCACGCCTTACCTCAAGGGCGACTCGTTTGTCGTTCACGGACCCCGAAATAAGTGACTATTTAGTCAGCTTGAATTAGCCTGGTTTTGTCGTCTTTGACATCCAAGACACTTACCGCTTCTCAAGTGCCTTTTATAACTGTATAATCGGAAAGAAGCGTTCTTGTTGATGATACAAACCCAGAATCCCAGTGTCTGTGTCTAGCGGTTTCTCGTATTTCTGGCTGTGTGCGGGCCTCGACTAGGACGAGGAATACCAGAAGCGGAGCGCAGGACCCAAGTCTTCGAAACCAGCCATGGCAGAAGTAGTCGGCCTGATTAGCAGCATCGTCGACAGCGCCGGTGCGGGCATCAAGCTGTCAATAACCTTGGACATGTTCTCCGAGACAGTGGCCACCGCCCCCGACCAGGTCAAAAACATCGCCCGGGACGTGTCGCTAACGGCCTCTGTCCTCGAGGAACTCGGAACCTATCTCAAACAAGATGATCAGGCCAGGTTGTACTCTGTCTCGGCCGTCAAGATGGCCACAGGCGTCGTGGCGGAATGCGAGGGCGTGTTCAAGGATATTGACGCCGTTGTCGCGGGAGCCGTGGAGAGTACATCGAAGAAAGGGCTGAAGAAGGAAGGAGGCAAGCTGGCTTTGTCTGCCACGGATAGCCTCAAGTGGCCGTTCCTCCAGCCCAAGATGGAGGTTCTGCAAGGGAATCTGGAGAGGCTCAAGAGCACGCTCGTGCTGATGTTGAATGTCTTGACGTATGCGAGAGATTTGAGAGTTGAGTAGGTCTGCGGACTTCGAAAATTTGCGTGAATCTTAGGTCTCACTTGCATCTAGAAAGAAGACGTCGTCCGAAGACGACAATGGCTATCAGAGGACACTGCTCGAAAACCTGCTCCGAGCAAACGAAGAAGCTACAAGGAAGTATCAGCATCTTCTCAAGACCATCGGGCCCCAGGATGAGACTGTCATCCTCGAGCAAACGCAATCCCCGGATTCAGGAGCAAGTGCGCCGGAGGCACCCTCTGCCGACAGCCCGTTCACTGGGCTGTCCAAGAGCACGGTTTCAAACCAAGATGTCACCGTTGCAAGCCCTCAACACATATCCCTTCCGCACCCCGAATTTGAGTCGAACATCAGAGGGTGCCTCGAGCACATCGAAAGGGCATTGCTTCAATTCGAGCAGTCAAGTTCTGTGGCTAGTCACAGCCGGCGGGTGGGAATGCATATCGAATTGGAGAAAGAATTCGGCGATTCTCGATACGCTCCAGGGAGGCCAAATCCGTGGGCAGTCCTGTCCATTGTTCGCAAAGAACAGCAGGGTTGGCCTGAGCAGAACTATACTCCATTTCACCTCGAGTCAAACGCCAGTGATGATCTAGACATGTACGCCAGTGTTGCAGCCGGCGCGCTCGAGAGCATTAATATCGAGGACGAGGGCTCGACTGCCGTCCACAGAGTCCAGAATCAACGTAGAGCTCAGGCTCAAGTAATCGACCCCGTCGCAGTGGCAGTGATGCGCGAGAGAGCCTCCCAGCGCGCGGTGACATTTGGCGCTTCGGAGAGCAAGACAGAGCCTTTGGACGCTTCGGCACCGGGATCTAGGAACAGGTCTACTAGAAAGCCGTGGTATTCATCTGTCTGGGAATCTCTGCCCTCTCCAACAGCAGCGATAGATTCCATTCAACAGTGAGTCTTCACCATGTTCCACCGGTGTGAGTGTTAAGCTGACGCAGTCTCCCAGGACGGTAAAGAACTCCGGTCTATTCTTCGGTGTGGAGGAGGAGTCTGAAAATCCAGATACCGTGCTTGAATTCAACAAGGAGAGAGCCGGTGATGCTGGTGTGTTACAACGATTCGACTCAACTGGCCCTACACTTACAAGATCCCCGACCTTCGATGACATCTTGAATCCTCTTTCCTTTGTCAAAGGTCGACTCGCACCTTCATTGCCAGCCACGAGCACGGCTCAAGTCCCGGACCTGGAAGGCGCAGGAAGATCGTGTACAACAGCTCCTCTACCCGAGGCGGCCGTGGAAGTGGAATCAACGCAACAGGAGGCCACGAACCTTCTTTCAACGGAAGATGCTGACAAAGACACACAAGCCCCTGCTACAATGGGGGAGGGTTCAGCAGCGGCTCCTGTGTCGACGAACAGAACAGAAAGTCCACCCACCGAGGCGGGACCAGACGGATCTTTAAAAGACGAAGTAGAGTCTTCTGTCGAGGATAGAACGGGCAAGGAGGAGGGGGCTGCAGAAGGGGAACCCGATGCAATCGATCGGTTGCTGAAAGAATGGACAACGCTGTATACCGAGAAATGACCGATATCTCTTCTGTAGCACATATGGGATCTGGATTTGTGGAATCTATCTTGTTCAGGGACTGACGAAGGGCGGACTGAAGAATGAAAGTGGTGGATGGAAGTGGTGGCGGTGGAGCGGAGCGGACTTGGCGTGTAAAAGCGGCATCTGACTTGTGATTGGCGGGCTCGGCGTCGACCTGTAAACAATCCAACAAGCCCGCGATGCAAGTGGTTCCAGCGCTGGACACCAGCTTCAACCACAGCTCGACGCCAATTCCCACGCCTCCCCCCTCTGCGAATGCGCCGCGATCTGACCACTCTTTAGCAGAGATATCGTTATAATGAAGTTTCACACCTTTTAACACACAGGCCAACTCCGTGCGTGCGCATGCGACCGATTCCACTCACAAACGCGGGATCCTGCTCTCCTCGCTCACCACCAACGCTCAAATGACAATGCTAATTGCGCGTCCTCTGCTGCACCCTCTTCCAATGTCATCCATCCAAAGGCCGACTCGAAGGCTAAGCGCGCGAATTCAAGAGAAGGCTGACGCGACATTGTATGCAACCTATGAACAAAGCAACGGAAGTGTGAAGAGAAGAGTCGGCGCTTCGGATTCTGCGGCTGCGCCAGCAGCCAGACCCTCCAATGAGAAGAAAAGAAAGATGGGTAGGTCTTTGTCAAGAGGCCTAGAGGCCAAATGCAAACAAGAGGACTTACATTCGCTCTTAGATTATGACGAGGAGGACGATGGGTTCCAATTCAAACGCGTCAAAAAGAAGGAACTTCAGATCAAATCAGCGGAGAAAGAGAATGCTACCTTACCAGCTCGAAATGACGCGCCAAAAACTCAGGCGACGACCGACAGGACCGAAATGCTGAAGAATGAAGAGACAGGACGGAAGCCCAAACAGCGGAGGAATAGAATCTCATTTCCCACGCCCAATCCAAACGAAGATCCTCCGCCGCGTCGCTCAAAACGCCTATCAAAGGATAACGAAGAACACAATGGAAGTCCTGTCAAGAAAAGCGTGCGCAGGGAGGAACTGAAGAAGTGCGAATACCATGCTGAAGCGGCTCCCAAAGCGTCACCTAAAAAGAAATTGGATAAGCCACCTGCTGAGAAAGCCGAGGACAATCAACAGGAAGAAATTGTTCCTACTCTGCAAGAAAACCACGCTTCAACGAAGATCGCGCTGCCTTTTGCGGATACACCGGTCATCAAACGGAACAAGGCCATGCGCGAAGGAAAGGCCGGCAAGGGTGAAAGGAGGAGCAGTTTGGGTATGCGTGGGCGAAGGGCCAGTTCGCTCATTGAATCAGGAAATTCCAGTGGTGAGAATCCGGTAGATAAGTTCGGTTACAGTTCACTAATTCTCCGTCAAGCCTCGCCCCATCCAGAACTGGACGTATCGGACTATTACAAGCACATTGAAAGCGAGGGTCTACCAGAGCCAAGACGGATGAAACAGCTTCTCATTTGGTGTGCCGAGCGTGCTCTTGATGAAAAACCAGTAGGTACTGGGTTTGGAGAGGCCAGCGCACGACAAGCAGGTTTGTGAAACGCAGAGTCTCTAGGCCCCAATGGTATGCTAAGTCTTCCGTTAGCTCGAGTGATCGAAGAAGAGTTGTTGAAAGAGCTGGCAAACAGATCTGATCTATCGGACTGGTTTGGCCGCGAAGAAGTTCCCGTGCCAAAGGAACCACTTCCAGAGCGGCCGAACCCGAAGAACACGCAGAACATTGAAAAGATTGCCGAGTTGGAGGAGCAAATTAAATGGTAAGACTTTGAAAAGCTAAAAAAAAACCGTTGTAGGAACATGGCTGACGGTGATGAATGACAGTCTGCGACTCGAAAAAGAGGCATTGGAGAATTTGCTGCGCCCACCAAACGTCCCCAGCTTGCATGACCTCGATGTCCCGACAAATCCATCGAAAGCAAACGAACTGGACAGATCCCTTCTCTCCGATACGGACATAGCGGCACTTGACTCAGTAATAGCTTCCAACAACAACTCCGTAACGACCTCGGACCAAATATCACGGCGCCTAGGCGGCGTTTTGGAATCAATAGGTCCGACAGTCGACATGTTTGCGGACGGAATCCACACGATAGGGCAATACCGCACCGCGGCAGACGAAGTGGCCGGCAGGGTATTAGCCATCTGCGCGGAGAAATTGACACAGCGCGAGAAAGATGGGAAACGAAGGGCCCGAGGAATAGGAACAGCGTCAGGGTCGGGCAGAGGTAGTGGTAGCAGTAGTACTGGTCCTCCGAAAGATCTGGGCGCCGTTCTGAGGAGTTTGAGCCGAGCAGACAGACAGGACAGATAGGTGACCACCGTATGACTGCAAGATTGTTTTCTGTGCAAGAATACCTAGCCATCAGGTGTGGCTCGTGTGGTGTGGTGACCAACGACAAATGGAGCACTGGAGCATTGTGTATATGCTGTATGAAAAATGAAATAATGCTTGATGAAATGAGCTATTTGGATCTGATCTGATTGGTATCGCTGTCACCATCGCCTTGAAGAAGGGGGGTTGAGGCTGCAGCGTAACAGCAACGGTGGGATATGGGTATGCTTGAGGTTCGAGGTTATTGTAGACAGACAGAAAGGGAGGAATGACCGAGGCTGAAATGAGATGAATCCGAATTCCTCGAGTCCTCAAGACGCCTTTGCTATTTCTACAGCCCTTTCTCCTCCATCTTATCCACTCAAAGCGTTTAAAAATTCTCCTTCCCCCAAACAAAACTATATCCTTTATCCCCAGGGTCTGTATACATGTTGCATTTGATGTGCAGCTCGGCTCCCAGACCCTTTGGCCCACAAAAGAATACACCACACTCGCCCGGCCAATGGATCTTCCGGATAGCCCGAAAGACCATGTCCCAGTTTGGACGGCCGTAATTCGTTGGTGTCCGAAGACCCGTGATAGCATCCGTGTCCCCGGAATTCAGGACGATGTTGGACGCCTGAGCAGCTGTGATTTTAGCCGTCAAGTACTATTTGCGAACGTGTTAGCTAAAAGACTCAAGGGAGGAAAAAGAAAACGGAGGAAATCGGCAGGGGGAAAAACATACCGCATGAATTTCGATAGCATGGCTCTTGTCCTCACTCTCGATGGCTGTGAGCAAAGATTTGAACCACTCAAGCGACCCGAAATCTCGGCATACCCAGAAGAAATACACCTTCCGCAATCGCGTCTTTGGAGCATCGGATCTCATGTCTCTCATGCGGTACCAGATAGACTTCAGGATCGAGGCAAATGGTGTCACGCCGATGCCCGCGCCGATCAAAAGCACCGTCTCAAACTTGAAGACATCTTCCGAGGCAGAGCCAAAGGGCCCGTCAATGTACAACCGCGGAAGGATTTTGGTGAGCTTTGTATCGCTTTCGTAGATTGTAGACATAACTTCAGAGCGATTGGCTTTCTTGTCATCGATACTTTTCAGACCCTGGCACCCGAGGACTTTTCCGAGGGTCTTAGTGAAGTCACCAACCATGCGGATATGCACTGAGAGGTAGTCTTCTTCAGGCGCAGAGGTAAGGGTAAACGGGTGGTATTGCCAGAGTGAGATCTCTGGGCAACAAAGGAAAATGTACTGGCCTGCGCGGGTTTTGGTGTGCTCCTTCTTGATTCGGATCTCAACCACGTTCGAGGGATGCTCAATCACCTTGGTTATATAAGTCTTTTGATAGCCACGGATTTCGCGCAGGATACGCTCCACCAGATAGGTGAAGCCACCTATCATCCAATATAGATAGAATGAACCATTGCCAAAACAGAAGGGCTTGTTATCCGCTGGGATCATGCAGAAAGCTCCATGGATAGACCACATGATGAAGAAGATGACAAAGAGATGGTGGGTATTCCAGAAACGTTCGTAGTTGGCCCGCCGAGGCTTCTCCAGCGCGGTAAAAAACATGGCCATGACTGAGATTGTCAAAACGTAGCCGGTCCAGCCGGGACCCGTGAGGAAGTTGAGCTTGACGAAACCGATGAAGCCTCCATGGCCTTTCGCGGAGAGCTGAGCGACGTTGTGTAAATGAGCGATGGTGTGAACCCATGTGAAGAAAACAATTGAATAGCCCACGAGTTTGTGAAACGTAATGTTTTTGTCAAAGGGAATGATTCCGTTCAGGGGGGTTTGTCGAACGAGGGAGATGAGAGTTCGGCAGACAGGCAGGAGGATGCAGGCGACATCGAAGTGGAGGACGAGGGCCGCCGATCGAGCAATGGGATAGCCGTAACCATAGGTGGCGCGGGCTTTGGTGAGGTTGTCCTTCAGTGTATAGTTCATGAAGCCAAAGCCGTACAACATGCAGTGCACGAGGATAAAGACGCCGACGAATAGACGTCTAGATCCTTCGTTGACCATCCATCTGTTGAACCTCTCTTTGGGGGACAAATCTCTAGGCTCCTCTCCACTGACCTCTCCTGAGAGTAGCATCCTCATCAATGGGGTTGACCTCGTTCGCTCCGACATGATTGAGAACGACGAGAAAAATGGGGTTTTACGTCGCTGGATATTGTTTGAGCTTCTCAGTGAGCCCCTGGGGAGACTTGACGGATTCTGGCGTGGCAAGTTGGCGACGCGTTGAGGACAGTTATGAACCGAGCCAGCGGTGGTCTTGGCTGTTTGTTGGATTCTGCGTAACAAATTGGAGCGTTAAAAGAACGATACAGAATAGGAAGGGCCGAACCAGCGGCGTATTAGATTCTGCGCAGTAGCGGACGAAGTTGATGGCGCGGAGAGGGAGAGTACAGACCGAGCCTGCGGCTTGATCAGTGTCCATATTGGCAGATAGGGCAAGAAGTCTATAAGGATATTTGCTGGTTGCTGGGTCTGCGAACAAGCAGCAAGAGTGGTGTGATAAGGGGTCATGGCGACATATGAAGTTCTTGCCTCTGGCCAAGCGACGACGATCTGATACACGTTCAGGGATGGGTCTGAGACGGGGGTTGGGGACGGGGGTGGAGGTGGACTGAGCAGCTGGAATGGTGGTGAGAGCTTTGGCAGAAACAAGCAATAGAGCGGAGCGCGTGTAGCAGCGGGAAAGAAGCCATTTGACACAGAGCCGCCGTACAGGAGGCGGGGAGTGGCCTGATATCTTGTATCTTGTAGCGGAGCCTCAGCGCGATCCAGGAGAAGCGCGTTTCGAGTACCCAGTAGCTGGGTCCCTGGCCAAAGTGTTAGCTATTCAAGGCTCTCCATTTCTGAGTCTCACCATGTTAGGCGAGCCACGCTTAAAGAATTGAATGCTTAAGGGACCCATGTCGGCGGTTTGGTTCTGTGTGAAGATGAAGGTCGTTGACATTGCAGTAGTCGGCGGTGAGCAGTGAGCAGGCTCAGTCACGTGAATTACAAGGCTGAGGGACTGCGAGGCTGAGACATTGGATGCCGCTTTACGTCATTGCATCTTCAGGTTTTGGTGGCTTGGTGACTGGCAGATTCTTGTTCAACTTCATTTCAATCCACGCCGAGATCTCGAGGCCAAAAGCCTGATTTTCCTCCGTACAAGAACCCTTGATGTCCTTGGCAAACCAAACCTTTGCCAGTCGCTTGGCTGTTGAAGAGCGTCATCCCAAGAGCTCTCTCAACCCTTATAGTGGCCTCAATCTCCTCCATTCTGCAACAGTTGAAGTTTCCAACCTCTACTCTTTCACTATCAGACCAGCTTCTTCTATCCTTGACTTGACACTCTCTGTGCATCTGTCTCGTGTTGACATTACTACTTGCTCTTCGTGACTAGCTCGTACCGCCGGCCATCTGCAAGGACGCAAGTCCACGAAACAGCAGACCTCGCCGCTTCAATAACCTCACTCTTCTCCCACCGTCAAAGCCTGCTCGCAAAAGATCAATCAACATGCCCTTCCTCTACACCAAGTAAGTCGGACCCTTCAAACCAGCATCAAGTGAAATCAACTTCATCCAGCGTTGCTAACGAGAAACCAGAAATTGGGGCGGTCGCCACGCCGGCGGAGGTGTTACTGTTGACCGTCACGGGGTCAGGAGAAATCCCTTCCGCTTCAGCTGTGGGAGGTTTAGCTGTTTCCGCTAGGCCAAATCACGTGAGATCCAAGCACTAAATGAACAATTGGCATGGGGAAGGGGGGGGATGGTTGTGAAATCCCGGGGAGGAGGATCATCGGTGTCAACAGAGACCTGAACACCTGAGGCGGAACGAGAACGAGAACGAGAAGGCGCCCGGAAGGGAGTATTACGATTATGACCAGAAATGAATACAGCAAAGAGGGCTATTGCAGGGCCCTTGAAAGCCATATCTCGCAAGACAGTGTTGGCAGAGGCAACGAAGGAGATAGAACCGAAGCAAAGCAGCACGCCTGACGCCAGGAAATGATTTGTTCCGCCCCTAATACAAATCGGTGAGAAACGATGCAATACATACACTGTGAAATCGTTGGGCGCTTTTGGTTCGATTCTCATCATTATTATATCTGACCTGGCCTAACTCATTGCTATCCCTCAAGGCAAAGCATGGGAGGGGAATAGTCGTACATTCCGTGGATGTCTCAATCCGGATCGATTCAATTCGCAGCATGTTCATGCGGCCCCAAACATCTCATTCCGCCGTGACCAAATACCTAACCCCGTCCTGAGTCTTTCATCGTCAGTCTACCGCGACTTTCTTGGGCGGTTCCTCACTTCCAACCGAGCTCGTCGACGGCGTCACTTTCGTATTTGGTCCACTAGTGGCAGTTGTATCGTCGTCTTCGTCCCAGGCGTCGTCCGGAGCGTTTTCGTCCCAGTTGTCTAGCTCTTCCTCCACGCTTCGTGCCGGTGCGACACCTGTCTCCTGACCGTCCTCACCATCAGAATCGGATGAGCGTAGAATACCATTTGCGCCCTCGCCGAGCTCGAGGTCTTCACCCTCTAATCCGTCACCCGTCAGGGCCGAGTACTTTGCTCGTCTCCTCCGCTCGGCGGCCCGGCGATGATATGCGCTCGCCAACCCCAATGCTGCCAGGCTTCCCACGACATTTGCAAGGACGTCCCAAGGGTCAAACTCGCGGTCGTTAGGTAAGAGTCCCTGTGCGATTTCGCTTCCCACTCCTAAGAGCAATGTGCATACGATCAAGGTCAGGTGAATTACCCGTCGCCGAGAAGTGTCAAGGATGAAGTAAAATGTCGCAGTGAGGAGGAAGAAGCATATGAAGTGTAGCGCTTTGTCGGATTGCGAAGGAATGTAGGGTTGCGCTGCCGCCGGTGTCGACGGGAGGGAGGAGTGTGGGAGCAGGCCTAGACTGGAGGAGAAGATCAGGAGGATGACAAAGGATACTAGAGAACTCGTCAGTATCAAGCAAAGGCAAGGGGAGGTCGGGGTCGCCGTACTTGCAAAAGGGAAGCGGATTCGCATTGTGTTGGTACGGTGTTGATGTCGCAGTTTGCTACTCAGAAGACGGAGAGAAGACCAAGCGAGCCCAGGTAGTCGTATGGGTTGTCTCGAGGGCTGCGATGACGGGCCACTGCGGGTTGTCGGACTCGACTGGCAGAATGCCAGCTTTAAGCAGACTCAGGCATGGCAGACTGCGAGAGACAAGTACAGAGAGTGGTAGAGGCAATGAAGGTTGCGCGCTCCAGTTGGAGACGAGAGCAGTATGGAGTGAATTGAGTGAGTGCCTAAAGGTGGCCGGCAATATACCAGGTAGGAATACAGCAGCAGGCGGTGATGCCGCCTGGGAGTTGGAGAAGCAGCATCACTGGGGAGCTTAGGCGGTTGGCGGCTAGGCGGGTAAGGCCTGGTGGTCACTAGGCTCGGCAGGCGGCAATCACTAAGGGCTCACTCCCCTACTCCTCACTAGGTACCTAACTCACTAGGCCTCTGCTGCCTCACTCAATCCCAACCACAGTTTGTAACGTTTCTTTCAACCTCAAGCCTCGCCTCTGCGTAATCGCATCAACAGTCGACCAAGTTTTTTATCACCAGCACCACGCATTCGGCAGATATCCTTCTCATTCGATGTTCGCGAACACCTACACCCGGCCATATCCCGTCTGTTCGATTTTTGGCATCTTCCCACGATTCCCTCGTCGGCGCTGAGGCTTCCCTTTCAAACTGGAGGAGTTACGCCCCTCGCCTCGCCGCAGTCGGGGTTGGCACGGTCATGTCCCTATCATGGCCGCCCCCAAACAGTCAGAAACCACCAGACGATGAACCTCTTCTACATTCTTTACACAGAGATACTTTAAATGGCCTGCTCCGCGCCCCCTCCCGCCCTCACACGCCCAGTTCTTTCAGATTGCGCAGTCTGGGGAGCGGTTCCCAGTCCGGCCAAGCTGCGGAACCAGAGCCCAGCATCGAGGAAGATCCCCAGATTGTCCGGTTCCGCGCACTCTTCCAAGACGCCGAGAGCAGACTTGCAACATTGTTCAATGATGTCGGACAAGTTGTAATTCCTCAAAGGCGCGTTCTCGCCGCTGCTCCCCTCCATCAACCCGCCCCCGACGCTGCTGCCCCGTCCGCTCCGCCCCCTGCTCCTATATCAAAAAAGCGCAAGTTGGAAGACGACGACTACGACGATTATGACGACGACGATGACGACGAGCAACCCGACGCCGATGCGGCAAACGCATCCTCCGTCAAGGAGAACCCAAATAAGGTTCACATCGTCGCCGATGCCACCTCGTCGCCGACCCCGAGGCCCGCCCCGCCCCCGAGTATACCCTCCGATTCGGTGAAGACCGCTCTCAAGGCGGGCCACGCCAAACAGAAGGAGGCTGCAGAGGACGCTCGCAAGAAGCTGGAAGAGGCTAAGCGCAAGGAAATCGAGACTGTCAAAACCCTGTCGCGAACAATGTTTTTCACACTGGAAAATGACCGAGACGCCATGCTGGATCAACAACGTCTTGACGAGGCAGAGCGCCGGGCCGAAGCTGAAGCAGAAGGTCATGCTAACCGACAGAATGCTGCCATGCAACAAGGCAGTCTTAGCAAGGCCAACCTCGGTGCATCCAGTCTGACGCTTAAGAATCTCATTGCCCGTTTGGATGAACATCGTAATCTAGTTCATGCAACCGAATCGGAGCTTCGCGCTTTGATGAGCGAGGTGCGCAAGAACCGAAGCAAATGGGCGAGCGAGGACAAGGTCGGTCAGGAGGAACTCTACGAGGCGGCGGAGAAAGTCTTGACCGAGTTGAAAGCTCACACAGAGCACTCGACTCCGTTCCTCAACCCCGTCAAAAAGAAGGACGCACCTGATTATTATGTCGTCATCAAGCATCCCATGGATCTCGGTACCATGACCAAGAAACTCAAGCAATTCGCTTACAAGTCCAAGAAGGAATTTGTGGATGATCTCAACCAGATCTGGAAGAACTGCCTCAAGTTCAACACCAGTCCTGACCATCTCTTTCGAAAGCACGCTCTGTTCATGCAGAAGGAGACGGACAAACTTGTGCCTCTGATTCCGGATATCGTCATCAGAGACCGTGCCGAAGTCGAGGCTGAAGAGAGACGGCAACAAGGTGAACTCGACGATGGTGCTGAAGAAAGTGACGACGAACCAATAATGTCCTCACGAGGCCGCAAGGCTCCCAAGAAAAGTGCAAAGAAAGGCGGAGCAGCAGCCCGAAAGGCTCCGCCCGAAACGACTCCTATTCCAGAGACCAAGCCTGTGTTGCAATCATTGAATTCCGTCCAAAATGGCATCCGAGCAGAGTCTGAGGTGGACGGAAGTCAAGGTCACTCGACGCCACCCCCAGGAGTTTTGACACCGGTTGGCGCTCCTGGCGCGGGCAGCGTTGTGGGAGGCGGAAGTGAAGCAATGGATTTAGATCTCCCCGCACTGCCTTCACAGGCACCGATACCTGAATATGAAGATGAGGAATATAAGCTCTGGAAACAGAAGACCAAAAAGGATCGGGCAATGCTCGCTGCTGCGCGGCACAAGCTCTTCCGTGGAGACAAATTGAACGCTGAGGAAACAGCATTACTGCGGAGCAAGGCCGGTATGCGTAGATGGCTGCGCATCCAACAAGAAACTGCGGGCAAAGACGTTGCAGAGCTTGGGACGGAGACATATGAAAGGGAGAATAGGGTTGAAATCCATGGTCAAACCCTCGCTGAAGGAATGGAGGTCGAGGAGGAGACCATGCTTCCTGATTATTACGATTCGCTCGCTGCCATACCGGACATCAACCCCCGACTGAGATGGGAACAAGACTCTGAAGGACATGTCATTGAACATGCTGAGGAGTTTCTCCGACTCTACCCTCCAGGTCAGTTTGTCGCTCCACGCGGCAAGCTAGCAAAAGCGATCGAGGCCAACATGCGCCAAATGCAAGACACACGGAAGGTGGTCTCGAAAATCAGCGTTGTCAAGCAGATGCAACTACAGTCGCAGACCTACCAAAACCAGTTTCAGAAATACCAACCAGAACCATTCGTTGAAGCAGACATCCCCAACCACGTCATGTCAGACGATGGTCCTGTCATGGCTCCGTGGGTCTGCAAGGCGGCCTTTCAAAGGTCGATAGGGGAGATTTTCTTTCACGCAGGGTTTGAGGAGTTTCAACCTTCGGCGATAGATGCGATGACGGATCTGGCAGCAGATTTCTTTCAGCGATTGTGCACGACACTGGTGAACTACCGAGAAGACTACAAGATTCCCGTGCTGACCACGGTCCCCGTTGCTCAGGGTGAGAAAACCGAAACGGTGTACAAGTCTCCGCATACGACGGAAGAGGCGATCCTGCACACTCTGCACACCGGTGGCATGTCGCTCAATGACCTCGACGTGTACGCGCGAGAAGATATCGATCGTACGGCCAGTAAGCTCACTATGATGCACGAGCGGATGAAGGGACATCTCGCCGATCTTCTTAGACCAGCTTTGACAGACGAAACGGCCCATGGACAAGGATCTTTTGCAGACGGCGGAGAGCAGTACGTGGGCGGAGACTTCGCAGGCGACCTCGATGAAGACTTCTTCGGCTTCCGCGAGCTTGGTCTTGATAAGGAGTTCGGAATGGCCAGTCTGACAGTACCATTCCACATTCTTCAGAACCGTCTTGGCCTCAGCAATCAACAGGATGTCTCGGCAGATTTGGCAGAGAAGATGTTCAGTGAACCATCCCGATGGCCCAAGATCACCGTCGAAAATGTCGAGGACCAAATTGGTCTCATCAGAGATTGGTTCAAGAAACGCCTGCGTGATAATGGTGAACGTCCGCTCATCGAGGATCTGGAATTGCCACCGAAGCAGAGGCCTGGCCATGGAAGAGCGAGAATTCCTGCTTCAGGGAAGATTGGGGAGGGCACGCTAAAGAGTAACGCCAGCCCCCAGAAGAAGACCGCGGCTAACAAGAGTGCCGCAAACGCCGCGAAGGCTGCCGCGGCCGCAGCCGGAAGCACCACGCCAGGGGACAAAGGGAAGAGGAAGTCGGTGGTCGTCAACGGCGTGGCTGACGAGAGTCCGATGGTCAATGGCGTGGGCAATGCATCTCCATCAACGCCGGGTCCTGGTGGAGATGGAAGCCCCGAGAAGAAACAGAAAACTGTACTGAAAGCAAAGACTTCGACGACCGAAGTTCATAAGGTTTCGGAGAAGGATAAGAACCAAGACCACAACGGACCACCGCCAGCCGTGGAGACTTTGGATATGGTGGACGGCGTCAATGGAGAGCTGCCCCAAGTGAATGGCATTGAAAAGGTCAACGGGGTTATTGGAGATGGCGACGCGAGCATGATGAGCCCTGAAAGCTTATGATTTGCATGACCGGGCGGGTTTGAATTGGTCATGAACCCAAGATGTTGGTTGCCGTGCACGGTAGCATGGCGCATTGCGTGATATTTGGGTATAGAATGACTGGTGGGAGGCGAGGGGCCGATTACGCATCCTCCTGGTTTGATCGTTATGTTGACGCCTTTTTACTATACCCGGGCAGGCTTGGGCGGGAAACGGGACGAGAGGAGAGAGGTGTGTGGTTTTTTCCGTGACCATGACTTGGACTTGGAGAGGGCATTTCGATCGTCTGTTTAGTACTAGTAGGCATGGGGGACGAAAATCGAAGCCGAGGAAAAGAAAGGAGTTTTCCCCGACGGACGATGACAGTGCGGACCGAAGAAAGAAAGTTCAAAAGAGGTGAATGGAGTTTCTTGTACATACCAACCATACCAACCATACCAACCATACCTATTTTTAACCTATCCATCTTTTCCATCCATCCCTCCATCCCATCCATCTATATTTTTGATTTTCTGACTTCCTCGGGCTCTATCCCTCCCTCCCCTATAACAACGTCAAGCTTGGCACTTTTCGTCCACCCCCTTTTTGTACGTACAACACAGGCCGTTAATGTCTTCTGCAATGTTTCTCGACCGCCAGCGCGCGAGCGCACGAGTGAGAGAGTGGGAGAGTGGGAGAGTGGGAGAGGAGGGAATGGGATGGGATGGAGTCTGGATACAATCCTGAATCTCTGATAGCGCTGGTGATACATAGTACAGAGATCAGTTATATGGCTATACTATCAATGATCCAGCCTCGCAATGCAACCCCATTAATAATATTTCGCGTCGCTGATCCAGATTTAGCTTAGCTTGATCGAACTTGACTTGAACTGAACTGTTGGTCTATTGGTTGTATCGAGCTTGATTCAAATATCCACGGGGTGGCTTGACCTGGCCAAGCTTGTTCGTGTTGGAGAGGCTCTTCTAGCTCTTCTGGAGTAGTATCATCATGAAGAGGAACAAAGGGGAAAAAAAGGACAAGAGGACCCCAACCAATTCGATCTGATCATCCACTTCTGATAACATCCTAAGCCAGAAAGAAGAGAGATTACGTTTCATTCTTCGTCCTGTCTTTTCTGTTCCCGTCCGCCTCCTCCTCTTTTCTCACCTATCTTGCCTCGGGATCTCCTCCTTGCCTCTCTGCAGCGCTCTGTCCAAACCCTTCTCCCCTCTCTCCCAGGCCAGGCTGTGGCATTAGGCAAAATAACTCCTCACGGTCCTCTGTCCATCTTCGCTCAGGCCCTGCAGAACCTGCTCAGCATTGATACCCGTCTTGCCAACCAGCACCTTGGCACTCTCAACGATCTTCTTCGCCGTGGCACCTTGGATCATTTCCGCTTCCAGAGCCAGCGCAATGTGGTGGAAGACCTGTGCCGCCTTCGCAAACACTGCTGGGTTTTGCCTGCAAAGTGACCGTTAGTGATACGAAGAGGGGAAATTCGGTCGAGGCCATGGCAGGGATATTCGACTTACTGATCAATCAATTGCGCAACAAAGCTGTACGCATACGGTGCCGCTTCTTCGTCATTAACCACGGGCAGCGTGTCGAGCCACTGTTCCACCACCGACTGTGGATTGACCACCTTGCCAGCGTTGAAATGCAAAATCTTCGCGATTGCAGCACAAGCATTCTCCGTGGCAAAGACATCGTCATCACTTCGCGCGTTCGGAACACGCGTGATTTGCAAAAGAGTGTCAATGCTCGCAGCCACGAAGTCACTCCATTGTTCTCCGCCCTTTTGTCCTGCAATACCCACGCCATATGCGGCTGCTTGCCGATTATTCGCATTTTCGTCCCTCATACCGTTGATGAGCGGTTGGATTATGTGGTCGGAATACTGCCAGGACTGTGGCCCGCAGAATTCCAAGACGTCGTCAAAGATGCAGATCGCCCACTGTCGCTGCATAGGGTCCGCGCTGGTGACAAACGCGTCATAAAAGGGCATGAGTTGCTGCCACGTTGGGAGGAATGCAACCCCCATGTTCTTGAATATGGTGTGGAATGCTTTGTTCATGTCTGATAGGAGAGTCTGGTCGTCTTCAATGGCGTATTGTACAGACAAGGAATCCTCCTCGTCGGCATCCGGGCCTTGGTTGGCAGCGGCAGATTCGGCCTTCTCTTCGGCGCGCTCTTGAACACGTTTCTGGAACTCTTCCAGCGTCGACTTGACCGATTGCACGAAGAGCTCCATGTGCTGTTGGGTCAGGCAGCCCTTGCCTACCACTTCGACACTCTCGTAGAAGCACTGGAACATTTCCGCTAGTGTGTCAATTGAAGGCTCAGCACTGAGGATTTCGATCTCCTTTTCAGAACATTTCGTCCAGATTTCGTTCAATTGCGGCGATTGCTCGCCGTATCGCTTCTTGATCGAGTTGAGTAATTGAGGGATTAGTTTGGCGGAAGCTACCCGTACGGGATCGTGGAAGAAGAACGACAATCCAGGCAGAGCGATTCGTTCTGTGATGTCGGCCACGTAAGGCTCGAAGTCTGCTTCCAAAATTTGAGCGTAGATGGTGATAAGTTCAATCGCCGTGTGTTTATCCTCAAGCGTTGATGTCTTGATCCCGATGACTTTTCCCTTCAAAGGGACCAACTCCCAGCCCTCCTCTTCCAGCACGTCGTCTTCGTTGTCTATCAGCTGGATGTCTGCTTTGGCTGCCGCGAGCTCCAATAAGGGGGGCATGACTCCAGGGAGATAAGGGACGAAATCAGAGCCTAAAACTCTACACATTCGTCCCCAGCAATGCAGCAGATATTGTGATTGTGGGTCATCGTCATCTGTGATGTTTTGCTGGATGTTACCAAGGATCTGAACGAGCGTAATGCCGTCTTGGCCCATTTTTTCCTTGCCCACAGCCAAGGCAATGAGCGTCGCGCACTCCATGGCCTTAGCACGCAGTAATCGATACTCTTTTGATTGTTCGGCCCGCAGAACGTTGAAGAGAAGAGGCATCAAGGTGTCATAGTAGCGAATGAAGGCGCCCTCGGCAGAGTCGGCGATAGTGGCAATCGTTGATAGTGCTTGTTCCTGCACGTACCGTTTGGGAGACTGCAGGAGTTGCAGGAGGTGGCCAAGTAATTGATCCAAGTACGGTTCCAGGATTGACTTCTCTGCCTCTTCGCAGAAGTTGACTAGTGCTGCGGCGGCATGCGCTTGTACTCGTGGCTCGGGCGCTTCCAGGACGGGGATGATGTTTGTCAGCACCACTTGATGGTACTTCTCTTGCATGGGCCCGGCAAAGTCGGTGCTCATCTGGCCAAGAGCATTGCACCCGGCAAATCTGACCCGTGGATGAGGATCTCTCAAGGATGGCACCACCAGTTCGAGGACCTTGTCTAGTTCGCCGATCATGAGGTCTCGACATCCCTCGGAAATTGCAGAGATAGCCATCAGAGCCGCGTGCCGATCTCTCCAGGATGCAGAATGCATCATTCTCGGTAGCCACGTGAACGTTGCAGGTAGCATCACTTGTCCTCCCAGCTTGTTGGCCAAGCGGTCCATGCACTGCTCGCCCGCGACATGGTTCATGTCGTTTTCTTCATTGTCAAGATCCTCGGTCGCGTTCCACTCTGAGGCGTCATCATCATCAATTCCAATGTCAGTCATCAAGCTAAGACATTGCGTTACCATATCATTCACAAAGGATTCGTCTTTCTTGCACATGGCAGGCGCCCATTCGGCGAAGGTAGCCATAAGCTCCAAAGCGTTTTGTCGAGTCTGATCCCCCAGCTCTTTCTCTTGGATGACTGAAATGCTGAACTTGACAAGATTGTTGAAGAGGCCTTTGAACATTTTCGGGCATATTTCGGCGAGTTCAATCAGCGAGACAAATGCCTTTGATAGATTATCGGTATCTCCAGCTTCTTTGAGAGGCGGCAGAATGTTGAGGATTTCGGGTATTAAAGGATAGTACTTCGGCTGTGTCTTTTTGCTGACCGAATGAAAGAACGAGGCAAATGCTTCGATTGCTGAGAGTCGGACCTGGACCCGGTCAGCATGCGTTGTCCACTTTCGACCGTAACGCATTCTTACCTCGACACTGCTGTCCTTGAACCCCTTGAGGAACACCTCCTGAACCGCACCTTCGTGTTCTCTCTCAATAATGCCGGGGGTGGTGGAGAATATCCTGAACGAGCATTCGCGCATGCCCGCGTCGGTCGACTGGCTCGCTTGAAAGAGCGCATGAAGCAGGTCCACCCAGGTCTCGTTCGTCCCTCCAAAGAATGTCAGCCAGATTAGAGTCGGGGAGGAAGAGTCACTCGATCCTTACCGGCATCCACATATTGCCGTGCGATCTCAGCAATTGCGTCTCCGATTTTATTCCTGACTTGGTTGACCTGCTCTCTTGCGAGACCTTCCAGCAACTTTGATCGAATGGCGGTTTTGGCTTCCGGGCTGAGAGACCAAAAGAGTTCCTTGGAGTCAGTGCTAGGAGGGATCTTGCGTTGTTTGGAGGCTTGTTTGCGGAACAAGACTGCGGCGAACGATCGTGTCTGGTGAGATCTTTAGCCACCCCTCCACCTGATCGGAGCCTTCTCAAGTCTCGACATACCGATGAGTCTGGCGCAGCTTGTAACTGTTCGGCCAAGCCCATCAACAGCACCTCGGGGCGATTGGGAGTCCAGTCATTGTTGAGTTGCTCTTCGGCTTGACTGCGGAGAGTGTTGTCCGGGGAAGAGAGGGCTTGCAGAAGCTGGGTCAAGGCTCCCTGCACCTCGGCAGGGAGAACAGACATGTTGGAAGGTGTGGTCTAGCACATGCAACAGGAGTACGTTGGCCGCAAGAGACAACAATCTGTGTGTTGACTAAGGACTGGAATGCTCGCCAGCGCGTGTTGGGTGATCTTCTGTGGATCGACTTCCGATTGAAATTGCGAGCCGGCAGATGGTCGAGGGTCGCTCGTGCGAAACAGTAATAGGGAAGCAAAGGCACAGCGGCAGTCAGACAGCAGTCGATCGCTTATGGATGTCGACCGAAGGAATATTATTCAGAGCAGGTTGGGTGGTTGATGAGCAGGAACAACAATAATAATTTTGGCCTGCGGTTCTCGCTCTCCACCGACCGACTCCAAATGTTTCCTGTACACAGTGGGATGTCCTCACGTGATGGCCTCTTTTGGGTTTGTGGCCGCTGGTGCCACCGCATTTTATTTGACCACGTATGGCTGCCCCTTGCGCCCGCCTGTTTCATCTCTTATCGTCTGTGTCTGTCTGCGTGGCCGAGGATGACTGCCGGCAATTGCCAGCACCGTCTGTGACTCGTGTCATTGTCTACACCTACAGGCTACAGTCAATATCTTGCCCGGGAGATGCAGAGCAATCTTCAATATTGCTTGCTCAACACATCCATCAGCTTTGATGACAAGGTCGGACTCGAAAATAGTCACATCCGCGTTCAATCAGATATCTATTCCTGAAACCTTGCTACTGTACATTGACTCTCGCCTTTTCTGAGCCTTGACCCAAGAAAACCTCCCTAGCCAAACACACCCTGATTTGAACCTTCTCGATTGCTCGTGCTCACCCAACCTCTAACGTCGGGTTTCATGTGACTCTGGGATAATCCTTTGGGGACTGATTGAGATGTAGGGACGGCTCAATCTGTCGACCTTGACGAGGTTGACAGTACTGGATGGACCCAGTCCTCAGTGTTTCCTTCAGAACGCTCCTGGTCAGATGACTCCTCTTGTATAGGCTGTTCAGGCATATCGGTCCGGCCTAGATCGGTACCATCTGCCCATCGACCCTGCCGTCCAGTCTCCCCCTTGCCTGACATTGGCGGTCGAACCACTGCTTTGTCTGTGTCATCGTGCCCAAAATCTCGATCGATGTATCCACTAATAATTGCTCGCATGGTGTTCATGGTCGACGACTTTGGGAGGCTCGGGATCATGAGGCCTTCATCTGGCTTCAACCCTTCCGTTCTATCGGTCTTCAGGCTGCTGGCCCGAGATGCAGTCTCAAAGACAGTATTAGAACGCGAAACGAATTCCCCAGTGGTTGAATTCGTCTCTACACTGGACGCAGTGTGATTGCGCAACCAAGATGTAGTCGGGCTGGGAGGAAGGCTCCTTGGCTGGCTGCCTGGCCATGGCTGCACCATCCTTTTTGTCCATGTGAAGTCTTCCATGAGAAACAGGGCGAAATCCTTCAGACTCGACTTCCGAGGCAGGATGGCCGGTGTATCTTGCACCTCAGGGATCGGAGTGCTCTCGTGGTGGACGTTGTCAGAACGTTGTTCCGATCCCCCCAACAGGGATGTACTCGTTTCTCCTCCCAGAGGTAAACCTTCGCGACTGCAAATATTGCGAAATGGATTCTTTGGGCTAGATCCTACAGAGCTCGACGGGGACGGCAAATCCGTGCCGTGGCTCGAAGCGACGATCAACGATCTCGGCGCCATGCGGAAAGACGTCGAGAGACTCCTGAGACTTTGGAACTTGGGCAGGCTCTTAATCCCGATTCTTGCTCTGGGTGTCACTGGATGGATATCTGCATCAGGCTCGCATCCCTGGGCGTTGCGTAGATTCGAACGCATCAGAGACATTCCACAAAATATTGGTTGGAGGTTGCGATGAGATCGCTCAAGGCCAGCGCCAATATCATTTTCCGGATCAAACCCGATAACATTGATGTTGTGAAAAGCGCGCCCATATCTCTTGCTGCTGGGAGCGCTCGAACTTGATTTACAAGAGCCAACACGGCGGCTGTTTGGTGGAGAGGGTTCTATCACGGGCTGTTGTGAGCGGCCACTCTGCTGACGTGCAATGATCCTTGGAGAAGCCGCGTTCTCAGCGGAGAGACTGTGGCTTTCGTCCTCGATTATGATCTCAACGTGGCTTTCCAGGATCCTCCTGTCCTCGTTTAGTATTCCCCGGTTGCGCCCCGATGCCTCTGGCGCCGTTGGACTGGCTGAGAACCCAGAATTTTGGTCCTCGATTTCGATCTTTACCTCACTATCCCAAATCAGTCCTTCTCCATTGCCCCAGACGGCAGCAGAGACATCCTGAGCACTAGCACCCTTCTCGAGAGCAGACGAGATGCCACTGAGTTCTGCCAGCAAACAGTCTTCGCAGATTTGATTGAGGAAAGACTTCTCGACAATGTCGTGATCCGGGCAATCCTGGGGTTCAATAGACGTTGCTCGTGGTCTGAACTGCTTGCACGAGGCTTCTGCAGCGATTGCTGTCTCTTTGAGCCATCTGTCTAAGGGATATTGTATGTTAGGTGCAAAGCACGGCGTCTGCTCTCTTCGTTGAGATTGGCACAGGAGTTTGTGATGGTAGAAACATCCGCACTCGCGATAGCTCCAGATCTCGGTAACGCACATGTTCGCGGTTGGATGTGTACTTGACAATTACGAAGATGATAGAGAAGACATTTGAGTGATGTGCGAACAGGCGTTCTCCGCAAGGGAGTAAAATATTCTTCGAGAGCGTATTGGAGATTAAGTCATCAAACGCCTTGATCACAGAAGGATGTGGGCGCGAAAATCTTGTGACGCCTGTCTGCCACACCCCCCAATCTGCCATGTATGAGCCGAAGATACCTAAGTCGTTCTCAGCAGATTTTCGCGCTTGTGTGACCTGGGTTCAGGGACACACTGAATTGGCGGGCGCTGGCCTAATGGATTTGCCCCCGTACGGCTTCATGCATGCGTATTGGGGTTTGGCCTGGTAGGCGTCTCAGCATTCATTATTTTGAGGTCGAGTGGCTATCGAGGACAGTATTCGCTCTTGAACTTTACTTACACTTGAAAGCCTGCTCTGCCTTCAATGATCGATGGGCCTTCGGTTCTCTGCCATCGGTCATCGATCAATCATCTGGCCCCCAGCTCCGCAAAGTCAATCAGACACTCATGTTCCACCATCTTGGGCATCGTCTCGTCATGGAAAATTTCAAACCTGCTGGTGATACCAGGCGACGTGTCGGGAAGTTTTGCAGATGTCTTGTACTTCCGATACAAGGCAGCCAGTAGCGTGAGCATTTCTGCGTTGGCTAGATGCATTCCGATACACATCCGTGCACCACTAGAGAAGGCCCAGAAATATCGATTCCTGAGATCCGACTCAGGGATCAGGGTGCCGGAATCTGTGAGCCACCTTTCCGGCCTGAAGGCCAACGGGTCAGGATAAACACTCTCGTCCCTATGCAGGCAGTACGGTGACATGCCCACGATTGTGCCCGCAGGAATTTCATAGCCGTCAATTAGTGTGTCGACTGGGGAAGACCGCGGTTCAAACGCAGGCAGAGGTGCGTACAGTCGCAGAGACTCTCGCACTACCGCGTTCAGGTAGGGAAGTTGTGTCAAGTCCTTAGGCTCTGGAGAGCCCTGGTTGTCAACGGAGATGTGCGACAGCTCCTCCCTGAGCTTGTCCTGGGATTTCTCGTGGTGAGGTAGCGAAAGTGCCCAGATCATGAACATGAGTGAGTCTGAAGTCGTATCAATTCCGGCCAGGAGATGGTCGGCACATTCGGATGCAATGTCCATGTCAGACAAATCGGCATCATTTCGCACCTTAAATAGGCGGCCAATGACTGTGCTCTCGGCAGATTTTGCTTGAACGGCACCTGGTGCGTTTCTGAAGCTGTAGAACGCTTTCAGCGCATGCTGGCGGATTCCGGAATATGTGAAAGGCTTGCGCATGGGCATCAGCCCCATAGAGGTCAGCACTCTCTCCAGAAGACCTGTGCGGGTCGTGATCCACTTTGTGTAAGCAGGAAAGTAAACGGCGAACCATGCCAATCTCCTCCTCGCTGGGTTGAGGATGTCTTGGATCAGTTCTCGGGACTGCTTAGATCCTGATAAGGCAGAAGTTCCTCCATGATCCGGGCCATACACAAATTCGGATATGGCATCGAAGGAGAAATAGTGTAAACTTGCAAAGATCTCTCTCCCGAGAGCGGGCTCTCGTTCGAGAAGCGTCAGATACTCTGCCACTTTTCTCTTGACCAGCTGCGAGGCATTGGCTCCGAGCACGGTCTGATTTGCATAAATGTGGCTGATCAGTTTCTTTCGTTCACGATGGAGTTTACCAGAGGCGAAAGTAAAAAGATTTGGTCGGCCGTAAACATCAAACATTTGGTAGAAAGAAGTCCGCTCGAAGCCACTTCCAGCCCCATATATCGTCCGCAGCGCAGACAGACTGTTGAATGAGATCTCATTTGGTCCAATTCGCACAGCAGGCCCGTACTTTCTGTGGAGCTTGTTCACAGAATGAATGGATTTCGCCCGCCAGGCATCTAGTGCCAGTCTGAATCTTGTTGCTGCATACAACCATGGGCCAGGGACTTTCCTCAGCTTCACAGTGTGTGAGAATGAACTGGAGACAGCGTATAATATTATAAAAAACAAGACCCAGATCCCCATGGGGATTCCGAGTAATGTGAGGCCTGTACTCCAGCTTTAATACTTTGCCCTGGTAGCCATCAACTTCGGTTGATCACTCACCTTCCGTCAACATCGCTATGATTTTGTGTTGGTGCCTTCAAAAAAAAAAAAAGAAACGTTACTCACCATACAGCAGAAATGAATGAAACCCACATTCATCCAAGAAGCAACAGACGAACATTTGGTCGAGATTGAGCTGTCTAGGGACGCCAGCAAGGTCCTGAGCTAGCGGTCATGTCCGGGGGGGGGGGGGAGGATTCTTGTCAACGGGTGACGACAGGTCAACAGCTTTTATTGGTCTAAATGGCCATCTCAGGAGTTTGAGGTTTGTTGTCTTCTTTTGCATTGCAGCTATCTGACCTCGGTCCTTCTTGATGGCTGATACCTGTCACGTATTCGGCATTGAGACCTTGCATCTAGCAGATGAACAGGCGCGGAACTAGCGTAAACGAACGAAGCAAAGCAGCAAGGAGTCTGGAGAAATGGATTTGTGCGCTCGATGCAAGCCACAATCTGTTATCTCGAATGCATCGAATGTTCAAAAGGTCGAGAACAGTGACGCACATGTCCATATCCGCCCCCAAGTACCCAGTAGGTGGACCGTGGCTTGATCTGCAAGGCTGTTGATCTCAAGATGGCCTGTTTCAGCACATGGCTTGATGGGAAGATGCCGACAAATGAGGACAATTTCTGGACTGAGAATGGCAGGAATTTTGAGTTCGGAAACCGTGGGGCGACATAGATACGAGCCAACTCCTCTGTGGCCACCGGAACTGTGCCTGAGATAGGGATTCCAGGATCGGTCCTTCGCCTATCAGACCAGCTTCCCTAGGCTGCTCACACGCATCTGCCGGCTCTTTTCCAAGGGTGAACGAGTCCCTACTGGTCTCAATAAGCCTGCCGAATTCATCTCAGCATATCTTTTGCAGCGGAAATGTGCTACCAGCAGCATGGTCAGGGGCACGTGGCGTGTCGAGGCTGCAGGGGAGGAGAAAAATCATCCATTGCCATGCAGCACCAGCAGTCTCGTGCTCGACCCAGATCTCGCTTCGAAGGAAACGGTTTTGGCGTTTCTGGAATATGCAACGGCTTCGAGCGGTGGATTCTCAGGTCCCCCATGCACTCGACCAACACTCAGCAGGTGGCCTCGATGGCGAACACGGCGGTACATCCGTGCGATGCGGTGGTATCTTTGAGTCGCAGGTCGCAGGTACTGTAGGTCGGGATGGTCGGACAAGAGCTCTATCCGGAGGATCGCCCTGGGCATTTCTCGATCGGATCTGTGGGAGGAGGCGGGTAGTCAAGAATGCTCAGAATGCTTCACCCATGCTTATCGTCGTCCGGGACAGGATATTATATCCCGTCCAGCAATGAGACACGGCTTGGCCAATGGTGAGGGCTGCGCAGAGAGAGGCTTGAGAGATATGCAGCGGGAGCGGCGAGGACGGCGGGTGGCCATGGTAACTTGGGAAACTGCCGCCAAGCCGCCAGAGAACCGGCTTACAGCTCGCCTTCGACTTCCCCTTCAACCACTTCCCTGTCCTTCCCACCCGCTGTTATCAACAACCACTGACAGCCCACGCTTTGCTCTCGAATCCTAAACCACCTTGTCCACCCCAGACCGTCAGCTTGAGCCTTATCCCTGGCACGCTACTATAATGCTACTGCTGCCACTACCACCTCAGATGATTCTGTCGACTTATAAAGAGGTCGTCCAGACCCCGTTCCCCCCTAGCCATGTGTCTGCCTTCGTCTCCTCTCTCCCATCCCTTGTGGCTTGTTCCTAAAAGAAGCGGCTGTTGGCTTGTTCCAAGGCCATCTTGAGGAGGACACCTCCCTCCACTTACATCCTCACCAACCAACCGAGAAATAAAGTCGAGGGGCGGGAACGATCCTCTGACATCGACATGGCACACATTGACGAGTACGACGCTGAAAAGGGGATTGACCCCATCAAGAGCCGAACCGAAGTCGATGAGAAAGGCCGCAAGTCGTCTGTCACCGAGTCCATTATCGCAGCCGACCTGCTGGATGAGCGCTATGCCATCACTCACCGTGGGCTCAAGAGCAGACATGCTCAAATGATTGCCCTGGGCGGAACTATTGGGACTGGGTATGTCGAAAATTTCGTCTCTTCTAGCTCTCAACCCCCCCTTTCTTCCCACGGAGAAGTGGGTGTTTTTCAATGAGAGGTGACCTTCTTTCACTGCCAAACCAACCATTCTTAGAAAGCACAGAGGCTGACAGATCCTTCTCCATATAGTCTCTTCGTCGGTTCCGGTCAAACGCTCGCTCTGGGTGGTCCTGCATTCATATTGGCGGCCTACGTGATCATGACTTTCCTGGTATATTGCGTCGTGACCGCCGTCACCGAAGTAGCCGCCTATCTACCCGTCCACGGAGGGACCATGTCTTACTATGGCTATCGATATGTTTCTCGCTCCATGGGCTTTGCATTGGGTTATCTCTATTGGTACGCCCTGGGAATTCTTGTCCCGTACGAAATCACCGCGGCCGGTTTGGTCATCAACTACTGGCCCAACAGCGTCAACATTGCCGTCTGGATGACGATTATGCTGGTTGTCATCATCGCCCTGAATTTCCTCCCCGTCAGATTCTACGGCGAGACGGAATTCTGGTTCGCAGGAACAAAGGTCATCTTGATGGTTGGTCTCCTCATCCTCAGCTTCATCCTCTTTTGGGGCGGCGGCCCTAGTCACGACCGTTTGGGTTTCAGGTACTGGCACGATCCAGGCGCAGCACATCCTTACATCGTCGGAGGCGACACAGGTCGCTTTGTCTCCTTCTGGGAAACCCTCGTTCTCTCCGTGTTCCCTTTCACCTTCGCCCCAGAACTTCTGGTCGTGACGGGTGGAGAAATGGAATCACCACGACGCAATCTTCCGCTTGCCTCCAAGCGTTACTTCTACCGTCTGGTCATCTTTTATGTCCTCAGCGTCCTGGCGATGGGCGTGACCTGCCCCAGCAACGATGCACGCCTGACCAACGGCGGGGCCGGTGCTAAGTCTTCGCCATTCGTCGTCGCCGTCGCCAACGCCGGGATCCACACTCTTCCATCCATCGTTAACGCCGTGATCTTGATTTCGGCCTGGTCGTCCGGCAACTCCTTCCTCTACATCTCCTCCCGAGCGCTCTATTCGCTTGCTGTTCAAGGCTCCGCCCCCCGAATTTTCAAAGCCTGCAACCGCTGGGGTGTTCCGTACATGGCAGTGGGCTGTTCCTCCCTATTCTGCGGTCTCGCGTACCTCAACGTCGCCTCCTCTGGCTCTACGGTTTTCAACTGGTTTGTTAACCTTACCAATACTTGGGGCATGACCAGTTGGGTTTGCTGTATGATCATCTATTTCCGCTTCCGGAAGGCCTGCCGAGCGCAAGGAATCGAGCCTATATACCGCAACTGGATCCAACCCTACGGCGCCTGGATCGCCCTGGTCGCATTCACGATCCTCTGCCTTATCAATGGCTTCACCGTTTTCTTCCCCAGCCAATGGTCTGCCTCTTCGTTCTTGACCGCCTACATCGGGATCCCTATATTCCTCGTCATGTACGTTGGGCACAGGATCGTGTTTTGGCGTGATAAGTGGGCGTGGGACCCCATGGAGGTGGACATGAAGACGGGCTTGCAAGAAGTTATTGACGCAGAGAGGCCACTGAAGAAGAGAAAAGGGTTCGCAAGGATTTGCATGATCATCGAATAAAGTCCCGTTCGTAAATAGGGGTTTGCCCAAAAATGGGCCATGTTGAAGGCATGGAAGATATGCAACGTCACGACGTGACTGACGGGGCTGAGAAACCTGTCTTCCATGAAGAAAATATTCACCATTCTCCCTGCTCTTTTGCAGCTAAATCATAAACTGTGAAGTACAAATTGCGAGCGGTGAATCGCAAGTAGTGAATCGTGAAATTCTATATCGTCAATCGCACTACGACCAAGACCTATATCCAGGTCGTTCGAGGGGACAATCTTCCACGGAAGAATACTAAATCCACACGAGCCTCGCAAGCTAGGTCTGTCTGAGTACCGAGCACTCCTTTCTCAATATTGAAATCACCCTTGGGCCTTTGATATGGGACTGAGAGGATATGCAGCCTGGCGGCCCCTGGGCCAGGGCATGTCGCCCTATGTGTCCCTGTGTCCTATGCCCTCTCTACGGACCACTGCCGGCTGGGCGCTGGGCACTGGGCGCTACATAAGTACTGCTTGCGGAACATCCATCCCTCGGTCCATAGCAAGAAAGCGGCGGAGTGCTCGAAGGTCTCTACAGAGAGGACACATCTTAGGTTAGAACAGTATATATAGATTTTGCCAAGTCCGTTATACCATCAACGTTATCCATTCCTTGGGGTATATAAAAGAGGTCGTGATCCCGCTCGAATGAACGCAAAGAAACCAGAATAGCCAGCACCGACATCTCAGAGCACCAAGCCCAAAATATAGCTTTGAATCTGCCAATCCCAGACAATTCCCGTGACTTCGTCGAAGGAGGTCAAGTTCCAGAGTGTTGAAGCAGACATAGACCTCTTTTCGAGACAGCTGGCGCCATGCACATCGTTGCAGATGGGGGCCTATGCATCGGTGCCCAGCCCGACCTCTTTGCCTACCACGGCCGCCAGCCCACCGAATCCTTCTCTCTTCAACCTCTCGATAAGAATGAGACTCTTCTCCCGCTTCTTTGCCTTGATCTGGCTCTCCAACTCGGCCACCTGGCTTGCCAGCATCTTTCGGCTGTCGTCCAGGTTCAGAGCAATGAACTCTTCCTCGTACCTTTTGAGTTTGACCAGTTGCGTTTCGAGATCGGTGATTGAAGCGTCCAGTGCGGCGGTGGGAACTTTAGACTCCGTTGCACACGCGGTAAGTTTCGTAGGAGATGACGTCGCGGCACTAGATGATGGAGTGCTGAAACTGCCGTTGGAGTTGTGCGGCGGGAGGTACAAGCCGTTGGTAGCTGACGGGGTATGCCCAAGCATGGGTGGAAGGGTATTATTCTGGATGTTGGATGGTATGCGACTCGAGCCGATTGCCGCCGAGGCCAGGGACACAATTCCGGGCGAGCTACTCACTCGCGAATGTCTCTCATCGGTAGGACTGACCATGAAGTCGGGGCCATCAGGGAATGTCTTCATACTCGGCAACGGTGTGGGCAGCGTCCCGTTGACGCCTGCAAAAGGCACATCCATCAAGAACTCTGAGCCTTCCCTTGACAGCGCCAGCCTGGTCCCTGAAAAATCGGGTTCGGGTGTTGGCAACTCCATCTTCCTCAGCGGGGTTGCAGGGCCAGGATCTGCCGAGGAAGAGATGGCCCGCTTCTTGCCCGTAATCTGTGCCACACCGGGCAACGGTCCACTGCCAGAGCTGTTGTGGCTGGAATCTCGTCGACCACCACGCTTTTGATCAAATACATTGTCTGCAAACCCCATCACCTTGCCACGAGGATCAGAAGCTTTCACTCTTCTTTTGCTGGCAGGTTTCTCGCTTTTAATGTATGCCGTTGCGAAATGACAACACCGACAGTTGCAAGTCTCGGTACACTTGGGACAAGTCCACAGTCCCTTGTGCCGCAACACTTCCGAGGGATACTCATCAAAGTGCCGGAACAAGCCTCGATAACAGAAGAAGGCGGTGCACTTGTCACAACGCCGCCCTTTCCATTCTTGGTGGTCGATGCGGCAGAGGTGGCATAGTCTGCTCGTTGTCGATGTTTTGGCACGCATCAAATCATTGACCGCGGTTCCCAGAGTCTTGCGCTTGTCTAGTGTCCGCGGTTCCTCTGGCTGGAACCCTAGAATCTCTCGAGCTCGATTGAGAACTCTGGTGCATTGCTCCGCCGGCACTAGTTCTGCCCATGCATAGGATTGGGAGTGCTCGCAGGAACGACCATTGAGATAACAAAGCAGGCAGAGATCGAAATCGGCGCATTGGGTGCATCGCACGTGGCGGTTCCAGATGGCTGTACTGCAAAAGTTGCATGTCGCAATTGTCCCTTGCTGTATAGGCACTAAAGCGATCGGAGTGATAGGGTGGGATTCAATGGATTCGTCATGGACCATTTGACGAAACAAGCGTGACAGGAGAGGTAGATCTGGAGGCAACGGGAGTGGGGAGCTCCTCATTGTCTGGTTGTCTTGGAGCAGCGATAGCATGGCACACGCCAATGAGAGGCTGGTTCGAGCGACGTCAGGATGACAGAGGCGGTTGAAAGGGGCCTGCACATAGTCAAATCCCACTTCGAGGGACAGGGGATGAAGGATGTTCCAGACAAGCTTGGCCGAAAGTGTGGCCGGATTCCAGACCTGGTGGGCTGTGGCAGGAGGGAAGACAACGAGATCACCAACCCGTTGATCGTAGGCATAGAGGGGGAAGTCAGCTTTCAGGAGCTCCTCTGATCCCAGGTTCAGCCAGTCTAAATGAGGTGAAGCCCCACGGGCCGACATGAAGGCGTCATATTTCTTCTGCGAGTCGAAGTCCGTACCAATGCATACCACAGGGCGATCATCCGACTCGACGAGCAGGTTCAATGCGACCGTGCTCGAAAAGCATCGATGGAAGCCTGAACTGCTCCCTTCGCTGCCGACGTAGGCCATCATGACTTCACTCCTCGCACACTGTGGTAGCCACTGGAAAAGATCCAATCGCCCACCCCACTGCACTTCGGTGGGCAAGATCCTGCGACATTGTTCCAGCCACTCTTGCGGACATTGCAAGTCTCTGGCATAAAGGTTCTGGAACTCGGGAAAGGACTGCCTGGCACTGTCGGCAAATTTCTTGAGGGTGAAAGACAGATCCCGACCGGTGCTGCAATTTCGGATGGGAATGTTCTTCTTGGTGCTCAGTTCGATCAGCCTCTCGATGCCGAAACCGGGCTGATGTCCATTGTGAGGACCGGAGGCCGGCCAGGTGTCGAGTTTGTCAAATTCAGCTATAACGAAAGGCTGCCCCAGCTGGAGACGTTTGGTAAGCCACTCGGAGAAAGGAAGAGGGTTGCCGTCCTGGTCTTTCTCTTCCTGGAGCGCGAGGATGCTGAAGCGAGGAAACTCGACAAAGGGTTTCCCTAGCCGCAGCAGTTGTTGGGCAGAGCTATCTGGAGGGACGATCAAAGAAGGAGTTTGTGGAATCATGGCGGCGCCAGGGAAAAGGTGACAGTCATGGCGAGAGGTTCTGGGAGACGGCGCGACGGTGTGCCGAGTAGGATCCTGTGGAATTAGAGAGACGTCGAGGACAATAATGGGCGACCAAGGATCAGTTCATGTCCGAATTTCTTCTGGGAACGATGATGGCGGCGGAGAGCTGTACGTAAAAATGTGGAGGATCAGAATGCCAGAGATGAGATGAATGCGGCTTGGAAGAAAGACAAAGGAGTGATGAAAGTGCGGAGGGGCAGTGGCACCAGTGGCGCTTAACCAGATCTCCGCTAGTCCCGCCTGTGTTATAACGGATGGTCACTTCCGCAGGGGGCGTCGCCTAATGGGCGTAAAGGACCTAGGCACCCTAGCACCTAGGTTACTAAGACAGGCGCTGCCCCCAAAGTAGGAGCTAGGCACCTATAAGGGAGCAGGTTCGGGTGGTCGATTTTAGGCTCTTTAGGCTGTTTCCTCCGCACTTGTCGCCAACCTACCACCAAACTGGTCTATCTCCACTTCACCCTGATGAGCACTATAGTGCACTACTGTACCTCCTTGCTCCCTACCAACTGATTACTCTTCCCAGAAGAAACCGAATAGGCAGGTCAAAGACACCGTGCAGAGTATTCGCAACGATCTAGATTCTCAGCCACTCTCCCCAACAGAATCCTCATCCAGCCATCCTTATCTCATTTGACTCCCTCCAGATCGAAGCCTGGTAAGCCTCCGCTCCTATTTTGGGTTGGTGAGCGACACGAGCCAACAGCCACCTTCGTAAGGGCCGTCTAGACTCTCCGATCCTCTGCATCGCACCAATAGTTCAATTTGCGTTTGTGGCGTCCTACTTGCTCAGAGACCAATCCGTCACTGTCCCCTTCATACACACCGTGCCATCGTTGCTCACCACCCTTGTCTCTGCCTCCTTCTTGTCCACCGCCTCCTTATTCATCATCACCCGGTAGGGTTCCCTGCCGTATACAGGGCTCGTAGCCCGATACTCAATCATCTGCGGATAATACACAACCGCGTCGTCCTGTGCTGACCCTTCACCGATCCCTCTAAAGACACTGGCCTCGTCCCGCCAAAGATCCAACATGGCAATCAGATTCATCGGACCATGGACGACCACATTCCTGTGACCCTCCACTTCCGTTGCCCATGGCTTATCGTAGTGAATCCGGTGCGCATTGAACGTCAGCGCTGAGAACCGAAAAAGTGTCGCCTCGTCGCGGCTGTATTCCCTCCACAGTTTCCCCTTGACGCTCTCGTCAAGCTCCGCCTGCGATAATTCCTTCGGCTTGGGAACCAGTGGAGCAGGCTTCGATGGGTCGAGGGCTACTCGAAAGACCCAATTCCTCCGGTCCAGGACACACAGCTCGTCTTTGCCGTTCCGAAACTCCTTCTCCACGCCCACGACCAGCATGCTCTCCCCGGTCTTGCCAATTACCTTTGGCTCGCAACTCAACACCCTGGTCACCTCGGTGACGGTATCGCCAACCACCAAAAGCGCCTGGTGGATTGAGTTGGGATCGGCACCGGGCCAATGACATGATCCGCCAGCCCACATGCGTCTCGTGAAGGGTGCATCGGGGTTGAAACTCGCGTCCGTGCCGTCCAGCCCTAATATACCGGGTAGCTGTGCTGGGGTAAAGTAGCATAGATGATAAGCAGGAGGGATGGGAGTGCCCTGGACGGGCTCTGCCTCTTCAAGCGTCTTGCTGGACGACACGGAGCTAGTAGGCCACAGATGCGGTCGATTTAGAGTGAGTGAGAACAGCCGGATTTGGTTTGCGTCCAACAGCTGACGGCGCACGAACATCTGGCCCTTTGAGAATTTGGATAGAAAAGCCTCTGCTATCGCCTTCGGGTCGGGCGCTGGCGCTGGCACTGAGCTTGAGCTCCATCTTGTGCAAGAAGAAGAGAAGCTGCGCGACGACGTAGCCGTAGAAGTTCCGAGTCGAGCTGCACTGCTTGGACCTGAACCTGTTGCCTGCGATTTTATGCAGCGTGAACACGCCCGAAATAGCAAAGTCATCGTGGTCCGGCCCCTTGAGAGCTCGATGGGACTCAGTGAGATGAGATGAGACGTAGCTCGAGCTTCAGCGTCGGACGTGGTTCATGTCGTGGCTCTTAAAGAGAACCTTGGAAATGTTCAAGGAGTCGGAAGTCAACTTAGGTACAAATAGAGGAAGGGGTTTCGGTCATCGTCCCCGCATAATGACCGTCTCCGAGATCGGGCGGCTGGCTGTCGGTCTCATACCCTGGTTTTCGAGACGCGTGATTCCGAGATTGGCCGGTCGGTCCTCGTAATGTCAAAGGGAAACCATTCATTCTAATACTAGGGCTCAGTAACCAAGGGACCGCGAACGCACAGCTCTGATCATGAGAGGTCTTCAGGTTCAGGTCATATTAATGTATATGTATAGGTTGTTTACAGCCCAGCCACCCTTTGCCAATTCATCTATGTACGTACCGAGTAGGGCGCCGGTAGATGCAAGACTCCATACCCACCATACAAGGAGACATTCGTCACATAACCCTCATTACGGCCGCTACCTCTTTTCAACGAGCAGGAAGTGCATAGCACCATATGCGATGATGATAAAGGCTCCTGCAAAGACGCCGAGGCCAATGACGTCGTTCCACAACGCCAAATTGTCAAAGCCAAAGGCACTCAGAATGCTGGCTCCCGGTACCTCGATGTCAAGGCCATATCGGTGGTCTTTGAGACGCAGTTTGGCTACCTCGTTCACGATGAGAGCCTCGTATCCGTAGTGGAAGATGGATAACTGCGTTGATGGTTAGGACAATTTCCACCAAGTGGGATCGGGATTGCTTACCATTTGCAACCATTGTGCGGCTTTTTGGACTGTATCATGGTTGAGATTGAGGAGCAAGCCGGCAAACAACAAGCTGAACAACATCACCAAGCTACCAATCAAATTGGCGACAGCAGGATCTTTGAAGACGATACCGATCGTCAAGCAGATAGCTGCCGCGGCCAAGTTGAACAGAACCAATATCAGCATGAAGGTGAAGAAAACACCCCATTTTGGGAGAAGCCCAGACATTGGATAGATGATGACGCCCATGATGATAGGTGGGATGAGTCGGAGCGGGACAATGTCGAACATGAGCTTCGCAGCATAGTAAGTGATTGGGGAGTAGTATCCATTGGCACGCTCTCGCACGAAGATCAGCCGCTCTGCGCTGAAGACGTTCAAGCTGGTCAAGGCGCTGAAACCGAAGAGCGCCAGCAAGAAGAAGAAGAGACCAAGCCGATTTTGAAATCCGCCAATGTCGTCTGTAACGCCGTAAAAGAGCCACCCCGACAACACTGCCAGCAAAATAGCAACAGCGTAGTGGGTCAACATCAGAATGGGGTTGCGATACAGATTCCGCCAGGTCCGCCTGGAGAGGATCAAAAACTGTCGTGGAAGGCTGACCCGCCGGAAACCTTTAATCGAGCCGGTGACGACTTCAGCTACAGTATCTCCCCCACCGTGGCCGTTTGCCGCCGACGCAGCTTGGATTGAAGCAGCAATTTCATCGTGAATCGTTTGGGCAACATCAGAGTTCTTGAAACTGGTGACCAGAATGTCTAGATCGGTGCTGGCGTCAGGCGGTAAGTCGTCAGGGTCCTCCAGAAGTGGTGGTGGGTTCGACCCATCTCTCCGTGACATTTGCAACCAGCTCCGCATACTGCCGGCTGCTCTTCCCACCACAGTGTCCTCGTCATCAGTCTTTGGAGTAGGTGGAGTCTCGGTCCCAGCAGTCTTCTTTCGAGTGAACAATTGACGGTCCTGCTTTTGCTTCAATGAAATCCGCCTCTTCGGTTTGACTCGTGTCGGGATTTCACGTGGGCTCTCAACGCTCACGTTGGAGACACTTGCAATGGACTTGACGGCCCTGGTACTGCTTGATTCCGTTGCCGGGCCATCTCGGTCGAGCAAGTCTTTCGGAACGTCCTCAAATATGGGCGAATGCGGAAGACTAGCATGCATCGTCAGATCCACTAGATAGTCCGCAATATTGAAACCCGGCGGACACGAGTACCCAATGTGATCAAAGTATGATTGACAGCTTGAGAAGGGACCAGAATAGACGGCTTGCCCCTTAGCAAGCAGGATGAGCTGATCGAACAGTGCGACGATGTTTGAGCGAGGTTGATGGATGGTGAAGATGACGGTCCTGTTATATGTCTTGGCCAGGGTTACCAGACATTCCACCACATTGAAAGCATTGAACGCGTCGAGCCCACTGGTTGGTTCATCGAGGAACAGTATGCTGGGGCTAGTCACAAGCTCACAGGCAATCCCAACCCGTCGCTTTTCACCGCCGGAGATGCCTCGACCATTTCCCTCCTCTGAGCCAATCACTTGATCCTTGATGTGGTAGATTCCGAGTTGCTGCATGACTTCGATGACTCGCTGCTCTTTGACCGATATCCCCATATCAGCAGGCAGTCTCAGGAGCGCGCTGGTCAGGATGGTCTCATGAACTGTCAGAGTTGGCAAAAGAGTATCCTCCTGGTCGACGTAGCCCATTACGTTTCGGTATTCCGCGTCGAGGATCTTCTCGCCATTGACGTACATATGGCCCAAGACGGTTCCGCGCTTGTTTTTGCGAGCGAGAATATCGAGAAATGTAGACTTGCCCGCCCCGGAAGCGCCCATGATGGCCGTGATCTGTCCCGGGTGGGCGATTCCAGAAATGCCAGAGAGGATTTCTTTTCCTTTCAGACCGTAAGAGACATTCTCAAATTGCAAAGCCATTGGGGTATGGTTCATCATTGATAGCGAAGCATCATCTTCACCGCCTTCACCCAGCCGAATGGCACCCCATCGCTTGAGCGCCGCCCTCCGCGAAAGATACCATGATATGAGTGTGACAGCAACAACAAAGAGGGCGCAACCAGCTATGATTCCAGCAATCAAGGGCGTGTTGATCTCTTTGATGGGTCTCTCATACCCAGGCACGTCCGTCTCATACAGACATTCACCTGCCCTGCATTGTAGCGAGATGTACTCGTCGCCGAATATCATGGATATTAAGTTATTCATGGCGGGCTCTTCGAACCTGCTGCCGTCCTTGGAGCTCCCGCCATAGGTGTGCTGAGAGTAAAAGGAAGCCGGGCCCTTGATCTCTTTCTCCAGAAACTCGTCAATATTGACAGAGCCATCTTCACCACACAGGAATCGGTCGGGTATGCAAGAACACTTTATGTTTTGGCATTGATACTTGGTGGTGTTGCGGACATTTGTATCCTGATACGAGGAGGTGCAATTGTCGAGGGCACAGTAGAAGGATTCCTTTTGGTCGACCCAGAATTGAAAGTTGCAAGTAGCTTCTTCCGCGGTGCAGGAGAAGGTAACCTCTGGTATCCGAGGATCAATCTGATCCAGGATGGCTTTGTTGGTGACATTGCAAACCTGGTAGTTTGCGTGGACTAGTGCACCCTTTTGATAGCAAACACCACCCTGACCCAGTGGCATCAATGCATTGCATGCTTCATTGGAAGTACACACGTTGCAGTTGATGCCCTCCCAGCCATCTTTGCAGTCACACTTATCGCCTCTTCTTGGTGATCTATTCTTGCCGTCGACCAAGGAACCACACAGTGGCTCTGCGCAGTCGTCACCGCCGAAGCCAGGAGGACAGACGCATTTCCCGTTGGCACTACTGCAGCTCGCAAACTGGAGGCACTTGAACTCGTCGTAGTGGCAGTCGAAACATCGAGGGCACGGCGGGCACCCGTCGACCAGATCGAGGAACGGATCTTGCATCAACGCCTGAGAGGTATCATTGAGGTAGGCAGTTGCTAGCAACGTCGGCGCGACAAGCAAAAGGGCAGTGGCAACGCCATGGAGGTTCATTGAGGGTAGACTTGGCGATATGGTCCGGCCTGCAAGTGCGGAGGTGACAGATCGTGTGGCTGGTGCCTGTGGACAGGAGCTTGCCGGTCGACGTGGAAGGAAACGTCAAGAGAGCGGAAGGCGGAGAGGAAGGCCAGAAAGCGTGGTCGTCGAGAGGAGAATGATAGGAGGAACATGCGACAAAGGATGGAACAGAAGCAGAACGATATCACACCATGGCACTTTTGCAGCGGGAAGAGATGGATCTTGAACTGGAAAGGTTCAACTGTCGCAGTCAACAAGGTGCAACAGCACAGGCACAGCCGGTGACTTAGTACTTACCGCACGGGCGGGGACGGGAGACCTGATACCTGGCTCGCTGGACTTGCTGGGATCGGCCTTCTGCCGCAGGCCACTGGGCCGAGCTGTATCAAGCTAAGGCGCCCGTCTGCTTGCACCAATCGCTACAGCTCCCGGCAGTTGCTCGTGGCATCCTCGCATCCTCCAGTCTGGGGGGGGCTGAGGGCAGGAATAATACGAGATACGAGGGGGGCTGGAGCCCAGGAGGTGCAAGAGGTGTCAAGGTGTCAGGGTGTCGAGGTGTCGAGGTGGGGTGGAGTTGGCTGCGTCTCCGCACGACTGCGGTTGGCAAAGAAAATTGATCCTGAACATTCTTCTACAGTGAACACCTTTCTATCAAAGTTTCAGTCCATTCATTGCACCGAGAGGCTCTCAAGAGGCATTCCAGCAGGGAAAATGACCAAGGTAGAACAGCTTGAAGTGATCGAGGTAGGCAGTCGCTAGACCTCAACTGTAGAGCGTCCCAGCTGACAATTTGAACAGTGGAACGAAAAGCATCTCTCATCAGCCAGACACGATCTTTCGTCTTCGGGCGCCTCCAACATCTCCCTCGCTGAACTCCTGGAACTCTCGGAGGACAGAACGCATTCTGAAAAGGCCCTGTCGCTGAGCGAACTAAGACTCCAGGGGAATGAGCTTGGCTTGGGCCATGTGGAATTGCGGAGGAATCTAGCAGCCCTCTACTCTGCGCGCTCTGCAGGAGTGACCGAGCATGACATTATAATCACCAATGGAAGCGCTGCTGCAGACTATACCATATTTTCCGCGCTGCTGCGTCCTGGGGACCATGTCATCTGCCAACATCCGGTTGAGGAGCTGCTTTACAAAATACCGGCGTCTCTGGGCGCGGAGGTAACTTGGTGGAATGCAGACCCAGCGAAGAAGTGGGGACTTGATATCGAGGAGCTAAAGACATTGATCAAGGACAATACCAAGCTGATTGCGATCCAAAGTCCCTGTGATCCAACGGGCGCAATAGTACCCAGACCTGTTCTCGAGGCTCTCGTGGAAGTGGCAGAAGAAGAGGGCATAATTATTCTGGCGGACGAGACATACAGGCCTCTTTTCCATTCGATATTGCCGTCGGATGATGACTTTCCACCGTCCACAATCAACCTGGGCTATAAGAAAGTCGTCGTGACAGGCGCAGTGACTAGAGCATACGGTTTGGCCGGGACGAGAGCTGGTTGGATTGCCACAAAGGACAGGAGCATTCTTGAGGCCTGCAAGAGATTTAGGCGTCTCCAATCCACCACTGCGTCGACACTTGATGAAGTGGTTGCCGCCGAGGCCGTGAGCGACAGGTGCATTCACGCATTGTTAGCCAGAAACATCAAGTTATGCCAAACCAACCTAGATCTGCTTCAAGGTTTTGTGGAAGAACACAGCTGGTCATGCTCTTGGGTCAAGCCGCGGGCCGGGACAACAGCAATGCTCAAGTTCCACAAGATGGGAAAGCCTATCGACAGTGAGGGGTATTGTTCACAGTTGCTCGAGCACTCCAGCATCCTCCTCTGTCCCGCAGGCAAATGCTTCGGGAACAGTCAGACTATGCGCGGGTATGTGAGGGTCGCGTTCGGAGGATCGACTGACGAGGTGAAAGCTGCCCTTGCAGCGTGGAGGTCGTTCATGGAAGACAGTTTTGAATCGGTGCCGACACTGTCGACCGCGTCAAAGAGCTGATCAAAGTGCAACCCCGAGGCCAAAGGATTTTTCAAAAACTCCACACACTTGTCGGCGCAAATGTCAATCATAAACAAGGAGATCCTTTCCAAGATTGGGAGTCAGAGATGCCGTCTTCACGTCCGTAAAATGTAACAAGAATGAGTGTGCCGGACGCAGATCTCATTGTCACCGACCACATCGAACAGCATGCCACTTGAGCTCCGAAGAGAGGGCTTGCTGCTCCCCGAGGCAAGGACAGATCATATAGGACACGCTAAGCTTTCATCATCTGAGACGCTGTTAGCATAAATGCTTATCAGGAAGCGCGCAGCCTGTTAACTTACTTGTTCAAAACTTGGAAGGATGAAGAAAAGAAAAAGAAAAAGGGAGGAAGATTGGCGACAGAAGAGCTAAATCGGCGCCGAGCTCACGTGTGCGCTCACCCAACTCGCGCTGCTTTTACTGGGTCAACACCATCAAGCACCACTCACCGCAGTCAGCCTTACTCACCATCACTCAACCTCCACTCACCATCCACTCACCATCCACTCACCCTCCACTCTGAAACGATTGCTTTTATCAAGTTCTTGGTACACCTTACACTAGACCGAGGATGCCCGCATCGAAGCGGAGCGATAAAAGAGTCACCAGACCATCGTGGTGGCGTGCCGCCCAAACCTACTGCCGGACAGGCATAGGGAACGCAGCCCCGAGCACAGGGCGGCATCCTCCTCCCAGATTGGGGGTCTCGGTGGGGTGAGCTGGCACCAGGCAACACCAGCCCATCAAATCACCTACCCAGCAAGCTATATACCTGGTGCGTAGGTACATAGCATGTACCTAGATTACTACTCGCCAACGAAAAACCTCTACTATTAATATACGGTTTGATCCTAGAGTTGAGCGAAAGGCTGTTTTATCCTGAGCTTTAACTAAGCCATTCGCTGAGACGTCGCTACTTTCTATCAAGGTAAACTGCGCCTTGGGAATGGTCTCGGACTGCTCGATTGCTCCTATGTAGCTCTTTTGATAGGGGGGCGCTCTGCAGGAGTCCGAGACGAAGTTTTCGGTAAGAATACGTACGACTGTGGTCATTCCAACTATAACCTGCGTGTCTGCAGAGAGATTGGACAGGATTGTGGCCAGTGACAATATACTCCTAAGACTCCCGGCAGTTTTGGAATATCAACAAGATCTCTCTCCAAGGAGACTTGTGTTCTTTGGGCCCGAACCCCTTTGTCAGACACTAAGCTCAGAGCCCATCGCACTGGTTGCCCAAAGGATGAGCTATGTAGGTTCATGGGAACCACTTGACATGACAAGGTTACTGTAAACCGTCCCATGTTCGAATTGGCACGCTTTTCCAAGTCGAAGCAGTCTACATATTGCTCAATAGAGTGTTTTTAAAAAGGATGGAACACCTCTTCTCCTTACTCTTGCTCAGAGGACAAATCATCACTCTCCGGAAGCGTTGTCGCCAGTCGCTTTGCCACTCTCTCTTCAATGTTTTTCCATGTCCCGACAAGTTTCATCTTCTCGATGATCTCGCTTACTACAGGATCATCCACGGGATACCGATGCATCTCTCCTTCATACAATCCTTCCTCCCAAGCCTGTCTTTCGGATTGATATTTTACTACCTGAAGCTCGCCTTTGGAGAAGATGAAGGATGGATCTTCATCATGGTACCACACTATATTAGCGATCTCCTTGGGGGATAAGCTATCCCAATGGTGTTTGATGATAGCTACCAGGCATTCTTCAGAAGCTTGGAAGGCGTCTTGAAGCGACTCCGCCCCGACGAATATTTGCTGCAGAGAGTCGATGTGGGTCTGTCCGAGCTCGAGGAATCGACCAAGTCCCCCTGGCGCGTATTGGGCAAAATATACCGAGTAAGCTGTCCCTTGTGTGCTTGCACGTATGCTCAAGTGAATTCGCAAGACATCTCCCCCTCCGATCATTTCTGTGAACGAGTCGGCTGCTTCATCCGGCATTGGGAGAATTTGCAGAATGCTCTCAAAGCCGTGACCGTGAATAATGCAACCCTCGACCCGAAGAGTCTCCTGTCTGACGCCGCTGGCGGAACCCAGGATGAGGCCGAGTAAATCTTGCTCAGGCATCGCCAGTCCTTCAAAATCTCGATTGGTGAAAGCCAGGGCGAGGTGTTGCCACACAGGACAAGTGGCGGAAAACCAGAAGTCTATATCGGTAAAGGGCTCCAAAATGTACCTGAGGGTGAGGTTTTGCGTCAACGACGTCAGTGACAGGTATGGCTCGAGCATGGCTAGGAAGCCACTACTCTCACGTCCGAGCCCATACGCTCTCAGGTATAGACAGGAGGAGAACCCTACCACCAACGGCCGTTTTTGTAAATCAAGAGCACGGAGCTTGGCCTGAGTGTAAGCCACCATGGCGAAACTGGTAGCAAACCCAAAGACGACATTCTCAAGCGGTGAAAGTTGGGGACACAATACGTCAAAGGGGGGGTCTTGCCATTGATCGATGTGTCTTCGGACGTGAATGGAGGCATCCGCAATGGCTTACGGGCTTGCAGTGTCGGGAAAATAATGTCCAGAGCACCCGTCCCGTTCTCCGCCCAGAATCCCGCCTCTATCAAGCTCCCCAATTTCAAAGATTTTCCCACTCTTGACGCGTAAGGGGTGGCCAGGAATCTGGTAACCGAGGCAATCGTTAGTCGTATGACCGCGTTCTGTTCGGTCATGTTGTAGGACCGAAGCAAAGCAGCCCCTTCTTCGCTGTCCATCAAAAAGTCTTGTACACTTCGATGTATGAACCGTACTTCCAAGCGGTCCGCATTAACCAATTCCTTATAAGCAAATTCTTCTGGATAAGATTGGAGATCTGACCGGTTTGGAACCAATTCAACCAGATTTGCACATCTCGCCACAACATTCGTTTTCAGAGCGGCCGCTTCCGAGTCCAGAGATGCCAAAAGGGAAGCATCCAGGCTTTTCGGAAAGCGTGAAATAAATTCTTCCTGTGCTGATGACGCCACAAGCAATTCGAAAAAGGTGAGAACCGCGTCGGCACCGTGATTATTGTTGTCCCCTCTCCTGGTCGCAACTTCGATTAGACGGAGATATGGTTTCGGATCCTTTGCATAGAACTTGTCTTGCCGCTCGACCAAGAACGTGAATAGCTTGTGCATTTCGCCTGGACACTCGTCTAGGCGTCGCTTGAGAACGCCTTCGTCATCTCCATTATTGGCAGCATTCCTGAGTTCTTCGGTCACTATATAAGCCCACAAGAAAATGCCATCTGCCCGACTGGTAATGGTGTTCACGTATCGTCTAGCTCTGGTTGTATGGAGTCGCCGATAGCAATACTTTTTGATATCCTCATAATTAAGGTCTTCCAACCGCAGGGATGGGTTATGTTGGAGTATCTGCTCAAAGGGGCTTTCCCTCCGACTCGAACAGCAGATTTTGACCTTGTTAAAGCCGTCAGCAATGAGTCGAATGGTGTCGAGCAAGTTGTCGCGATTGTTTGGAACCTCGTCAAGACCATCGATCAGTAGACAGAAGTTGAAGACAGAATGAGTGATCAGATAATAGAACCATGACTTCAGTTCCATGTCTGTCCAAGTCTGAGTGCGAGAACCCGGTGGGACAAGGCAAGATCGTAGGCTCTGAGGCGCTTCGCTATCCTTGTTCTCTCGAATCTTATCCACAAGAGTCTCGTCCATGTCGAGGATCTGAAAGCAAAGTGATCTCCAAAAACCTTGCAATGATTTCAGTAAATCGCTCGAGGCTGGTCTGTAGAACCAAAAGCTGAGCACTTGAACACAGTGGGGTCTTGCCCACTCCTCTAAATGGCCATGGCCAGCCCTTCCTGGTTGAAGGTTGTGATAGACAAAATCCATAAGTGCAGATTTTCCGGATCCGGGCTTTCCACTGACCCAAAATATCTTTGTGCCGGTCTGAAGCCAATCAATAAATTTGTGCTCTGTCATCTCCTCTGGGGGATTAAATATCCAGCGGTAAGTCTCGCCAAAATCGATGATGCGCTCCTCAATTCTGTTGCGACACTCGTTCATCTCTGGAAATGCTAAAGCATCAAGGAGGCGCGCTCTGAGGGCGTGGATGATTTCTTTCTGAACCTGAGAGAGCCTTTGACGCAAGTATCATCAGTCAGCTAAGACTCAAGGTTGGAATATGAAAAGTAATGGTCTCTGGGTTGAAGAAACTTGCTCGGGCCGAGGACGGAGAAAGGGGCATAATCTGACAAAGAAACCACCATTTTCGACATGGATTGTACGTTTGCCAGTAGGAAAATCTCGCGTCTCCAGACCAAAGACTTCTTGTGTGTTCTCAGAGATGATTGCCCGTACACAATCCGATACCTTGGCTTGCATGTAATAGCTGGAAAGGGAGGGACACAATCTAGATATAGTCATTAGGAGGAGTCATTTGACACGGTCAGGCTCTCCATACCTAGGTACTTAACTGAGGTCGGAATGCTTTATATTCCTGGCAAGGTTAAGCGTCAAGTAGTCAAGTAGTCAACGACGAGACTCGGCTTACATCGACTTTGCTGGCTAAGGAGCTGTCAGCCTTTCCTATCGTGAGGTTGTCAGCTACGGAACGGTTGCCAGCCAAGTGAGATCTTCGATGTACACACTCTGCTTCAGCTTCAAATTCTCCGCGCAGCCTTGCAAGCTAAAGGCCTGCTGCTGGTGGTTGAGGTAATCATCAGTCGCGATCTCGATTCGGCCCAGCTCCTTGTATTCCGCCAAGCCGACTTCTTGGAGTCCCTGTTCGACATTAAAACGGAAATATCGATTTGAGAGGTCCCTCCACCTCGCCGAAAAAGATCCGGCCGTCTGTTCTGTCTGAGTCGTCATATTGACTAGTGTCTTAGACAAGAAATTCGCGACATTGTTTGCAATCGGCTTCATGCCCTGGTTTCCCGTCCCAATGGAGACGAAGCACTTAATAAGGTCCTTCAGATTGCCAGATTTGGGACACCAAATGTCTGTTGCTTCTCTTTCGACTTCGTCCACCGGGTTGTTCGCCCCTAACGCCCCGTCCACAAGGGTTCTAGCCCCGATCGAGACGGGAGGGAAAAATGTGGTGGCGGCTGATGTGGCGAGGGCGGCTTCGCAAATTGTTACAGGCATATCCGGTTTTGGGGGAATTTCGTAACTTCGTAGATGTCTCATGCTGTACGGATTCGTCGTTGCCGCGCATACAAAGCTAGATCACCGTTCAGCTAGAATATAGTCGCAACCTTGATCTATACATACACTTTACACCCGTGAGATTTGCCGTCGTTAAACAGTTCCGTGGTGGAGTAACCTTTCCTAGTGATAATCTCTTCAATGGCCCCTTTCAGTTTTGCATTGTCAAATTGCGCTTGAATATTTCCCCTCCAGTTGAAGAGCGCCCAGTGTGCCTTCTTTTCAAACACAGTCTTGATCAGTCTGTTGTAAGCTTCAATGCACTCATCCACGTCCATCTCGAGCCGGCCAAGCATGATAGCGATCAGACTTTCAAATTTCATATTAGCGCGACAGCTATGATCCACAGAGTAGTGTTTTGCACGTACCCTCCCGTACTTGTCCCTCCTATGAGATCGAACAATTCACATGGCTTAAGCGGCAAGGCTCCGCTCTTCTGACGTTCGTGATTCAGCAGTCTCATAAGGCACTTGAGGATATGGAGCGTCGACAGGCCTCGGACTCCCCCTCCATCAAGAGACAATAAACAGAGTCCAGTGTGGTCGACAGGGTTCAGTTCACCGCCGACTGCTTGTTCCATGATGCCGGCCAATGCTTACAGGCATCGGAAGGTCATCTCATCAGTATATGAAGAAGTGCTCAGAGTCAACGCAGAAATCCCGCGATTACGGCGGGTGCCTGTGATGGGGGTACTCGGTACTCGGTACGGCCGTCGCGCTGGAGATGGAGGTCTAACTTGATTGATATTAGCTAAAATTGAGTTAATAGTCACCTAATGGTAGGTACAGTAGGAGGCGGTGAAAGTGTAGGGGATCTACTGGGTACCAGGTTCCTGATGATGGTCTGAAACAGGTGCCCACTGAAAGGCACGTTTAGGCGAGCACTGGGGAGCCGGTTTGGGTCCTCCTTGCAGCCCAGTGAGCTGCTCAGGTACCCAGTAGTGCTCCGGGAGGGCTCGGTGAGGCTCAGCTAACGTCTCAGTTAAAGCTCAGGTTAAAGCAGCCTTCGCTCACCCTCTAGGTTCAACCCGTATATTGCAGTTGTTTTTCGTTCGCGAGTAATCTCGCCAGGTACATTCTCTTGGCGGGTGCAAAACTCCGCACTTCTCCAACCTTGCTCCAACTCAATTCGGCGAGTCGGTTCTTTTGAAATTGTTCGCGTCAATGGTCCGTCAACGCCTGCTGTCACCGTAGCTGATGGAGCTTCAAAGATCACTTACGCGGTCAGCTCACCTCCGACGTACCTATCTCGAAATCTCCAGGTATATTCGTGGCCAGGTTCCGCAGGCAGGCTTTGCTTCCACGCGGCGCTCGGTCAGACCCTCCCTTTGTCGAAGATGCACATATTCTACCACGTCTCCCGTTCGAAGCGACCAGCGACAAGATCCAAGATTACAGACCAGTAATGGCGACATCAGGCGATACAGCTTTTCTAGTAAGGCAGAAGAAGGCTAGGGATTTGGACAGCGCCTGACTCTCCCAGGGATCTCTTCCTCAAGTGCAGCGAGCACTGCCTGGGAAAAACTGCGCCAGACCGACCTTGATTCCTTGCCAACCACGCCCAATCCTGGTCCCGATGAGCAGAACCAAGTGCAACTTTATGGCTACATTACTTCTCACAGACCTAGCAAGAGCTTCGACTTTATTCAGCTCGTCGATCCACGCTTAGAGCTTGCCGTACAAGTCATCCTCTCCCATACCGTTTCCGCTGCAAAGATTGGGGAAAGTGATGTGGTAGAGATGCGCTTAGGTGCCAAGGGCCCGAGTTTCGATAGAGGGTCGAGCGACGAAGATCTCCGTGAGGAGCACCCTAGTATTTTCAGAGCTCCTCGCCCCCATACACCTATTCGGATCTCTGGGACCATTGTGCGACGACAGACACGGCCGAAAAAAGACCAGCAGCGAGTCGCATCAGGAGGCCATGATTCTTCACAGCGACAAGTCCCGGCCAATACGATTCGCACGCTAGACCCCTACGTTGGAGACATTGACCTCATATCTCACGTCGAAATCAGAGCAGATTCTTACAAATTTCTCAATGGAATGCCATCCGATATTACTGCAAAATGCGATACAGTATTCCCGCCAGAGTTGCGCCATTTGCAGTTCAGGACGGACTCAGAACTTCGTCGCCGGATTCGGCTACGCTCACGAATTGCAGGAAAGATACGAGAACATATGCTGAGCAATGGTTTCGATGAGATTGAGACGCCCTTGTTGTTCAAATCCACACCGGAGGGGGCTCGGGAATTCATTGTCCCCACAAGAAAGAAAGGTCTGGCTTACGCACTGCCACAGAGTCCGCAGCAATATAAACAGGTTCTGATGGCCTCGGGAATATGGAGATACTTTCAATTCGCCAAATGCTTCCGCGACGAGGATCTGCGAGCCGACCGACAGCCCGAATTCACCCAGGTAATGGGTTTCACCTCATCACAGCCAGATGATGCTAATTCTTGCGATAGCTTGATCTCGAGATGGCGTTTGCCAGTAGTGCTGATGTCATGACCGCTGTAGAAGAGCTGCTCATCCATGCAATCTGGCCTAATGTACCTGATATTGCTCCTCTGGAGACATCCTCGTCAACGAGCTCTTCCAGGGCCAAATCGGCCGATGTAGAATATCGCGACCTGGTATTTCCACAATTGACATATGAAGCCGCAATGACCCGGTATGGCTCGGACAAGCCTGACACGCGTCTTGGCTCTGAGATTCGTCGGGTGGACCAGTGGCTCCCGCCCAATGTGAAGAATATGGTGACTTCGCTTGACGATCCCGTCATGGAGATGGTGAAAATCGGTATGCAGGGATGTGAGCCAGCGGAAAGCCAGAAATTTGTGGCTTCCTTCTTGGAAGCGTCTTCAACGGCAAGATATACGAATGACAACGCACGAATCCCCGGAGTGGCGGTTTTGGATCCTCTAAAGCCGCTGCATGGCTTAGCTAGCTTTGGCCACGAAGGAGCAGCCAAAGTGGAAGAAGAGTTTGATCCCGAGCCGGGCGACATCCTGGTTCTTTATAGCCGTGATGGTAAGCCATTTACTGGCGGCTCTACTGTCCTTGGAGACCTGCGTCGGGACATCTACCAGCACGCCATATCGGAGGGTCTACTCCCTGCCCCTTCGGGATTCTCTGCCTTGTGGATAATCGACTTCCCCTTATTCTCTCCGACAGAAGACTCCGAACCAGGACAAGGCGGATCTGCAGGGATCTGTTCAACACATCATCCATTCACAGCTCCCAAACAAGGTCAGGAATTGTCGGTGTCCACGTTCAAGAAGAACCCATTGTCCATTATTGGGGACCATTATGACCTTGTCATCAATGGGGTTGAAGTGGGTGGCGGTTCCTGTCGTATACACCGTGAGTTCATGCAGGAATTTATCCTCCGAGAGGTTCTGAAGATGGACCCGGAGCGCGTCAAAGATTTCGGACATCTACTGAGAGCATTGCGTACTGGCTGTCCACCGCATGCTGGATTTGCCCTAGGATTTGATCGCTTGATGGCCATGTTGACGAATACTGCGAGTGTACGAGATGTGATTGCCTTTCCAAAGTACGCGGATGGCGAAGACAAGTTTGCTGGCGCACCTTCACCGATCACCCGAGACCAGCTGGCAACTTATCACCTTGTCGTCCGCGACACGGCGGCTGCTGGGTCGACTCCCAGATTCTCGCGCAGGGCGTGAACCTGAGTGCCCATGAACGGTGGTAGATGTATGTGAAGAATAACATAGCCATGTAAAACAGTTGATCAGCCTTTTATCATATCAGTTTAGCCACGCAGTCTTCACTCGGTGCCTAGCAGTTCAGCTAGCCGAGGCTGCAGCCCCTGGATCGTCACGTGGCCCCAGCATCCACGCCCTTGGTGTCGGGGGCCACCCAGGCCACCCTGGCATCATAAACAAAACACATTGTTCCTCACTCGTCCGCAGCACATACCCACATCCATCGTTCGAATTTCGACCACTCCTCCTGTCGAGTCGCATCGAGCATTCGCCATGGAGCAAGTTCAGGATCTTGTGCTTGACTCATTAAAACCATACCTGATTCCTATAACTCGCAACCTACCTGACCCAATCAATGACCTAGCCATCAGCCTCCTCGGCGAACGCTGCCACAGCGCCCTCCTCCTCGACCTCGACTTCGCCTCCCATCCCGAATGCGTATCCCTGGCCATCTCAAAGGCCCTGGGCATTGTGATTATCACGGCCGCCTCGGTCGTGAAAGTGCCGCAAATCATCAAACTCGTCAAGTCCCAATCTTCCGAGGGATTGTCGTTCACAAGCTACTTGTTGGAAACAGCCAGCTTTGTCATTACCCTGGCGTATAACATGCGCAATGGTTTCCCTTTCAGCACATACGGCGAGACGGCTCTCATCGCTATCCAGGATGTGGTGATCAGCGTGTTGATCCTGGTGTATTCAAAGAAGAGTGCCCAGGCAGGCGCCTTTCTCGCCGCCTTCGGCAGTGCGGTCTATGCGCTGATGGTCTCGGACACACTTGTCTCGGACGCGCAAATGACCAGCTTGCAAGCGGGCGCTGGCGCATTGAGCATCGCCAGCAAACTGCCGCAGATCCTCACGATCTACAGCCAGGGTGGAACAGGTCAGTTGTCGGCGTTTGCCGTCTTCAACTACTTGTTTGGCAGCCTGAGTCGGATCTACACTACTATCCAAGAGGTGGACGACAAGCTGATCCTGTACGGATTTATCGCCGGGTTTGTGCTGAACGCGGTTTTGGCGGCGCAGGTGGTTTATTATTGGAACAGTTCGACCACCGCAGGGCATGCGAAGGAGTTGGCCAACAAGGGAAGAGGTGGCCCGCAGGGCGTTGGCCAAAAAGGGAGCGCGGCGTTGGCAACAGAGGAGGCGACCAGGCTGAGCCCGGGAACTGCCAGCGCATCGGCTAGACCGAGCAGCAGCAGTGGGAGAAGAAGAGGATGAATGACTCCATATTTTGGATGTTACACGACGCCCATTGCAGCCTGGGCGACGATTCACTTACAAGAGCTTTCCTTTGCAAATCTTTTAATATGGCCACCGATCCTCGATTTCATCGACGGCCCTCGAAAATTCGCCCAGAAGTTCTTTTTTTTTTTTTGTTTTGTTTTTTTCAACTCCATTATGCCTATTCATCCCGCGGTCGACCCAAGAATGGACGATTCCTTGTTTCGCCAAAGAGTAACTGTTGTCGGCCCTTCGAGAACCTGTACCTGTGCTCGTACCTCTACCCCGATATTCTCGAGGCTTAAAAATCCTCTACCTTTCCGCGAACCACGGTTGCTGAGCACGACGTATCATGCCCATCATCAAGACAGCAAAAGCGCATGTTAGGCCCGCCTCGTCTCACTCGCCAGCCCTTTAAGGAGTAATATTCGGCGTCGTGCCTCTTGCAGAGGGTACGCCGCTGTGAGATCCCAAAGTAAAAGCGACCTTCGCGCAAAAGTTCGTTGTTCCGCCAATCAGATTGTCCTATTCGCGGGGCGGAAGGAGTTCACAGAAATGCATTGTGCCAACAGAGCGCAAATTCAGTGTCCTGCTCTATATGATGCTGTATTCAGGGCTTGTTAGAAATGGGCGTTGGGTCAATGCGCAGTAATAGTGAGATCAGTCTGGCTCAAAGGAGTTGGCAGCAAGACTCTCATGGGAGTTGTGGAGGACGGACTCGACGGAGTAATTCGGCGGCAGGAGCCGAAATGCCGCTCAGGTCTCGGCATGTTTGTGGTGTTTATCTCCATCGAGCGAAACATGGTGACGGCACGAGACTCGAACTGAGCACCTCCTTCGCCTCTCTCTATCATCCAACGCGTCCAGAACTGGTTCAGGATCCACCGACCGAATCCCTTTGTTGTCGACAGGTTCGGACTATGTGACGATGGTCTTGAACTCCTACGATCATATGGAAGTTCTTCCACCATCCAGACATGTTTCCTCTGCTCTTGATATCTTCTGCGTGCTTGGTGACCATCCACTCGTTCACAATATCGTGACCCTAGAGCCTTATGGTTTGAATTCGTGCAGTCTTAAGATCAAGTTGCTCCTGACCTTCTCGGGACGCGGCAATTCCGAAAATGTTTTGTAGACTGACCCTCAATTGCGAATTCGAGGCGGCTTGGAGAACAACACGCGCATTCTGTTGATCAACGGCATCAAGCGTGTATTTTTCAACGAGATCGGATTCTTCACTATTGTGCTTAGGAGCTCGAATGTCTAATGCGTTTCCGGCATCTAGCACAAACGTACCCAAAAGATCGGAAATCTCACTCCCCGGGAGCGGGTCATCGAGGACAAGAGATGGTCGCACTGAAGAGACTACCATGATTGAAATTTATCATGAGAGACTAGAATGTATGGATCATCACATTCGCGAAGGATGGGAAAAGCATTTATATCGCATGTTCAGGATCGCATACGCCAAAGGCTACTATCTCAAGAGGCGGTGTTGTGCTAGCCTTGGTAGAGACGGCTGGGTGCGACTGACGTGTGCATATAACTGGTACCATCAGAAGCGCCTGGAGCATTTGTTTCCTGTCAAGACAGAGGATTCTCGAAGCGCCGAAGAAAATTGCTTCGAACTATGAACAAGTATGAAGTTGACGCAGAGCGTGAATGGAGCGAATGGAATTTCCTCGCAGCAGCTGATTCTTGGAGATGGTTGAATACCCTGGCTTATTTTAATGATCTCGCCTACTCTCACTACTGCTACCGAAGCTGTCTCGCAACAGACACATTCGAAAGCTACCTACACGTCGATGACGAGCTTTACACCGAGATCGTGATCACCATCATCTAGTGTCTTGTGCCCATCCATGATCGCCGGCTCAAGGAAATGTACGCGTTCAAGAAAGCTACGGAGGAGCCAGAAGCTGCCAGTGAAGAAGCTGCTCTGGACTTACTAGCCGCACTTTTGGAAAAGCGAAAAGCCGACTTGCCTTTGGAGAAATACTAGGAAGCTCTCACACGAGTCTTACCTTCATCAGGCAGTCCTCGCACTCGAGCTAGATCTTGCTGCGCCACCGCTACTGAGAGCTTTATTTGAGGTTCAGATGATCAAAGGCGAGGAGCTGTTCCGGCTGTTTGAGACTTACCCTGGTTCCGGTATGTAGCACGGTCTTGGTGAAGAGCTAAACGTGAACAAGTATCCGGAAATCGCACCACTATCGTCGATCATGAAACCACTTTCTCAACTCGCCACAAGGGGCCGTGCTTGGGGATGTCTGACACCAGCGAACGTTGACAAGCGATGTGAACGGCTTTTGCACAAAATGGGTGTGGCCTGTGAGAAGATTGCCCAAGGACGACTAAAATTCCTTGAACGCCTCTCCGGACACGATTCATTGACCATGCGGCTTGAAGGTTGCGACCCAAACAACGATGTAGTCCCATGGCCAACGACAGACCCCGTGCTGTCACACACATCGCCAGTTATGACAAAGGAAAGGAAAGAATTAATACCACCGGGGTGTCACTTGGTGGATTCGCACCATGGTCGCATGCAGTGGCACAGATAAGATGTGGATCAAAATGAGAGGACGTTCGAGACGTAACGATGCAACAAGTCCAGAGTTTGTTGCTAGAAAGCAGCCCTGCAGTATACCTCCGCTATGTGGAGACACACCATCACGAGTAATGGGCCAACAAAGGTCAGGTCTGCATATTGTCATGGAAAGAAGAGTGGATGTGATGTCTGAGCTACCTGGAGCACGCCGAAGCCATCAATGATACTGCTGCCAACCAATCATACTGGACAGCTTGTCATGCCCAATGCATCTTCAAATTGACGCGCTGAAAATCGGCTACCAGGATCAGGAGCGTTCACCGTATGCTCAGAATGGGGCAGTATTTGCCCTTTTGCTTCATGAGCTATCAGATGGCCTGGTCGACATTGACGACCTGGATCAGCGAAAGATTCGTAAGCATACCCTCTCCTGTTCGGTTAACGCCTGCTGACTTTGACTGCCGTGCTTGGCAGCGTACTATAGGAAAAACCTGGGGGGGGGGGAGATTAGCACAGCTTGCGGCCAGCAAACTCTGCTGGGATGAAGATGAGCTTCAGGAGTCTCTGGAAAACACCCAGATTGCAAATTCCATCGCCGGAGAACCCTGTCGCTTGATGTCAAATCTTGAGGCTATCATCATAATTATGCCTGCCTCTGCCACAGCAAAGCCATACAAAGCACTTCCCGCTTGTTGTTTGTGACTAAGTCCTAGAGACAATCCAGGCGCAGTTCTAACGCGCGTTAGACTCATCCACCAGAGCAGGCCTTACCGAGAGATCTGGACCATGAACGTGAGCATGAAGACCAGTCATCGAACGACTCTGGAATGCACAAATCGCCGATTGACTGGGAGGGCGAAGTGTTGGAGTTCGAAGACTTTACCTCGGCGGCAGCGGCGGAGGAGGTGTCACATACCGAAGAAAATGTGGTGGGACACGAGGCAGATCGCATAACCAATGTCCTCGAATCTTGCAAGCCACTGGCCCTTGACATTTTTGAGCTCCTGCTTCAATCCAGATTGTGACCTGAGAGATTGAGTGCAGGTCTCATCATTGGTACAGCACGGCTTCGACATTTGCAGTCTGAAGCCTGGAGGCGACGCCACCATGCAAGGGCAGGGGGATTCTTTGCGCGCTACTTGGCCTTGTTCAATGATCCGGATCTCGAATCTGCCCACAGGAGCGATGGTTTGCTCTGGAGAGATCGCGAAGCATATGTAATGAGTGCTAGGCCTTTCCCAGCTGTTTGATGATTGAGATTTATTCGCGAGTGAAGTCTCATGCACTTGTTATGAATGTTATAGACGTGGGGAAATGGCTCAATGTGCGAGGCTGAGAGAAGCTCACCCTGCTGCACGAGGCTCCCATCACGCGGTGTCGGAGGTTGATTAGGCTCCCCGGCCCTATTTGACTTCGCGCCACTCCGATTGGCTCCGGCTGATGGCAGTGAATTTTCGAACCTCTCCGCTTACGGACCTGCGTTTCCTGGGGAAACCTGCGATTTCTACTGCGGGTCTGGATGAGGAGTTGACTCTACTTTGAGGTGAAGCTGGGAATTTCGAAGGGTGTGGAAGAGTGTGACCTGTCTATCGCCTCTTCTGGTCCATGCTTGCCTCGCCGAAAGGTCAATGCGCCTGGTCTCGATTCTCCCCTCAGCTCTTCAAGTCACGGAAGCTCAATATGAAAGCTTCAGCAGCTCTCAGAAGCCTCCGCCTCAGGCAGGCGAGGCTGACACTCGGCAGACAAACCATGTATGCTCGCTGCACTTCGCCCTGATCTTTCACCACTAACCGACTGGCAGTCGTCCATTCTCCTCGTCGCCTCTTTGCCACGCAGGCCCCTCCAGCTCGTCAGAAACCGAAGGTCTCAATAGAGTCTCGCGCCATGTCACACAGCCTAAATCCCAGGGCGCCTCACAGGCGATGCTGTATGCGACCGGCATGACTGAAGCCGACATGAACAAAGCTGAAGTGGGAATTTCATCCGTCTGGTACAGCGGGAACCCGTGCAACATGCATTTGCTGGATCTGTCCAACGTGGTGAAAAAGGGCGTCACGGATGCTGGACTACAGCCTATGCAGTTCAATACGATTGGCGTGTCGGACGGAATATCAATGGGTACAACAGGCATGCGCTACAGTCTGCAATCACGAGAGATCATTGCCGATTCGATAGAAACGGTCATGCAAGGTCAGTGGTACGATGCAAACATCTCCATTCCTGGGTGCGACAAGAACATGCCCGGTGTGGTCATGGCCATGGGCAGAGTGAATCGACCGTCGATAATGGTGTATGGCGGCTCCATAGCCCCCGGGTGTGCGAGGACGCAGAATAACGCGGATATTGACATCGTCTCGGCATTTCAGGCCTACGGCCAATTCATCGCGGGTGAAATCAATGAGGAACAGCGTTTCGACATCATCCGCCACGCCATTCCGGCCTGTGGAGCCTGTGGTGGTATGTACACCGCCAACACTATGGCCTCGGCCATTGAGACCTTGGGTATGACACTGCCCGGCAGTGCATCCAACCCGGCCGTCTCCAAGGAGAAACAACTCGAGTGTCTAGCAGCCGGAGGCGCCATCAAGAATCTGCTCAAACTCGACCTAAAGCCACGCGACATCATGACCCGCCAGGCCTTTGAAGATGCCATGGTTGTGGTCATGATCACCGGTGGTTCAACCAACGCGGTGCTGCATCTCATTGCCATGGCTGATGCGGTAGGCATCAAGCTCACCATCGACGACTTCCAGGCGGTCAGTGACAGGACTCCATTCCTTGCGGATCTCAAGCCGAGTGGGAAATATGTTTTCAACGACCTCCACGCCATCGGTGGCATTCCTACCCTGTTAAAATTCCTGATCAAAGAAGGAGTGGTCAAGGGAACGCACACGACCGTGACGGGCCAAACGCTGGCCAAGAACGTCGAATCCGCAGCAGATTTCCCGTCGGACCAAGTTATCATCAAGCCGTTTTCTCATCCGATCAAGAAGACCGGACATATCCAGATCCTGCGGGGGAGTCTCGCGCCAGGCGGCTCCGTGGGCAAAATCACGGGCAAAGAAGGCTTACGCTTTCAGGGCAAAGCCAAGGTCTACGATGCGGAGGATTTGTTCATCCAGGCTCTCGAACGAGGTGAGATCAAAAAAGGTGAGAAGACCGTGGTGGTCATTCGCTACGAGGGGCCAAAGGGCGGACCGGGCATGCCTGAAATGTTGAAACCCAGCTCGGCGATCATGGGTGCCGGATTAGGCAAAGACGTCGCCCTTATCACAGACGGACGGTTCAGCGGTGGATCGCACGGGTTTTTGATTGGCCATATCGTCCCCGAGGCCATGGAAGGGGGTCCGATCGGCTTGGTGCGAGACGGAGACGAGATTGTGATTGATGCCGAGAGCAGGACGCTGGATCTGATGGTGGACGAAGCAACGTTGCAAAAGAGACGGGAGGAATGGAATGCAAACAAGCCAGAGCCTCGGTATAGGAGAGGCGTTTTGGCAAAATATGCCAAACTCGTGAGTGACGCCAGCCTCGGGTGTATCACGGACAGGGAGGTGCTGGATGTACATGCCTGAGGAGAGATGTTTGGCGGGATTGATATCTAAGACGAGATAGTTTGACAAGGGGGTTTGATGAAAATCGAAACGTGTACAGGATCAGACGTTGAGCCGGATATCCGAGTGGCATAGCAGATAGTCTGAGGAATGATTCCCCATGTCAACATCACTGGTCAACAGCGTGCTCCGTGATGTGTGATAATTGTAGTGGCTGAGCTCCAAGGTCGATGAAGAAACAGATGAGGCGGGAATCATTCTCCAGGGTTGATCGTGAGTATGTGGTGGCCATGGTGCGGCGGTTTTTCATGGCATGGGAGAATGTATGGTCGACAGTGTGTCTACGAGACTCTTAGGGTTCTTCAGGGTCCCGTTGTGAACAGAAATAGATGGCCGTCCCCCATCTGGTGTTGGAATGGTTTTATGAACTCGAGGTCGAAGGCCTCTCGATGGAGGTGGGTGGGTGACGAGCCTCTTTTATGACGACGATGATCATTAATATTGCCTACTTGGTGCAAGTACTAGTACTTGTTATTAGCCCCGTAAAGGATATTACTCGCCGCCTTCGGTTTAGGCGGCGGCGGGTCTGCCATTTCGGGCATGGTCGCAGCACTAGGCTGGGCGCCGCTGACTGCTTTTGCTCGGCCGCTATGGAGGACTAGGAACCAAAATCACGCCGCTACAAGGATGAAGACAGCGGGCATTCGGTGATCTCCTCAACCTCATCTCGGCACGTACTCGACGCTAGACCGTGGTGGTCTTATACCACACTCTCATATACTTCGTGTTGCACATGATATTGCCCTGAGTATCCTTTTGGATGAGATTGCGATTGACCTGAGCCAAAAAGATCATATAGTCGGCCTTCTCTTCTGGTGTACCGGGTATAGTGACAGTCCTAAACGTAAGCCTTTAGTTTCGGGATATTGCTTCCATCGAATGGCCATCGATGTAAGGAATGTATCATCTGAAGATGTGAGGCCATGTTTACATCGAAGACGTCGTCGGGCATTTCCTCGGGGTCAATGATCTTGTTGAACATCATCAGGGTGGGGGCGCAGAACGCTCGCTGCCTCTGGCCCAGACTTTATAGCCTCCCCATACCCCATCCCCATCCCTAAAATCAGGAGTAACGAGGCCTGCCCCTACTCTATTCTCCGAGAATCTCTTCATCACCGCTGAGCTTCGTATCCCACGCGTCAGGATTTTATGAAATGGCCCATGCGAATGAATGGATAGCTTAAAAATCCAGAGCAATGCCGTGGCATGTTTTCATGAACGGACGGACGAATTGCACGCATTGGAATGCGGTCAAGCGTCTTGACAGGCATTGGGCCTTCAAAGCGATTCTGGTTCGGCTTCAAGGCGTACCCGTTCCGAACCCTTCGGCTTTCGGCTCTTGGGTCGTCGATCTGCTTGATCAACCGGTGGTGATCATCATGTGAGGCCATGATGTGATGACGGGGAAAGGTTATGGTGTCAATGGAAACGAGCTTCAATATGAGGTAGGGATACAGACCTTGTCAAAACCCGGTGACCGTGGTCTATTTCTTGTGCAGTCTACGACGATACCATTTTTTTTTTTTTTTTTAATTTTTTTTTTTTTAAAAAAATCTATACTCTGTAGTCATTCAGAGGGAATCAGTATCGTAAACTCTTTCTACAGTGCTGATAGTACCGATTTCATGCACTGGCATCGTAATCTATGACCAAGGCAAATGGTGCAAGCAGAATCCCGTCCCATGCAAATGTGTCCACATAAAACGCCAGAAATGCAAAACGAGAGGCCAGGACAAACATATGAACCTGGCTGAGATTGAGAAGAGAAGGGAGCTGCAACCCAAGTAAGACCAACTGTTGAAAATACAGGGCTGGCCAATCCATCCCGCGTGTCTTTTTGGTTCGCTTACGCACCAGGCCCATCCATCCTCACCTTCCCCTTGATACTCTCCCACCGCGGCGTGAAACTCAGCACAAATGTAACGCACGCACACGCGATGCAGATCGCAAACGGCACTCTTAGGCCGTCCATGTACGCGGACAGGATGCCCGGGATGTCGCTCGCGTCAAACACTCTCCTCAGGTCTGTCGCGCCGGTCGCGAGCACCAGGCTTGCGTCCACGTTTGGCGCCTTGATGGGCAGTTCGTGAAGCATCTTGTTCGTGAACCCGGCTTGTGCGGCGGAGATGAAGACCGCGCCGCCGATGGTCTGGAAGAAAAGAATGATGGCCGAAACGGAGCTGAGGTCCGAGGGCTTGACGATCGCTTGGCCCACGATCACCGGGATCTGGAAGATCAGCCCCAGCCCGATGCCCACGAGGGCTTGATATCCGATCCATTTGTCTGCCCCAGAGTGAATTTCCAAGGTGTAGATTAGTCCTGAGCCGATCGAGGCGAGGATTGATCCGAATGCCATGAGAGGAATGTATTGGCCCCATACCGTCAGAAGGCCGCCAGAGAACACCGTTAGAAGCGAGGCGCCAAGGACAAGCGGGAGGTTGTCGATGCCAGACTTAGCGGCGGAGACGTTGCGGGTCGCTTGAAAGTAGATGGGCAGGTAATACAAGAGGATGAAGAAAGCGCCTGCCACGGTAAAGATATAGGCAGACATAGCTGCAATTGTTCTCTGTTTGAGGAGACGGGGTTGTAGCAAGGCGCGGTCGCCCGAGAAGTACTCGATGATGACAAACGCGATAATGAGGACGCCAAAGAGGACCAGGACGGCAACGACGGAGCCAGATGACCAGGGTTTGGTCGCCCCACCCCACTGCATTGCTAACAGGTAGCAGACAATGGCAGCCATGAGGGTAAATGTCCCCGGGAAATCCATCTGTAGGAGCTTCTCTTTCAAAGGAGCGGCTTGAGGACGAGCCGCTTTGGGAGTGCGGAAGAAGGCAAAAATAATGGCCGAAGCAACGCCGCCAATCGGAAGGTTAATATAGAAGCACCATCTCCAGGTGAGATTGTCTGTGAAGACGCCTCCCAAGAGGGGGCCGATGACAGATGCAACGCCAAATGTAGCACCCATGACGCCGGTGAAGGCAGGGCGTCGTTTGGGTGGAGCGGAGAAGGCAATGATGGTGTACGATCCTGACGCGATGCCTGCTCCGCCCATGCCGGCAATCGCTCTTCCAACGATCAACGTGGTGGAATTGTTGGCGACAGCGCAGATGAGGGATCCCAGTTCGAAGATGAAGATGCTTGTCAGATACGAGATCTTGAGAGGGAAATATTTATACAATTTTCCCCATGTTGCTTGGAAGGAGCCGATGGTCAGGAAGAATCCGCTCCCGTACCAGCCCACTTGATCAAGAGAGTGGAACTGATCGGTGATTCGAGGGATGGCTGTGGCCACGATGGTCATGTCCAACGCCACGAGGAAAATACTGCAAGCCAGTGCCACGACTATCATAGCTAGAGGGAAAGCTGAAGGATAGTCAGATGTGTCGATACGAGAGATTTCGCGGCCCAGATTCTCGCCATCAACATCTTTCTCAATGACAGCCTTTTCAATTGCAATCGATTCAGGGGAATTGGAGTTGTGCCGGATGGTGACGTCGACCTCTTCCTTTTGCTTTTCATCCTCGCTGATCGGTAATGGTGGCTTGGAGAGATCGCTTGTGGATGTTGAGGCCGAACTTTGAGAGGCTGGAGCGGTCGCCATTGCTCTAGATATTGAGGATAACGGCGATAGAGGGTATTCGATAAAAGGGGGAAAGTCGGGAGTTTATTATAAAGAGGATTGCATTGAGACAGTGAAAGGGTCGAGGGTGCTACGGAGTGATATATGTATCCAACTCAACAGCCTATTGACTGTCAACAACCAAGCATCAACGTCGTATGGGCGTACGGGTCATGCCAGCCCGAGCATTCACACAAACAATGACTTGAGAGAGGAAAGCAAATTCGTCCGTGTTTCAACCATTTTGGATGAACAAAGCACACAACACAAGAAAACAAGAGAGAAAAAATGTGGACTCGCTAAAAGAGGGAGTGAATCATAGCACCCAGTTGCATCGTATCAAACGATTAAAATTGGATGGAGATACGTCGTTGGGCACATGTTGGCGTCAACTTTCACCCGATAGACAAGGCTGTAGGGAAATAACAACCCCCTGAGAGGTCAACACTCAGCTCGGTAAGGCTCTGATCCGCCATCCGAAGCAGTGACATTTCCTGATAAAGTTCCCGAAGATCAGGCAACAGCCAGGCCGTCAAAATCAAAGGGGGAGGTCACATTCAGCGTTCTAGAATGGGCTCCAAAGTGGAAAGTCGAAAACTTGGAGCCGCCCAAGCGCGGGCAACCAAGATGCCCACATGGTCGAATTGGCACTGGATGTGACACACGCTACACGAGGCTGGAATAGCGTGTGCTTTCTCTTTCAGCGCCTCGAATCTGCCGGAATGTTGGATCCTCGAAGATCCGAGAAGTGATGATGTCGTTACGTCGTGTAACGAACCATAGTTGCCTTCCCTGGACGTAGCCGCATATCGGAGATACGAACCCAAGTTGCATTATTACCACTCCGGCATCTGGCATTTTGATTTTTTGCCTTCCAAGATTCGTGTAAAGGGAGATTAAGGTGGAACCATTGCCGATGTCCATCGATTGGCGAGTGGGGATGGATACCTTAGTAATGGCTACCTGTAAACGCCCACGCTCGTAATCCGGCCGAAACGTCGGTCGGACGAAACCTGGCTGCACCCCCTCAACGTCGACACGAAAGAAACAAAAAGCATTGGACTCACCAGTATGGCGGGATTGGTAAGCTACAAGGACAAAGAATGTGAATGTTGCAAATGGCCACAAGATGAAAATACGAGGCGAGGAGAGAAATCTCATCACCTGATGAGGCTAAACCTGTTCTGGTATGAAAAGACCAAATGTTTGTCAGACAAAAAGCAAAGTGCCTGACTTTCTCTTGCTTCTCCTATCAATCGCTTACAACCTGCAAGAACCTGGTGGAATCTGCCGTCGTCAGACAAAATGCGTTGATTATGTCCCTTAAACTGGAGAGGCTATGTATTGTACGCAGTAGGCAGCACAGTCCAAATGCTTACTATTCATCTGCTCTCAACCATCTTTGCCTTACAATGACGTTCTAGAAGCATGGCTCATTGCTCAAGTGTCCTCCCAGATCATCCACCTACGGCGTAATCCAGGCTCACCAGCAATCCAAGTCTAGAACTGCGAGGCTTTCAGAGACCACCTGAGTCAGGCCCTCTCGAAATCAACTGCGCAGTCTCGGATTCCCACTCGTCTTCCCTGCTGCCTATCCGAACTGGTCAAATCACCCTCCTTCTCTTCGTCTCCGGAGCGGACCTCCGTTGTATTGACCGCAATGTCTCAAACTGGAAGTATGTCCACTTCACCGTACAATACTGATGCCGCCGGCCTTGGGTTCGACCATAATCAAGGCCCACCAAGGAAGAAGATGCGAAAGGGAACGAAGAGTTGTTTGGAGTGTCGGAGGAGAAAGATCAAATGCAACTTCGAACCTGGGAGGCCTGCCATATGCAACGAGTGCTACGCTAGAGGGTCGACCTGTATTGATCAAGAGCACGGGGATATCCACGCATACACGCAGTCCACTTCGGAGCAGTCATCGTACAGTTTGAGGGAAAGAGTGTCTCAGCTCGAAGACCTCGTCAAACAGGTGCTGAACCGATTACCGGAGAAGGATACCAGTGCCCATGGTGACAGTTCCGCTTCGGAATCAGATAAAAGCCAGCTCGATGCGCAGGCGGCGGAGGTCTTGAAAAGTCTCAAGAGCTCTTTGCGACAGGGAAATGCTAGCACCGAAGAGTCCATCGTTCTCCCAGGCGGCATGCGAGATGACGCCCCGGCCTTGACCCTATTCGATAATGCCGTCATTGAGAGAAAAGAGAGCCAGCCCGTGGTGTCACGAGCCCAATACAATAAAACCAAAACACTTCTGGCAGCCTTGAATAAATTACTTCCGTCCGCGAGTGACCTGGAAGTTATTCTAGAACAATCCCACGAATGGTGGACGATATGGAGAAAGATGTTCCCCGAAATTACCGATAGTCGATGTGAAACCATCAAAGAATCTGTTTCGCACTCTTTGCGATCGGAGAAACCGGCCGAATTGGCCAAGATCATGCTTTGTATCGCTATTAGTATTCACCAACTCCCGGGCCATTTCAATTGGTCGCGACTTCAAATCAAAGAGGAGCCCGCTGATCTGATGGAACGATATATTGCTACAGTCGACAAGTTGATCACTTCAGATGATGAGATCGCGGCCACCCTTGATGGCATTGAGTGCATGATGCTCGAAGCCAAGTATCATGTCAATATGGGGCGGCCTCGACGCGCGTGGCTACTATTTCACCGCGCGCTCGCCTTCGCCCAGTTATTGGGCATTCACCGATTAGCAGCCCAGACGGACAAGACGTCCCTGGATTATCAGCGTTCGGTCAATATCTGGTGTCATCTTGTGTTGGGTGACAGATATCTATCTCTGCTGCTAGGTCTGCCATATTCTGTCGGTGAAAGCTTTGTCACTCCCTACATCCCTGTGTCCGGACCTCGACCGGCGCTGGTCAACGATGGCGAACACTACGTAGGGAAAATGCTCCCTATAATCACCAAGATGATCGATCGAAACCAGAGTGTAGTCCCCATGGGCTACTCCGCGACCTTAAGGCTTGATCAAGAACTGGAGGAACTGCACAGCACTCAGGATCCTAGTTGGTGGGCAACGGACCTCATCCCTGGTAGTGCGGTTGAAGATCATTTCGATCGGTTACAGGCGCAATTTTTCCATCACCAAGCAAAAGTCATGCTGCATATGCCGTTCATGCTCCGGTCGTCTACCGACAAGAGGTATCAGTACTCTCACGCCGCCGCCTTGGACGGTGCACGAGAAATGATTCGAGTCTACAAGGCCCTACGAACTAACAAGGCCGTGGGTCCCTTCATCTGCAAGTTGATTGATTTCCAGTCTTTTACTGGAGCCATGCTTTTGTTGTTGAACTTGTGTGGCTACTCACAACAACATCGTGGCAACAACGCCCAACAGATGGATCTGGAGCAAGACCAGAAGGACTCAGACCTCATCGATGAAACAATCGCTCTACTGAAAGACGCAGCGAAAGAACCCGGAGGTGTCGTCGCAGCACAAAGCGCTCAGGCACTAGAAATGCTCGCCCGTGTCCGCCAGGGCTGCGATGATGATGGTGCCAAAGAATGTAAGGGCGAGACCTGTCAAGTCTCAATCCCCTATTTTGGCACTATCTCCATTGGAACAGGCAAGCATTTCGTCCCCATCAAACCAGGCACATATGTGCAGCGCACGCAGGAGGCGCCCGCAAACACGATAATCGCCGCGGGCGGTGTATCCGCCAACACAGGGTTGCCAACCCCACCGTCAGTAGCTTCAAATAGCACCCAGCCGTCACCCTTGTCGACAACAATCGACCGACAGGCAGCGCAATACCCTCAAGCCCGTCAGCCGCCCATTTTCGATTCGACGAACTACATCGCGCCAGGACTTGATCAAGCCTGGCCCGACACAGGCGATGACCCATTCATTACATTTGATTCCTTCATGGCCTTTCCACCCCAACCACCCACCGATTTTCCCTCGGCAGGAGGCGTAAGCATTTCTTCGGCCGGATCGGGTTTCACCCCGCAACCATCACATCCTCTACAGGGCCAGAGTAGTCCGTACAACAACTCTGGGACGACGCCGCAAAACGACCTCAATGCCTCAGTGGCTGCGGGTGGATTGGGCTCCATCGTGACTCCTGGGTTCCCATTCGGTAGTTTCCCGTTCGGACAGAGCGGGGTGGATCTGGATCAGGGGTGGAATTGGTTTGGGGTGGACGCGCCTGTCATCCCATGATTCTGATGGGCACGAAAAGGTTCTTGGAACCCTTGGTAATGAAAAGGTACAAAGTCAGCGTGCGCCTGGGATTTGGGCATTATGTATGTGACACAAAGAGGGAGAGAGGGAGACAGGGAGGGTAGGATACGCCAAACAAAAGTCCACTCTATTATGCCCCGAGTCCGGAGCGATGAAGCCGGTGGGTCATGATATTGACGTTTACATTGAACTGGATTGATCTTGGTCTTGATGTTGAGGGTGTGATTGATGCGGTCTTCCTGTACCACTGTATGGGAATCTATGACAAAAGGTCATCTCGGGAGATGTCGACATATCCCAATCCGTTGTACCTATGTACAGAGTAATGTAAATACTACCAAGTCTGCAAACAGACTTCAAAGCGCTCAAGCATTCATCCCGCCCGACTCATAAAAATCCAAACCCGTTAATTTCACCCTGGCTGCTATCAAGGTAGGTGGGCGTATTGTGCCTGTTATGTCCAATGTGCAATGCCCCGAAACTCCTCCGTAAACGGCAAGAAGAATATTTCCCTAATTATAATGCGTGCTTCCATCGGTATTTTTGACATGGGTATCTCAATGCCGTTCTTTTGTGCTGTTCTGTTGGTCCTCTTTGATATTCATTTCCCGATCATAATGCTGCTGGCTTGCTTGCCTTTCGCCCGTTTTTCTCATTACCATTTCCATTTCCGTATTACATATATAGATTCATTAGTACATTTGTTCTCGTTGTATGCTGTTGTCGTCGCGTCGTATGCACATATGGAAGTACTGTGTATCCTTCCTTTTTGCTGGGTCTCGAATAATGTTGCATGTTGTGAGTCTGTTGTCTCGTTTTTGATGTTTGGCCGGCCGGTGTCTCGGTGAAAAATCATCTCCAGCCGTTGCCGGCATGGCCTCCCCGTTCACCGCCGTCGTTGCCGTTATTTCCACTGCCCCAATCATTTGAGTTGCCACCGTTCCCGCCCCAATTCCAGCCACCCCATCCACCATTGCCGTTGGTGGCGGTGCTCCAAGGCGCGCTGCTCCAGGGCCCAGATGAAGGCCATGAGGTGTAGGATGCAGCTGGAGCTGTGGTGACTTGAGTGCTGGTAATCAAAGTCTTTGGGACAGAGCTCTCCGTAGACGGAGTAGGGCTTGGAGTAATTGTGACCGGGGTAGTCGACGGGCTGGTCACTGACGTGCTTTCTGTCGAAGTTGAAGTCGTTGTCTCGCTGGAGGAAGTGAGTGTGAAGAACGTCGTGGCTGTGGCAATTGTGGCTGTCACAGATTCGGTTGGGGTGACTGTTTGGAAAGCTGTAGACAGAGTGGTTACGGTGGAGGTCGGAGGTGGTACAACGGCGCCGTTTTCGGTATATACCCGCAAACTGTTAATGAGCCAGTACGTATCCTGGAAAGCTGAAGGGTTATTTTGCACAAAATCCTGGCAAGTCGATGCCTGGGTCGAGCAAGTGGCATCAGTGGTCCATACCTGGCCTGCCCAGTCGCCGCAGAAGGTGACGTCAAAGACCAATTGCTGGTCCTTGATGTGCTCATCGATGTCGCAAGCGCCAGTGAATTGGCCTTGAGGAAGACCCCAATTTGATGGGTCGGGACTGCCACTTGAGATATCAGAGGGGATGCTGTTCCTGGGGAAGAACCAGATGCTGATGGCATCGCTCGTCCATTCGGTTGCGTAGACACCACCACCGTTGGAGTTGAAACCGTTGCCGAAGCTGCTAGTGTCTTGACTGCGAATCGCACAACCAGCGTTGGTAGCCTGGTCGGGAGCATTGGTGTCACAGTCGTCCGTCTCGAGCGTGCCAGAGAAAGCTCCTGTGTTAGTAATCGAACATCCCGCGTTCGTGTGCATAGCCATGTTGTTGGCATTTTGACTGTTGACTCCTTCAATGATGTCAATCTCTCCGTTGTTGGGCCAATCCGGCCCCAGCATCCAAAAGGCCGGCCACGTCCCGCATGCGCCTGCTGGCATGTGTTCAAGATCGAGGATAACGAGGCCGTGATTGTATGTTTTCTTGGTGCTTAGCCGAATACTGTCTCGACCACGACCGGAGGCAACGTTTGTGGAATCGACGCCCATATAGACGGTCCCGTTGTCGGCTTGGTATAGGCCAGAACTCGTTGCTTGGTCGTAGGAAATGTAGTTAACATAGCCGTTTGTCGGATCGTTGCCCTTTACTAAAAGTTAGTTATTGCCAATTCCTCTCGGGGTTGGGAGTATCGTACCGTAAAGAAGTCAAACATGTCTGCAAAGGATGAGGAAGAGTAGTCATCTTCTAGGAGATAAGCCGCGGAAGCAGCTGATGCCAGGGCGGCAAAAGTGGTGACTGAGACGCGCATATTGCAATGTCGATATCGTGTGGACTCCGAGACGAACGAGATGTGGAAAGAATGGACTGAGGAATGCCATGGTGAAACCGAAGAACAGCACTGATATATAATGATCCTTCCATACTCACGACGAGCGGTATAACAAGCGAGGCTGGTGAAAATCGAAAAAAAAAAAAAAAAAAGCTGACGAGGATAGACGAGAAATCGGCGTGCTGGGAAAAGCTTTTGTTGACGCTTCCACGACCTTACCAGTGAGAGTCAGGGATATGGGTAGATCACGTCAACCAACAAGAGAAGAGAGCAGGTATAGAAGTGGAGAAGGAAATGCCATGGCAACGATGCAGTTGGTCCTGCTCCGACTGAGACCCGTACTCGGCGTGGTGTCATTGGAGGCTGGGAATCCTGCGAGGCGCAAACCTTGAAGATTGGCGAGAGGTCGGGGGATCGACGCTAAAACCACGAGGTGAACCAGACTCGCAATAGCACGCAACATGATGGCACTAGGTCCCCATGGCTGGTTCATCTGGCCAATGACAGAGCGGTGTCGCAGTCGATAGCTTTGAGCAAAACGCGCTTGTCAAAAAGAGTTGAGGCTGAATGTCTCAAGCCATCCTTCCGCGACGAACATAGACTGGCAAGCATGTCACCCCCCTCCTCTCGAAGATTGTGGGCTGAGGTTACCTCGCCGATAACCGACCCTGGGAGTTCGTCCGCATCTTGTCACAGGATTCTTCGGTCCCAAGATACATATCCCAGACCCAGCAATGACGTCGAGCCGAGTGGTGTTTATCTCTGAACGACAGCGTCAACAATTCGCCTGCGACTTACTAGGGGGGTGTACTGGGTAATGTGGAATGTCGAGCCAGGTGGGAAGTCATTCGGTGGTGGTGACGCTGGACCTTCGGGCGCAGCCCGGTCGCGTGCGAGGGCGTCTTCATCCAAGGAGGAGGATGGAGGAGGATGGAGGAGGGGGGTCGAGAGGTCTGTTTGGAAGAGTGAAGATTGAAGTGAAGCTGGAGCTCGAATAGAGTTTGGCGGGAAATTAGGCGCTAGTCCCAAACAGGAATGGGAGACGAAACCAGCCAAGTCGGCGGGGCGAAATGCCGAGTACTGGGTAGCCGGATCGAGGCACGCCAACAATAACGGAACGCGCCCAGTAGCTCGAATGCAAAACATCAGCTATTATTTTCTTTTCATGTGCCTTCATCAAAGTCATCAAACACCTAGAAATACATCTCTGGAAGATTGCCCCTTTTTGTCTGCCCGTCTCGGACCTCTGTTGACTTCCGGCCATCCCTGAGGCCTACCCTATGTTCGAGTCCAAAGTCCCTTGCTTGCGGTCTCCCTCTGCGTGGGCTAGCCGAGTTGTTTTGTGCGAGTCCATGTTCAAAATCCAAGTCGAGAATCAGTCCCTTTGAAGATTTTTAGACCTTGGAGCCTTCTTGCGGCACGTAGGTGTTCGACCACGTCGCCCTAGTCGGCTTGAGAAATCTCGCCAGCCCTGCATATGGCGTGTTGACGGGTGATTCGCCGGTGAACAGGAACATGTCATATAGCCACCCACCAAAGGTGCATCCAAAGAAAGGCGCAACCATAGGCACCTGGGGGAGTGGTCAGCGAAGAACCCCAACCTGCCGGTGTGATTGTGAATCTTACCCAGAAGTAATAATCGCCGGCCGTCCACACATGGGGGCCGTATCCCAGCATGTACGACATCAGCCTCGGACCAAAGTCTCGAGCAAGGTTGATCGCATAGCCGGTTTCCCAACCACTGTCGAAGGAACGAGGAGTCAGTGCCGATCCTTTGACGACTGGAGTGCTCCACAACTTACAAGCAGGCGCCGATGCCAAAGATGACGAAGAATAGCCCCAAGGGTGTCAGGTTTCCAGCTCCCAGATTGCCGTCGTCCTTGAGCGCGTAGATCAAGAACATGAGGATGGAGCTGGCGATGAACTCGGAGAAGAATTGTCCAGTCTTGGTCATAAAGGCAGCTGGGTATGTGCAGAATATACCTGCAGTTGCAGTATCCGAATAGCCAGGGACCGTTCGAATGTGAGCCCCTCCTTCGAAGACGTCGATGGCCGATTTATAGTTGGCGTAGACCACCCCAGAGGCACACAAGGCTCCCAGAGTCTGAGCCACCATATAGACAGGGAATTTTCGCCAGGGGAACTTGCGGAAAACGGCCTATTTTGCAAATCAGTACGACATTATTTCCTTAGAGTATTGAGTGGCAGATTCGAGAAATCTTAGTCCATACATTGGCGAACGTTACTGCGGGATTTAAATGTGCTCCCGAGATGCCAGCGGTGTAAACTCCTAACATAACACCCAACCTTTGCAGAATTAGCGCCTTTTTTTTTTTTTTTTTTGGCGGAAAGTGGTTTCTACTCACCCCCAGCCCCAGGAGATCGACTGGTAGTCACCTTTAGTGCCGTTACTGAGAACGACTTGAGCCACGACGCCATCGCCGAATAGAATCAGGATGAAGACGCCAAAAAACTCGGACAGCGGTTCCCGCATGAAATGCCGGACCCGGCTCCAGGCCAGATCTGGCTCAGACTGGACCACATCTTCCTGCGGGACTTTGTGATCGACCAGAGGGCCATGTTCCGCGTATGCCGGCTGGCCCTCGACCGTGGTATGACGGTATTCATGAGGATTGTGGAATACCCCATGCTCATTATGGGTGGCAGGAGGGGTAGACGAGAGGGATTCTTTCTCGAGGGCCATGATGCCGGCGTCCTGAACCATGGACGAATGCGCAGGGAGGGAAAGCGAGAGGGACTGAATCTGGTCGGGAGGAGCCATTTGGGTCAGCTCCCCAGGGCGAGGCAGGCCATACTCTTATCAACTTTCCTTGGGGCCCCAGCGGTGGTGACGACCGGGGTCTGAACCGCAATTTTGCATACAGCACCAGGTCGAAGCTCGGAGGCGGCCGGGTACCAACCAGTCACGGTGAAGGAGGATTGGAGACCTTTTGGTTGCCATTGAGAGGCGAGGTTGCATGCAGGCGGAACCAAGTCGGTGGAGGTGATGAGGTACAAAAAGCATGTATCACGCACGAATGGAAAGACTTGCTGGCCCAACTGGGAGGATCGATCTCGGGCCCACGAAGCCCGAAGGCCAGGTCGACTTGAAAAAACTTGGGCTCTGGGGTGGAGGTCAGCAGCAACCTGTTGGAAATCTGGAGAGTCTGGGGAGCCTTGCGGATGGGCGTGGCAAGGGCCATGCTGGGCCATGCTGGGCACGGGACCAGGTTGGTTCGTTCGATGGACGCATCAGAGGATCGAGTACAACTTGCGAAGGTGTCGTCCGGACTCCATACTGTCCCCTGACTTTCCGTACAGTCAGTCAGTCTGCTAATGGACGCGAGGCATAAACTGGCCAACGAGAAGCTCGGGAGAGGTCTGACCGAGGCTGACGTTCCACAAGCCCTTTCTCTCCTCGCTCTTTTCCTGTCCCCAGCCACCCGGTCCCTTCTGAGTCCTTACTCCCCATTGGGAATTGCTTGCCCAGTGAATGGGACGCCGTACGAGGCCTGCTTATGAGTAATCCTCGCCACTCGGTGCACAATCATCAGCAGCCTTTCTACCAACTCGACTGACTGACCGAGTATCGTACCATATTAACCTAGAGAAGAGTCACTGCCGGGGTCGAATCCTCTAGGGTCGGTAGATCTAGATCTCTGCCCGAGAGCCTGGGCGGGTGCTGCATGTCTCTGCACCCTGCCGCAGTTTTAAAATAGTGATAGCGATTCCTGTTGGTGGTCGCCAGGAGACTTGCCGGCTCTCGAATGTGAACGTGGCAACCCCTCCGTCCGCAAGAAAAGAACTGTCATACCGGGTGTACAAAATTCCCCGAATCCAGAGGAAGCGGAGCAGGAGAGACAGGAAGAAGCGGCAAGACAGCGCTCTCGTATCTCCATCATGCTGCCATTCTACCCCGCAGAATAGTCCCGTACTGGTCAAGACTGCCCCAAAACAAGGGGGGGCCCAGGATGCCCAAAAAATCCTTCCACCAGCGAGTGGCAGTCTCTGGTGCCCCCGTTGCTCCATCACGCCGAGCAACGCCACCGTGCCTCTTGGATCTTGGACCGCCTACTCTTGCTTCGTATAACTTTGTACGCTTTTCTGATGTTGCTCAGCTCAGCCTCTCCGCAGAGCTGCCGAGAGCTGCCGCCTGGATGAGAAGCTCGAGCTCGGACATGGCATTGGGCCCGTGCTGCGCTACCCGGTGCCGATGTTGCACTCGCAGTGCTGGGCGAAAGAAAGCTGCCTTGTCAACCCCTCCTTGGTCTTTCACGTTCGAATCAAGGCGTGGTTGGCCTGACGTGCATTAGCCGTCTCGTAGTTGACGGGATTGACGCCGCCATGCAAGCCTTCTGCCCGTTGTGTTTCTTCCGTGGCGGCCGTTTTGCCCCTAGACGATGCTAGGCCATATATCGTGCGTCTCGAACCTGGATCGGCATGTCACTGATTGAATCGAGGAGAGTCTCGACGACGCTCTGGCATTCTTGGCCGTCTGGGGGACGGAATCGACTCCAGCGAGACTGATCCTTGACACATTGCTCTCCCAGCTCGCGTGGGCGGCCACGGTCTCCCCGAGAACCCCGGATTCCGCACGGGGTCCCAGTGATTGATTGTCTCTGCATCTCGGGGTCTGACATGCCGAGCCGAAGATAGCTTCGAGAAAGTTGAACCACCAGAAAGTCAAAGCTTTCATCAGCGGCTCTTTAGAGCTTGTCGACAAGACCTGATCATTGCTCGAGAGCTCCATCCCAAAAAGAAGAAAAAGGAACTACCGAGCTCCTCTGCCTTCGACGACATCATACATTCCGGCTAAGCCCTTCACATTGCAATTCTACACCCGAGCTGATTGGATGTTGGCCACAATCAGAAGCAAGATGGGCGACACCACCAAGTCCTCTCATGAGACGTTCGTGGGCTCCATCGACCAGGGCACGACGAGCACCCGGTTTCTGATTTTCAGTCGCAATGGCGAGGTGATTGCCTCGCACCAGATGGAATTCAAGCAAATCTATCCGCATCCCGGGTAAGTCCCAAAGCCTTCGGCCCCCCTGTTGCCTCCGATAATGGGAAGCGATATGGTGTGATGTTTCTGATTCCGTTCCATATAGCTGGCATGAGCACGATCCACTCGAAATCATTTCGTCGGTGGAGCAGTGCATCGATGGTGCCGTCAAGGACCTGGAGACCCAGGGCCACGCAAGTGCGAATATCAAAGCCGTGGGGATCACAAACCAACGTGAGACAACTGTAAGGCAATCCTTCCCTCCCTCCCCCTCTCCTCCCCCCCTTTCTCGCTCAGTCGTCTACTCGTTTGTGAGCCAATCAATGCCATCTCTAACTCGCTTCCGCGCGGACGGAATCTAGGTCGTCTGGAACCACGAGACTGGCGAGCCATTGTACAATGCCATAGTGTGGACCGACACTCGTACACAGGCCCTCATCCGTAAACTCAAGCATCGATTGGGATCAGACCAACTTCAAGAGCTCTGCGGTCTTCCATTGTCGACGTATCCTTCTGTTGGGAAGTTACTGTGGCTTCTCGACAACGAGCCCAAGGTGAAAGAGGCCTACGACAAAGGCATCCTGGCCTTCGGCACCATTGACGCGTGGCTGGTCTACAAGCTTAACGGGGGGCCCAAGAAGAATGTGTTTGTATCTGACCCGACCAATGCCTCGCGAACCATGTTCATGAACCTGAAAACGTTGGATTACGACGAGTCACTCATTGATTTCTTCCGGCTGGACCAGAGCAAGATTCACTTCCCCAAGATTACACGGTCGTCAGATCCCGAGGCGTACGGGCGTCTAGAGTTGAGTGTGCTGAAAGGCACCCCCATTACTGGCTGTCTGGGCGATCAATCAGCCGCCCTGGTCGGCCAGAAGGGATTTACTCCCGGATTGGCCAAAAATACCTATGGCACGGGTTGCTTCCTCCTGTACAACGTCGGTGAAAAGCCGGTCTTCTCCACCCACGGGCTTCTCGGCACGGTTGCCTATGACTTTGGCGAGGGAAAGCGGATGTACGCGCTCGAGGGCAGTATCGCCGTGGCGGGATCCAGCGTCAAGTTCTTGGTGGACAATTTTGGATTTGTGGAGTCCTCCAGCAAGATCAGTCAATTGGCTGCCACGGTGGACGACAACGGTGGTTGCGTGTTCGTCACCGCATTCAGTGGATTGTTTGCTCCATACTGGATTGATGATGCGAGAGGAACCATCTGTAAGAGTCTCGGTCTCTGCGCGTCAGTTTTGATGCTGATTCTATCTCATCCAGACGGTATAACTGCCTACACTCAACGCGGACACATTGCGCGGGCCACGCTCGAGGCAACATGCTTCCAAACGAAAGCAATCCTCGATGCTATGGAGAAAGATTCGGGCGCCAAGCTTGCTGAGCTGGCCGTCGATGGCGGTATGAGCAACTCAGATTTGACCATGCAGGTATGTCGCAGGCTTGTAGACTCAACCTTTGAGGTCTGGATGGGAGCTGACCTTTATCAGACACAAGCAGACCTGATTCAGATCCCTGTGCGGCGGCCACAAATGCGGGAGACCACCGCTCTGGGAGCCGCTATTGCTGCCGGTCTGGCCGTCGGAGTGTGGGACAACATTGAGGAGTTGAAAGACATCAATGTCGAGGGTAGCACTGTGTTCAAACCACAGATGCACGAGGCCAAGAGTAAGGAGATGTTTGAGAGATGGGAAAAAGCAGTTCAGATGTCAAAAGGTTGGTCGTCTTAAAGAGAAGATGGATGGAACTAAGTCTTACCTTGCGGCTCGCCGAGCCGGAAAGCCGCCACACCAATGATGCTTAGAATTGACAGCATCACTTCCCACTGTCCTCACTTTCTAGCACATCATCGTGCTACATGTCTTTTTGAGCCCTTCCTATTGCCTCAAGAGCCCGGTCCCAACAAGACCGGCATCCGTTACAAAGATCTGGCCGCCGCCCTTTGACTGACCGACTCTTGGGACTTGGAGCTGACAGGATCGTTGCTGCAGCTCTGGGTATGATGCAGACGGCATCACGGCTAGCCAGTGGTTGATTGCCGTTGGGCACAAGCGGCGGCATCAAGATCTCGAAGTGCCAAAAGAGCATACCTCGGAGTTCTCTCAGGCGCCAGATCTGCCAAGCTCGGAGTTGTGTGCGAGACTTTTATCGTCATTACATCCGTGATACTCGTGTCGTAGCCACCGCGCTTGCCGGTTCTTTGTGCACTGCGTTACCGGCCGATTCCCTGCATTACATCGGTTTTCGCCGTATTTGAAGTGATTTTTCTGCCATGGAGTCGGCTATTCGGCACTGGTTGACCACTTGATTACCCCAAAAGCCCACCGCTTCAGCAGTCGCTCAACGAACTTTTGATGCAGCCACACTTTGGAGACGCAATTTGCATGCAACAATGTCTCTGCCTCCTGCTCTTGCCCGATTTCCCTTATCTTTGGCATATTCCTGGAAGAAATCCCAGCCGTTACCTCGTTTCCAAGACTCGGCAGCCAGGACCAATGCTCGCGAGACTACATATCCATCATGTCGAGTCAGAACATCTCGGAATACGAGAAGGACGTCATAGAGAACCGGTCCGACGGTGAAAAGAATCTCGAACATACTTCGTTCCCGGAACTCAAACAAGTCACCAGCAATGCGCTGAGCAGGATCACCTCGCGCCTCAGCGCTCGAGATATCGTCGATCCCGGGCCCCCTCCAGACGGGGGCTTCAAGGCATGGCTTCAAGTCGCCATGGGGTGGGTTGTCTGCTTCTGTACCTGGTATGTGGATGTCCGGATAGAGCCGGAACACCTTGCAGCCTTGCGTTGAACAAACCGCTCATGCCTGTCCCAGGGGATACATCAATTCGTTTGGCGTCTTTCAAACTTATTACACCGAGAAGTTGGGCGAATCTCAATCAACCATCTCTTGGGTGGGTTCCGTTCAGCTGTGGATTGTCTTCTTCGTGAGCACCTTCTCAGGTCGGGCACTCGACGCCGGGTTATTCATTCCGACCTTGCTTATTGGATCCATCGTCCAAGTCATCGGCATCTTTATGACGAGTCTGTGCAAGGAGTTCTGGCAGCTTGTGCTTGCCCAAGGCCTCTGCACAGGATTGGGAAGTGGGATATTTTTCTGTCCGACCATGGGCCTTGTAACGACGTATTTCAAGAAGAATCGAGGACTCGCTGTTGCCATTGTGTCGACCGGCAACTCGGTGGGTGGCGCCGTGTATCCCGTGCTTGTGCGCCAGCTTCTTCCGACGATCGGATATGCATGGACTATTCGCGTGCTGGGGTTTATGAATCTGGGATTGCTCTCGATGGCCCTGGCATTCATGCGTCCGAGATTGCCGCCTCGAAAATCCGGGCCGATTGTCGAGTGGAGGGCGTTCTATGAAGTGCCATATGTCTGTGTTCTCCTGGGCATGTCGCTCGTCTTCGGCGGGCTATTCTTCTCCTACTATTTCATTGGCTCTTTTGGTCGGGACGTCCTGAACATGAGCTATTCCAACTCACTGATCTTGCTCATCATCTTCAACGGGGCCGCTGTACCAGTTCGACTTGTCACGGGCTTCATTGCGGATCGGTTCATGGGTCCCCTGAATGCGATGGTCCCGCTCCTCTTCATCAACTCGCTTTTTGCATTTAGCTGGATTGCAGTAAATTCGCAAACCGGCATGTATGCGTTTGCAACGTTCTATGGGTTCTCAGCGGGCGCTTTTCAGTGTCTCTTTCCGACAACGGTGACGAGCTTGAACAACGACTTGAGTAAAAATGGTGTCAGAATGGGTATGGCGTTCTCGTTGTTCAGTTTTGCAGGACTCGCTGGACCTCCTATCGGAGGGGCATTGTTGACGACGAACGGGGGAGGACGAGGCGGATATCTGGTGGCACAGATATGCCTCGGTGTACTCACCGGGTTGGGTGCTTGTTTGATGTATGCCGCCCGCGTGTATAAAGTCGGTTGGAGTTGGAAGATAAAGTGTTAAGGCAGGGTCAAGAAGGGAGTGCAGAAAGAGATTAGGAGTCGGTCACGGTCCACAGTGGCCAACAGCTTCACCCATCTTATCCACCCTCGGTGCCACCCCCTTCAGCTCTGTATCACGGTGCTCGTGATAGTTTTGACATCTTGACTCTTACGGCGGGTGTTAAGCCGGCCTTACCAAAGTAGGCAGCCCTGCGCAACATTTCAACAGGTCCAGGGGCATGGCGATCGCGATGGACATGGCGTATGGCGTGGAGGATGGCAAGGTGATGGGTTGTCCTCTTATCCCTCTCACTCGACGGTTGCAGTATGATTTGCGGAGATTTGCAGTTGGCTAGAAGAAAGAGGGATCACCTTCGGCGGGAAACACACCAAGAAGGCGGAACAGCAGCACGGCCTACCGGGTAGTCAGTCAGTACCTCGTACTCGACATGCGCAAACAGAAGCCCTCAACGGCAGTGGGAGGAGAGTTCGACACGAACTTTGCTAGCTTGGAAGAGAGGGAGGTAAAAAAGACGGGTTGGGAGCACTTTAGACATGGTGTGGGTGTATGTTCTCTGTAGGATTGACTTTTGTTTGATTGCGGCATCTGAGGTGAGATGACGCGAGACCTTACAGGCCTCGTGTTCGGGAGCCAAGCTTTGTATCTTAATCCGTTTGAATAGAAGAAGCACCAGGGGGTACCGGGTAGTCAAAAGAATTTCCATTCATAGAGAAGAAGAAGAAAGAAGATGGCACCAATGGTAATTGCGAAGGTGAGGGTAGGTGAGGGTAGATGAGAGGATCACTCTTTCGTGGTGTGAAGTGGCCGCGTGGGCTTCGTCCGCTGTTTAGGCAACCACGCCTCCTCAGCCTCACCAGCCATATTGTCAATCTCTGGTCAAAAGCCAGGATGAGTATCACCAGACACAGGATTCCCTGAAGCAAACTTCTCTCCTCTCTGCAGTAGTGATAATGACAGTGCTGCCAGCTATTCACGAGGGCCAATTCAGGCTCTTGAAGATCATCAAAGCAGAGCCTTCGCTCGAATGCGAGGTCAGGGTCTGGGATCTGCCGTCACAGAACGAAGGCGGAGAATCCAGATCCCCTCAAGCGTCCTATTTTGCGCTCTCGTACGCGTGGGGTGCAGCAACCCCAACATGGTCAATCACCTTGAATGGGAAGCCCTTCGAAATCACAGAGAATCTAGGGGCCGCGCTTGTGGAGATATACCGCCGAGAAGAGATTCGCGGCGCCTGGCAATGGATCGATCAGATCTGTATCGACCAGGCTGACGATGATGAGAAGTCTAGGCAAGTCAACGCGATGCACATAGTTTATGCTTGTGCTCGGCGAACCTTGATCTGGCTCGGCCCAGCGGCCGACGACAGCAATCTCGCCATGGACAACATGCGAAAGCTGACCGAGGAAATGGGAAAGCCTCCGTACCCAACCAGTGAGACTGAGAAGGAAGTGATTCATCGCCGATTGGCACCTCGCAACCATCCAGTCTGGCGGGCCGTGGTCAGATTGTTCGGCCGCTCGTGGTTCGGCCGCGTGTGGATCTTACAAGAAGTCGTGCTCTGCAAGGGCGCCTACGTCCTGTGCGGCGATCGCACCTTGGTCTGGGAGGCATTGGTCGAGTTTGCGAACGCCATAGTTGCAATATGGCCGGCAGTCCTGATGAATGCAGGCCAAGATCCGACACAAGAGACCGTCAGCGGGTTTGACAGCTGCAGTCAGATTGATCGGTTCAGAAGAGATGCTGCTGCTCGCCGATTGTTTCCATTACTCACGACCACTCGCAATAGAGATACATCCGACGTCGTCGATCACCTCTACGGCATTGCCGCTATGCTCCCGGAGATCCAGAAGCCTTTTATTCGAGTGGACTATTCTCGATCCTACATCGAAGCCATCATTGCGTTTTGCAAAGGCTGTGTCGACAAAGACCCTGCGCTTTGGGTGCTCAGTATGGCAGCTTCGACGAGTCGGACACAAGGCCTCCCTTCCTGGTGTCCAGACCTCGCGCATAGGTTTTCTGACGGGACGCAGCTCGCGTCGTACCCAGCCTTTCAAGCAGGCTTCATCAACCGCAGCCAGCGTGCCAGCCCTATCCGTGTTCTTGCGCAACCACCGAATTCAATATCGGTACCCGGCTTCCGCCTCGACGCCGTATCACACGTGGTCCACACCGCGCCCAACGACGGTGACATGGAAACATGGGAGTCGGAATGTAAACAATTGTTTGAGTCAACACGGACTCACGGGGGCGGGAACGATGACGCAGAAAGGCTTGAAACGTATGCTCGAACATTGGCTGCGGGCCATTGGAATCCTACTGTCCCCATCGTGCCAGAACATAGGCTGTACAATGACCTACAAGGTGCACGGCGATTCTGGCAAGAGGTCGTTTCCAAAACTCCCTCCGACTTTAGCACGTACCACGTGTCCAAGGACGCCGTGCTTCGGTTCAACGTCGCCGTTCACCTCCACGACCAAAGAAAATTCTTCAGCACCCAAAACGGCAGGATCGGATTAGGTCCGAGCCAACTCAGGCCCAACGATATTGTCTGCGTATTCTATTCCGGAGCCTGTCTCTGGGTGCTCAGAGAAAGCGAGACCGGTGGTACATTTACCCTCGTAGGCGAGGCGTATATGCACGGCTTCATGGACTTGCCAACTACCTTGAAGGCCCATGCGGCGGAAAGGGGCGCCGATGCAGAGTTTGTGATTGTGTGACGCTTGATGTGATCGACTCGGGGTTCTCATTACAGTTTTCTATTTGGGTAGGCACATACGATGCCTCCAACGTTAGATTTTTTTGACGTTGACGAATACGGTCTGCTTAACGGTCGTCGTCTGGAGGACCATCGTTACTCTGAATCTCCGGAATTAGATAAGGCCCACGAAGTTGAGATAGCGAATGATATAACAAGTAGGTGCGTGAGTGGTTTATAGCTGCACGGCATGGGCGAGTCGCACTCACGTGAACTGTGAACAGTTTTTACTTCTCTTTAGATGCCTCGCTGCCAAGATCAGTTTTAACTGATCGATCAACTGTCGATCTACGGTCGCGCGTTAATCTCACAAGCTCTTCGCCATATCACTGAACGCTGCTAGGCTGCTCTTACTTCTGGTTGTGCTCTTCTCTCTGTGTCTCTCCGTGTCTCTGTGATCTTCATTCTTTCCCTCGGCGCATTGACTTTGTTCGTCTAGTTACATAGTCTCTCTTAGCACCGCCTATTTCTTAACCGTTGTACACGCATCATTCCCACACGTGGCCTCTGAATATCATGCAAGGTCGATTTCCCGTGGGCACATCGTCCCCATTGCCGTCCGTCTAAGTCATCTAGGTCCATCTACAGACACGCACACAAAGAGAGACCCGAGACAGAAAAGAAAGAAGCTATGTCAGTGGGATGGCCCAGGCTAGATCTGGCGGCTCAATGGAAGCTCTGTTTCCTCGTATCGGCTCTGAGAAAGAGCCTCGAGTATATGATGGCCTCCCGCTTCTCCGCGACGATGTTGCTGGGCCGAGAAGCTCATCTCGAAAAGCCCATCGAGGCCCCATCTTCGCCATCATGATACTAGCACCCTTGGCGACCGTCGTTGTCTTGTTGGGCTGGAGGTAAGCTTGTCAATTCCTCCAGACACTCCCCAATCTATAGACACAAACATGCTCATCCAGCACTAAAAGTGGGATCCTGGCAGGAAGTTCGACCCCTCCAGTGTCAGATGATTGCGACCCTGCCGCGTCGGGATTTCAATGTCAACCTGAATTTTCTCACTACTGGGGCCAATACTCGCCTTACTTTACTGTGCCCTCCGACATTTCAACAGACATCCCCAGTGGCTGCGAAGTGACATTCGTTCAGATCCTGTCCCGTCACGGGGCCCGAGACCCGACGGCCTCAAAGACCAAGACGTACAACGACACCATCAAGCAGGTCCAGGCCAAAGTCAAAAGTTTCACCGGTCCATATGCCTTCATTGCCAATTATTCGTACACCCTCGGCGCGGACCAGTTGACGACCTTCGGCCAGGAGGAGATGGTCAACTCGGGCACCAAGTTCTACAATCGATATCGGTCACTTGCAAAATCCCTCGAACCCTTCGTGCGTTCCTCGAGCGAGAACCGAGTGGTCGAGTCGGCCCTCAATTGGACCCAGGGCTTCCATGCAGCCAGACAAGCCGACAAATCCGCGGCCGTCGATTCAGGCTTCCCGTACCCGGTCATCCTGCAGTACGAGGGCGACGGTTTCAACAACACCCTGAACCACGCCATCTGCGCCGAATTTGAGAACGGCACCGACAGCGAAATCGCCGACGACGCCCAAGACGCCTGGGCGAAAATCTTCGTCCCGCCAATTCAAGCCCGCCTCAACGCTGGTCTGCCAGGCGCCAACCTCAGCATTGACCAGACAATCAACATGATGGATCTCTGCCCTTTCAACACCGTTGCCAACGATGATGGTACCATTTCACCATTCTGCTCCCTCTTCACCGAATCTGAATGGCACAGTTACGCCTACTACCAGACACTCGGCAAGTACTACGGCTTTTCTTACGGTAATCCTCTGGGCCCGACACAGGGGGTAGGATTCGTCAACGAGCTCATTGCACGGCTGACCAACACCTCTGTCCAAGATCACACGTCCACCAATCATACTCTGGACGAAAACCCAGCCACATTCCCACTTGGACGGAAGCTTTATGCCGATTTTAGCCACGACAACGATATGACGACCGTCTTCTCGGCAATGGGTCTTTACAGCGACACGTTACTACTGCCGAACACGACCATCGTGGAGGCTCGTGCGGCAGCCGGTTACAGCGCAGCGTGGACCGTTCCGTTTGCTGCCAGGGCGTATATTGAGAAGATGCAGTGTCGGGGGCACTCGGAGGAGTTGATTCGCGTGATTGTGAATGATCGTGTCCAGCCACTCTCCTCTTGCGGGGGCGATGACCTTGGTCGCTGCACGCTGGGCAAATTTCTCGGCAGTCTCGGATTTGCAAAGATGGGAGGCTTCTGGGATCAATGCTTCGGCTAACTACTCTATCGACCTCGTCTCTACATGGGTGACACCAGTCAACCGGAGACAGAGACAACCAATATCATTGACGGAAGCGAATCCAACGCTTGATTTTGATACCGCTAAGAATAAAGGAGTCGGTCTTCTCCCTCAACCTGCTCGATGAGTTTTCGCTTCTCGCCCGGGTTTGCAGGAGATAGTACGGGACAAGCGAGCTTTTGCCTTGACGGCCAATAACGAAAGTTATTGTCTCCTCCTACATTCTGGGGGTTAGGGATGGCAAGTGAATGGCTGTATGGCTGAGTGTTAGTTCCTCGCGGATCAGAATCGACCTCGTGTCCATTGTGTGGGCGTCCATCTAGTAGACGGTTGCGCATGAATACAGTTTTTCGAAGTCAAGTGGAAGCTTTTTTTGGGGGGGGGGGGGGGGGGGAGGGGGGCTTCCAGGCTGGGAGTCCGCTAGTCGGGTGATCAAGTTAGGTACCTATCTAGGTGGTTAGTGGTGCCAGGGGTGCTTACTTAACAGTCATTGTGTTGCCTAAAAAGCCCACCAGCCCTAACGGGAGCCTAAATGCTCTGCCTGTGTAATGCGGAATTGCAGCCACAGGCACGCCCATACAACTTGCTGCGACGAATTGCTTTCTCTGCCCAATCCCTGCCGCAATATCTTAGGCTATGACCGACTCGCACACCCTCAGCATAACTCCATCATAATACAAGATCCCCGGGCCGTGTCAGGCCGTATCCATACATGCAGCACCCACCTGTGGACCCAAACTTGACATCCTCCGAGCTCCAGCATAATGCCTGTTACTTTATTCCTCGCCTCGCCTTCGTTTCAGGTCCGTCTGAATCCTCCTTTCCTTCGAGACTTTGTGCGAAAAAAATAAACATGAGAGATCGGGAGAATAGATGAAAAAGAACGCTACCGAAGGCAGGCAAGGTGTGTAGGGAAGAACGTCCATTCGCTGGAATCGAAGAGATGGCGAGACATTGATATCTGATTGTACCTCAAGTGCTGTGTTCCGAGATTTGGCTGGGTCAGTAGATGCTGCTTCTTATGCGTGACCTCCTAGATCACCGACAGATCATGGAAGCGCAACGGATCTCTATCTCAACTTGGACTTTCCCTGTTCGTATCAATCAGGATGAGGCCTCACGGCAAGAAATAGTGCCCCCCGGGGGGCGGGGGGGGGGGGGGGGGGGGGGGGGGGGGGGGGGGGGGGGGGGGGGGGGGGGGGGGGGGGGGGGGGGGGGGGGGGGGGGGGGGGGGGGGGGGGGGGGGGGGGGGGGGGGGGGGAAGGGGGTGCTGAGTTCTAGGTGCCGAGGTGCCAATCTCGGTGCCAATCTCGGTGCCAATCAAAATATTACTGCGACTCTCGGGGCGGCCCGAGACGAGGCCACAGCCTGAAGCAAGCTTGAGCAAGTTACTAACTAGTTAGAAAGGGTTTGGATCGGCGAAAAGTCTTGATCAGCCAAAGTAACCTTCATTGATATTGAGACGTTGATATGTAGATGAGGAGAGGTTCCGAGAGTCAACCTATTGGAAAATGTACAGCACTGAACGGCAGTTTTATATACTCGTCTGAACGTGGCTTAGTGTCTGTCTGACCCTCGGCACCCTCTCGATAACGGCGTGTGGGTGATGTCCTCGCTTAACATGATGTCGACGTTGATGTCGACCTTTGATAAACGGGTCAACCTCGACTTACCCTGAACTGGCCGCCTCGAGTTATCAAACTATCGAGCTATCGAGGTTTCGTTGAGACGCTAGAGCCCAACTCAACGAGATCTAACCAAAATGTCTCCTGTCCGGACTCTCGAACATGCTGATGTGGACTACACCTATATCATCTGGTAAGTCTGTCTGATCTTTTCCGCCCGCCGCCAGTCCCCCCTCCTACACCACCTAACGCTTTGATTTTCCCCGTCCAGCGGAGGCGGCACCTCAGGGTGTGTGATTGCTGGTCGGCTGGCCGAGGCCTTTCCCAGACCCTCGGACGTCTCGATCCTGATCATCGAAGCTGGCCCGGACTCGACAGGCCACCCGCTCATTACCATGGTCGGCGGTCTCTTCCAAGCTATGGGCGGTGACCTCGACTGGGCCCTGGAGACAGTCCCGCAGCCAAACCTCGACAACCGCGTGCTGCAGCTCAACCGCGGCAAATTCCTGGGTGGCAGCAGCGGCTTCAATGGGACATTGTGCATCCGCGGGTGCAAGGCTGATTACGACGACTGGGAGCTCGAGGGCTGGAGTGGAGATGAAATGTTCCGGTACATGAAAAAGGCAGAGACGTTCCATGGCAAAGACTGGTTTAAAGCCGCAGAGGGATCCCATGGGACGGATGGGCCCTTGCACGTTGAACCGCATGATACGGCACCTATTTCCAAGCACGTTTTGGGGTCCTTACAGGACAAAGGCCTGCCACTGGTGGATGACCTGTTCACCACGGGCCAAGCAGCACATGCGTGTGGCCATGTTCCTCGAACGGTGCATGACGGCGTTAGAACGTTTAGTACCGACTACTTGAAAGGCCACGAGGACCGAGTGGATATCGTGGTGAACACTGTAGTCGACAAGATTGTCCTTGAGCGTGTCGGAGGGGATGTTGTGGCAACGGGCGTTGAGGTTATCGACAAGTCCGGGAAGCGGAGGATGTTGAAAGCTGGCAAGCAAGTCATATTGTCTGCAGGTAGGGATGTCAGTGCTTTGCGTTCGCTGGTTCTCTAATAGAGTCAACAGGCGCGTACTGCTCCCCCACCATCCTTCTTCGCTCTGGCGTCGGGCCGAAAGAGGAGCTTGCTCGGTTCGGCATCGACTGTGTGGTCGAGTCTGCCGGTGTAGGCCAAAACTTCCAAGACCACCTGGCAAGCCATGCTTTTCCGTGTTCAAACAGATCTTCTCTAACACTCTCAAGGTCGTCTTTGTCCCGTACGAAGTCACAAAGCCGAATCTCACCAACGACCGACACATCCACCACACCAATGGCGCCGCAAATTCGCTGTCCACGTACCAGACCTCTCGATCCGGCTTCTTTTCCACCTTCCCGTTCGGAGTCTTCGCCTTGGCGCGACTTGATGACGGCTTGAACTCGTCTGCCCTGTGGCGGGACCGTTCGGCCACCGCGTCTGGGACTGGACGAGACGCTGCCAACCTCACGCCCGAACAAGCTCACGTCGAATACATGCACACGGAGTTGTATTCGGGCCATGTCCACGGCTACCCGATCCCCTTGGAGGGGAAGCACGGCTTCGAGATGATGACACTGTTATTCAGCCAGCAAAGCAGGGGCACGGTATCCCTCCGCTCGACAGACCCGCACGACAAGCCCGTCATCGACCCCCGCTACTTGTCTGACCCGCTCGATCTTCTCATGCTGACCGAAGGCGTGCGCTTCGCACACTCGATAGTGACATCCGGCTCCGGCACCAAGGACATCGTCACCCCAGGCGTGTGGATGGCCGGTCCCAAGTACGCGGCTCTGGGCCCCGCCACGAGCAGGGAGGATTGGGAGCCGTATGTGCGGCAGTACAGCGTGACGGCGCACCACCCAGCCGGCACGTGCCGGATGGGGAAGGACGGCGATGCCACGGCGGTCGTGGATGAGAAGCTGCGAGTCAGAGGTGTCAAAGGGTTGATGGTGGCGGATTGCAGCATCATGCCGAGTCTGAACGGCGGACACACCCAGATGCCGGCGTACGCAATTGGTGAGAAGGCCGCAGAGTTGCTTATCGAGGCGTCTGAGACAAAGCTGTAGATCGACCGACCGCGCATGAGTTTAGACCGAGTATCCCTCATCACAGAAGTCCAGACGCGTTCACGAACCGATAAATAAGGAACCGACGGGCATTAGAGTTTTCCTGTCTATTGCCCAGTGATGGACGTCTCTATCCAGCCCTCTGTGAAAGACCAAGCGAAGATTATGTCGTGCTTTAATTTCTCACATAGCACAGTAGAGTCCTCCGCGTACGGGTCTACATACTTGCTTCATCTCCGTAGGGGATGCCGAGTTCTTGCTTCACCAGGGCGTTGTCAAATTGCGAGCCATGACGACCACGTTTGGCTGAGCGGAGAAGTATGCACGCCGCTGGCAGGCAGAAATCCAGCTTGTTGTATCGCAGGCAGCAGTCACACTGGTGGGTTGAAGGAGCAGTGAACAACGCAAGGCGAGTCAACAGCCCGCTGAGAGGACAGGCGTTGTGACAACTGCACAGCAGCACCATGAGTTCCAGGTATCGGAGTCACTCAGGCTGACATGCGTGTGGGATGGACCAGCTCTTCTCCAAAGCTTTGCACAAGGCATCAAAAGCAGTGATGAAAAGTAGGAAAATGTGTGCTTTCGCGTCACAAGGCGGCAGTGTGAAGGCCTCGGACACGGTGCAGAGACCCTCGGTGCAAGCACGAGAAGAGTCTCCTGCGGCGTGCAAAAATAAATTTAATCAAAGTCAGACACGCGTGGTGTCATTTCAGAGATTAAACTGAAAAGAACAGATACTACACTTGATCTAAGCCAGTTGGCAAAGAGAGCTGAGGAAAGGAAAAGGAAAAGAAAAGAGAAGATGAAGGGAGAGGGACGGGGGTTTAAATAGTCTGGGAGAGCAGGTGGCCGATGCCAAGGCTGGAGACTCTTTTTGGTTTTTTTCGACGTTAACGCTGCGCTAGGCCGTTTAATGGACCGCCAAGAGCCCCTCGTGCCACTGGTGCCTAGAAACGCCAAGAGTCAAGTGCCAAGCCAATCAATGACGCAATGGGAACGACGCACAGCATCACAGAGCCTTCACACTGCTGAAGGCGCAGGGGGACTGACTGTATCTGGCCGAGGACTGGTGGTCAATCGTGCTGCACTCAAGCACTCGACACCAAGTCGAGCTCTACACACTGTAATGTAGATGATGTCCTCGTTGACGGTAAGGTCGGCCCGATCCTTCTCTCCCTTGCGGTGACTCTCATACTATCAACGCGCAAAGAATGCCATGCTTGCCATAACTTAGAGTCGCCATCATGAGCCCTTTACCACCCAAATTGCCCTCCGCCCTGGTGAACAACATCACCTCGCACACAGGTCCCATCAACGCCATCACATTCTCCTCCCTCGGCGGTAACTACATCCTCACCGGCAGCTCAGACCGCCAAGTCCACCTGACTCGCACTGAGCCGTCCAATGCTGAGAACCCTTCCTCCGTACCGATTCAGAAGTACTCTGCCCACGGCTATCCCATTCTCGACATCGCTTGCGCACAGGACAACCAGACCTTTGCATCCGTCGGCGGCGACCGCGCCGTGTTTCTCTGGGACGTCCAGGCCGCGGAGGGCACGCTGAGGAGATTCGGGAACAATACAACCCAGGGACATACCAGTCGGATCACATGTGTGGCATTCGCGGGCGACGGGGACGGCGTGCTAGCGAGCGGGAGTGATGATACGAGCGTGAGGCTGTGGGATGTCAAGAGCCGGGATGCGCGGCCACTCATGGTTCTCGAAGAGGCAAAAGACGGGATCTCGAGTCTTGGGGTGCCCGAGAACGGATACGAGCTGGTCACAGGGAGTATAGACGGCAGAGTACGGGGGTACGATGTCCGCACGGGCAAAGTGACCGTGGATGTGATGCCGGGAAGCGTGACCAGTCTGGACGTCTCGAGAGACGCAAAAACAGTGCTTGTGGGGTGTCTGGACGGAAGGATTCGATTGATGGATCGAGGCGACGGAACGTGTCTGAGGGCCTTTCCTCCCGAAGACGCCAGAGGAGAAGGATACAAGAACGAGAGCCTGAGGCTGAAGAGTTGTCTCGGAGCGAACGACGGCTTGGTGCTGAGTGGGAGCGAGAGCGATGGCAACGTGCGCGCTTGGGATGTCCTCTCCGGAAAGAGCGTTGGGAGGGTCCGAGTTAGTGAAACTGACAGAGTGGTCAGTGTCGTCAAGTGGAGAGAAGGGAGCCAGGCCCAAGCGCGACAGAGTCTCTGGGCGGGCGGAGGCGTAGATGGCGTGGTCAAGATATACGGAGATGGGTGACTGCTGTGGACATACAGTGTACATACATCCATGGTACCACAGGCATGTATATCAGTAGGCATCAAGATGAATGCGTTTATTTTTGTTCCCCATTTTTCTTTTTGTCTCGAGACTTTTTGGCCCACCAACATCGTCGTCAAGATCATCCCGACCATCAATATCGTCAATATCGTCAATACCGGCGAGATCAGCGATAGACAGAGAGTGTGCGAGAAGACGACATTTCCCTCTTTATCAAAGAGCCCAATTGCCACTTACTCACCCAGTGATACGAGCAATCCATCCATCCTCATGTCTGGATTTCCCGCTCCATGGTCGTTGAGTTCCTTTCCTTTCTCCCTCCTGGTTCCTGAAAGTCTCTCCTTGTATGCGGAGTGTTGATAATGCAGACAACGCCGTCGCCGTGGCGATCGATGCAAGAATGCAAACCCGTGGTTTTTTTTTTCCCTCCCCCTTGTCACTCTCTTTTCCTTCTTGCCTCCATGCTGGCTCTTACCGTTATCTTTTGTCCGAATTTCCGCTGCGAGCCCTGATTATGGTCCAGCTCACCCGGCGGTAATGGCAACAAGTTATCCTGCTACCACCCACAGCCGCACTCACTCTCGCACTTGCTCTCAAGATCCGCCCGCATCCCCGACCCTCTTCATCCCGTACTCGAGCGCCTCAAGCGCCTTCTCGAGCTGCGCGGCGCGGACAATAACGGTGCCCGTGCGCGCGGTGCTCAGGAAGGAGATCTCGACGGGTTCGGGTTCGGCGATGTTCTCGCGCGCCTCAACCGTCGTCGTCGTACTGGGCACTTTCGTCGGGCCATGGCCCAAACCGAAGACCTCATCAGATTCAGATTCCATGGGGACAAGATCGGTGCTGCCTTGTGCCAGGCGGCCGGCCACGCCGCACACGATCCCCGTGGCGTCGAGCGGCAGCTCGCGCAGGTCCAGCGTGATGGGGATGAGGGCGTCGTCGTCGGATTTGGCGCCCAGCAGGGACCCGCCTAGGCGGTCGAGCAGGCGGTGCTCCAGGAGCACCGAGATGGGTTCCCCGGAGGTGATGGTCAGAGAGAGGAATTTCGCCCCAAAGTCCAACTCGGACGTCACTGTCGCCGGTGGTGGCAGTGGTGGCCCTTTTGGCGTTGGTGTGCCCATGCCGAGCCCACCTGGTAATGTCGTGGCCTGCGGTCTCGAGGAGGGACTGCTCGTCGGCGCTGCCGTGGCGAGCAGGACCTGAAGGAGGTCGTTCTTGAGTCGCTCTTCACTGGCCTTGTCATACTCGCGGCTGCCCGCGCAATTTGCCAGACGGATACTACCGTCAACGAGAGGGTTGATGTTGTTCAGCCTGAGCTTCTTGAATGTCCGGAGCTGGAGCTCAGGGATGTCCTTGGCCGGCGGGGTAGTCGGCGCAGAGTTGTCGTAGAAGGGTGAAGATGTCGCGGATGGCCGCCCACTACTACTGCCTTGGGGCAGAGTGGGAGACGATGGTGAAAGCTGCGACACGAATGCGTCGGCCGTCTTGGAGAAGACGAAACCGCGCTGCTGAAGAGCCCTGGTGACGGTCCCTCGCGACCGGAATGGAACAAGAATGTAGTCCGAAAAATATGTCGTAATGAAGAAGATGCTTCTGGAGATCATGGAGTCAGATCTTGGTTCAACACGGGATCGACAGGGAGCCTTACATGCCAGCCATAGCTAATGGCGATGTCAATTCCAAAACTCTCTGGCCAGCATCGAGGCCCTGTCCATCGACTTGAATGACTATATAGTCTTCGGTCCCGATCTGGATTTCCCCTTTTGTCTTCCCTCCTCCCCTTTTGTTGCTGCTGCTGCTGCTGTTGTTGTTGTTGTTGTTGTTGTTGTTGCTGGCGTAGAGTCTGTTCAAGCCCTCGGCAACCGGGCGGACGAACCGGTCCGCCAGGTATCTCGAACATATGATAGAGCATTCGATGGTGGTGATGGAGACATTGAGGAAGTCGTGGCGGTTTGTCCAAGAGATCTTGGCGGCATCCTCGTCGTGATCTTCCCCGAACAGGAGACGCAGAATCGGCTGAAGGGACAACGAGTATAGTTCAATGGGGATGTGGATCAGAGCGAGATGTGCTTCCTGTGGAGGAGGTTAGGGGGTGGAAAACGTCAGAACATGATGATGATGCTTCAAGTATGTATCAAACTAAGGAAGGAAGGGGGAAGAAAATCCTGACGTGACTGGCTGGATCTATATATAAACATATATCTAATAGAATTAGAACAACAAAAGCCGGGGAAGACTACTCACTAGGAATGATATCTGAGCTGAGATGAGGTTTATCGAGTCCGTCATGTTGTCTGCCGCTGTCTTGACTCCAGCAGCGCGTGACTTTTCATTTAAAAAGGAAAGGGAGAATGATGCTACAGGTCGTGGTATCCAGGCTCGAGCGTCAACAGCCTGACGCTGGCTCAGGCTGGTTGACTGGAGTGTGTCGTCCTCCTGTCTGGGCCAGTGGAACCTCTAGCTAAGTGGCGGAGCCTTCTTCCGGAGGCTTTCTCAGGATTCAATATCCCTTCTTGGGCTTGGGTAAGGACAAAAACGAGAGTCAACTCGTGTGCTGGTCCGGGGTCGTCTTGGCTAGAGCCGGTCGAGAGGATGGGGCTTCACTTGACAACCGATGAGGGTTGATAGAAAGTAGGACGTAATATCTCCTCCATTCTGGCTCGTCTGCGAAAAGAATGTTTGAGGGTTGGACGAAAAGGCCCGATGGAAAGAACGACAGGAAAGGGAAAAAGAGATATCCACAGAGTCAGATGATGAGAGAAATAGAAGCGCCTGTCACTACGAGGAAGCGTGATCCTGGCCCGAACCACTGCATCAACCTGATTGGTAAGTGCTTGTTGCGGAGCCAGTGCTGGCCTATGTCTCAGCAGATAACAAATGTGGGAGAAAAGGCGGGTGTGTTCAATGTCAATCGGTTTGGGGATCTGTATCATGGCTTTCTGTGAGTCCTTTCGAGCTGATAGTAATGTCACACAGCGTGGTTCGTGCGGTGGGATCGCTTCTCCGCGCCCCAATGAAGCAGGAAGAGTGAAGTCCAATTGCAGTCGGTCACAACGTGAATCGAATAGGTTCAACCGGGTTTATCGATGTTGAATCTTGGTCATGTGTTTTATCTCGATCAAGAAGGCAGTAAAAGCCGTTCAATCAAGGGTTTGGCTGGACCAGAGCAGCATTCCCACGAAGATTGAGATTGTGGGGATGGTGGCATCGACTTGCCGTTCGAAACATGACCTGGCAGGTAGAACAACGTGTCTGACGGTGATGCTCGATAGCGTGGGGGTTGCAAGGCACGGGTTGAGGGGTTTGACGAGCAGATCTGACGTGGTTCCAGAGCCTGGCGTGGAGAAGCAGTCAGGAACGCCAAAGGCTGTGTCGAATCAGCTGAACAGGAGCCCGGAAGAGAGGGGATGCGCAATGTCTTGGGAACGGGGGATATGCAGCCCGAGTCGAAAAGCCCGGGTGAGGGTGAACCTTTGGCGAGGGAAGTGTAACACGCATTTGGGCAGATGGCGGGGCCTTTCCAGGGCCCTTCCAGTGCGTGGAGGCTGCAAAAGGGAACCTGTGCTCCCGAGTTAGTAAGGCGAATGGGGCTTCGGATGACGTGCATCTTCTATTGCGCAAGCGCCGGACTCTAGCAATCATCCATGGGGGAAACGAGAGGCTGGCAGACAGATGGACAAAGAGGTAACGCAGAGCCGGGAGAATTTGTGATCGAGGAAAATTGGATGAAATCGATGTCGGTGTCATCGTCCAGAAAACTCGCATCTATGGCGTTTCTTCGGGCGTGCCGCGCTTCTCATGGCGATCGTTTCCGCGACCTCGTATTCTGGACGCATTTCCAATCGAGCATGTGGCAGTTGTTTGATTGACTGCAGGAGTGCCGGATGCTCGAACTGCGGGGCCCTGCATTGCATAACGAGCTTGCAAGGATTGCTAGCCTTGCTCGAAACACCCAAGCGTCCAGGACTCCATCCGGTCCACCGCATTCAACTGGAGCGATAACAACGGCATCCTCCGTGTGACCGAAACCCTTTACTCACTAATATCTCTCGCAGACCATGTCGGGTCACCACATGCTCTTGGGAAGAAAACACACATCTGCCCAAGACCGAGAGACCTTCGCTAATCATACAGGTTTGCGGGCCGGTACGCGTTATCAACTCAGGATCCTCCCCGTGGTGTGGCACCTCGTCCGCCTCGGGACGTACCTCCTCGTCCTCGACCACGACCTCGTGGGGTTGAAGGATGATTCAAGCTGGGAGGTGGAGGAACATTGTTCTGCGATTTGGGCCGGAAATTAGGATTGTTCTGGACCACGCCAGCTTGAGCATCACCTCGATCAACGATGGTGTATCCTCCTCGAGCACTTATCTGGCCCATCGATGCGCGACTGCCTCTACCATACTGACCATTTGTCGCATTGCCACGATTACCGTTGGCAGGAGAGCCCGACATGTTCCGGATTGGCATTGAGGTCCCAGTCATTTGGTCACGACCCAACGTCCCGTTCGACTGTCCACGCCTACTGGATTGATGTCCAGATACAGCTCCACGCCATGTTCCTCTCAACGCTGGTGGCGTTGCGGCTGGGCGTAATTGACCGGAGCCGCCGATGCCGGGTTGGCCATAACCCGGAACTGTCAGAGGAGAATGCGCCGTGCCATTGGTTTGTCGGTTTGCGCTTGCTTTCGACGAAGCAAGTACTTGTCGATTGCTGAGATTCAAAACAGACCATGTCGGCACGGTCGATCCTCGGAATGGTGAGCAGCGATCTCCCAACGACGTCCCACTCATAAAGGAGACATCGAAGACAACATCCAGCCAGGTTTCCCTTGTGGTTTGGGTCAGACCAACAACAGTGCCTTTGGAGGCAATCGGGACTTTGCCCGAGTCGGCCACATAAATCGCCCTATCCCCCAGACCGAACTTTTGATTTCCTAGACGCCATTGCGCATCCGAGGGCTTCAAAAGGCCATTACGAGGGACGCCCCCGATGGTCTTGTTGTGCGGGGGTGGCTCAGAGCGAAGCGCTTCGTCGGCAGCTTGCTCGATGCGTTTAACAATCTCCGAGTCCAGCTGCTCGGCTTCGAGGGGTACTCTTTCAAAGCTCTTTGATTCGATCTCCTTCAACCATGCCTGGATCTCTTTGACTTTTGTCTTGGCCTGTTTTTCATCGCCAGGAAAGTATGCTGTCGCGGGTAGCATGTCACCTTGCGGATTATTGTGAATGCCGGCAATGAACTGCGGAAATTTGATCATGTATTGCTGGATCAGTTCGATAGCTGCGCGGCTGAATTCCCATCCGCTCGGCCCTTTGCGCGAATAGCCCAGGACTTTGAGCTTTTTCGCTTCAAACTTGAGATTGAGACCTAGGTTCACCCTGGTATCGTCCACTATGATGGAAAAGGATGAGGTGATCTTTGCCAATGCCAAAGGGTTCAGGTTAAGGCTCTGGGCAACCTGGTACGAAGGCGTATATGGTGACAGTCTCTCTGCTTGACGGGCGATTTCGCGCCCAAATTCCACCTGGCGTGCTTTCGAGAGTGCTATTAAGCATTTCGCCTTTCCATTCTCATGGCCAATTACACTGACAGGGCGTCCATATGCGTAATCGCCCAGGAAGAAGGCGTTGGTACCGTCTGGAAACTCCTCTTCAATAGGTAGAGCTGCTTGCTCAATGAAACGGACGTCTTCACTGACCACATTCTCAACTATGAGTTGTGTTGCGTGGATGGTTTCCAAGCCTGGAAGTTCGGCAAATTCCTTGACTGTCGATCCATCGTCGAGTTTCTTGAGACCCTTCAGCATCTCAACATGAACCAGAGACTCAACCTCGCCGATCAACATTCCGAGCCTCTTGCTGTAAAATTTCTCAATCCGATCTGCCTTCTTGCGGAACTGGTCGATTTCATTTCCAGAATGCTCAATCGCCTTGATATTGTGAGGCACATTTTCCCCGTTGTCCGCTAAGATGTAGTCGAAAAGTTCGTCTGAAACCTTGACTATCTTCGCTTCCTGCAAGAACGGATATCCGACATACACTCTCTCGTTCAGAAGCACTTTGGCGTACTCCACTTTGGTTCGCGTTTCGGTGTCCGACAAGGTGATAATCATGCTTTCATTTCGACTGTCTTGCTGGAAGACGTTTACACCATGGAATCCCAACGAGCCGGTAAAAGGCAAGGTCTTCAAGCTCGGGAAGCCAGCCAAAGCTGCAACTCCAAGTTTGACGCCGTCCACCAGACCCACATACGGCTCCAAGCCGTCCATGGTCGGAAGCTCAAATTCATTTTGAATGCAATGACAATGCGGTAAGTCTGGAAAGATACCGACAAGCGAAGACGGATATGTGTAGTCGACCTCTGTAGAATAGGTGAATTTCAAGCTGACCCCAAAATCGTTGCGAAGGCGTTCATCTTCGGTAAGCAAAGCATTCTTAGGAGCCATAGCATCAAGCAGTCGCCGTTCGTCAATGAACGGAATCTTAACGACAGCTTCCCATTCCTGTTTCTTGCCATTCATGTCAAGCGCGAAATCTCGTGGATAGAAGTCGATAATGGGTGATTCTTTCGATGTCATCAGGTCATGGTAAACTGTTGGGACAATCTTCTTGCTTCGATCCGGGAGGACACCCATCAACTGCTGAAATGGCCGAAACGGTTGACCGAGTTGGAAGTTCATGTCCGCACCAAGGCCTCTCTTGACGTCCGAAATCATTGGGGCGTAATGATACTGATAAAACCAAGGCCACGAAGCAACGCCACGATAGTAATAAAAGAGGACCCATTGTAGACCCTGCACGTAATTTTCCGACAATTTTCTCAGACCCTCCTCGTTCTCCAGGCCCCAGCCAAACTTTTCCTTGTAGTATTGATCTTTCCATTCGCGGAACTTTTGGTCGTACTTCTTCTGCATGTCCTGTTGAGCTTGTTCATCTGTGCTCTCTTCAACCTTTGCATTCTCGTATCGTTTTAAGACCCGCATTACAGCCAATTCGGACTCTTCATCATCCTCATCCGATTCCGCCTGCTCTCCCTTGACGGGGAATTCTAACTGGAGGAAGCGGTTGCCATCCTCATCTTCCTTTGTAGACCACTGCAGGTTCAAGTCAGTCGCAAGTTGTTGCACAAATTTGCGGTCGCGTGCTGGAAGAGTAGAAGGCAGGCATAGTGGCTGCCTTGTCAGGGGGTCTTTGTTGACAGGTGACACAAAATACTTCTTCACCTCTTTGAAGAGCTGCTTTTGTTCAGGAGAGACTCTGACAGGGCCGCGGGAAGTCGTCAGTGGCTCGTCTGCGCTTTGGCCATTTCGCTTCGCGTCGATCCATTTGGCTCCAGCATATTCCGCCTGAAAGAAACGATCCTCCACCTCGGCCAGCTCGTTCAGAAGGACCTCCAGTCGTTGGAGATTGATCACACCATGCTCGTTGATGTATCCCCCTAAACGTGGGAGAATTTGCTTGTATTTTTGGAACATGAGCGCCAACGCGCCTTCGTTGATATGCAGATTGGGGAGGTTAGGTAAGAAATCGTTTCCAACAAAGAAAGCCATTAAGATGAAGTCGTCAATGATTCGTTCCATATCATAATCAAACTCAAGGGCGCCCTTTTGCTTCAAATCTTGGAATTCCAGCTCCAAGTATTCTCTTACGATGCACAGATGCATGAGGTAGAAGTTCTGGTGCTCCAATTCTTTGGATTTCTTCTGTGACTGTCTCCCAAAGGTAACCTCCTCTCGAAGCAAGCAGAAATGAGGGTCGTGGCTGAGCAGACCCAACATGATCAAATCGGCATCCAATCCGTACAGACAGTGGCGCACATTGGGGTCGTAACCAGGCTGCGCTTTGGCTTGTCGAATGTATTCCATAATCTTGTGTTCTCCTTCGCCCGGGACTTCGTGACCAGAGAGCACGACCTCAACGCCTTGCCAATCGACGTCTTCGGAGACCTTCTTGCTGATGAAATATTTGAGCTGCTTGGTAAGCCTTGCCATGAATTCCGTACCCGGGGTAATACAATTGCTGTCAAACGGATCTTCCTTGGGCAATTCCACCCCTTCTTTGATGGCTTTCTCACGAGCCCTCTCCGCGTCCAGGGCGGTGCGAAAGCGGCGTGAGCGCTGCTGGTTCATCTTGGCGCGGGGTGCCACTCCATCGACCGCCATGAAAAACAGCTTTTTAGGTTTAATCTTGCCGAAAAGGTGCTCTATGTAGTTGAAAATGGCAATGAACATCTTGTCCTCGGTCATCCGGAAAGAGGGAGAGTCGGAGTCCTTGTGTGTGCAGTTGTGAATGATACCGTTCATGTCAAGATAAAGACAGTCGAACTCGGGAATGCGATTCTCGGCGATCAGCTGCGATATTGCAGGATATCGCTCGCTGAGCCATCGGAAGAATTTGGGAACACCCATGGTGGCGGTGGGCGCAGAACCAAACAAGGTTTGTCGATGTCGGCGAAAAAGAGAGCGAGTATGTCAAGCGGCCACTTCTTTGATATTACATGCAGGAAGCGCTCGTCGTAGATGTGCAGGAAAGGCGACAGATGTCCCGCAGAGATGAACTGTACTCGGTATTTGAGGATGAATGATGTTTATGCGGAATTGATGATGAGTCGAGGCGGGCTTGGATGTCGAAGACCTGGCGGCAACAAGATCGGTCCGGCGTTTTTTGATGTCTTGGCGTGTTAGCCCTCTTTTGGACTAGTGAGCGGTCACTTAACGCGTCTAGTCAAAGTGCGGTCCTGAGGGCCTGGAATGGGCGCGTCTTTTAAATCCATAGCTTTCAACAGCACTGAAGCGCATTCATTGACTTGTATCCGTCGCACCCGCCTGCTCGGTCTCCTTACGTTTGGATCATCTCTCTCCCCGTATCCGAGTCGCTCGTGCCTTCTTCCGGAACAGCCAAAATGGCAGATGACGACGATAATAGTAAGGCGCTCTTGTTGCGGGCACATGTTCAAGTGCTAACCAACCCCGAAACTACAGTGAGCGACCAAGAGTTGAACAAGGAAGACGCAGAGACTGAGCAGAAAATCATCAATGAAGAATACAAGACGTGGAAGAAGAACGCTCCTTTTCTATATGACATGATCCTCAGTACGGCCTTGGACTGGCCTACTCTTACAACGCAATGGTTTCCAGACGTCGCGGCGTAAGTAAGCCGCTACCCTTGTCCACTATCGTCAGTTAGCTAAGGTGCCCAGGGTACCTGACACCAACTACTCGAAACACCGTCTGTTGATCGGCACACATACGGCTGAAGGTCAACCGAACTTCCTAGAAGTTGCCAGTGTCCAATTACCCAATCCTAAGAAAGCAGACGTGAAAGACTACAATGAAGAGACTGGAGAAATCGGTGGCTATGGTGGAGGTCCATCGAGGCAAAACCAAGTTGAAGTCAAATTCCATATCAACCAGAAAATTTACCATCCCGGCGAGGTCAATAAGGCCCGATACCAACCACAGAATCCGAATATCATCGCGACCATGTGCACCAGTGGACGGGTCATGATTTGGGACCGGTCGAAATATTCCAGCGCGTCATTATCAAAAGTTCCCCCCACGATAGAGCTTAGTGGGCACACCAAGGAGGGCTATGGCCTCAGTTGGGATCCTCATCAGTTGGGTCGGTTGGCAACGGCTAGCGAAGACTACACAGTCCGGCTGTGGGACATCACGCAGGCATCGAAGACAAATTCACTGCTCAACGAGTCTCGCAGATACACCCACCATTCCGGGATCGTGAACGACGTCCAGTTCCACCCGATTCTTCCACATCTGGTGGGGACTGTATCAGACGATCTAACCATGCAACTTCTGGATCTGAGAGAGGCTGACACTACGCGAGCTGCCGCTACGGGCGAGAATCAGCATAGGGATGCGATTAATGCCATTGCGTTCAATCTTTCAGTGGAGACCGTGGTGGCAACTGGAAGTGCCGACAAGACCATCGCCATCTGGGACCTGCGGAATCTCAATGACAAGTTGCATGTTCTCGAAGGGCACAATGACAGTGTGACGACATTAGAGTGGCATCCGTTTGAAGAATCAGTGCTCGGATCAAGCAGTTACGATCGAAGAATCATATTTTGGGATTTGGCCAAGGTCGGAGAAGAGCAGACGCCCGAAGACAGCGAAGACGGGCCCCCGGAGCTTCTTTTCATGCACGGAGGACATACCAACCGGATCAGCGATTTTTCGTGGAACAAGAACATCCCCTGGACAGTCTGTAGCGCTGCGGATGACAACCTGATCCAGGTGTGGAAAGTTGCAGAGGCCATTGTTGGTCCTGACGATGAAGATGTACCAATGAATGAGCTGGAAGGCTGAGCGAATCAAGTACAAGGTGATGAGGACATCTGAACTTTTGCTCGCTAGGCGGGGGCGAAAGTCGATATGGATAAAACGGGTGGTTTGGAGCAAACCTGGAGGAGTTCCGGTGTGCCATAATACCATCATTGCCTTGAAGTCGGGTTGACGCCAACGCAGTATGTGGCCTTGCATTATTGGAATGATCGGGGCGTGAGTGGCCTTTGCTGGGTCACCCCCGAGGGACTCAGCACCACGAGAAGTGATTCGAATAGCAAAAGAACGGAAAATGAAATGCTCAGTCGATTTCTCGCTGCATCGTATACGCATCTGGAACGTATACGGAGGGATGATGGCCCACGAACATGTGTAGTCACCGCTCGCCTGATAGCCCGCTGAGATGGGGCTAGCAGACTTCAATTTGTGGCTGCGCAGGCGGCATTGTCCGTGTAGGGCGTATTCCTCTTGAGTACTGGGTACTGGGTACCGAGTACCTGGCTCGCTGGAGGGCTACTTGGTAGATGTACCCAGTACTTGGTATACTTGTGACTTGCAGGCTGCTCTAGTTAAGGCTAAGCCACAGTGGGCACCTGTGACACCTGTCCGACACCCCTTCTTACTGGTTCCCTTGGTCCCTAGGCCCCCTTTCAAACTCCCGAGAACCCTGCCACACTCGGTGCCAGGCCTAACGTCATAGCTGAACGTTCCCCCCTGACACCCCTTTGCCGTGGAGCCGTGTCCCGTGGCAGTACCATCGCTTTCGCGAATCGCTCACCCTCAATGTAACGACCTCTGGGACGACCATCAAACCCCAGGCATCAACCATTTTCATTTCTCCTCCTCCCTACATCCCATCGTCTTCGACGGGGGTGGAGGATGTTGCTGGCATTGGCAGACCCTTATCTGAAATTTGAATGCTTATTTAGATATCTCTTTTGCTGCCACTAGGGAGATCCTGCCCTCTCTTGTCATCTGTCTGGATCTCTCCATGCCCGCTGAATTACATCAACCATGGTTGGCATCCCCAGGAGTAAAGGTTGTCGCATATGCGTCAAACGGAGAGTCAGATGTGACTTGACACGCCCGACCTGCAATAATTGCGCCAGAGGCAATCGTCCTTGCCCAGGATACGATTCGGATCTGAGAATATACGATGAAGGCTCCAAACTCCGAAAGCGATTTGGCCAAAGTGGTGCTTCCGAAGCGAGGACCGGATCCGAGAGCGCGTCGCCCTCTGCAAGCCTTAACAGTCAATCAACAGAGTCGTCACCTGAAGAATCCATAGAGCTAGTCACGCGGTTCAACACTCCCGACCTTGACGTGCGTCGTTATAGAGCCGACCAAATGCTACCGGCTCGAAATCCTTTTTGGGGCATGCTCGAGAACCAGATATATCCCGATGCCGACCTCTTGGGTTCGTCAATGCCAACATCTGGATGGGGTGGGCTTCTCAATCACGACTCGATCAACCTGGACATCCCTTTTGAAATGACACTCAATGACACCGTCTACTCCCCCCAGCTGGTTCAAGAACAACTTCTCGGCACATTTTCCTCCTCATTAGGCGGTCATGGCCCACTGCTGCTTCCTCGTCAGATGCGGAGTCACCAGAATTGGCTGTCGCAACTGCCTGCTCTGTTCGGTTCCAATCTCCTCGACACCTCGATTCGAGCAGTCTCTTTGGTCCATCTAGGTCGAATGCAGCAGTCGGAAATGTTAGTGCAAGAGTCACGACAATACTATGGCAAAGCGCTGCGCCTTCTCAATCAGTCGCTGACCGATGACGTGAAGGGCATGTCGACCGAGACGCTCTCCGCCACGATTCTGTTGTCATTTTATGAGATGTTTGCCTCCGACTCGAATCAATCCTGGGTGCGACATGCCGGTGGTGCAGGGACACTGATGCGCATTCGTGGACCTGCTCGCCATCTATCTGGATTGGATCGAGACGTCTATCTTGCTTACCGCCATACCATCGTCATCGATGCCTTCATGAAAGATGAAGCCTGCTTCCTAGCCGAACCCCAATGGATAGAAATGTCGAAAAAGATTCACGAAGATCTGCGAGCATCTGGCATTCCCGACGAACGGATGGAAATTTTCGACCTGGCCGAAGAGTTCTATTTGGAGCATGTCTTCATCCCAACGACTTTACAAGATACCAGGAATTTGGGCAAGGCTCGGCGAAACTTGCCACCTGACCAATACGCCGCTCATGTGGAAGCCCTTCTCGCGCGGACACGATTGCATAGAGCCAACCTCAAGTCTATCAATCTGAGATTCCGAGCTGTACTGAAAAAACAAGGGCTCGAGACCTCAACCATGGACACCATGGATCTCGTCTTTCCCAAACAATACGTTTTCGTCAACGTCTTTGTCGCGTCGACCCACGTGGGCTATTGGACAATTATGGTCATCCTTAACCTCATTTTGAGGGACATTGAGAAGGACTTCGCCCCCGAGAAACATGAACTATATCTCATGGAGAATCGGGAAATCGCAAGAGAGATATGTCGGACTACGCCATTCATGCTGACCTCATCCTTCCTGGGACCATTTTTCATCATCTTTGCCCTTAGGCTTTGCTTGTTGGTCTTTGAGCCGGGACAAGAGCGGGATTGGGTATTGCGAAAACTCATCCGAATCGGTGACACCCATATGAGGATGGCCTCGGACATCCCGCGCTTTGAGCCCGAAGGAAGCCTTTATGATTAGCGTGCAGTCTATGCGGTCATGGTTTTCGTTCAATTCTAGAAGTCAATCGAATACTCGGTACTGCACTTCGGGGCGATCCCGATCCAGTCGAACAGGTTCGGCCTAAAACGGGTATGACATGGCTCTTGGAGCCTTTTGCAGCGATTGATCTTGCCTGAGCCCATTCCTAGAATGTTCCAACAGAAAAGCCCTCTCGCTTGGCGCCACAGAAGATTTACGGCAAGACAGACGACAAACCATCTCCGGGTTCGTGGTTGAGGCTCAGTCTACTGAGCCACAAACGGACGAAATTTTGGGTTCTATGATCTACCGTATTGCTCCGCCCCTTAGTAATGGGGATGATGCAAAGGGTACGATCAGTGGTATGATTGGAGCGTGATCGACATGACATATGGATGCCCTATGAGCAGAGAAAGCATTGGTGAGTATGTCGGGTCCTTGGAGATATGGCATTTTGGATATATAAAGCCATGGCGCAGCGAGCGTCGATGCTTTCCGTTCCCCAGAACACTCGACGCCCACATCTATTACAACGCCATTACATATCTGGCAACGATCTGAAAGACAACATCAATTAGTGTACCGACATCTATCATGAGCACGCATCCTGCTGTTGTGACCGTTGGTCCAGGCCTCCCTTTAGAGGTGCATCAAATTCCCACTCCGGCACCAACGGCAAACCAGATCCGCGTTCGGTGTGAATGGACCGCTTCGACGCCGCTCGACTTACACCAAGCCGATGGCGGCCTACTCGTTACACATCCACAGATCCTAGGCGACGGCATCGCCGGCACTGTTGTGGAGATCGGACCAGACGTCAGCAAATATAAAGTTGGCGACAAAGTCTTTGGCTTCGCGTGGCGTGGCCCGGCCGAAAAAGCACACCAAGAATATGTAGTTGCGCCCGAGTTCCTTTTCGGCAAGATCCCTCACCATGTCACTATGCAACAGGCGGTTACGGTGCCAAACAATTTCGTCACGGCATGGCACACTTTTACAAAAGATTTTGGCTTCGAGTTACCCTGGCCGAAGCCAGAAAGGTATATACCAGGGGAGAGGGGTGGATGGATATTGATTTGGGGCGGAAGTTCTAGCGTTGGGCAGTACGCATTGCAAATCTTGAAGTGGTATGGGTATACCAACATCATCGCCACTGCCAGCAAGACACATCATGAAAAATTGTATGGCTACGGCGCGACAAAGTGTTTCGACTACCGAGACCCGGGCGTTGAAAAGGCGATTGTTGACTTCACCGACCCGAACGGGGGAATTCATTTTGTCCTCGACTGTATAGGTAGCCTCAATGGCAGCGTGGTGCCGATATCCCGAATTGTCAGGCCTCAATCCAGCACAAAAGTCGCCATCCTCCTTCCAATCATCGTCAAAGACGCCGCGGAAGGAGTAAAACCCATTTATGAAATGGACGTCGAGAAAGCGACCCAGTGGCCAGAAGGTGTCCATGTGGTAGGTGTCCGAACGCACTTTTACTTGGACAACCAATTCCTCGCGGAACATTTGCAAAGCGACATCATGCCCGAGTGTCTTGCCCAAGGCATGATCGAGCCCAATGAGCAGGTGATTGTCGAGGGGGAAACGATGCTACAGAGGGCGGAGAAAGCGTTGAAAGTGCTCCGCGAGAAGAAGGTCAGTGGTGCGAGATTGGTATGGCGAGTCTCGGATGAGGTGTGACAGGTGAGATGGAGCCTACTGGTAAAAGGGTAGAGAATAAGGCCGAGTTGCCTTGTTTGATAGAGAGATTGAAGTACGGAGTACATGTGTACTCGGTACCTAGTAGTTGTATTCGTTGTCCCAAACTGCTGGCGATTACCATCGAGACAAGCTGTGAGGCTGCAGGTACAGTAGTAACTGGCCAGAACTGGCCCACTAGGCCTCGTAGGGTAACCACTCCGTCCACATTGCTTACCCCACTGATGCCACTGCGATCAACGAGAACCTGCAGTGGTGGTACCGGGTATGGAAGACATGTTTCTCTTAGAACGCGCAGGACAAGAAATTTCCTTCATGCTACCACTCGTGCTTCTCGAATGCTTCATGGTCAGGACTGCTGCCTGACTATTACACTCTTTCTCTCTCCTCATTCCTCATTCCTCATTCCTCATTCCTCATTCCTCATTCCTCATTCCTCATTCCTCATTCCTCATTCCTCATTCCTCATTCCTCATTCCTCA